AGCACCGGTGGTGACAGACTACGTGTCTTCAAATTAGTAGCCAAGGAGCGCGCTCGCATTGCCTCCCTCTCCATTGTTGGGGATCAGAAGATAGCGATGCAGCTAATGAAGATGCTGGACGGTCCGATGCCCCGTCTCGCAGCGGTCACGGTGAAGGGCGACTGGAGGTCTCCTGTGGACAGGCGACGCTCGGATTTTCTCCCCATCTTGCGCTCCTGCGATCTAAAGGGAGGCCTACGACGACTTGAACTCGAATCGTACAATTTCGGATGGACAGACCTCATTATACAATCGCTCAAACATCTCAAGCTCGCAAGCATACCTGATATTCGGAGAGCAAGCCTTCAGGTGATTCTTGGCACACTCGAGAAGCTTCCCCAGCTTGAGACTTTAGAGCTGTCGGGGCATTTTATCCGTCACAACGCGCCGGTACCAACCAAGACGTTCACCCTTTCTTCTCTGCGCGCGCTATCCATCGAAGTCCCTGTCGACCTGTGTCTCCAGCTGTTTGAATGTGCACTCCTTCCGAACCTGTCTGAAATCAGCCTCACTGCCAAATGCGAATCAGATCCTGAGACGGTCTCTGCACGCCTCTCGACATTCCTGCCAGCATCCATTCTGTCCTCATTGTATTCACTCCGCATACATGAGCACAAATCTTCCGGCACATGGCCCCAGATCCGCGCAAGCTTTTACCGAAAGAAATCTGCTGAGATCAGGTGGTTAACGGCACGTACCATCGCGATCGACTTCGGTGATAAAAATAAAGGCAAATTCGCCGTTTGCGAGCGGCTTGTATCATTCATGAACCACTTCGACGCGAGCGGACTACGGAAAGTCGAGGTTGACGATGTCGGCATCTACGACTGGCGGTCGCTTTTCGCCAACATGGCGAACGTGCGCGACCTGCACATCTCAGAGGCTTTACAGATGCCGTCTTACCTCGATGCACTCATGCCCCAAGCCCGACAACACGTCCTGCTGCTTCCCCGCCTGCGTACGCTTCGCCTGGACAAGATCCATCTGAGCACCTGGCCACCGTTACGCCACCGCGTAGATTACAAAGGGCATGCTGGCATCGACCAGTTCTGCATATGCATGATCGAGCGATATGAGTGCGGGGCCGGGATCCGCAAACTGTTCGTGACAGATTGCGTGAATTTCAAGCAAGAAGATGTCGACTTGCTGAGCGAGGTAGTGCCGGACGTGAAGTGGGATGGGCAGTTTGTGTATGACTTCGGCCGTGATCAGATCACCTGGTACGATGGGTACAGAGAATATGAAATCATTGGCGGCGTTTTTCCTCTCTAGAATTAGAATGTTGGACCTCTAATGCATGTACCCAGTAGGCGACTGTTCGACACGAGTAGGACATTGTAGTGAATTTTTCTTGATGGCATATCACCTCTGATGAATCATACGAGCATGAACACCACTGACTCGGCTTGAAGCTTGAAGCTTGAGGCCTTTGAACGTTTGAATGTTGAACGACTCTTATAAACACGTCACCGACCATGTTCAACCATGACACTACATGGGCGCCACTGGGAAAAGGTGCATAGGGTGGTTGTGTATGCGATTGAAGGAAGGATCCGTCAACGGCATCATCGACGCAATCGCAGATGCCTCCCATCATCATAGCGGCCCCCCTGAGTACACTCACTCCTCATCTGGAAAGATAGAATTCTACATAATATAAGCATCACTACTACTGTAATATATGTATCGGAACACGCCACGTACGGCCACGCTACAAACTCTCGCAAAATACCTTCCCCCTCGCCACCTGCACCCTGCACAGCTCCAGCTCTGTCGGCACTGCCACCAACGCCGCACACAATATTCCCACCGAGTCCGCCAGGCCGATCGACCCGATTTTAAACTCGCGCTCCTGCTTCTCGCGCTCGGGGTCGCCCACCGCATCCGCTGGGGGCGTCTCCCGGTTCACGTGGTGATACACGTTCACACTACTCGAGCATCAACATGGGACAAGATGACGGAAGGAAGGGGGCGTACTAGGCGAGCCCACCGCAAACACCCTCGACGCAGACTAGGGCAAAGATGAGCGCGACGCTCCGGCCCTCCGTGTCCCCCTCGCGCGCGAAGCCACCGCCGAATACACCCCGCGAAGACTCGAGTGCGAGCGTTACGAGGATGAGCGCCTGGACGATAGATGGGAGGGGAAGGAGACGGGAGGGGAGCGGAGGGATCCCGAAGGAAATGCTAGAACGCGAGAGGAAGACGGTGCTTTGATAGACAAGCTGATGGGGCGGGCGGTGAGCTTGAAGGGCATGAAAGGGGACGGAGGAAATGTGGACCATACCTGCCAGAGAGGATAATAATCGCGGATGGAGTGGATGATCTTGCTGAGGAGCCAATGTGAGGTGGGCGACGGGACGGGGTACACAAGTGTCGGCGCAATGCCCTACGATGGATAAATTAGCCATGACAGAAGAGAACGTCATGAACCAGCGCGCGACATACCTGGTTGATCGTATATTCAAACTTCAATGATCCGAGCATCAGCATGATAGTAAAAGCAGACAGTGATCGAAGCTTACCAAGTACACGCAGACTAGATGCAACGTTAAGCTTCCATGTTACTTGACACAAAGACCTGAGCACACTCACACAGAGGCACCATATATCTCCCCACTAGCGGCCTCACAAGCCGCCATTTGTCTTTCGCCGAGAGCGCCACGATGTATTTGAAAGCTTCCACCTCCTCCGCAGTCTCCACATACTCCTCCTGCGCGCCCTCGTCCATCAACGCTTCCTCGGTCGGAATCGGCGCGTAGGGCACCTGGGCTGATGTAGTCGTGAAGGAAGAAGGGCGCGGGAGGAGTAGAAAGTACGTAAGTGGGATGGTTAGTGGGAGGACCTGAACAAGATGTAAACTTGAGAAGGCGAAGACGAAGGTAAGGATGCGGGGAACTCACAGAAGAGACCCCGACACCGATTCGTACGCCGAGGCTGCGCAGCTCCCACCAGAATAACGCGCCAACGAGGCCCGCAGCGCCTGTGCCCGATGCGAAGTACCTTAATTTAGGCGAAGGTCGCACGATTCGAGTCAACCACGTATGACGTTAGAGATCATCAATGCTAACCCGATACTGTGGCTTGCGGCCGAGGACGGGTGATACCTTGTCGAGAGCTGGAGGAAGGTGAGTTCTCCTAAGCCTGCGGCGCATACGTTTGTTCAGGTTGACAAATGAAGAAGCAGAGAAGCAGACCTGAAGAAAACGAAGCAAAGCAAATACCAAGGAGCCGCATATACAAGCTATCGAACATCGCGACCACCTGCATGAAGTGGCCAGTGTTCAGATCGCAACTCCTATTAAATGCCGTGATCGCTCACCAGCATCCCGCTCATACTGAGCATACAGCACGCGATGAGGCGCCGTGCATAGCGTATCCGGCCTTTGAGTAGGTATGGCCAACCGAGCTTGGCGATGATGGAGGGAAATATGTTGCAGAAGGCGATGATGCCCTTGGGCGTGGATGGAGGTACGAGATCGAGCGCGGCTGATAGGATAATGACGTACAGAACTGAAGTGCCTGGGAATGAGTAACATGTCAGACAAGGAATAGAGATATCCAGCGTACCATTGTTGATAATCCCGAACAGAAAGAATGACAATCCCAGCTGCCTCAGCAGCTTGCGGGTACCTTGCAACATAGTGCAGCGTTAGTATGAATGAGTTATATTACAGAGACTCCACATATCATACAGTCTCAGCAAGGCGCATGAAGCGTTTCGTTACTCATGATCGCGCTGGTGATAGCCTTGAGTACACGCCCTGGCCTGGCCCTACTCTCTGCATGACAGCGTCAGCACTCACTCTTATGGCTGCTCACGTCTTCGTTCGCTCGCATTAGCAAGGTCTGCTCCTCTCTCCCTTCGTGGACAGCAGATGCGTCCATCGCAATATCTTCGCTAGGCAGAGCGCTAAGAATCGGTTGCAGTTCGTGTTGTTCGATAGTTGCGTCAGAGCTCGTAGACGTAGAGTACATTCACCGAGCTCATAGCAAAGTGTGAGTGCCTCGAGCAAGTCGCCTAGCGTGGTGGCTGAAAGAGCCTTAAACGATACGTGTGAGATGCTTAGTCAGCAGATTGTGGCTGAGTCGCTGGGGCTCGAAGCGTAATCTTCTATTATAAATAAACACTGAAGCTGACAGTTGAGTACGAGAAATTTCAAGATAATCTCTGTACGTTGTGCCTGTGAGAGCTAATAGCATGTCTGAAGCTTAAAGGTGGACTCCGTGTTTTCAGTATTTGCTTACTAAGCAGGGGGACGAGATGCGTATGCGCGACTCGCACTCCGACCTCGTTTCCTCACCCACTGGCCCGAAGTTATTCGCCCATCCAATCCAATGGTAATTCTGTATACTTTGTATTGCCAGCCTTTCGCTATACCTGTGCTTCAAACTCGAGAGATTCGATCTTCCCAGTAGCGTTCAAAGTTCAAACTTCAGATATCGGAACTCGCCACCTCGCAAACCTGCTCGAATTTGTTCAAAGCGCCAGTGTTCCATCGACTGCAAACCCCGGCATCTTCTGTGCAGTAACAATAATCCTTACAGCTGGCTGGATCCTCTCGTCTTAATCCACGTCCTAGCTGATCATCGATCATTCCTCGCTTTCGTTCCGGCTCGGTTTATCTAGTTGTGCGCATCAGTGCGCGGTTTGGAACTGAATTGCATGATGCCATTATCAGTGGGCCTTGCAAACTAGCTGTATGAGTCTACGCCTTCGAGCCTGCTCGCTGTGACCATCAATTGGCGCGTCGCGTCGTGCCCGAATGCCCCGGCGATCCGGCAATCATTGTGCGGTCGATATCCCCGGTTGTGGGGAACATTATAATCATGCTTAAATGGCTCTGATCTCGATTGTCGACCACAGCCAGACAGACTGGGTTCTGTAGCGGCAGTGCACACGAGGTAGGGCGAAGATTTGGGTCGCTGTGTTCCTGCCAGTTGGATGTGGTGAGTGCTGATTGAGGCTCGCACTGACTCCAGAGAATCGCGGTTGACGGAAGCGCGTAGGCTTTGTCAGACTTGGAGGAACAACATCGCGTCCATTCATCTCTCCAACAGACTTCATAGCAGCATGGCCAACAGAAGACTGACCCAGCTTCTCAAGGAGCTTGACGCTCCTCCTGCACCGATCGGCACCCTCAAGCTCGGCGATATATCATACGATGTTCCTGCCTCGCGCGTGCCTTCGCGTCTTCCGCATTCTACCGACATCCTACTAGACGTGCAGGATACCTTCAATCTAGACAACTTGCATTTTATACTGCAGAAGTATCTGCTAGGGCAGGACGTTTTTCTGCTGTCTCAGCCCGGTCCGTACGCACGGCGACTCGCACTAACGTTTTGCAGGTAAGGACATAACATTTTTTCTATACATTCATCGTACGCCTCATTGTCACTCCGTTTACAGCTTAATAAATTCGGAATATGAGTATGTTGCGCTACATCGAGACGTCGGCGAGACGGAGCTCAAGCAAGGCCGGGAGATTAGAGCCGGTGGTAACCTTGTCTACGTAGATAGTGCAGCCGTGCGAGCTGTCAAGCACGGCCGTATCTTGATCATAGAAGGAATAGAGAAGGCCGAGCGAGGAATCATGCCGGTAAGTGTACCATGTGCTGCAAATGGTCCGACTCACGAGGGAATTCATCGCAAATAGGTCCTAAATAACCTGCTAGAGAATCGTGAGATGTGAGTGTCTTCTGACTTGTCGCTCAAACACATTAAGACTCTCGTTAGGAATCTGGACGACGGCACGCATATAATCCACCCACATCGCTACGCTCTCCTCGACTCCTCTATTCAAGATCCTGCGTCCGGAAAGCTCTTCATCCCAGCCCACAAAAACTTTCGCGTCATCGCCATCGCCGCGCCTGTCCCGCCATACCCCGGCTACCCCCTCGACCCACCCTTCCGGAGTCGTTTCCAAGCCCGCTTCATCGACCCCGTCGGCGCCCTGCTCGCCCTCTCCCCTCCCGTTCCTTCCGCTCCACACCCGCTCTTCGCCAAACTGCGCGACCTCATCGTCTCGACACAGTACGCGAGCGAGGCCCGCCACGCGCTCGACACCGCCGCCAAGTCTGTGCTTCCGGCGTTCCCGCAGACCGCGGTCGCCAAGCTGCGCAGGTTGCTTGAGGTGTTCCCGCCCCCTGCGCATGGCCTCACCCCGGAGCAGCTCGCGCGCCTCATACTAACGATCCATCCCGCGCTGATTCACGCGCCGTTTGTGGCGTGGGCGATGCTTGCGCGGCAGCTCGAGGACGCGGGCATCGGCGCGCTGGGCAGCCCGTCGCTCAGCGGGAACGGCGACAACCTCGGCCTCTTGGGCTATCGCCTCTCGCACATCGAGCGGATCTCGGAGCGCACTGCACGCATCACGTTCTCGGGCACCGCGCGCGCGTCCTCTGTGTCTGTCGAAGTGCCCGCCGGCCCGAAATCGCTGCTCGCGTACCCCTTCGTGGACGTGGAGGGCCTGGGGTTCCTCCTGACGGAACGTTTCGTGGGGCTGTTCACGGCGCTGCTGCAGGCGCACGCGCTCGGCTGGGACGTCGCATATGTGCCGCCCGCGCTCCCCTCCACTGCGTCCTGTTCGACGACAACGCTCGTGCGTACGTTCGCGGCGGTGTTGGGGTACGAGTTGGAGGACTACCATATGTACAAGGAATTGGGAGGGCGAGAGCTGCTTATGCGCAGGAGGATCGAGGATGGGGGCGCGACAAGCTGGGAACCGAGGTGCGGCAGATTATGTTGATTGTTGGGATTGACTAATGAGGTGATGTGACCGCTGTGCAGTCCGCTCATTGAGGGAGTCTGGGCTGGGAGATTGGTCCATTTGTCTGGGATAGATGTTATTGGCTCGACGGCGGGATCGCTGGCGAGGCTCATGCAGGACAGGGAGACAGAGCTATGGGAGGGGAAACGGATCGTGTGGCAGGCATCAGAGGAAGAGGTCCATTATTGAATCTCTCATACCATTCCACTGTGATGCTGATATATTCCTGCAGCAAACCAAACACGGCCTCTCCGTCGCTCATCCCTCCTTCCGCATCATTAGCACAGCCTCTCGCTCCGTCCCTCTCAAAGACTGGCTCTCAGACGAACAGGCGAACATGTTCTTCCCCATCGCTGCACAGCCCATGTCGCGCACCGAGGAAGCTATGGTGCTCGCGCAGACGGGATGTCCCCCGCACATCGCAGATGCACTGCTGAGCTTCGCAGAACGCTATCGTGCGAGCATGACGTCCGACACGGTGCAAAAGAATCGCAAACTCGGAACAAGGGCGCTCGTGAGGATCGCGAGGCGCGTGGCGAGGTTCCCGGGGGACGACGATTTGTATGCGCTGTTGAGTCGGGCGATCCTCGCGGACTTTTTGCCGACGACGGAATTGATGAACCTTGAGGAGCTGTTTGCGGAGGCGGGCATCAAGAAGCGCACGCCTGCGGTGAGTGTGACTCAATGCTATGGTGGCTGACGGAGTCTGACAGTGTCCACAGTATAACCCGCCACCCGTCTTACAAGACGGCGGGTTGTTCTTTCCGGAGCCGAGTGATCCCAACGCGCACGATCTGCAGCCGACGTTCATCCCTGCGTTCGATCGCGCACAGGATCCAGAGGGCGTGGCGTCGCATGTTCCGTATATGGACCACTTCTATGACAATAGCTTGCAGACTGGGTTGATGCGCGATATGGCTGTTGATCTGGAAATCTTGGGAGAACATCTTGTTCTTTTGGGCAACCAGGTAAGGCGGCAACCTAAATGATGTGTGCTGTAGCTGACAATGTGGCCGTAGGGTGTGGGAAAGAACAAAATCATAGACCGGTGCGTTTGTCGTTGCGTCTGGTGTTTGCTTGTCTAACGTGCAACGACCACTAGCTTGTGTCAGGTAAAGTTGTCCAACGTCACAATTGGATTGCGTCATTGACGATTCCATTCAGCTTCTCAATCGTCCGAGAGAATACATTCAATTACACCGCGACACCACCGTGAACCAGCTCATGTTCCAGACAGTCCTGGAGAACGGGCTGATAAAGTACACCGATTCTCCTCTTCTCCGCGCAATCGTAATGGGCCGCGTCATCGTGGTCGACGAAGCAGACAAAGCAGCGGAGCACGTCGTTGCGATCTTCCGCAGTCTGGCGGGACACGGGCAGCTGACGCTAGCAGATGGGCGGCGCGTCCGTCGAGAGAAGGAGCGAGAAGGAGACCTCGTGGTTCATCCAAACTTCAGACTGATACTGTTGGCGAACAGACCTGGATATCGTTGAGTCGAGTTTCTCTTCGGCGGGTTTGGGGCTTAATGGAGTCTTGTAGCGTTCTTGGGAAACCACTTCCTGCAGGTTCTTGGAGACAACTTTAGCTGTCATGCAGTTAACAATCCGGACATGAACAGCGAGAGGAAGCTCTTGTCACAGCTTGCGCCAGACATGGACGAGGATATGATTCTGCGACTTGTAGCTGCTTTCCAGGACTTGCGCCGAGCGTACGAGAGTGGGTCCCTGACGTATCCTTACTCCCTGCGAGGTAAGCCATTCCGGATGGACTAATAGCAGTTACTGACGCTCATTCGATCGCAGAGCTTATCAACATCGTCCGCCATATGCAGAAATATCCATTGGATTCTCTCGAGGCTACCCTCCGGAATGTGTTCGATTTCGACGTATACAAGCCGGAAACGATCGACAAGCTCGCTGAGGTCTTGGACCACCACGGGTGCGTACATCTTCGTTCGCGGGTTCTGTAACTGAATTAAACGTATGTAGGCTGGCTGTGAAACGCCTGGATCTCGATGCCGCAAGAGAGGCATCGCGCAAGAAAGTGCTCGATATCAAGTTTGAGCCCAAGGGAGATACGGATTTGTCGAGCCCGAAGGTGGGCGAGGTTGACCCCCAGAATAAGGCCCACACTGGTGGGAATCGATGGGCGGGTGGCGTGAGGCCTCTATTCGCTCTGGGGATGTCCTTACCATTGCTGAGATTTCATATCTGATTAGACAGGTGGACGGGATACTGCGGGTCTCGGAGGACGAGGCGGGTATATGCGCTTGTTCAAGGGGCACGATATCAATCAAGTGAGTCGCTTGCTGCTTGTGTACGGCAATCTCGTTATATGAATGTGTCACAACAAGGTTTCGGATGAGCTGAAGCAAGACGTGCCCGAGCACATCAAAGAACAAGCACGAGAAATGGCGCGCCAGGAGCTTGCGCGTAGGCTTGAGGAGCTCGATATGAGCCCCGGAGAGGCCAAGGGATATGGTGCCCTCCTAACCGCTGTTGAAGCTCATATCTCACAGCTTCATGATCTGCTGGAAAGTGCGCGTTCCTTTTTAACACGGTTGAAGACAGAATATATACTGATCGTATCCGATAGATCTGGCAGCGAAGGAGGAAGAGCGTGTCTGGGTTAAACGCCAGACCGACGGGGAGCTTGACGATAGCCGCCTGACTGAAGGCTTGACTGGCGAGGCAACAGTTTATAAGCGGCGTAGCATGGCGAAGCCTGAGCTGGGTCGCCCGCAGATCAAGTAAGGCGATGTTCGCGAGATCGACATATTGCTGACACGTTCGTGTAGGCCCAAACGAATCAGATTTGTCTTCGACATCAGTGCATCAATGTGAGTCTTTCGTTGTATCGCTGCGAAAGAGGACCACCGGCACTGATGACCATCAGGTGTCGTTTCCAATATGATGGTCGCCTGCAAAGAAGCATGGAAACAGGTGAGTCAGCTCGTTCCGTTTCAGCAGGGTCGTACTGAATTAAACGAATAGCGGTCATGTTGATGGAGACTTTCAATCGTCTGACGAGGAAGGACAAATATGTGTGGGACGTGAGTACGTTATTCTTCGTGAACTTTGCGGTGCTAAGCAAATGTGGTAGATCTATGGTCACGTCAGTACCCTTTACGGGCTGCATGAGCTGTGCAACGCGCTGACCGTTGTGCTACCCAGTCTGGCGATTCTGCCGTTATTCCCTTGGTAGAATCTGATAATCTTCCTACTGAACTGAAAGACCGTTGGAAGGTGATAGAGAAGATGGAATTGGTGTCTCAATATGCATTTGCCGGCGATTACACAGGTACCAGTCTTCCAAGAATATACGGACTAATCATCCATTGACGCACAATGATTTTAGTGGAAGCAATTGACAAAGCGGTGAACGAGGTCGCCAAGTTCGACGCTGGTCTGTTTACTTGCTGAAAAGCCAATGATACTGTCTGACATTCAGGATGGAGCAGATGATTGGTTCGTTATCACGATTACGGACGCAAACTTCGGCCGCTATGGCATCACCGCAGAAGAGGTGCACAAGGTCATGACTCGTCAACCGAAGGTCAACACTGCTCTGATCTGCATTGGCGAAGGCGCCGAAGCTGTGTGGTACGTCACAGCTTTTATTGCAGGTATGCATGGACCCAACAAAGATTGCTATAGGGTCCCCAAGAAGCTACAGGGTCGCGGCTTTCGGGTTTCTAACACAACTGATATTCCGGCTGTATTGAGAAGTATTCTCACTACAATGGTTGACCGGGGCTGATTATATACTGTACGCTCGAGTTCGCTCAAATCCTCATTACCTCCGCTTCGTCTAACAGATAACCTACAGGCTTTACGATACCATGTCGCCAATTGATACATCATGAATTTCACTATGGTGTGGTACTCCTGTTCCTGGTGATATGCTTGGCATAGAAATGCTACATATGGTAAGCTCTCCACATCGGCTACTGCATGATGGCGAGACTTTTTAGTACCTTGGACCATGTGGAGCAGCAGAAGATCAGACTGGCGCATGTGTGCAAGCCGCACTGGCAAATACTCACATGAACGTTGCTTTGATGCTAGAACTAATCTCTTTAGCCGACGCTCGTGCGTAAGTATGAGCACCGAATGCTCTCCATATGGTCGACTCTCACAGGTCGTTCCAGGTTCGGCAAATTACATCTCTGGGAACCGAAGCTGATGCTTCTTCTACCGTGGAAGCGTGCAGTTCGTCGGCGCTAATGGAACTGTATAAACAGATTCGATGCGCACATTGTTTTGATTGTGCTCTTGCATCTCACATCGACGGACGCGAGAAATTCACGACCAATCGCTCACTATGGGTCAAGGAGGGAATCTCACTCTGATCAACGGCTCTCCGTACACGTGGGAGGTTTCCTATGTCCACAGCTACCAGATGAATTCTTGGCCATTCGACACGAGCACCACTGTCGCACCAGGTACATCCAAAGTACTCAAGGTGTACGGCTTAACACTGATTTGACCCAAGGTGCTGATGTGCCATTCTACGTCGAATGGGATGAGTCGATTCTGGTTGATACGGGTGATGATGCCGCGGAAGCCACATTCACGCTTGAAGGGACATCATCGTACTTCCAAGTCCAAGCACGATGGCAGTATGTGCAAGTTGTTTTCGAAGGCATCGAGACCGAGAACAACCCGGAAGGCAGTACCATCAGCCTGGGTTGGGAGACTAACGGTGTTATGCCGTTCATCCTCTCAGGCAACACCAGCTCCTTCTCCTCCAACAACCCTCCCGTCGCGTGGATGCAGAGTAACATCGAGACGTTAGGCTCACGCCCCCTTCGCCAAATTTGCATTCCCGGTTCGCATGATGCAGGCATGAGCGTACTCAACAGTGGCACGGCGTTCGCCACTACCGACAACACGGTCACGCAGACTACAACGATCGGGGGACAGCTCACGTATGGCTCGCGCTACTTTGACGTGCGTCCTGTCATCAGTGCAGGCGAATATATGGCGGGACATTACTCGGATATCGAAGTGATTGGCTGGCAGGGAGGCAACGGGCAATCATTCGCGGACATCATTGACGAGATCAATACGTTCACGGACGACAATGCAGAGCTCATTGTCTTGAATCTCTCCCATGATCTGGATACGGACTTAGACCCGGATTATGAGCCGTTCACCCAGGAGCAGTGGGATGCCTTATTCGAGCAGTTGACGGGCATTAACGCGCTATTTGTCGCTTCAAATCCCTCGACGGTTGATCTCTCGACACTTGCGTTGAGCGACTTCATTGGGAGTGGGGAGGCAGCTGTCATCGTCATCGTCGAGCCGTCGAATGGAAGCATCACCCTTGGCGATTACGCCAGCGGCGGCTTCTACTTGTACTCCCAGTTCAACGTCTATAACGAATACTCCGATACCTCCGACCTGGACGATATGATCAGTGATCAGCTGCAAAAGCTGGCGGACGTTCGTCAGACCCCTGATTCGCAGCTTTTCCTGCTCTCTTGGACCCTCACGCAGGACTTGGCGGACGCCATCGATCTAGACCAGACCATCCTTCAGCTGGCTGCCACTGCTGATCCTTTACTGTACACCGACCTCATCCCAGCTTGCACCAGCGACACGTATCCCAACATCCTGTACGTTGACGGATTCAACACTTCTGACCTGGCAGCCCTCGCGATGGCGATCAATCTGAAGTTTGCGGCTTGATGGGTAATGGATAGTGGATGGTTGGTAGACGAGGCGTCTTCGTTGCTTGCTTTTCGATGAGAGCGTAACTATTGCCTGCCGAGTTGCTTTCACCCGTCCTCTCATTATTCATTGGGCTTATATCGGATGAATGTTGATGAATAGTCTTCGATGCCTGTATTGACAGTGTTGGGCGTAGTATGACCTGTGATGGGAACTTACCGAACCACTGACGATGTTTCAGTGATTGTCATGATACGGCGATCTTTGCGAGACGAGGGGAAGACGGTCGCCAGAACGACACGCAATAATATGATAACATCTTCGGATTCTACCTTGCGCAAACGATGCCTGACATTTGACGCTAGCTAGGCGTTGAGTTAAGGAGCTATCAGCTTTTGATGTCAACAAGGACAAAGAATGGAAGACGACGACAGTGGCTTTCTTCTCAGGACGTTGCCTTAACGGTTGCTTCGGACGTCCCTCACCTACAGTCGTGTCGATTATGTGCTCTTTAGCAAGAGTTTTATTTCTCCGCGATAGGATCGAAGGATAATGAGATCAACGACATTGACATGTCTCTCTGAGTCGTCAATCGGTCAATAAGAGACGCTTCGGCTCAGGTTCATAGTACGGCGAAATCTGCACCGTTGGTTGGGCCTTCATCATGATGGTGGCCTGGCCGCTGATATTTCGCCTCTTCGACCTCGTCCTCTATAGTCCCTCTTTTCTTCGTCACCTCCTCTGCATAAGTACTCATCTTGATGCAAATACATCGAAGAAACTTGAAGGATCCTCAGACTGTTCGACCAGTTCATCAGGACTCAGAGCTGCTCAACGTCCAACCGTCAGGTAGCTCGATGCGTTGCATATGCTCGGACGCCCTCAGTTCGCAATACGACAGCCTATCCCAGGCTGCCTTTCCTTTCACGTTCTCTTCAGCACTCTGATATACGCGCGCAGCTCGTTGATGTGCAAAATTCTACTAGAGACTAAACATCAAGCCCACTGCAAGCAACGTACCTCCCGGTGTTCCAACCCTAGGCTAACTTCCTGGATAGTCTGAAAGCTTAAGGTACATCGGCATTTTCTGGCTACTTCGACGTTGCGTCGGATCTATCGCGTACTATAAGAAAATCCGCATCATACACTCAAGAGCTTTGCTGGGATCGAATGCTATGCAACTTATATCAGCTCTGACGGACGACACTGATAATGTAGGTGCCAGGTCAAATTGCAGAAAATAGCGATACTTGGCTGACAAGGGCTGACATGGCGCCTTCAAAGACTACACTGATCGATGAACAAGGAACGTTAACTCAATCCGACACGTGCACCTTTATACTAGTAACGTTCAAGGCGGCCCGTAACCCACTGGCAATTCAGGGCCATTCTGATCAGAGCTTGGAACTGTCTTATGACGCAAGACAGCGTCCTTTTGGCACGGTCTCCAAATCCGCGGTGGTTTTAAATGGCTCATTAGCTCTCCGGCACATCAAGCTAGCTTCAAGCCCGAGCAAGCATTGTCAATATCCAGCGTTGTCCATCACAAGCTGCGTGCTGCGTATGCTCAATCGTAAATGTTTGAAGCCTACAAGAAAGGCCTTCCAGACTAACAACATTGGAACGACGAGACGTCTGGCCTGGACACCGTTCTTGTTGCCGCAATTCATCTTTGTTAATCGGTCATAATTGCGATCAACTTCAAACCTATCCAGATGTTATTGTCGACTCAAAGTGGGCCGCACAAGCTGAGGCCGATAAGTGTGATCGGGCAAGACGAGAACAGTGAACGTGAGCTAGACTTCTGTTGCATCCCAATGTGGTCATGGCCGTCACGAAAAGGCCCGTTGTCAAATGTTACAACAACAATCTCATCTCGACGGGCGGACGTGGCGGTCTGCGGTGAATCGTCGTGAAGAGTTTGATATCCCTATAACAAGACTACCTGCCAGTGCAATCGGACGAACGTTTACGGTAATTATTCGAACGGCGGCCAATTGACGGTAATGCATTTTCTGTGACGTCTGGCCGCACCTCAGGTAACGATCTCAAGGTCGGAATATATGGAAGTTCGCCTCGAAGTGGACGCTTGCGGATCCTTGCAACAGCTGGGATTCACCGCTGGCAGCAGACAACCTTGTTTGATCCTGATTATCGAAAACAGTAGCAATATTGCCACCGACTAGGGCGCTTGCGACGGAAAGGTGGTGAAAATGCGGGGGATTCACGCATGGTCAGTTTGCTTGTTCACTTATTATACGTGGCTCTGAAAGATTCGATCGCACAGCATCCTCCTTCCAAGCCTTGAATGTCTTCAATCCCATAGTCGCAAAGTTCAAGATGGCTCTGCCCTCCTCATCTGACATGCTCGTCACATTCCCTCCGCCGTCAATCTGAAATGCCTCCGCGCCAGAGATTGCGTCACCCGTTGAATCGTCCGTCACGAGCAGCGTCACGTTCTCCCCCGCTCCTACTTCGACTACGTACGCGGTCGCATTTGAACGGTTGAAGCTTAGCGACAGGAAAGGCGTACTGTAGAAATCTGCCCAAGCGAACAGGATGTCCGCGCCATCTTCCATCTCCTGTTGGCAACCTCCGACAGGGGGTGTATTGGAAGTCCAGAAGTATCGCCCAGGATGGATAATCCGCGGCGAACGTGTAGTTCGTGCTGCCGATGCGTGTGATGAAGATGTCATCGTATTCCGCCCAGTATGTGCTACATCGACCGATTAACATTCTTCAATACAGACATTCTTTCGATCATTTAGGCTCACCCGTCCCAGGAGAAGCCCAAAAGGCGTGCTGCATCATCCAATGCGCTCGTGCATGTTGGGCCCGGGTAGGGGTTCTTCCCGTTGTTTGTCTCGTCGCAGTTAAGGTGCCAGCCAAGGCCGTCGTAACGTTGTGCCCCTGTGTGAAGACAAGTCCTTCGAAGATGGTTTGTTGGGTTCCTTCCACGCGCAGATTAATCAGGGCTCCTGGCCTTCATAGAACCTCGACAAGCGCAGATCAGGTGCCCCGCTCTGCATTTCGCCTGCTATGGCATGTGCGCAGCCCACCGAAAGGACCAATATGAGGAAGCTAAGCAACATCATCTTGGAAGCTCGATGTGATGCTGTTATGAAAGCTCATTTCCGCTGCGCCCTGAGTTGTATCCAAGACTTGATGACAGCTTGTATATTTCTGATTGGCCGCATTGAATTGCACTGTCAAGGAAGTATGTCTCTCCATCCGTATCTGGACTGCGCCGTGGCTCACCTTTTATCAGTCAGCTTCAAGCAGCCAGACGTTTGAATGATGTGGCCGTCACGTATCGTCATGCTCACGCACAGACGATCGTTGAACGCCCTCGTCGGGTTGTATGAAGTCCAAACGCGTGCTCATTAAATATCGGGCATCTGCTAAGTTGCCGCTGGGACGTATCGGTCGAAGCGACGCTCCGGTGTCATGGCTGATAACGATTCACAGCTACGCGTTTAGAATTGGCAGTCTTCAATGTGCGAATCGTATTGCGAAGGCAATATCAGTGCAGGTGGTCACATATAGGAATGCTAAGAGACGTTTTCGTGATATTTCAGCATCGTCCGACCTTCTTTCCAGCGCTCGCGTTGGTATATAGGGCATCCTATGGGTGAACACTAAACACCTCTCTCAGCAACCCCCTCCCCCCCCCACCCCCCCAATTGTTTATCGTCGCCATGTCGGACTCCGTTCTTGCTAATGCAGTGATTCGCATCCTTGCAAACATCGTGTCGAGCCTCGTATCTGCCCTCATGATGGGAGGTCTGTTTCTCTGGGACTTCGCGTTGACATTGTACAACCTGTTCGCTCCTCCGAAACCTGTCAATGGAGTCGTACCAGAAGGTTGCGCGGGAGCCGGCGGGCTCTGGCCGCAGTATGTACCACCTACTCCGACAGACAGTAGGAGCTGTTGTCCAGGATTGAATGCAATGGCCAACCACGGTAAGCATTTCCTCTTCTCCCTTGCTCGTCTTGGACCAGAAGCGTATTGCGAGCTCAAGTCCTGGTGTACCAGGAATTCTCCCGCACTCCGGAAGGAACATCTCATTCCGTCAGCTGAATACGGCGATTCGCACCACGTACAACTTCTCACCGACATTCTGCTTCTTCGTCCCGAACTACGCCGCGGGCATGCTCAACAAGAGCTATTGGACGGACACATTTGATCTGGAGGGCATTAGCGTGCACAATTGTATCGAGCATGATGCATCACTCACACGTGTGTTTCAACCCCAGGGAAGGCAGGCACCGTGTTGGAGACTGATATCTTTTGTCATTTTTCCAGGCGAAGATACCTATCTCGTCCCAGACCAATCAAAGCCTTCAAAACAACTGGTTGAAGGGCTGCTTGCTAGTGCTACAGGCTCAAATGGCATTTTGACTGCCGCAGACCTCTCACGATACTCGGGGAAGCGTCGTACGGAGGCCCGCAGGATAAACGGACAGTTCAGCCTGTCGGCCTTCCACAGGTTATTCGGAAGTTCCAAGTAAGGATTTGCACTTCTCATAATATTTTCCTCGCCGCTGATGGAACTCCGTATAAGCACATCCATTCTCCTCACTATTTTCGGTGGGAATGTTCAGGACCTCAAGGTGATGCTTTTGGAAGAACGCATCCCCGATGGATGGCAATCCCGCATCCGGCGCCCTGGAGGCTTGACATTAACGGAGTTCCAAGGCACTGTTCTGACGGTCGAGTTTGGGATTAAAGAAGAAGCAGACCACGCTCTACAGAGCCTGGGAATGGGTGGAGGGAAAAAGAGCGAATGAGTTGACATCTTGCTTGTCTCGTATCTTTTACTACAAATGCCCTCGAGCTCAAACCTGTGCCGATGAGGATATCTATTGGTCAATGATATAACTTGATAGCATTGTGTTATATATGTAGCGTGTATTCGGATAAATTGGCACAACGCGCTTACCCTCACGATCAAACAATCTAGAAATCACCCAGGTCGATATCCACAGATTGCAGGACTTCAGTCTTGAAATTATCGTCTTTCTGCGAAGCCTGTGCCGCGCCAGATAGTGCCGACGGAGGTAATGGAGATGCAATAGGCGCAGCAGCGCCGTCCACTTGAGGATTTGGTGTTCCCGGTTGCGTAGGAGTTTCTGCCCTGGTAATTGCGTAGCGAACATGAACAAGAGACCAAACCAAGACGCAATCAACGTCCAAGAAAGACACCAGACATCACACAAGATAGCACGGGGATATGGAAGGGACACAAACCTGGAACTAGCGAACTTGAGCCGCGCGGTGGGATCGGCAGGCGTTGACGGCCGCGGAGTACCTCCTGCTGCAGCAAGCAACTTGCGTTCCCGGCGTTTACGCTCGGTTTCTTGCATTTCCGCCTTACGTACGGCTTCCAAGTTCGCCTTGCGATTTCGTTCGTTGACTTTCGCGAGAATGTCTTCTCGACTGTCCTCACGACTTCCCTCCCGTGTCGGTGCAGAGGCAGCCAGTTCGGCGATTTGTGTGTCAATCTCCGCAACCTCCACCCAATCCTGTCGGCGAGCGGCCAACGTGCGCGCTTGAGATAACCGCGACCTCTCCATGGCCACCCACGCGGCGGAATGCTTTTTATTAACATCCGCTTGCTTGCGGGCTAACATGGCGGTGATGTCACTCTGCGCACGGGAGCTATAGCATCTTCTCATACAAGAGAGCAGACGTATCAGGCTTCACCTCCGTGATGTTCTGATTAAGCAGCTTCGTGATCTGGGCTGCTTTCTTCTCCATCTGTCGCCGAGACGGAAACGAGAGCTTCTCCGACTCCAAGGTTTTCGCAATGCGATCGAACTCTTTCTGCAGCATTGTCAAGTCTGAACTTCGAGTCCATCTGCATGCGCGAACAGAGACTGACCTGGAGGAAGGGACTATTGGACACTTTGTCCATTGGAAACCAGCGTAATGCATTGCCATGGGCTAATTGTAATTCTTTGTTGACAGTGCGGCCATCCAATTGATAAGACTTGACGGCCCTTTGGGGACTGATTTCCTCACGCACGTCTTCATAGGCTTGAGCACAGCAGAGTGAGGGTATAAACGAGAGACATACCAGTAACTTCGCATATCCGATAGACGCCCTCTCCATGTTCGTTCCCAATCAAGTATCTGACATACGCGCCTACGATAGTTCCAGTTAGGTCAGAACTCCTTCTTTCGGAGACGAAAAGTTGTCAGCAAACCTTTGACGCATTCCTCGAACCACGGTGCGTTGTATAGCCTTGCAAGCTTGTTTCGCGTGACTCGGCAACTTTCCAGCAGTTCTATGGTCATAGGCTCCTCCTCCGACTTCTCCGGATTCAACTTGTCGTACAACTTCCGCTCTTTCTCTTCTTGCTCTTCATACTTCGTGATCTGTCCATCCTCTTCCTCCTCTTCTTCGTCAGACATTTCCATGTCGACAGGCGAGGATGACCGATCGCGCCTCGGCGATGTCGCCTTCGTCTGCTGATATCAGAGCCCACAGAGCAGGAGGAAAAAGTGTGGAATCGTACACGTTTCTTCTCGTCCTTGGCCTTCCTCCTCGCCTTCAGCTCATCCAACTTCCGCGACTTCTCTTTCGTAGCGCCTCGCACTGCATGCTGACCTAGGGAAACATTCAGAACAGAGAAGCCTCCAGACAGGATGAAATTTACGTTTCGCCGCCTTGGCAACACTATCTTCTCCATGCCCACTCTGCGCTTTGAGCATCTGCTCGAGATTGCGTTTGTCAACTATCCGCTGAAGTTCTTCTTGTCGCTGTGCAAGGATGTCCTCCCGATCGATCTCAGACATATCCATAAGGCTAAGAGATAGCGTTACAGCTCAATCAGTTGTTGCTGCGTCGCAGTATAGAGTCCATGCATACCGTTGTTTGTCAGCCTCGTCAATGTACTTGCCCTCCAATGGATATGGGTTCGTCTGGTCCTGAACATCTTCACTTTCTGGTGCATTGGCATCCGATTCATCAGAATTGTCACTTCTGTCACAATGAAGCATGATGAGGGCACACAGAACGCACAAAATTCCGCTCAACGTACTCTGGTCTGCGCCGCTTAGGCAGCGATGACTTCGAGTGGGCTTGACGCTTCCTGCGTTTGCGCTCCGTGGCGCCGACGAGTTCAAGGAGCTCATCGGACAGGTCTCCTCCTTCAGAGTCTGACATTGTTGCAAGTATCTGCTGTAAGATAGTCGCGCGCGGCAAGGACGAAGGAGAACAGTGAAGGAGCACCGAGATCTCAAAGAGGTAGTGGCTGTGGCTGGTCAAGTGAATGAAGCGCGCGTAACGAGGTGAACGTGATGGTGATGTCTTGGGCGCTAGTCACTACTTGTCACACCAGAGGTGCAACAAGTTTGAGCCCATACTATGATGGCCTATGATATATGATGGCCCATCCCTGCGTAGAAAATAGCGTAGTCACACGGCAGACATGTTGTGATTTATAAATGTGGAAAATAGTGTGGGAATGTCGGCTGATGTCTTACATTTGTGGCAAAGGTTTGCCAATGTAGCATTTAATCAGCAAATGGTGCACATCCGCAGCCAAAGTGAAACATTTTAGACATGAAATGCCATTCTTGCAAACATTTGTCACATGTGTAAGAAATCAGTCGACATTCACACACAATTTCCCACATTGATAAATCGCATCATGTCTGCCGTGTCAGTGCGCGCATTCACAAGCTTAAGTATAGCTCGAGATAGCCATGGCAGGAAGGGCGCATCGACGATCATTTTTGTAGACAACATTAATCAGCACAACTGTAGAGCATATGGTCGAGTCGCAGCCCAATGATTGTAGCAATTAGGCTGTACATTCCTTTGGGTAGCAGCTATAACTTAGCAACTTATAGTCACAAGAGAAGAAAACACTGTCGATCCGCGCGCCATGCAGATCACCGATTTCAAGCTCCATATATTGTCGCGCGTCAAGACACGCGATTCATGCCAAGGCATAGGGTGGGTCAGCGCATCATCCATTATCAGTGCGACTGCCTGATGAAGTTAGGCGCGTACAAGGCTCATCGAAAGCAAAGAGTTCGTCGGTGCTGCGGAAGCGAGGCTAAAACCGGACGTTTCACCGGCGAAAAGCTATTTCAGAACTTGGACTCAGATGAGCCAGGCATCGATAGAGCAAAGGATAAAGAACACGCGTCGAGATGACATCCGGCGGTATTCTATCTTCGCTCATGAGCAAGCTTTATACAATCTTGGTAACAGCAGAAGATCACCTGTTTCATAAGTCTTTCCATTGAATTATGCTTGTTGATAGTAAGTTAGCTGACCGCCATGCAGGCGAATCTGCAACATACAATGCCGAGGTGCAACATAATGCCATACATTGTCCCGAGAGCTGAAATTACCCATCATCAGAGTCGGCAGACGTGTCGATTTCCACGAGATGCCCGGCGTTCTCAACGCTGTTCCACTCCGCTGGTTTGACCGTCGACCAGTCCCACCTACGCCAGCTTGTGAATGCGTCGGGGAGCGAGTCATCCCCAGGTAGTGAATGAGGATGCGACATAGCATCGGACGTTCCCGACGCTGAGGCGCGCACCGCAGTGACAGCTGCATCTCTCCGTTCGAAACCTGAGGTGAGCATACATCTGCTGCGAAAATCTGCTCGGACAGACCTGAGAAATAACACTCATCCTGCCGTGCAACTAGCTGATCTTGATGGAGGGATGGCGAGGAATTCAGCGGTGTGATTCCTTCGGCGGATGGTATATAGGTATATGGAAGCGACGTGGTCAAACAATCTGCGTCAGGTGTTGATTCATCTGGAGGTAATCGATGTGCATGAAAGGAGAAAGGCGTGTTATATCGAGCACCGTCTTTGAGAGATGAATTATCCAATTGCTCGGTTTGTGTTCCAGCTCCTGCCTTGGAGAGTGGCATGAGTTGCGACAGCCTTTGTGGTGGTTCTGGGACCGTCTTTGCATATGACGAAGAACCCTTCTTCTGGAACCTCAGACGGTATAAGCAAAGTTACGGCCACTCTATGAAGCGGAGATTGCACAACACCTCTTGCCAAGTGATATTTGGGGACTCAACCCGCGAAATCTCACTCAACCTCTTCGCGCAATTCTCCTTGTGTCTCTCCCACCTGCCCAGATCCAGGCTACGATCCTTCTTTGAAAGCCTTACAAAAGCTGTACATCGTGCACATTGGACCAGCCAGGGGCTGTGGACAAGCGCAAGTTCATCATCCTCCAATAACTGTGCTCGTTTATTTCTTTGACGAGCAACGCTCGAATTTGCGTCGGTGTGAGAGTCTGATTGGGACTGTGAGCGCTCGTCGTGCAAATAAGCGGATCTCCGTCACTTACTGCTGATCGAGTCTCCACTGAACATCTTAGGGATTCTTTCTGTCTGGTAGAAGCGCGATCACCAGAACCCGATCAATCTGAGCGTGCCAGAGAATATCCGTGCAGGAACAAATAAATCAGCACTGAGCAGTATCCACAGTGTTTCAGCATGAAGAAGTACAATCCTCTCGAGTTGAGGGCGGTCGTCCCGTAATAAGAGTCGCTCTCTTGGTTTCTCGTCGAGTGGAGTGCAAGTTCAACATCAAAGAACCATGTGTTGATGCTACTCGCATAGGTCTTGCGTAAACAGATATTTCGGGAGCTGAGCCCAAATAAAGGTTGCAATGATTCCGATCCACCTATAAGCAGCATCATGACGCGGAACGACGCACTTCCAGGATTATTGAACGGGGTTAGATGATCATATCAGATACAATGTTTCGATCGCGCGTGAATGTGAATGCAGGTCCTCAGAAGGTGAGCGTCGTGAACAAGATTTTGAACTCCTGCGAACATCGCTAAGAAAGGCAACTAAACTAACCTCAAGGTAACCTCATAACCCCGACACAGAGGAGCACACATTCTCAAGAGATTGGCATAGAGTAGAGCATGGTAACATTACGCGATACATATGCTTCGATCATACACAGAAACGAAATCCACAATATGTAACGAATAGACAGGAAGGACGGATAATGAGAGACTCGATGGAGAGTTATGTACAGGTGTCACGAAGTGGACCCATCTACAGGGACGGCCTTCGGCGTTGGCCCACCGAGGTGGCTTTCTGCCATTGCACCGTTTGCTATCCGCGGCGGGTGCGGCTGACTCGCCGTAACCGGCGCGGAGGAAGAAGTAGAAGAAGGAGGGAACAAAGATACCGGAGATGATGTCCGTATATTCACAACATTCGCTGTAGGGCTTATCGCAGGAGGTGGCCGAGATATCCCGCTGCCGCCTACCTGCTGTTCCGGACTCGCCATCCCTGCAGGCCTTAAGGGAAGTTTATTTTGTTTTCCAGGTGACGAGGTCCGCTCGAGAGTCTTCAAATTGGGGCTCTCGTTGTTCGGCACAGGCGGACTGGCAGGACGTATGGGGGACCGAGTAGATGGCGTGAGCGATGGCGGTGGTGGCAGTTGCGTTGCTAGCGGTAGTTGTGGTATCGGCCGCACAGGAGAGCGCAATGCACCAGGGAATGCAGAATTCACACCAGGAGGACTCATTCTTCCAGATTGTGGCAGACCATTAGCATGAATAGATGTGGACACCCCAATTTCCATTGGTATGGCCCGGGGCGATTTCGCCCATGAACTCACAACATTATTGCTCGGTGTCCGTGGCCTACGCGTAGTCAGTGGGCGATTTGCAGCATTTGCCGGTGCTGCATGTCCCGTCGATGCGGCCGATGCAGGGCGTGGGACGTTATGCCCCTCTGGTGCGCTCCACGAGGAGCGCCTCGAATGCCCCGCGGAGGCTGGTGCTGCTAGTGAGATATGCCCGTTTCTCGGTGAGCCAGAGAAGGCGGACTGCATTGCTTGCGTCGGTGTCATCACGAAGGGTGTCATCAGCCGCTCGTGGGGTCCTACGGGCGGTACCACTGGAGGCCGTCCGCGGTCGCGGGGTACATCCGGAGATAAACGGGGAGATGCCATGACTTGCTTCGACGGGCCAGCCGTAAGCTCAGAGATGTCGTTCGGCGTTCCAGAGTGCGGCCGTCGAGGCTCGGCCTCCCGAGGTATGCGTGAACTTGCAGTACTCGGGCCAGCAGCCACATTCGACGATATCGCAGACATTGGCTGCCCTTGACCGTTTGCCTGCTGCGGGAGGTGGTGGTGGTGGACATGATGGTGATGGTAATGGTGATGGTGCGGCCCAAGGTGAAGGTGCGCCGCCTGCCCCGGCGCAGTATGCACATGCTGGTGTGTATGCTGGTGATTCACATGTCGCTGCTGTATCATCTGCATGTGTAACTCTCTCCCCTGCTCCCTCTCCATCTCACGCTCTCTGTCTTGAGGTATCTGGCCCTCCGGATACCGCTCCTTCTCGCGCTCCCGCCCGTCAGACATGCTATTCTGCTGCCTGATTTCCTTCCCGTATAATGCGCTCAGCCCCAACGGACCTGCACCACTCCATCCATTCGTTTTTGATCCTGCAAACCCGGGAGGAAGCGGCAACGCGCCGATCGTCATCGGCACCCCAGGTCCCGCGCCGTTCAGTGTCTGCACAGGTACAGGAGATATTGAGCGTCGCATCAAGTTGCCCGGCATGCCTCCCACATTGACATATTGCTGCATATGCGGTCCCGGTCCTGCATCGAGGTGGTGAAGAGGCGGCATCTCCGGTTCCACCGGTATTTGCGATGATGGGTGGAAGCTGGGCAAGCTACCAGCTGGTGCTGAATGGTGATGGGGCAGGCGCGGCACCTGCCCGGGGAAGCCCTGCATCATAGGTTGACCATTTGGGATCTGCGAATAGTGAGGAAATTGAGGAGGACCGAGCCCGAATCGTCCTCCCGTACCGGGCCCGTCTAGAATAGCCATATTTACTGAATACTCGTAGCCGTGGGGCGGCATTGGCCCACCAAAGCCGGAGTTCATCATCGCCGGTCGATGAGGGTCGAACCCTGCTGCGACACGCCGATGCTGGTAAAGGAACTCCAGATCCCGCCCAACGTCATTCGGTGCGAGCGTTGTCAGCTGGGGATATGCAAGGATTGCCGGACCGCTCCGGCCCCTGTTGCGCAAAGACTGAGCACCCGATGCTGACGAACCGAACGGGTATGCTTTGACGATATCGTGTAGTGTCGGCGGCGAACGAATGTCCTGCGGTGGAGGTGGTATCGGGCGTTCTGCGTGCACCCGCGTGAGACCCAGTCTCTGAGGTCATCTCGGAACACGTACCAGGCAGAGGCCGTTCTAGTGCTCGTCGTTCTCTCTCCAACTTCCGCCTCTTTCGATTGGTCTCGGAGATCATGTCTGTCTGGAGATCATCCCGCGCGCACTATACAAAGGATCACGGCGAAGCTTTCGATCAGCTACCCTCTGTCACGTGCAGAGATGTGCCGCACCTTCCACCAACTCCACACGGCGTTCTCGTCCAACTTGCGACGCTTTGTGACATTTGCAATCTCATAGTCGCGTCGTTGCGACGCGAGCTCAATCCGCTTGTCGCGTCTCTTCGATAGTTCAGCCTGTAGATGTAGCATTTCGGGGTGTGTGCCTGGATGTAAGAGCAGACATGTCGATGAGAAGTCATAAACACGTAAATATATGCGCACCGTCGGCCACCAGACCCTCCTCCCATGCGAGATCCTCCATCTTCTCCACGTACAGACGCTCCCTCAGCAGCGCAAACTTCAACTCGATTTGCGCCAGCACGTCCAGCGCCTCCGCACGGTGTGCCGGCTGGAGATCCGACTCGAGCTCGAGCTCAGGCGTGCCCAGGTCCGCCTCTTCTGCGTCGACGGCCTCAATCTCGTCAATGTCTGCGATGGCCGCTTGTTCGGCATCCGCATCGAGATCAGCAGCCGCGTCCGCCTTGGCCTTGCGCCCTCCCCGCGTTCGTGTCTTGCCCTTCCTATTCCTCCGCCCACCGGTTTTCTTGGCTGCGGCATCAAGCTCGGAGGCAGGCTCCGGAGTCGCAGACCGAGACGACGCAGCGGACGACGCAGATGACGATGACGACGACGGCAACAGCGGCTCGACCACCGTAGAGCCGGCCATGATTGAGGACGGCGCTGTGATAGTTGGCATTAACAGAGAATCGGCCGAGGTCTCTTCGATGTCCATGGGTGTTGCCCGATCGTCCAACGCTGGGCCGTCATCGTCAAGGGGGGTCGGCGGTCGGACCGCGACAGACATATTCGCGTCGTCATCACCAACGACGTCGGCGGCAGGTGCTTCGTCGTCGGCAGCCTCATCCTCGGCGTCTTCGTCTTCGGCGTTGTCGTCATCCGTGAGGTCGGGGGATGTGCCACCCTTGTTAGAGGTGACTCGCGAGGGCACGCCACTGGGAGGCGCCTGCTCCTGCTCATCCTCGTCCTCGTCCTCTTCTTCTGCGCCGAATTCATTTTCATCCGCAGCATCGTCTGGATCGCGCACGCGCGGCGCGTCGTCGTCGGACGCATGGCCAGGCGCCTCTTCGTCGTCGTCGTCGTCATCGTCGTCGGGTTCGTCTTCGCCGTCGTTGTCGCTCTGTGCATCCGCGGCCGCTGTGGGCGGGTCCATATCATCCTGCCCATCCTGGTCCTCGTCTTCCTCCTCCTCCATCGCTTTTGCAGGACCTGACTGCTCCTCTTCCTCTTCCTCTTTGACGACTCTAACGGAGCGAGCCCGCCAGTCGGCCTTCTTGTTGTCCTTGTACCAGCCCCACATCGCGGGAGGGATAAGTCCACCACGCTTACGTCTGCTCTCGCTGCGCGAGCGGGTCGGGTTGCGTACCTCGTTCCTGTCCTCGCCCCGTTCCTCCTGCTCCTCCTCGGTAAGTTCGGATAGCTCAGAGCCACTGTCGAGGCCGGCGCCGCTGTTATTAGAATTTGGTGCTGAATGTGAGACGTCGGCCGGCGGCGGTGATGGAGAGGGAGAGCTGAGTGGTTCAAGAGAGACGGTTGAGCCCGTCATTGCTGTCGAGTGCAACTGCAAGCAATGCTGAATCGACCTGCACAAATCGGGGAAACAAGGTTTAGCGCCCATACCGGCCCACGCCCGGCCGGCGGTTTTCGAGAGCGGATGCTGTCCGAGGGCGCAGCTGGCAGAAAGTCCGGCTGGGGTCCTCATTGAAATGGAAACTCCACGTGCTGTAACCCAATCAGCGGGGTGACGTTACATAACCTCCGATTCGTATTACGATCAGATCCGCGATTGCGCATTCGCCGCACGATTCAGGATGTGCAGTATTAACTAGTGCTGGTAAGTCATAATACACGGTCGTGCAAGTCAATAAACCACGGTGACCAGCTCATCCTTCCTGGTATGCTGCGGAGGCTACGGCATTGGACAGCTCAAATTCAGCCCCACCAAAGCTCGACACCTTACACGCCCCTGCATCTGCATGAACCCTTATGCATCCATACCCTGAGACGGTGGCATGAACCAATGCACAGAAGAAGGTTTCTGTCGCTCAGGACACACACGATGCTGCTCAGAAAAGCGCATCGGCCTCTGTACGAGCATCATCAGTATAAGTGTGTACAAAGCAACACAAAGGTGACGCACAGACCACACGCGTCGGTCGGCGATAACTTTCTCCAATCTGGGCGCATACTGCATGATTGTCAATATGTTATGCTTCGATACGTACGAATGGCGGCCATGCGATGAATGCGACTCTCCAGGATCGACCAACACACGCAGACTATTGGAAGCACTCAATGCCATGGCGAAGGGACACTGTCACGTAACCAACGTATGAGTAAGTAGAGCGGCAAGATCAACGACCAAAATACACACGATGCCCTTAGGGATGGTGATAACGAGGCGCTCCAAGTCAGCACACCTCGAGCAAATTGCGCTCAGGCCCTCATTGCTGATTACTGCATTGATGAGGGCGAAATGGGCGAGCGTCGACGCATGTGCATCGAGCATGTCCTTGATGAACGTCTCACTGACCAGTAGCCTATCCGAAAGTTTCAGAGTGAAAGAAGTCAACGGCGCCGACCAGAGACGGGTTTGGGCAATTAGAGAGGTCCATAGAGCGGGAGTCGCGCTTGGGTTGACCATACAACGACAGTCTACCGCGAGATGCTTGAGGCGCCGCAGAGGTGGAAGGAGGCCGAGTGGGGGAGGAGATTCCTAACGCATTGCTTATCTGAGAGTATCAGGCGGGATTGAGAAAATAGGACTCACGTAGGTCGTGAAGGATAGACTCTCTAGCTTGGGAGTAAACTCCGTCAGATGGAGCAACGTTATGTGGTCGATGATTGAGCATGATATAACGTGCAGACCGATCAATTCTGGTAGGTCCCTCAGTATAGACTCCAGCACGCATGCATTTAGGTCGTGCATGGCCTATGGAGCTCAATAAGAACCACCGTTATCATCTTGTACCAGATTTAATTTACTACTCACACATAATGTCAAGCTTCTGAGCGTACCCTTGACCAGAGACACCCATCTTGGCAGGACGTTCACTATATGCGCTGTCCCAGGCGAGCCATCGAGTGTGATACTCTTCAGCCCTCTGATTGTAGCAAGCAGCTCGGCCTGCTCCTGCGTCAAGTTAGCGTTCACTCGAAGGTATTGTAAGGTCCATTTCTGTTGCAGACTAGGAAGGAAAGAAGATAGGATAGGCGGCGTGCAGATGAAGGACACGAGATTCTGACATATTGCGATCGTGCGAGCACAGTCTAGGAGGAAATGAGGCTGCACAGAGGACCGCGTGTTTGGTATAGTTCGTATATCTGTGTCAGAGAATATGTCCGCCGTCAGCAATGGACCTATCGATTGTTCCAGCAATCTCCGAAGTGCTCACCAATGCGGCGGACATGACCGGCCAAGTTCGGATGAGCAAGGACAGAAGCGAACGGCGACAGAATCTGCAACATTCCTTTCAATATGAAAGGCCATGCGCATGTAACCATTCCCACTCACCGCAGGATACCGCTTTGCCTGGTTAAGCCTGAAAACTAGCGAGCGATATAACCTGGGAATGACACCGGCTAAGAACGATCGGTTGACAAGAGAGGCTGACACCAAGTCGTTGCCACTAAGGTAGGCAAATATGAGCTCCAAGCAATCCAGATTCAGGTTGTCGATTGTGATCATCGTAGTAGGCTCGGGGATTTGACAAAGACAGATATTTGCTGAAGGCAAGATGGGGGAAGATGAGCAGCGCCGCGGCGTGCCAATCGCGACTAACGTCACGTGCTCGTTTTTTGTTTTCGTATCCGTGCAAGGCTGTGCAAGGTCTTTAGAACTTCTTGCTGCCTGCGCAAAGCTTTCTCCTCACAAAAATATTGACGATTGAGACCACTTGGAAAGGTTGCGCATTGGAAGAGGTGGACGGCAGCGCCATCACTCGGCATCTTTATAGGAAAATCATTCGTCGAGAGAAATCACAGAGATGGTGGTAAGTTATGTATACTGCCCAACTTTATCAAGGCTCAGAGGCGGATTTCAGAAAATATCTGTTCTGCAACACGCTCCTTCTGTACACTTGCCAGGACGACCTGGCGATCCTACTCCGACCTCACGCAACCTGGACCCTCTTATGCATCCCTTCGCCCGTGCACGAGAGCGCATGCGAGCACTCAACGCTGCGAAGATGGAACGTATCTTTGCAAAACCATTTGTCGCTGCTCTGGAGGGTCATGTTGATGCTGTGGAAACGATGGTGAAGAAGCCGGAGAGCTTGGATTTCATTGCGAGTGGTAGCTGGGATGGAGGTGTGTACGTGCACTTGGCTCGAAATTATCCGCAAGGCTGCTATGTTTACTTTTTTTTCTCAAATGCGCAGGGCTCATTATGCATGACATTTCCCGGAGAACGAAGGTCCTGCACGTCGAAGGAGCACATAAGGGCAAGATATCTGGGATATGCTTCGCCGACAGCGATCGGCTGTTAACGTGCGGCGTGGACCGAAATGTGAAGCTATGGCAAGCCAACTCGTCATCAGAGGAGGGTGAAGATGGGGCGGGACCGTCAAAGGTTTAAATCGCATCCTGAGAAACGTAAATGACAGACTAACTGATCTCCACCTAGAGCCAACAGCCTCTTAGTGTATTTCCTGGCAAGGCAGCATTCAAGTAGAGTTCGCATGATATCTAAACAGTTCATCTACTGATGCACGTGCAGTTCGATAGACCACCACCGATCAGATCCCCTCTTTGCCACCGCCTCGAATCTGGTACAAATATGGGATGAAACAAAGTAGGTTTCTGGCTCACATTTTGAAACGCGTTCGACTCACCAGATCTCAGGAGTGCACCAATCTCAAATCTTACCTTCCCCACATCGACGGAGACGATTTCCGCTGTCCGCTTCAATCTCTCCGAGTCATCGGTCCTCGCGAGTATAGGGTCCGACCGCACATTCACTCTGTACGACATCCGGACAGGCAAGGCAGAGCGTAGGGTGATCATGCAGGCCAGTCTGATGTTCATCGTTATGAGTAAGCACGTTTCACAACGAGCATGCAGATGCGGAGCAACTCGTTAGCATGGTCACCAACATTCCCTACTGTTCTTCTGCTCGCCTCCGAAGACCACAACCTATATACGTTCGACATCCGTGCGCTCAAAACACCGTCACAAATATACAAGGCACATGTTGCGGCCGTCATGAGCTGCGATTGGAGTCCGACGGGAACGGAGTTCGTCAGCGGTGGCTGGGACCGGACGGTGCGGATCTGGAAAGAGGGCGTGGGCACACAGCCGGAGGTGTATCACACAAAACGAATGCAGCGGTAAGGCCACATTCTTATTTGTTTCAATAATTCAGATACTTGACGTTTGCATCACTTGCAGGGTCACATCGACGCTGTATACTGCCGACGCGCGGTTCGTCCTGTCCGGCTCGGACGACGGCAACGTCCGGATATGGAAGGCTCATGCGTCTGAGAAGCTCGGAGTCATCACCGCGCGTGAGCGTGCAGCGATCGAGTACCGCGAGAGTCTCAAGGAGCGGTGGAACATGGACAATGAGGTCGGCAAGGTGCAGCGGTATGTATTCAAAAGCAGTTGTTGTTGTTTCAGCGAGGTTGACGTTGACACTGCTGTAGGGTCCGTCATATGCCGAAGCCTGTTTACAAGGCTGCGCAGCTCAAGCGGACGATGTTGGATGCTCGCAGGGTCAAGGAGGATCGCAGGAGAAAACATTCACGGGCGGGCGAATCGAAGCCCAAGGCAGAGAGGAAGAAGGTTGTCCTTGCGGAGCAGACATAACTCTGCATACATCCACTTATTTCATCTTCCCGTGTCTATATGCGTCGTCACTACCGAAAGATATCTATAGTAGCAGAATGAATCCTAAATGACGTTTGTCGCAGTTAAGCCGGCTCAGCCACTCGTGAAGCATTGTACGCTCGGCCAATTCCGAGAAACGAAATGCTCATTCTGCTTAAGGAAGTCATAATAATACATCAAAGCGCCATTGCTGCAGTAATCAAGTCATGGCAAATCATATTCTAGTGGGCATAGCTACATAAGTCAGGAGATGGATGCAGATGCAGTACGGACCTCTGTGTAACAGCCTCGAGACGTTCTAACCGCTACATCTCCCGCAATGACCGTATTCGGTCAACGCTCGTAACCCTAGTAAGACATTACACCCCTGAACCTGAGAGGGATACCACAATTCAGCGAACGAGGACCGCGAACGACTTCGTCATGTATGTTATGAAGCTTTTGGTAGCATTGTCCCCGGACCGACCGGCGGTGATAGGAACTGCGACTTCAAGTTGGCACTCCCGCTTCGAGCGTTTACCGTGAACGTCTGTACCAACGGTTGCGAACGCTATGCGTCGGCTCGGAAATGAAGATATGCTTAGAATACATCATCTCGCGTCGTCGGAATGCTCAAGGTGTCAAAGCTTCGCTTCTTGCCAGCCACAAATACCGACAACACCGGTGAGGCCGAGCAACAGCAACGATGAAGTAGCGAGCCAGTGCTGAACGGAAAGAAATCATCAGCGACAATCCGGTGGAATCAGGACGAGTCTACGCACAAATGGCTCAGAGCGAGCGTATGGCCGCAGCCGCGACGGCCCGTCAAAGATCTCCGGCAAGGGAAGTGATCGCAGGGACCCTCGCGGCCCCAGAGCCGTACTGTGCGATCTGCGCGCCTCGTACTGTTTTTGGAGGATGCGCGGTCGAGTCGGCCCGTCGAAGATGACGGGGTCTGGAAGTGACCGGACCGGCGAGACCTTGCGGGATGACGAGGGTGAAGAGCGACTGGGGAGCGTGCGCGAGGAGGAGGACGCTCGCAGCAGCTTGCTCGACTCGCCTAGCCTGCTTGGCGCATCGAAGATGTCGAAGATCTGGAACTCTGGAGGGGGCTGTGGGACCTCGTTCGCGGGGAGGTCCATTGCGGGCGCAGTCGCGAGCTGCCTTCGGGCGATGGGAGCAGAGTGTGCTCGCCGACGTGCGAGGAGCGCATCGCGGGAAGGAGGGGTCAACGGTCGGCGCATAGGCGGCATGAGGAGGATGTTGGATTCCGATTGAGCGAATGAAGGGGGATATATAGACAAGGAGGCCAGGACCAGCCTGTCTGGTATTTAACATCCCTTGGTAAAGCACCGGTATCCTGGTAAGCCCAGAGTGTCTCTTGAAGAGCGCTGCCCTAGCGGTTGCGACCTTAGTATCTGTCGGAGATGGTGCGGCGATACGCGATATTGAGGTCAGATTTGTTTCAACTGCGCGTCACAGATGCCAACCGCACCGCTTTGCGGGGACAAGAAGCGCGGGTGGATGGATCGCGCCCGCGACTCCCGTCACTCAATGGGCATACAGATAACACAGACATTAACGGTCGTCAGTTGGAGGTAGTAGGCCACAACGATACTCACTTCGCACGTTCCGCATTAACGCCACGATCCCAAGTCCAAACCGAAGACTGCTTGCAGGATGCAAGCATTCATGATGATCGCACTGTGCTGATGCGTTAGAAAGCACCAGTTGAGGCTTGGGAGCTGGAAGATTAGTGATACAGTTATTCCATTCATTGCTGAGACAGCGGCTAGAGAAAGCGCTGCACAATTCTGCACCTTACCGGGCACTTGGCGCAGGAGGTTGGATACATACCGCACCGGCTCCACGATGCACACAAATCATGATAGAAGCCAAACACGGCTCCACGCTTCTGGTATGTAACTATCACGCACCGAATATCCGACGCCGACCGACTGCGTACCTGAAGTAGGTACTACCCCGCATTCTCTTCACCTTAAGACAGAGTAAGCAGTGTCCTGAGATATCGCGAAAGAGTTGCCAGTTTATTTGATGCGAAGTTACATGGACATTGCGCATCGCACGCGATGAACGCGATGAACGCGATGCCCGCGGTGCATGACGAGTCAAAGCTGCCTGCCCGCTGGAAGGTACGCAAATATTTGGCAGAATTCCGGTAGCTTAGCAAGTTTGTCCTATTGGCGCCGTCCTGACGATCGATGCTCTACAAGAAGCGAGCGATTTGATGCATTTACCTCGGATGTTCCTACATATGGAGGGCTACTCGGGTCTGTCAGAGAAGTCCTCGTCGCTGACAGGCTTGGCAAGAAGACTGTGTTCTTATGAAACCTACCGGTTCACCGTAACTCTCATACGACAGCATGTTACTTGGCACGGCACTTTGAGACTCTGGACGTCAGCCTGCTCTGACGAAGTCAAATTGCTGGGACTTCCAAGGATAGACTGCTAATCATGATGTTGCTATCACACTCGATGGAGTGAAGCTGGCTCACGCAGGACTCATGGAGATTAGTTTCGCAGCGCAGCGCATGATCGACAAAGAGGAACCCGAAGAGCCGGCTTTAGCCTGCGTTGGGCCATTGAGACTGGAGACGGCAGTCGGTGGAAATCATGCGCGATTTGGCTTGGTAAGGCGGACATAGAGCGGAGGCAAAGATGCGGCGTGGGGAGAAAAGATATACTTACAATGTCGTTGGAGCTGATCATCGGCCGCGATTGCGCGAATGGGTCACAAGGTGCTATGGAAGACCTCGACCGCGATGCCCGCATGTGTGCAGACGAAGGCCAGGCCCAACCTGACGGCCGGGTAGGGAACAGTCGAGGTCAACCGGGTTGCTTGCAGCCTTGCACACAAACGAGATTAAGCGCCGAGCGATAGGATAAGTGTCGCAGCCAATATGAAAGCCATATTGCCAAGTTACCAAGCAATTGAGTTGTTTGTTGCCAAGCTCTTCTGCCGAAGCATCGCTCGCAAGATACAGTACCGGTCTGTGCTTCGAGAGTCGGTACTGTGGATGTTCCAGTTGATCTAGCCTCTTGTTCAGTTAGAGTGAATTTGGTGGGAATTATGGCAGCGCATCGTTGAACGTTGAATCGTTGAATCGTGCTGCATTGTCGAACAGTTTCGAGCGATCATTAATCATGTCTTGAACGGAAATCCGAGTGCTAGGGTGAAGCGTTGCCTGAGGCCTGATGGCTAAGGAGGAGGCACGGTTTCCTCGGTTTGTCCAGATACTGGTAGGAGGGTAAGGGCCTCGAGGCTGTGAACTGTAGGAGACGGGACGCAAGACGCGCACTGGTCAGGTTCCTTATATACAACACGTGCATGCACAGCAGCCTTCGGAACTGGTCGTCAGTAGCACGGCGATTAATCCATTAGCTGAAGATGGGTGACCGTCGGGGAGGACAATTACCGATTTCAACCTCAGTGAGCAACGGTTTCTTCGTGCCGTCCGGGCGAGCTTTGAGTGTTAATTAATGATCGACAGACTTCACTGTAATTACATTCCGCAGGTTAATCCTGCTTGCTTCAACAGCGTTCATTCGGTCGTCGCGGATGTCTGCAACGTGAATGCTCCGCGACGGTGCCAAACACGACCCAGCGTCAAAGTTTCATTTGGGAAAGGAAGGAACCTCACAAGCTTTCTGACGTATGTGATCGAGCTCGAACACCGTGTTCATATAACTGCTCTCCTTTACGTTTTCAATCTAGATGAATCCGCGCTGACGGGAACCGGCGTTTTGTTCGCTAGCTTGGCCGGAGACCTGCTGGTTGCCGTGAGCTGTTAAATACAGCGTACGTCGTGCACAGCCTCTGAGGCACGTTTCTGTCGTCCGAATGTCTCCCTGCGATATCAACAACGCGGCATGGAGACGCCCGCCATTTGTGGCAAGCCTGTGTCTCATGATCAACTGGCGCTGCAGCCAACGCAGCATTGCAGTGATCGTCGGACGGGTCGCTGATCCACTACAAGGACTGTATAACGATGCTTGACCATATCTCGCAGCCATGCCTGGACCCTCTGCGTCCTGAAGCCCAACTGGCTGGTAGTGGCCCGAAGACTCCATACGGATCATCCTCTCCCATGCTCAACGCCTCATTGCTTGCGCATGCATTGCTTGCGCATGCCGTCACGCCCAGAGTCTTGATATATTGAATCTGCGTGTTCTATGCACAACCCCCGGCTGAGCGCCGACTCTTTTAAGTATGTGTCGCTCAGCATCGCTATCTCTCAACTCACAGACCCCCTCCGCCTCCACGCCCCCATCTCGCCATGACTACACTCACAAATGCAGGAAACGCTTCGACGCCCACTCCGATAGCGGAAGATCATGGAGCTTTGCCTCAATATGGCTTTGGTCCGGACGTCGAGTTCGAGAAGCTGATTGACAGCAACCCATTTCTCTTCCGAGTCTATACGCCAAAGGAGACAGCTCACAATGACCGAGACGAACCTTGTTTCATTGGACCTCGTTTTGAAGAGGACTTTGGCTCGACCAGCTTCACCTGCGAGGGCTCTGACAGCTCTCCTTATCGAAGCCCGCCAGAGTCGACATATGCAGACGTCGTGCAGCACCTCGACTGGACGACGCGATCTTCATCGCCGTACGTCTCGACATCCTTCAGCTTCGCGTGGGCGATATGGGAAGCTACGAGGCGATACCACTTTGGTATGAAGCACTCTGTCGAGATCGCGGTGATCGACGCAAAGGCGGTGGCGGGACGAGCGGTTACCGCTGTTGAGCTCCTCAGGAAAGCGGCGCCCAAAGGGTACGTGCCGTGTCTTTATCAGAGACATCAGCTCGTTGATGACTTGCCGTGTGACACAGTCGCCATCAGGACCACTGGAAATGGTATCGGTTCGCACTCGAGGCGCAAGACGTCCTCGTGTGGGGGTACATTCCCGGCTCAGCGGTCTTCGCTTCGATACCGCTCTCACAACTGGTCGCGAAACTACCCTCCTACTTCCTCAGCATGGACGCCCCCGACGTCAAAGACTCTCTCATGTCCCGCTTGGGGTGGAACTACACCCTGAAACGTCCGAGCTACCGGCAATTCTGCCAGGACATGTCTGAGCGTTTCCTGCGCATGCCCGTCGACAGGCGGCTGCGCGACACGACCGCGGGCTCGGTCCGGCTGGCGCTCTGCCACCTGCGCCCGTGGTTCCACCGGCTCGCGATCGAGGACTTCACGACTGCGACCGTGACAGTGTGCGAACTCGCGTTTGTCATCGCGCGCTGGTCGGGGCAGTGGTGGGTGCGCGAGCACCCCGAGATCCAGGGCCTTATCCGGTGCATGGTGCATATCGTCGGAGAGGAGGTGCGCGAGGCGCGCAGGGTGCAGGCGCTCGCGGATGCTTCGAGGATGCAGGAGATCGTGGGTGGCATAGAACAGCTGGCTGAGACGTATCAGATGAGGTCTCGTCTCCAGAAAGCATCAGGTGCCGAGTCCCAGTCTTCTTCTGCTGAGACAGAGCCGTCTGCCGTTGAGACGCGTAACACGGCCGCGCAGCCTGCGAAGCCTGTCTCTCCCGCCCTCACTGTGCAGACTGCTCCACGGGAGCTTGACCTGGAGAAGGCGACGCCTGTAGACGACGAAGTCGTCCCGCCCGCAAGGCCGTCGTCTGGGTCGAGTTATTATGGATCCTTTGCACGATTAGTATCTTGTCTTTTGACAGGCTTCTTGGTCGGCACCTTCTTCACGTTGTGCATCTTGGCTCCCGATAAGCGTGAAATTGCCCACCATCTCACTTGAGCCCTTGATCAGGCCTTAGGCCTCGGCACCATCGCCGAATGCTTTGACTTTGATACGCTCTTTATATACCCAGCAGTTGCATGCTTTCATTCCTTGATATCATCGCCATGACACAAGCTTATTCGCTATCTTACATGCTGTCGCACGCGTCCTAGTTGGATATGTTTATACTATACCTCTCCTTGATAGATGGACGAAGAACATGCCACCGACTCTGCTACAGTATACTGCCATACCGCATATTTGGTCGAAGAAATTAATGGGGCAATGGGAGTAACAGAGCACAACGTCGCCATGCACTTGGTGTGTGAGAGTTCGCCTGGCGATGCATGTGTTTGCATGGGAACCGCGATGGTGGACGATCAGGAGGCAAACATCGTATGACACGAACCGGTTATAATCCATGTGCTCAGTGAGTCGCCAAGCTGATCGCCTTCGGAGCTCGGTTCGTTCAAGGCTTCAGTGCATGCGATGCCTACACAGCTGACGATGTCCGGTGGCCACCCTCGATTTCTCTGGAGGAACTCCACTGCTTGGTTGGTGTCAAAGTCGGCAAGTTCATCCATAGTTGCTAACCATACTTCGACAGCACAGTCCTGCTGGCGTGTATGGGACGTAGTGCGGTAGAGACCGAAGCTGGAAGTGTGGTAGGTAAACTAGCTCAGCTCGTTAGCGCCCTCGTAACCCTCGCGTCTCCTCCCAGGAACTCCAGCAACGACGCCTGAGCTCACATGCTCGACATTCCCAGCTTCCGTCGTCGTGGATGATGATTATGGGGTTGCCACAAATCCAGGTATGTGTGTTGGTCCTCTGAGCAGGTGAATGGGTGGCAGTCATCCCTGCATATCTCAGCGGGCGAATCGTCAGCTGATACAAATTCAGTCAATGGAACATTCAACGCTGGCTCAATGGGCTTACGATAGAATTTAGACGCGGTTGCACAGAGATGCCCTTCGTCTCGAATGGGAACGTAGCCGATGGTCACGCTCATCTTCTGTCATCCCCCATGCGCCTCCTTCGGCTAGGAGGACAGAAAGATGAGAGGCGCGCGAGACGTCGCCGGGAACCACGCCGTGTCAAAATCATGATCATTGATATTGATCGGTCTTGGATCGGGCTCTTGCTGTTATGGGAGCCTGGCACGAAGCACCTCCGATGTCCGCACTCTCGAACCGCAACCAGGACCTTTGTTACAATGTTCACGCGCACGCCTGGGCCCCCTTCTGCGCCGACACCTCTGTTGAGAACGTACCACGTCTCAAATGATTGAGAGTGAGATTGGGAGGTGAGGGTTGTGTTCTATCCAACAAGTAATACTAACCTCGCTCTCGCACCAGCGTTTAAGGCTTCGGAGGACGGACCACACCGCATACAATGATCTGAAAACACGGTGGGAGTCTGGTGTCAGGTCTAGACAGGTTATGCATATGCACCGAGTGAGAGAGTTGGAGCCTATCCCCTACTTGTCGACTAAGGCACCCAATGCCTTGATCGGATTCTCGCTTCGACGCTCGCCCTCATTGCTCTCTCGCACGTGAGCATTTCTCTGCATTCATCGCAGTCAATTTGAGCCGCTCTACTGCTTCCTATCTGCGTGGCCTTCCTGCACATGTCGTCGGCCCCGCGCGTTCTGGCTGATTCACAGAAAACATGAGCCGAGGCAATCCTTCTAGACTAGAGATTATCTGAGCACATTTCTCGGATCAGCATGTCCGTGCAATCGCACTCGCTAAACGGGACACATGCGTGCATCTCAGGAGGCGCGTGGCTGACGGGATGGAATGCTTGAGTGCCACAGCACACGGCGGCACGCGTTATGGTGTTGTCCTCACCCCTAGCATTTCAGAATTCGACAGGTGCGTACTTCGTCGCCAAGCGAATATGCTGCGCTTTGGCCGTGTCGCTCGTAGTTGCTGTGGCAAACTTCACTGATTCTTACTCCACAGTTCTCACTATGCTCAACGACTGGGCTTCTTGCATCTGGGGAACCCGCATCTCATGCATTCTCCCATGGATCTCATCCTTTGGCAGATGCGTTTTGACACCATCGCTGCAAAGCATCAGTCACTCAAGTCCAGCCTCTTCAGATGGAAAGATGCAGCGCTTCTGGCAGGGCAGAGCACGCGCATCGCCCCTCTCGTCTGATCTAGCGGAAGCGCTGCATGGAACCCACGACAGCATCTGCACATGCTCAGAGAACTCACCGAGTTGCGCCTGACGTTTTGAATATATGCTAATTTTCTATTTCGGGGCGGTGGGATTCGCAGAGGAAGCATAAAAGACGATCAGGTCGAGATGCGATGGGTAGGGATTCGCCGTGTCCTCCTCCAATTGCGACAGCCACCCTTCTAGGACGATATGGTCGGCTCCATTGTCACTGTCTCCTTGCTCTTTGCGGCAAGTGCTGCTGCACAACGCACCTTCGTGGTGTATAACGGCTGCCCCTTCACGATCTGGTATGTATGAGCTTATTTGGACTCTATATGCATACGCTGATCGTTCATTCTTCCTGCAGGCCAGCTGTAAGACTCATTGTATTGGAGCTGGATCATAAGTTAACGTGCTTTGCTCATCCAAGATTTTCACCGGCTCAGGCACTGCAGTGCCAGATTATGTTACTGGGTAATCCGATCATTCATGCAAACGATGGCACGGTTGGCTCACGATGATATATCAGCTGGGAGGCAGATGCATACACTCACGTCACATTTTCGGTTCCCGATGACTGGACTGCCGGCCGCATTTGGGTAAGACCCTGCTCTGCTCCTCTCATGAGTTGATTGCTAATTACCTGGCCGCAGGGTCGTCGCGACTGCGACTTTTCCATATCAGACCCCGCTACGCAGTGTGCAGATGGCGGCTGCAATGGAGGCCTCGAGTGCGACACGGTCGGCGGAACTGTAAGTGAACATCCACCCACGTTACATCAAGATGTCTTGTTGAGATATGTTGCTCTAGGGTATTCCGCCCGCCACGCTCGCTGAGTTCACTTTGGGGCAAAACGGTGATCCAGATTACTATGATGGTAGGTTTCGCCTGTCGCAACGCTGGTGATATTGATCATCGAGTGATTTGTTCCTGCGACAGTCTCGATTGTGGATGGCTACAACCTTCCCATGAGCATTACAAACAATGTCGGCTGCGGCGTTGCTGACTGCCCGGTCGACCTTGGCCCTGACTGTAAGCAGCCTCCTCATCATCGCGGTTCGATGGAATGATTGTTGACTGTTCCGGTATTTTTCCGGTTAGGTCCTGCTGCTCTCATCGGTCCATATGACTCTTCTGGCTATCCTGTCGGCTGCAAGAGTGCCTGCGAAGCCGACTTGGACGGCGACCCAGGTAAGCTCAAAGTGGCCTGGAATGGAACTGAACATTCATACCCTCTTTGTGTCACAGAGAACTCTCCTAATTGCTGCACCGGAGAGTACGACACCGCCGCTACCTGCCCGTCCTCTGGCGTCGAGTACTACTCCTACTTCAGTACGTGCCTGATTGAGGGACACCGGTAGGGTAACGTGCTAATCGCTTCGCATTTACAGAGGACAATTGCCCGAACTCCTACGTTTATGCTTACGACGAGAGCAGCGGCACCGCTCTCTGGACCTGCGCTTCTGACCTCTCAGCTGACTACACGATCACATTCTGCCCTGATTCCAGCGAAGATAGCACGGTCTCCATCATTCTGTGAGCTCAAGCTATTATTCTTGATGAAATCCGGATTTGTGTAGGAGTTAGAAACGAACCGGGAGAAATTGATGCGGATCAAATGACCTTTGTATCTCTACCATGTATTTACTCTGTCAAAATACGAAAATCTTGGGTTTCGAACACAACAAAGCACTAAAATTGAGCGCTGCAACATCGAGCATCGACGTTGATTGTTCATGAATTGCAGTATCATTCGCTGAGATGGTAGCGTTCAGCACGGGAATCCGATTCAGCCTGATCATGCACAGGCTCCGCATAGGCGCTTATAAAGCGTCTAGCGGTTCTCTTGTCCTCCGCCACAATCATCTTCCGGTCATGAACATCAACATACATTCTCATCACACGCAGCTGATATTTGCAGCAATTGTCGCTTCCGCAACCACTGCAGGCTTGTTAAGCGCGTATCAACATTACGCGAAAGCAATCAAAAGACGCGAGCTAGACAAGGAGATCCTCCGTTCGCTCGCAGGGCGCGACTCCCAGCCCCTACCCATTACAGAGCCGAAAACCACATGGAAGCCTCGTATAGAGGACTTAGCCGAGCATGAGATTGTTTTAGCGACTAAACTCCAGGGGGAGGACTATGAGTATGATGAGGAACTCATAAGGGAGCAGCTCGCGCGTAATTACGCGTTCTTTGGCGATGAGAGCATGGCGAAGATTAGGAAAGGTACCGTGGTCGTCATAGGATGTGGGGGAGTAGGCAGCTGGGCCGCCGTCATGCTCGTAAGATCGTACGCTCTCTGACGAAGCAACGTTGTCCCGAGTCGCTGATGGCGAATTTCCAGAGGAGTCTCCAGAATACGCCTGGTCGACTTTGACTACGTCACGCTATCGTCATTGAACAGACACGCTACCGCCTTGCTCGCGGATGTGGGCACGCCGAAAGTCAAGTGTACCGAGCGCACTTTGAAGCAGATAGCGCGGTGGGTGCAGGTCGACTCGAGAGTCGACATTTGGCGCAAGGAGCAGGGTGGAGAGCTGCTGGAGGGTGCAGACTGGGTCATAGGCACGTTTACACACGATTTGAGCTGAAAGGCGTTGAGACTGATCATGACGCTAAGATGCCATTGATAACATCAGCACTAAGGTGGACTTGCTCAAATACTGCCACGAGCATAACATCAAGGTACGTTTATAATATTACAACGCAAGCTTGCTGCTTAGATGCAACCAACGATAGATATTTTCATCTATGGGTGCGGGCGCGAAATGTGATCCCACTCGTGTCCAAATCAGCGACATTTCAGACACAATTTACGACCCTCTCGCACGGTCAGTACGCCGGAGACTGCGCCTACAAGGCGTCGCATCCGGCATTCCGGTCGTGTATTCGACAGAAGTCCCAAGTGATGTGAAATTGCTGCCATTGCCTGAGGAGGAGTTCGAGAAAGGCGACGTCAAGGAACTTGGGGTATTCGACGATTTTCGAGTTCGCATACTCCCAGTGCTCGGTGGGTCACCTACCGTACTCGACTATATTATCAGCGGATTTTTAATCGACAATCCGATGCAGGACCTCTTCCTTCTATATTTGGTTTGAGCATCGCGAGCTACATCTTATGCGAGCTTGCCGGAAAGCCAATCGCGAACCCTCTGCCTGTCAAAGGTCGCAAGAAATTCAACGAGCGGCTGTATCGCGACCTACTTCGCCATGAACAGAAGCTCATCGGGCATACCTTAAAGTGAGTTATCATATTGTTGACTTTCAAGCTGTTCCTGAACGCTTAATTCTTCTCACGCATGCGCAGCAAACTTCCAATCGACGAAGACGATATCGGCCTGATCTTCGACGATATCTCGCGAGGTCGCTCCGTTATTCCTCCGCATCCGGTACCGTCACGTCCCGTCCTGGTCCGTTGGGATCCCAAGCTGCCATTGACGCTGGACAATTGCGTTCCGATGGAATTCAACGAGGCCGAACGGCACATTGCTGAGTGCTATAAGAGCGGGAAATCCCCAGAGGAGGTATGGGGTGCAGACACCGCTGAAATCGTGAGGAGAAGAGCGGAAGAGATCCGAAAGGTAAGAGAATGGGTGATGTAATTGCTGCTGAGCCTGTTCTCTCTAGTTCCTGGAATGGCAAAACATCATGTATGATCAATCTATCGAAAGGCTGGCGGTGCCGTCAGATCGGTAAGATCGCAGTCGCAATCACGGTTTCCCAGCGGAGCGCACAGCAACTCTAATATTCCCGGATCCCTCTCTATCCACGAGACAGAACGATGAGCCTTGGTCTCTGCCTGCTGCATCATGCTAGTTGGACGATTATCTGAAATGTCGCGTATGACCGGCATTGTCCATGGAGAAACGCGTCTGTGACTGCGGTGGCTGATGGTGCGGTGGACGGGCACTGCCCGATCGGGAAGGCGCTGTATTGCCAGGGTGACCGTCGACCTCGAGCCGCATGAGAAAGTCGAGTTCCAGGCTTACGTATCGCTACCATCAGCCATTCGCGGACCACCGACATGCATGTTTACTCCTTTCCTCTCCATCTCTCTCCGTCCGTCAGTGCAGGCGCACCGTTCACAACTTGACTTTGCAGCCAGTCTGCGGTCCACTCCGCTCCTTTGCCTTCCCTTCCCAGTGTGGTCTGCGGTCACTTGCTGCCTACTCGCCTCTTACTGTTGTCATCTGAGATGCCACCGCATCCTTGCTGAGTTGTGTGAACTGCTGGCCACGCTCGATGCTCGACATCTGTCTTTCTCTTGCCCCCATTCTGCGCTGCCAATCTCTCACAGAACTTGAGTCTGCCATTCTACTGATTCCCCCCGGCGTTGAAGCTATCTTTTGTATCGGTATGATTGTCTTCCGTGGATGCGACAGGTGAGTGAAGTGGGACGCAGTACTTGGGAGACGCCGCGACTGTTGCGCGAAAGAAGCGCCCGGTTGCGGCATTGTATCCTGGTCTGTTCCGTCGTATCCCACATTCTGATTTGCTATTCCTTCACTACCGCAAAGAATTTCTCATTTAAAACACCGCGCAGGAAGCATGTATTGCTCACGTCCGAGGGCCTTGCGTATTTTTCTATTGCCCTGTTGGACTTCCTAGTGCACGTTATCCCTGCGGTGGACCGTTCCCTTGGCGTCTTCAAGCCGCTTGATATTCTTACAGGTCCGTTGTTACTTGACTTATTGTTGATCTCGGGCCGCTGAATACTCGGAATAGGCGCAGCATCTTCGATACCGCTTCTATTGTATACCCTTTTTTTGTATTTTTTCACAGCCTCGGATTTCATTCCAACGCTTCCAGAGCACTTTCGGATCGTCGCGAGATACTCGCTGTTGTTTTTAATCCCCGAGATTATAGCCGCTAACGAGCTAGCATCTTTTGTCAGCATTTCGTATCGTAGGTGCTCTTCGACAATGCGTGGTACAATGCTAATGGGTAGTCCTTGGCCGGCAGGAATATTCGGGAACACAGTCGAAGTCGGGTTCGTCGACCAAGCCACTCATATTGGCTTTGACAGTCTGACTCTGGGACTGCTCATCGTATTTCAAATGATTGTCTTCACGATTGCCTTTTATCGACTTGAAAAGGCCTTCGAGAATCGGCGGAACATCAAGGTAGCGAACCGAACTGGCAATGGAGCTGCCCTTAAGGCACATCTATTCAATGGGCTTGGCTGGATCGTCGCAGGCACGCTGTTGGGCAGCATCGAATCTATGGTTGGCTTAGCCGAGGGAGGCTTCGCATTGGCTTTGACAAGGCGTATCCTTCGACTGCTTGGACATAGTTCCTTGATAATCGGCGTGTTCAACGGGTAGGTGCGCGGGCGCATTGAATCATTCGCCGCTCACAAATGTTGGACCTCAGGATGGATACCGTCGAGGACTTTCACATCTTCAAGCTCGAAGCTGGACAGCAACGCCGCCGATCGAGGCTGCTCGCGCTCATTTCGAGTCCACGTCAGAGCACCTTCTACAAAGTCAGCGGGTACCAGCTCGATACGGAGACAGGGAGGCCAGTCGCACAGGCCATCCGGAACCGTCTCTCCAGCGCTACTTCCGATATCGTCGAGGAACTTAGGTCTATCTCCATTCGCTTCCAGCCTGGAGCCACCCCACGCTCGTCAGTCCGAGCAACGGAAGACGCGGGCGGCTCATCGGGATTTACCTACATAACAGGCTCCTACAGCAATACGAACACGTCCACGCGCGCCACTAACGTGCACCCACGGCCAGGCACGCCGCCTTTACTGACCTCGGGCCCGCCAGTTCCGCGGATACCCCGGCCACAGCGCGTCACCATCCACTATGGGCAAGGCCGGCCGCCCATCCTCGAGCTACGCCGGTTCTCCGACCTTCTCGATATTCGCTCGCTCGTCAGGCTCACGCAGGTGGACCCGTACATCGACCCGTATAACCTGCACACGCAGTCCCTTCCCGCTCACGTTGCGATGCAAGGCTTGGGCGTCACTGCTCCTGCACGTCGCTCCAGTCCTACACTGCCGTCGCTTCCCACGAACTATGCGACAGAAGACGCGAGCGGTGTACCGCCTTTGCGCAGTGCCACTGATTCACAGCTCTCCATAGCCCCATCTTCCGCTATCATTTCGTCAGTTGTCCGTGCCGACCGCGTTTTTGCTCGACATACATATTCAGGACCGCAGTCCATTCGTCAAGGGCGTGAGCGGACGCCCAGCTCTCCTTCCGACTCGATGGATTTTGTTCACGCAATCGCAGAGCAGTTCCCCGATACGCCACAGACCCCGAAGTGGTTCTCGCGGCCGGATCGGAGATCAATGCCGGAGGAGGTTCTCTCCACCCACAAGTCGAGCGGCAGCGAAGGCACGGTGGGTACACTCGGAGGCCCGCTTGCCAGACAAGAACGCTCTTTCGAGCAGCTCGCCCGCGCTTTGGCAAGCGCGGACCACCCAGTACCGGAGACGCCCGGTCAACCAACTGGTGAGACACGTGGTGCACAGCAAGCAGCAGCGGAGAGCCCAGCGATGCGCATGAGCGGTAAGTTCTCGTGCGAAACCACTCTCGTTGAATGCATGGGCATCCCAGCTAAAACCGTCGAAGATGAGTCGCAGACAGCCGCAGCATTTCCGACGCCCATATCTATGGACATGCCCTCTCCGCGGGCCCCACAACGCCCTGAGGAGCCTAACACCTCTACCGAACGCACCAAGAGGAGAGCGAGAAGGATCAGCGCGCGCGCGAGCAGGGCATTGCAGGACATTGGAAACGCCAGCGGCTCTCGAGCTGTCGGTGCAGAGGACAGAAGTATGCCTCCAGCGAGATCGATGCCAGTACGGATCAAGAGCGTGGGGAATGCGCCAATGAGGTGGACACCAACCCCGACCAGCAGCAGCATGTCTACTCGAGACAGCGTGGCAGTCGAACTGGGTGCAGTTTCTGAGCAGGAACTGGCTCCTCGCAGAAGGCCACGGAAACGGAGCACAGGCGCGAGGAGGAAGAGTGTGATTCCAACTGTTCTGGTGGCCGAGCCAAGAAGGAAAAGTACATCTGAGGACTAGACTTTTTCGAATTTTGCAGGTGGCCTCTAGTACGTTGTTGCTAATATTTCGAGAGCTTTGGCCTTTTCGACGCGTAATTTACGCCGTCACACGGACCTCATTGTGCATGTTACCTATGGCATTAGATATTACCATAGGACTTGACGATCCAGCCTGCGTATCTATCATCACGAGCAGTAGGGGGTGGCAAATGCGAGCGAGGAATAAACAATAATATTATGAGTACAGTATCCATCCAGGTCAATTCTGCCAGCAATGAAGCAGTCAGGCAACAGCGATGACAGATTATCGTAAGGTGCTTACCTCAGGGATGCGGAAAATGGTAATTTCCTGCATGATAGCGATTTGAACGAGAGTATGGGTACGTACAATCTATGAACACGTACCTGCTGCTTGAAATATCGCCGATTCTCCTCATCAATGAGAACCAAGTTGAGATAGTAACGTACGCTGAATTTCTTGTTCACTTCCCGGAACGTCGGTGTCAGCTCGAAACCGCCAAGAAAAAGGCGGATGGGTATCGTCTCTCCTACGTGCTGCGTTACGATGAGACCATCACTATGACAATGACTGCTTACCTCGCACTGGTGCACCATCCATAATCTCAAACTTGGTGATTGTTTCACTCTCGTTGTACTGATTAGGCGGTGCACCTGTTGTTTCCCGACGGATGATGGAGAGCTCCATGTGCTTGATCTTTATTCGTACTAGCAGGAAGTAGATTTTGCCAACAATGACATCCTTTAGGTGGTATCTACGGACCGTGTTAGCATGTCAACCGGCAGAAAGAGTGCAGCAACGCACTTCGACTTGTTGTACTCGAACTCAATGTGCAAACAATCCTCGATACCAACTTCCATTTTGATAGAATTGTTGCTATCAGGAGGCATGCGATATGAGTGCACCCAGATGTCTTTCTCCTTCGTGACGTCCGCTATTCTCCGAGATATTGTTACACGAATGAAGTATCTAAACGTCGTGGTTACGACCTGGTCACACAGAAAGAAGATCAATGAGCTGCGCACCGAAGCTTCACATTGATGCCCTGGTAGCTCTCATACTGCTTCTCCACGTTCTTGAAGAGGAAGTCGAACGTCTGTGCCGCGCGCATCTCTCCAGGCGCAGCGAGCTCTTGGGACAGAGACAAGAACTCATGATGGTGACCACGATCATAGAACAGTTCTGACTCTAATCATAAGCTCAAACCATCACGTAGGACATATAGAGGCGCGTACCAATACTGCCGATAAACTCCACCTTGACACCTTCGTGTGCTAGCTTCTTGCCATCTCGAACACGCACGGTCACCTAAAGGCTCACATTGTTCCAGCACAAGCTATCTAATGACTGTCCCAACAAACCTGACCAGCAACAGCCTCTCCATCATAATAGACCGGACATGATACTGTCCGGTCTTTCTCCAGCTTCATATCCACCTTCTTGCGTTCATCTTCTCCGTCGAGCTTGATGTCCACGTCAACTGGTGATGCAAAGAAGTATGCAGCCATTGTCGCCGGCTTAAGTTCAGAGTAGAATGTCTCCGCGCCGTGGTGGAGGTGGTATGCAGTATATTACAGAAAGGATGAACAGCATTCGCGCTACCGACGCATTAGACGCTGTGTTAGGTACGTGTATGATGTGTTTGTATCTATTAGGATCGGAAGCCAAAGGCTTCTACGACTCAACGCCTAACCCTGTCGGAGGCTGCCAACAGCGGTCTCGTACCCAAACTTATGTCGCAATTCTGAAGTTTCGCCACTCGCCCTCGGTGTGATGAGCATCGGCGATAAATGGGCCGCAATCGGTATAGGCCAGATGGACAAGGCGAGCAGCTTCGCACTTATGGACGCGTTCTTACGACACAGGAGGCAACTTTATCGACACGTCGAGCAATTACCAAGATGAAACGAGTGATATGTTCATCGGAGAGTGGATGGAGGAACGTGGGATCAGGGACCAGATGGTCATTGCGACCAAGGCGCGCGCCTTGCGGGTTTGTGAGTTGGCGGAACCACTCAGTTTCTCCGGCACTGACAGTACACCACGACGATATCCCGCAGAAGACCTTCTGTGTGGGCCATAACATGAAGTCGTTGCACATTTCCGTCAATGCCTCGTTGAATAAGCTCCGGACCAGCTATATTGATATTCTGTACGTTCAAACTTCGAGACTGAATACACGCTACATACATAACACAATGTTATCCAGTCAGATAGTTGACCAATGGATATCCTCATCCAGCACAAGTTTGCGGTCGAGGACCATCACACGATCTTAAGTGGTGAAAGATACGAGACAAGCAAGATGCGCAACTTTACGAAGGTTATAGGCACAGCTGGTGCCCTTAAATCAACTCATTCGCGCTTTCTCCACCCACCCAATCCCAAGCTCTGTAAAGCGTCATCCGCTTCCTCTTTGATCCCAAACTCGATCGTCAGGACAGTGCTTTGGAACTCTGTCAATGTAAAGCCTCCAGAGTGCCGGACGCGGGATTGCCATCCATCGGGGATGCGATCTTCTAAAAGCCACACCTTGAGATCCTGAACTTTTCCACCAAAAGTAGTGACGAAAGTGGATGAGCTTACAGAGTTCCATCAGCCGCGACGAAAATGCTATGAGAAGTGCAAATCCTTACTTGGAACTTCCGAAAAATTTGTGGAAGGTCGACATGCTAAACTGTCCGTTCGTTCTGCGGGCGTCCATACGACGCTTCCCCGAGTATCGTGATAGGTCTGCGGCAGTCAAAGCACCGCCTGGGCCTGTGGCACTAGCAAGAAGCGCTTCAACTAGCTGTTTTGAAGGCTTTGTTTGGTCTGCGACGAGATAGCTATCTTCGCCTGAGAAATGGCAAAAGATATCAGTTTTGAACGCGGGATCTGCCTTCCCTGACGTTGAGACGCACGGGTGAGTGATGCATCATGCTCGATACAATTGTGCACGTCAATATCCTCCAGATCAAACGTATCCGTCCAATAGTTCTTGTTGAGCATGCCCGCGGCGTAGTTGGGGACGAAGAAGCAGAATGTCGGCGAAAAGTTGTACGTAGTGTGAATCGCCGTGTTTAGCTGACGAAATGATATGTTCCTTCCGGAGTGAGGGAGAATTCCTGGTACAACATGACATTAGCTCGCGATATACTTTTGGTCCGAGACGGGCAAGGGAGATAAAGTATTGCTTACCGTGGTTGGCCATTGCATTCAATGCTGGACAAGAGCTCCTACTGTCTGTCGGAGTAGGTGGTACATACTGCGGCCAGAGCCCGCCAGCTCCCGCGCAACCTTCTGGTACGACTTCGTTGGCAGGTTTTAAAGAAGCGAACTGGTTGTACAATGTCAACACGAAATCCCAGATAAATAGACCTCCCATCATGAGGGCAGACATGAGATTCGACACAACGTGTGCAAGGATGCGAATCAATGCATTAGCGAGAACGGAGTCTGGCATGGCGGATGATACAAGATAGTGAGGGGGCTGAAAGAGGTTTCTACGCACGTTCACTCGCAGGACTCGCTATATACCAACGCGAGCGCTGGAAAGAAGGTCGGACGACGCTAAGTCATCACGAAAACATCTCTTAGCATTCCTATAGGTGACCGCCTGCACTAACAGTACCTTCTCAATAAGATTCCCACATGGAAGACTGCCAACATTGAATGTGTGGTCTGTGTAATCGTTATCGGCAATGATGCCCGATCGTCGCTTCGACCGATAAATCAACGAGAAATTGACAGACGCCGTGAGCCTGCGCTTGGACTTCATAAGGACGTTGGATAATCGCATGTTCAGGAGCATGACGATACGTGACAGCCACGTCATTCAATGACAAGCCGCTTGAGGTTGACTGATTAAAAGTGAGCCACGGCGCAATCCAGAAGCGGGAGAGATATACTCCCTTTAACAGCCCCTCGAGGCGAATTGATGCCCACCTTTCATTATATCCCAAGTCGATAAGTCCGAATGTGTTTAACATGAATATACGCCATATCGCCCTGGTCGTCCCGTCAAAGACTTGCTGATGTTCGGGAACGATATTGACTTGGTGAATCGATGTATTTCAGCCTTGAGACCGTTATCCGCGGTGCGGCTCGACGTCCAGAGAAGGCATGGCGGTCGTTCGGTCGTCGTTCGGAATAAAACCCATTAAAGTCCGTGTCGATTGCACCCAGTAGTCTTGCTTTAGAGATATCAAAAGATTCACAGTAGATGGCCCCGTCAGCCCCGTCCAGATGAGATTGCTGTAACATTTGAAAACGGGCCTTTTCTTACCGGCCATGACTACATTATGAGGCAACAGAAACCCGCTTCACGTTTACTGTTCCTGTCTTGCACGATCACGATATTCTGACTTTATTCTATTGCGGAGAGTGAAAACTGGTCTACAGACGCGTGTATTCAGCCTCTTGCTACACTTATCGACTTCAGCTTGAGGGGCTTACCTTGAGTCGACGGCGGGCGCCGTTATCTGATGCGTACCACGGAATACTGCCAAAAACGTCTGGACAGGTTTGAAGTTGATCGCAATATGACCGGTTGTCCCACATGAGTCGCAGCAATAAGAAAAATGTCCAGGCCTAACGTCTCGTCATTACAATGATATTAGACTTGAAAACCTTTTCTTGTAGACTTCAGCTCAGAAACATTTAAAAGTTGAGCCATGCAGCACGCAGCTTGAGATGGACAGTGCCGGATGTCGACAGTGCTTGCTCGCACTTTAAGCTCGACGTGTCATAGAGCGAATGCGCCATCTAGGACCACTGTGGATTTCCAAATGCTTCGAGCTCTGACCAGAATGGCCTTGAATTGGGTTGCCGTCCACCATGAACATTACTAGAATCAAAGCCACACGTGTCGAATTGAACTAGCGTTCCTCGTTGCTTGCCGAGTCGATCAGTGCAGTCTTTTAAGACGCCAGTTAGCTGTTGTCAGCCAAGCATCGCCTTTCTGCAGTTTGCCCTGGCACCTGCGTAATCGGTGTCAGCTGCCAGAGCTGACATCACTGGCAAAGCATTCGATTCCAGCAAAGCTCTTGAGTACATGACGTAGAGTTTCCTATAGTACGCGTTAGAGCCGGACTTCTTGATGAGCGGCTAGGTCCAACGCAACGTCGAAGTAGCCAGAAAATGCTGATGTACCTGAAAAACGACCGTTAACGAGAGATCAGTGTTAAAGGGTCAGCGTGGATGTGACTGTATGATATGATGTTTTCTTAAACTTTCAGACTCCCCAGGAAGACGGCCGAGGGTCGGTGCTCACAGGAGGTAACTTGCTTGCGGTGTCTTGGTGTCTGGTCTCCAGCGAGATGTTTCACGTCGACCAGCTGCCTGCACACATCATTTTAAAGGGCTGCTGAAAACGTAGAAGCAAAGACAGCCTGGAAAGGTCATCGTGTCGCGAATTGAGCGCGTTCGCGACGCGGCGTCGAACTACCTGACAGTTGGACGTTGAGCAGCTGTCGGTCCTGGTCAAGTCGTCGGACAGTCTAAATATCCTTTCTTCGATGTTTTTGCGTCAAGTTGAGTAGTTGGGCAGATGAAATGATGGAAGAGAGAGGGAACGTAGAGGATGAGGTTAATTATGAGCGGCCAGCCACCCGCGCACTACCACGTGATCATGACACGTATTCCCGATTCCTAGCTTGGGATCGTCCATCAGTGTCCATCATGAATTCCGACTGTGGCCACCACTACCTGCTTGACTCAGAGTGATGAAGCTGCGAACCTTTCCTTAGCGTCCATAATATCTTTGTTGCCACCCCCGTCATCTGGCCTCAAGCGGAGAGAATCAGAAGCCGCATTAAATCGTCTGTGAACCTCGGAATTGGTCTATGTAATTATCCGAGAATGTCCACGGGTTAATTGGCAGCCGTCGGAATAATGACAGGGCCCTGTTCTGCGGAAGACTACGTCCCTTCTGCCTCTCTAGAGCGAAGCCTGGACGCGACCTATCACTGAGAGCCACTGAGCTGCATGAGAGACCTGGACTATGATCGGCATGGCTTACACTCCTTTCACAGCGTCGATCGAACTCGACCAGGACTGTTCCGTCATCCACACTCTCATGACGTCCTTTAACCCCACGGCCTCAGCCTTTATAAGAGCAATTTGTATCCCACTTGTTGGAGTTCTAAACCCTCCCCCCGACCCGGGCCCCTCCATATATCGCTTGCACATACACAATGTCCACCACCGACAAACCTTCCTTTTGGGTCCCGCCCAGGGTGCCCAAGACGAAGCTGGGAAGGCATCGCCAGCTCGCCCCGCTCGCAGGGATCCATGTCTCACCACTCGCCCTTGGTGCGATGAGCATCGGCGATAAATGGGCCTCTATCGGCATGGGCCAGATGGACAAGGCGAGCAGCTTCGCACTTATGGACGCGTTCTACGACGCGGGAGGCAACTTCATCGATACATCGAGCAACTACCAAGACGAGACGAGCGAGATGTTCATCGGAGAATGGATGGAGAAACGTGGGATCAGGGACCAGATGGTCATTGCAACCAAGGTGCGCGTATTGCGGGCTCGTGAGTTGACGGGAAAACTCAGTTCTTCCGGCACAGTACACCACGAGCTACAAGCGCGCCGATGATATCCCGCAGAAGACCTCCTATGTGGGCAATAACATGAAGTCATTGCACATTTCCGTCGATGCATCTTTGAAGAAGCTCCGAACTAGCTATATTGACATTCTGTACGTTCATTGGGTGCGCATCTTTTCGCATACTATTCGCACAATTTCACTGACGATACTTCGCGTAGTGGGACTGGACGTGCAGCGTCGAGGAGGTCATGAATGGCCTCCACCACCTCGTTGCACAGGGCAAGGTTCTCTATCTTGTACGTATCCATCCTTCGCCTCAATATGGATGTCAACTTGATAAGGACGTCCTTTGACACAGGGCATCTCAGACACCCCCGCATGGATTGTGTCCAAGGCAAACATGTATGCGCGACTCACTGCAAAGACGCCTTTCGTAGTCTATCAGGGTGCATGGAGCATTCTTCAACGCGACTTCGAACGTGAAATCATTCCCATGGCACGCCAGGAGGGCATGTACTTCACCGTACATTCTTCTACTTATGGGCTAACTGAATTACCGGTTCAGGCATGGCCCTTGCGCCATGGAACGTCCTCGGTGGCGGGAGGATCAGGACTGATGCGGAGGAGGAGCGGCGAAAGAAGACAGGCGAGATGGGCCGGACGATCTTCGATGGCCGCTGGTTACGGACGGAGGACGAACGCAAGGTCTGCCTTGCACTTGAGAAGGTCGCAAAAGACGTGGGCGCGAAGAGCATCACTGCTGGTGCGTCCTTTTACTCCTCTGATCCTCTCCTTCCAAAAATCTGACCGATGAGCTGGACCAGTTGCGCTCGCGTACGTCATGCAGAAGACGCCGTACGTCTTCCCGCTCGTCGGCGGGCGCAAGGTCGAGCACTTGATGGATAACATCCATGCGCTCGATATCGCGCTGAGTCCTGAACAGGTCGCGGAGCTCGAGAACGTGCTGCCGTTCGATCGTGGGTTCCCGTATGACATGATTGTGAGTTTCTCTTACGTCTCACGAAGCATTCTTCCTGCTTCGGATTAGGTCGATTGCTGATCGCTATCGTGGAATCGCAGGGCGATGGATCGAGCTACGCATCACTGCATCAGCAGGCGGGGTATTTCGACAAGTGGCCGTTCCAGCAGGCGATAAGGCCGAACGCGGGACAGAAATTGTAATGGTCTTCTTTGAAAATGAACAGAGAACAGAACTGAGCAGAGAAGCCAGCATCCTGTCTGATATCATTATGAGTCTATTTTGTCAGTAAGGTCCTCCAGACATCGAACATCCTGAAATTGAATTGTAGTGTCAAGAATGCCCTTACCACCTCAGATGTGCAAGTTACATTTGCAATGGAGCTTCCTTTCATGCTTTCATGTCACTTGTAGGTAAGTGAGGCATCAATGGCGGCGATTTAACTCATGGCGCCAAGGTGAAACAGAGATCTGAGTTGCGCATTATAAGGACGGCGAAACGTGGATGTCCATAGTCTGGCCATTGCTGTCGGACTCGAGCGACCCATCCCTACATTGTGTCTCGAGCTTGCCTAGCCATGCAGGCTGCGAACGTCGCCAGATTCATCAGTTTACGTGTCATGCGATCCTAGAAGGAGTCGCGCGCGACAATGTCGTTGCCTCGTATGGCCTTTGGGAGTTCACGCTAAACCTGGGAGATTCCCTCAATATCGATGGCAGTGGTAAACTGAGGCTGCTCGTGGTTCTTGCACTTCTTTCAAACCACCTCGCTAGATTCATCAGTTTGAGAATCATGCGATCGTAGCACTGGAATCGCACCAGATGGTATCGTCGACCTCGCATGACTTTTGGGATCAACTTAGCCTTTAGGGTTGAATTTGACCCGGGAGAGATGTGGCTGAGAGACCAGGTTCCGCCCAAATCTCACCCACGGTCGTCACCTGAAGAGTTGCGGGAGAATCGCGCCTATCGTCGACTTGAACCAAGTCATAGCTGCTAACGGTATTGACCGGGTGCGACCTGTGGTCGCTTCCGGCTAGTTTCTTGAGCACAATGCGGATATAACTCACTGATTTTCATCACAAGAAGCAACTAGTAGTGATGCTGATGGTGGTTGAGAACGAAGTGCTTTGAAGCGCCACAGACCAGACGTTGGGACACTGGGAGTTTTGTACTATAAGGGTTTCACACGTTTTAAATTTTAAACTATGTATTACAAATGCGTTCAAAACTCCACCCCCTAAAAATGGTGCCAGTGGAGTCCAATTCTTGGATATTGAGACAGAAACGAGCAATCAACACTCGCGTAGTATGCGCTATTCTCGCTCACTTCGTTACGAGTCTGGTACATACGTATTAAGCGGTGGTAGCACGACCACAACCAGGTGAGTTATTTCGTGACGTTCTGCGCTGCCAATGATGCGGCGTTCTCATTTCCTTACTGCGCAGACTAGTACTGTGCCTCCAATCCGTCCAACTTGTCAACTTGCGCGGTATTAAGCATTGGATCCTTTTTATGAAAGAGAATCGATGTGACTCCGTGCCATCTGATGATGCGAGCTACTGGAATACCGACTCTGATGTTGAATCTGACCATGACACCGACACTTGGACTGATGAGGTCGACTCGGATGAGGATGTGGAGGGTGCAGACGTGACAACGAATTCACCGGATGCAAACTTCCAGGCAGATTTGGTGTCCCTTGAACTGCGCGACTTTCTATCTGACACACCTCTTCCTGCAGATCCAAGTACAGCATCGGAGTACAAAATCATCCCTCCTCTCACTAGCAGTGTCCAGCTTGTTGTGCAGGCCGCCTATGTGTTGCCTACAGTTTGAAATATGTACAAACCCCCCCCAGCGTAGTTTTTCCCAGAACGCTAACGAGAACGTCTTGCCAGATTAGACACAAGAGGACGCTATGTCGCAATCCATGACAGTTTTGCCCACGTCGCGCTGGGTGAAATTTGACACCTCAACACGCATTGACACCTTGCGATGGAGCGTGAATCAATCGCCGGTTGCGATGTGGGGCTGTAAGCAGGCCAGTCATCAGTGCGTCATAGGCCTATTGGAAACCATCCATATCTGCTTCAGCACTAGTTTGACGCTTATTAATTGTCACCACTGATGCATTGATGGCACTGATACCGCACAGATGATCCAATATTTATAGTCCGTGCTATATTCTCCTGCATTCATTCAAGCTGAACTGACTTTCAGCTGTCTTCATATGCATTACTATTACTCTGTGCGCATCGGTTATTCCTTGCGAGGGACGCATCCGGGATACAATCACTAAGGCCCCGGATCTTCCCTATCCAGACTATCTGGCATGTGACGGAACGGAATGATAAGCCACGTCTCTGTTCGCAAATGCTTGCTGAGCAAATTCGTTGGGTTAACAGTTGTGGCCCTGATAAACGAATTAGCGCCATAACCATGGCAAAACGCGCGCAAATTCGTTGCTTCCGTCGGACTGAAGTGTGGGGTCTCCTCTGGGGGCACCCATCGCGCATCCGCATCCAGCATCTTCCTGCACCTAGGCGAGTAGACATTGTAGACGGCTTTCTCATGCGCATGCCCATCCGTGCTTCAGACTCAAGTCGATGAGGGCTGACTGGCAGACTGACTGCGCCATGCCATATAGTTTGCTCACTCTATCGCAGCAAAAATGAGAGGCGAATGTGCTCGACCGGCAGGGTTGCTCTAGATCTGTCATCCCACCCTCTTATGACGTCCGATACCCACTGCTCCTCCGATGATTGAGGGACATATAATTCGGATGCCAGTCTAACTATCGCAAACTAAACCTCCCTCTGCTCCCTCTTGACTCGACCTGACTCACAGGATGTCTACACCCAACACCCTCAACCCATTCTGGGCCCGCCCCAAGGCACCCAAGACGAAGCTGGGTATACACCGTCAGCTCTCCCCGCTCGCCGGCATCCACGTCTCGCCGCTCGCCCTCGGTGCGATGAGCATCGGCGATAAATGGGCCGCAATGGGCATGGGCCAGATGGACAAGGCAAATAGCTTCGCTCTCCTGGATGCCTTCTACGATGCCGGTGGGAACTTCATTGACACCGCGAACGGCTATCAGGACGAGACGAGCGAGATGTTCATCGGCGAGTGGATGGAGAAACGTGGGATCAGGGACCAGATGGTCATTGCAACCAAGGTACGCGCATCATGACCAAGGCTGTGCAACAGAAGTGCTCACTTGCTCTGGTGCAGTACACTACCAATTACAAGCGCGGCGAGGATATCCCACAGAAGACATCCTATGTAGGCAATAACATGAAGTCGCTGCACGTTTCGGTCGAGGCGTCGCTTAAGAAGCTGCGCACGAGTTACATTGACATCCTCTATCTCCATTGGGTGGGTGCTTCTGTGAGCTCACGTTGAGCTGTTTGTCTAATGGTTTATCATGCAGTGGGACTGGACGTGCGGAGTTGAAGAAGTCATGAACGGCCTTCATCATCTCGTCGTGCAGGGCAAGGTGCTCTATCTTGTACGCTACTCCGTAAACCTTCTCTCGAAGAAAAATAGAGTAACGTGCACTTGACACAGGGCATTTCGGATACGCCGGCGTGGATCGTGTCCAAGGCGAACATGTACGCACGCCTCGCAGGAAAGACTCCCTTCGTCGTTTACCAAGGTGCATGGAGTATCCTCGAACGTGACTTCGAGCGGGAGATCATCCCTATGGCACGACAGGAGGGTGCGTGTCGATCCTCATTAGTTATTCCCGATTCTTGTATTGACATAGGGTCTGATCAGGTATGGCACTCGCACCATGGAACGTTCTCGCTGCTGGGAGAATCAGGACCGACGCAGAGGAGGAGCGGCGAAAGAAGACGGGCGAGAAGGGCCGGACTATCTTCGACGGCCGTTGGTTACGGACGGAGGACGAACGCAAGGTCTGCCTTGCACTTGAGAAAATCGCAAAAGACGTGGGCGCGAAGAGTATCACTGCTGGTGCGTCCTTTACTCCTCTGATCTTCTCCTCCCAAAAATCTGACCGATGACCTGGAACAGTTGCGCTCGCGTACGTCATGCAGAAGACGCCGTACGTCTTCCCGCTCGTCGGCGGGCGCAAGGTCGAGCACTTGATGGACAACATCGCTGCGCTCGATATTGCGCTGAGCCCTGAGCAAGTTGTGGAGCTGGAGAGCGTGCTGCCATGCGATCGCGGGTTCCCGTACGGCATGATTGTGAGTGTGCCTTTTAGCGCTGACGGACCTATTCCTCTGCGCACTCGCTGGTGAGGAGATGATGACTCATCATGGCTTGCATTTCTGGAATTGCAGGGCGATGAGTCGAGCTATGCAGTGCTGTCTCAACAAGGGGGATACTTTGAGAGGTGGCCTTTGCAGCAGGCGATCAGGCCGAACCCGGGACAGAAGCTGTAATGAACGGAGCCTGCCAATGCAATGTCCAGTGATGGAGTCTCTGTCGTGTATTGTATCACAGTATATGTATTCTGTCATTTAGGCTGATGAATAGAGTTGCTGAGTCGTGACGTTCAATGAAGCTAGATCAGTGAGGAGAACAGAACGCGCGTGTTGGCGCTGAATGGTTGTGACATCACATCTTATCGTCACGCGTCTCTTTCCTCCTTCAACTGGATGCTGTACAGCTTGAGGAACTTGTGCGCTCAAAAGTTTCTGCACGGGACATATCATGGAGAGCCAGTTGTAATTAGGATACGTACAGAGCGACAAGGTGACACAGTATTTATCCTCGGTCAACGTTACCAATGCGGTGCAGTGACCTGCATCGCCCCCAAACGCCGGTACGTTCGTATGGCGATCCATGTGTGGACATGTGTGGACAGCTTCTTTCTTTTTCTCCCACGAAACCAGTTAGGACGTAGTTCAAGCATTCCGTATACGAAGTGTCCTGGTACGAGGCTTAGCCGCCATCAGCAAGTCTCTAGGAAGCTGTTCGGACATCCATTGAATCAGTGCGCAAGCAACAAGACATAGCACAAACTTACTTACTATTTCCGGACTGATCTCAGTTTGCTGATCCATTGGGCTGAACAGAGCGGTGGAGATCATCCATCCCAAAGACGGTTAACCGACGGTTCGTGCTCTATTCTGCTGGCAGCCTTCGTCGAGACTAGACCGATTCCTCGTATCCAGACGCAATCGTCTTCACAATCGTACTATACTTCTACAGTAGCATATCGGTGTCTTCGTGTTCTGGTCTGCCATCAAAATGAACCCATACTGTCTCGCGGAAGCCGGAGAAAGCCCCACGCGAATTCGACCCAGCCAGCAAGTGTAGCTGGTGAGTATGATGGTATTGGACAGAGCTGCTCACTCTACTCAGCTGCGATGCTTGTGGAAGCGCAGCGCGCGTCTCTGATGCTATGCAACATAGCAGTCAAATCATTCCTAAAATCGTCGCGCAGTCCGAGGCGGTGTAGCGATGTATGCAAAGCCTTCAAGATTCGACCAGGCTTCTAGTCGGGCGCTGCAAACGGGAGACTAGATGAGCATCCCGAACGTCAATTCCTGTGCAAGGCACGCAGCGTTCTGAATCCGCGTGTTGTATTGTGCATGAGCTATATGGACACAAGAGATGATGTACATACCGACTCAGAGAAAATGAAATGATCGCGCTATGCGTGTCGCGCCTCGTTTCTTGTCCATGTCTGCAGCCGCCCAGATACACATGGGCCTATTTCGCCGACCGCCAATTATACCGCTCGGCAGTGTGTATTCAATGAACAGGCGGTGCGCACACCGCACCTCCGGAAAGCGCTGGTATCGACGGGTGGTGCGTGTGGTCAGAACATGACTGTGCAGCACTGCAACGCGGGCAACATGGGCAGTGTATGCATTTCAGAGGATAGCGCATATGAAACCACGTTGCTATGCGATGGGATGAGTACATATATCTCAAGAGCTGGCCTGGAAACCTACATCTGCGACTGTCTTCATCCATTCTACCGCAATGCTATGCGCCAACGGTGAGCGGACAAGGTCCATGGATGCGTTCGTGACCAGTGACACATTGCGCTGCGATAGGTCGAGGACAACGGTAAGGCAGGCCAGACTGAGCCACCTGCAAATACTGAAACCTAGTATCAGCAGCTGCGTGAAATACGATTGAGGAGTGGAAGAACGTCACAAACCACCTACGGGACAGGCAGCATCATCTGCCGAGCGTCAGGGACCCTCCCAGTCGCTTCCACTTGCACAGGCAGATCGGGATCGAGAGTGCCGAGGGTGTGAAGGCCTATGCGAAGATGCTGAAGCAGATGCCCGCATGGTCAGAACGGGCGCACGATATGACCATATCAGGTCAGCACTGTCGACAACCTCCCCTGCTGGAGTGGCTAATGATCCTGAAATCAAAGTGGCAGCCATGGATGATGCACAGAGACATCTTCCTGCATCTTCCCGCCTTCTCCGGAGTGTCACATTCCCGTCGATCACTGTCTTTGGGTGCCTCTTCTGCACCCTGCCAGGCCTGGTCGATCGCGGATGCTTCAGTCTGCATCTCACACATGACCACTTCCACCATGAAGCATTTGGTCCATATCACAACTGTGTCAAGATCAGGTCCCTGACACTTGGTGATGCTCTCATTGGATCTGAGAAACTCATGGACTTCCTTGCTCATCCTTGCATCTCGAGTAGCTTGTAGAGACTCATCATCATTGATTCCAATCACTACTTCAGTCCCAGAATCAAAATAGTTCAAGAACATACCTTGTATCTCCAGCAGATATTTCTCATATTTGTGGTCTTGTCTCCACTTTGACACACTCAAATGGGCTTTGAAGATTTCTACCGTCGCCACTCTGGCTTTTCAGAGTGTAGTATGGTCCAATGCATCATTGGTCATGCACCACGGTTCTTTCCACAATCATCCGCTACTTCATATAAATCGTGCTCTACTATACATATCAGATCTGCAAACTGCAGCATCCGGTTCTCTATTCCCATCCCGACACTCAGACATCACCCTTCTCCATCTCTTCTCAATTCATCCACACCACATGCTCCGCCGGCAATCGCTCACCCCACAATTGCTACATTCCCTGCATACACTCTCGAGTATGCGCTATCCACTGGAGACAACCCACAAGGTCTCAGCGGCGGCCAGGTGATCTTGGTCGGAATTCTCCAAGCGTCATTTATCCAGCCGTTTCGTCATCTTCACGGCGATGCGAACAACATTTATTTTCCAGGGCCAGTTCAGAGAGTCGCAGTGGCCCGAGATGGATTCAGGCGATCCATCAGATGGCCCTCCTCCTCGGGACTCCTGAAGGCGAAAGGACATAATATTTTATTCGTGCCACAGCGCATGTTCAGGTGCTCATATGTGGACGACGTCCACAATCTCTACAAACAACGTCAAAACGTTATATCGCGACGGATCGCTGCGACATGACAAGACGAGGCAAAAACCAGGTCAGCAGCAAACTCGCTCTAGCGGGAGGACACTCAAAGGAACCGTCACTCTCCTCTCCTGTGACTTGCAGGTGCTCAATCAGCCCGGCATGTCGTTGATGACGCACACCAACCCATCTTATCCTGCACGAGCGTGAAACCGCACCCGAGATTCACGTCTGGACTGTCTCTATGCATGAATGTCAATGGGTGCCGGTGGCCCTTGATCTTCGTACGAAGTGGGACCCCACCGTCCTCGACTCAGCAATCTGGCCAATACTCCCTCACGTCAGGACCCAATAGCGCGCGGGCCATGTTCATGAAATGGACAGGGACGGTGTCGATCTGGCCGATACAGAGACGGTATCGATGCACGGGTGCGAAATGCCGCTCGCGCACGAGATGGAGAGCGGCATGACAGTGCCCTTGATGGCCTACGGAGCACTTTGTGAATGTGAGGCGCGGAGTCGCCTGAACGTTGGAAGCGGGGTACGATAGCTGGCCATGGCGTGTCTGACGACTTTGGGATGCAATCGCAGCATCTATTGGATGACTGCATCGAAGTACGCGAGCGCGTGCGCTAGCTGTTTCTTCGTCGGCTCGGTACGTCATGAACTGTACGAACTGCTCACGTAGCTTGTGCTGAATGCCAGGCTGCTTGCAAAGCTCAATGAGCTGGATGAGGCACCAATGCGTACGTTGTGGGTTTCGTCAGGATGACGGGAGGTTCGCACAGGAAGCGTCGCAGGAACGACGGAACCAGGTTGAGTATTGTGAGTGTCGTGGATAGATCGAGGTTGTGCTGGCTCACTAGATGTTGTCGCATGCCCGGCATGTTTTAGGACTGAATCTACTGATAGCATGAGACTGCTATTGATCCACGGCCTGTATGTAGCACAGGAATCGGAAATGGACTTGCGAGGTTATGGCTTCCTTCAAACATTTGCAGAGAGAATTTGTTGCTCTTTGACTTGGTTATGCAATACACTCGGTCCCATTCATCATCGCTTGCATCAGCCCAAGTCAGAACACGCACACAGCAAGATACTCCGATTCTCTATGACGCTCTCGACCACATTTGCTCTCCTCGAACATTCCCAGTGACCTGTTCACGATATACTCGATCTTCGCAGTCAGCATTCGAGGTTAGAGCAGACGACCGGAACTGAATCATACCGTCCACCATAATCTTGACTCGGCTGCAAGGGTTAGCACTCACCCGTCCTTCTACGGCCCTGGCGGGCAGTGTCGTACGGCACGAGGTCAGATTGCGGGTGGAGGCGCTGCCAAATGCTGCGATGAGCCGCTTCCATAGTCTCAACAGCGTCGTGTGCGAGTGACTGTAATAGTAGGGCCTGATACAGTGCTGCGACACGTCCGCTATTTTTTTGATTCATACAAAATACTGGATGTAAATTAAATTAAAAGAAAAAGAAAGAGCACGTGATCGACTGGATTGACCAGAATAGACGCTCGCATGCAACGGTTACCAACCTTCTACCCAACCAGCCACAATGCCGTTCACCGGTTCAGACATTTGCAAGGTGCGCACTAATACCTGTTCACTGTAAGACTCGCCACTGACGGCGTCATCTATGACAGATCATGTCAGTCGCTCTCGTTGCCCCGCCGACGCTATGTGGCGTGCTAATTTGACGATCTTTTAACAGCTTTGCGATCTTCCTGCCGCCTGTTGGTGTCTTCTTGGAGAGAGGTTGTGGCGCCGACCTCCTCATTAACATTCTCCTGGTATGTGCTGTCTCCTTCTCCGTCTTTCTCCGGTTGGCTCACAAGCTGTCTTAGACATGTCTGGGTTACATGTATGCGTATCCCTCGTTTATCGCAGTTGACGAAGAATTGACTTATCTCTCCTCAGCCCGGGTATCATCCACGCGCTATACATCATACTCAAGTATTAAGACGCAGATGCTCGGCCTTCGTCATGAGTGGTCATGACAAAGAACTTTTGCTTCCACATCGTCACGTCGTCTTACATTCCTTAAAGTAGGCCTACACGGACCCCGTCTTTCCTGGTAATGAAGTACTGTAATACATACCCTTCATTGTCTGATTTGACATCTGTTGTCTGACCCGTCGTTGAGTCGTTCTCGAAGTAAACATTTTGTCGGCTTCGGTCGAGTCTGAGTTCCTCGTATTACCGGGGCATAAATGTAACGCGATTTTCGCGCAGGGGACTTTGTCTCCTTCGATTCCGTACCATCTTCGTTAGCATTCCCTTCTCCTGTCACCGACGTCATTTGCTCCATTACCCCAATGCTCCGCTATGTCGGCGCTTACACTTGCTCAAGCGCCCGCTGGACAGTCTCTCGAGGAAGCCTCTGAGATATGTCCATCGCCGACGCCTGAAGCAGGTCTGAGCCTCTGAGCCTCGACTACAGCAGGCGTAGCTGTGTAGCTATCTTGCTTGTGAATACTCCTGGATGAGGTGTACAGAAATTGCTACGCTGTTGGATTTGATGATATGGAAATAGTCTATACGTTCGATCGTTGGAGAGATACATTCACCATCGACACCAGTTATAAGATTCATATATTACATGCAGTGAGTCTTCTGGCTATGGACCCACGGGGAATGTGCGTAAAATCGGCGGCGGGACAAGTGACTGATCTCGAAGACCTGCCTAAAGCGGCCCGGGTTTGATCGATACACGATCGACCTGCTTTCATCCGTATTGCATGGCTTGGACATGGCGCTGCCATCGTCTGCTACACCGCGCAGCTTCCTGGACATCCTGAACGTTTGCGATAACTACCGAATCAACTCAGACGAACCTCTCGCAACCTGGTGCCTCTCCCCCGAGCCAGGTTCTCCTGCCATTGGGCTGTTGCGCCCAGAAATCGTCGAGCACTTGAGACGCGAGAATGCACGAGAAGGGCACTCTCCACCATGGGTCTTCGAGTTGCGCGGAGGAAAGGTGCATGTCAGCTTCTCTGTCGAACTACGGAACGCGGCGGCACGCACTCGTGTCATGAAGGGGCTTTGCGAGCGGTGGCGCGACGAGGGGCTGTACGCAGACGTGATCGGCCCGCGCAAGTGGCGGGGCGAGAAGTACCCCGTCTACCGTGACCCGTTCGGGCGACATGACGCGCCAGCACACGACAGTGACGCTGATAACGACGACGACGACGGGCGGAACTATGCGTTTATGATGGAGCGCGCTGCGTGTGCGCTCTTCGGCGTCGTGACCTACGGCGTGCACATGACTATCTACGAGGAGGACCGGGACGAGGACGGCCTCCCGACGTCCTGCCGCGTGTGGGTCCCGAAGCGCGCGAGGACCAAGCAGACATGGCCGGGCTATCTGGACAACACCGTCGCGGGCGGTATTTCCTCCGGCCTCGGGGTGTTCGAGAGCCTCGTCAAGGAGTCGATGGAGGAGGCGAGTCTCGCGGAAGGGATTATACGAAGGCATGCACGTGCCGTCGGCACCGTCAGCTATTTCTTCAGGTGAGTAGCGGCGTCGGGCGTGAGATGACTCGCTGATGCATATACAATTCGGCAGGACAGGGGCAGGCAGGCTGCAGCCAGAGGTCGAGTAGGCGCTATTTGTCCCCTTGCTTGATCTCCCAAGTCCGACAGTACTATGTCGCAGGTACCTTTATGACCTGCGTGTGCCCTCGGGCGCGGATCGGGATGCCTACAAGCCCAAGCCCCTCGATGGAGAGGTCGAGTCGTTCGAGGTTAGCGCGAGGCGCATACAGCCTGCCCAATTCTTTTCTGGATCTAACAGCAACTTGAACTTTTCTGCCTTACAGCTCCTCTCGCTCGGAGAAGTGGTCACTCGCATCCGTGCAGCTCTATTCAAGCCAAATACCGCCCTCGGTGCGCCCTATCCGCGCGCAATCTCTACGGTATACTGACTTGTTCTGCAGTGCTCTTGGACTTCATGATCCGCCACGGGTACCTCACCCCCGACGAGGAGCCCGACTACCAGGAGATCGTGACCCGACTGCACGGTAGGTTCGATTATGACAAGTGGTGACCTGATAGTACGATAGACGTAAGGTGGGAACGCTTCGGCGGGCAGGATTCTTCAGCTAAAGGCCTCGGCATGGGATTTGCACTTCCTAAGCTCGCTGCATAATAGACATGCGCTATCCATAATTATCTACGTCAAAGGCAAACCTCCACGCATGAGCGGTTTGTGGTGCTGCTGTTGTTTAAGGCCTTTTGTCAATGAGCTCCTGGAGATCCCTCCTCCTTTTGTCGGCCGCTCAACGGGCTCTATACGGTCTATGTGCTCTGGAATATGAGCATGGAGCATGGATTGTATTCGACTGACGTGGGACTGCGCCGCTGCGGAAAGCATGCACTCCTAATGAACCTCACTTGTACAGATTTGTTTGGAGGGCCGCGCTGAGGAGACATCTTTTTGCATACAAGAGGGAAAAAAAACAACAGTATGCACTAAGGGGGAATCGAACCCCCGGCGGGTCGATGGCAACGACCCAGGTTACCACTACCCCATTAGTGCGATAATTTCTTATGACGATCAGAAATATACATCCTATCCATGACAAAGATGGTAAGTTTGGTAGCTAGCCGGCGCCTCGCAAATGCCACAGATTTGAAACGGTTTCACTATGACCGACAGATTCACATATGTCATTGGTATGTACACGAGCAATCAAAATGCCATTCGATTAATCCGCCGAACCAGAGCATATGGAGGAAGATGAAGAGACCTCCAAGGCGATCCCAAAGTGGGTAGAGCTGGAGTATATGGTCCTCGGCCATCCTGATCCACCTAACATGCGGTTTTGCTCATGCATCTGTCCAGCATATGCGCACCCTCGCAGGCCCAGATGCGCGTGTTAAATTCACGCACCTCTCTCAACCATCGTGCAATACATTGTCGTCTCTATTTTCAAGCGGAAAGGATGGACCCGGTTTCGCAGAGGCATCTGCACACTCCTCACCGGTGTTGGAGCTGATGAAGTCTGCCGATGTTCCTATGGAAAAGGTTTGCCTCTTGGATCCTAAGGCAGAAAAGGAAATATCACCCGAAGACGGCGACGGCCGCTTTGCATGGTTCCTGTTCGGCGTGAGTGCGCAAGATTCCGACATCTAAAATCAGGCCCATAGATGGCGTTTTTGATAATTCTGACAGGGAATCCTGGGTACGTTAATGATATCTGCAACGGATCCATGCTGAGCTCGCATAGGCGACGACCCACCCCGCGACAGAACGTCGGAGCTCCGCGTGCTAGGGTTTCCTACCAGGCACCTGGGCCCTGTACAGATGACAACCGATACAGCTCTTGGAGTCACGAAGCTTGTAGTGCAGGACAAAAGTATGATTTCTCCGTGCTTCTTTCAGACCAACGGAGCGACTTACAGGTCCATATTTTAGTTCCACTACGCAAAATTCCCTTCGTTGTATGTCACTCCGTTTTAGCGGAGATGCGACAGACTGAGCGCAAGTGTTTCTAGGATTATCCGACAATAACGTTCAATGCAAAAGAGAGCGTCGAAATGCCGTTCCGTGAGTTCGAGGCGCTAGGCGTCGATTCGTCTGTTAACAATGTTTACTAGGGTACATTGCGGACGATAAGAAGGAACCCATACTACCGCCGGGCATGCAGGAACATCTTCAGGAAGATCTCAACAAAAGTTTCGACTTCTAAAATATGAACACTGTTAGATAGATTGCTGTAGTCATAATGTAATGGAGTGCAGGTAACACACAAAAAATGTACATGCAAATAATACAAGATATGGCCAAGTGTGCGCAGATACGAGAGAGAGCATGTAACGCGTCCGCAAAACACAGTACAGAGATCCACAGAGACGAGAAGCAAATGAGAATACAGAAGGAGAAGACGTGAACCCATACATGAGCAAATAATACAAAAGTGCACCGGAATCTATCAACGTGGAGGTGAGAAGACGGTATGTCATGATTGGTGCACGAACGACGGCCGCCGTGAGTTGGACTCTGTTCGCTCCGCAGGCAACACGGGCACCTCCCAGGGTGGTGGGTCGCGCGGGACGTCGTCCAGGTTCTTGTCCAGGCGCGCATCCTTCAGACGTTCTCGATCATTCATGCCCATCCGCACGCGACACCGCACGAGGCGTAGCTTAGTGCGTTTGATCCCTACTCGAAAAGTCAGTGTCGGGAGGTCAGAATATATGCACGGCGGAAGCCCACATGTGGCAATGTCAGATGCGTGATACGCACAAGTAGAGATTGTCTCCCGGTCCTCGTCCATGAATGGGTTGTCCTTCTGTAAGAGGTCGTGTTGTAGGGCATACAAGCACCACAGCGATTCTTCATACAGTTTCTCGCATTCATCCGGTGAAGTAGCTTGATCAAGTAGCTCCTTCCGTGCCGCAGTACGACTCTGCAACACGAGTCCATCTTAACCATCTAAGCGAGCGGCAAATTCAAGTGCGCAACTTACCAGCATCAGCGCTCGGTCGTACACTAGCTGGTCGAGGAACGTCGGTGGGCCCGTGTACTGTGCAGGAAGCCATGTCTTGACAAGCGCTGCGCGATCATGGCACTTCCTGAAATGCTCTTCGAAGTACACCAGCGCTACAGCACCGTCAGATCCCCTAGAGCAGTGCGAACCGACGGCAACGCACCTTCATCAAACCCTTCGCTCATCTCACACTCGCCATCCGGATCGCGCATCCGCAGGTGCTCGTAATAATTGCACAGCTTCGTGACACCGTTCTGTGAGAATGACATAAGCAGCATGTACAACGCAACGCAAGTCATCGCATTGTATTCTGCTTGAATGTCCGCATTCTTCCGCTTCGCTGCATGCCTCTCTGGCTCACCCTCTCGCCTGCTGAACTTGGATGGATCAGGCAGAGGCTCTGGCACATTAATGATCATTTAGCAGGGGAAATCACTGACTGTACAGCATGGGGACACTCACTCTGTGGCACAGCCTTGACATATTCATACATCTCATCCGCCCAATGTGTCAGCACGTCCGTCTTCTGCGCAAGCTCCTCCAGCGACGCAAGCAGCTCATCCTCCATTGGATCGCGTTCGCCGCCAATCTGCAGGCCAAGTGCCTGGCCCCGCCCCGAGAGAATGCTCTGCCGCCGCGATGACGGTGTCGACGGTGTATACTCGCGATAATACGGAGACGACCGCGCGCCGGAGGAACCAAACAGCTTCTTGGACGCGAGGTTCAACGCACGCGTGAGCGCGTTCGAGGCCGTCCGCCCGCCGATGCTTGACGGCGAAGAGGAGAGCGGCGGCGGCGCATTCGGATTCGGCGGTGGCGGGAACGTCGTGTTCGCGCTCGCCGGTGAAGGTGCTCCCGAGCTCGCATAATCATTTCGCGGCGAACTGTCGACCAGCGGTGACGGCGTAGGCTGCATTCGCCGGTCACGAAGGGGTCTCCGGCGGGCAGTGCTGATTTCTGTGAGCAACGCAGAGGGACCGTTTGAAATGACGTCAGCTGCGCTATGCGAGAGAGTCTTACCGTCGACGGCGCGGTTCATCTCGACCACCTTTCGATCACCCACTAGGACGTACTCGCGTCGAAGCATCCCGTCCTCTTCAGTCTCCCCCGGTATAGGACCCTCCGTAGACGACGGCTTGGGTAGTGTTGACGACTCTCGGCGGGGAGAGGCACGAGGCGACCTCGGAACTTCGACGATCCCTGTTGGACTACGCGTGGCATCAACATGGCATGCAGAAGTAAAGTTGTTCGATATATTACCTAGCGCTGGAAGAACCATCTTGTGGCGGAGTACCGACGATCTCTCGCTTCCTGAAGTTGAACTTACTAGGAGGGATCATCGCTTTAGGGTCGAGTACTTCTGGCGGGATGACCTTGTGGTGCTCTGGGATCACCGGCCGCCCATCAGACGTGTACTCAACCTCGGGCTCATCAGGCCACACTGGGGGCTCCGGCGCCGGCCTAGGGAACTTAGACTTTGCTAGGGCGGTGCTCCCGAAGAAATCTTCAAAGCTGCACCGTTCGGCGGGAAGGCGCTTCAGCAGCCCGCGAATGAGCTTCTTGACATCACTGGGTACCGGCTTAACCTCTTCCCCGGCACGCGGGTCCTCGTCGGGGAACTTGATGCCTTTCGTGTTGTCAATCTTCTTGATGAGCTCAATGTGGTTCGACGCGCGGAACGGCGGCTTGCCGACCGCCATCTCGTACAGCACCGCACCGACCGACCACAAATCCGCCTTGGCATCATATTTCTCGTACCGCAGAATCTCCGGGGCCATGTATAATCTGCAGACGCATGAGATGAAATGATATTAAAAAGGCTGAAAAGCATACGGCGAGCCACAGAGCGTCTCCGCCATCATCGCTTGGGGCAGCGATCGCGCAAATCCGAAATCGGCGACCTTCAGGATGGGAACACCAAGCGGGTGACCTCGGGCCAATTCGTCGGGTGCAGCGGGGTTCAATAACAAATTCTGGATCAGGGTAAGAAACGATCACATTGTGAACGCTGCACAGAGCAAGCGTACCTGGGGCTTGATGTCTCTGTGAATGAGGTTTCGTTGGCGCAGGAACTTGAGTGCTCGGGCTACATCTTGTTTGAGTAGGAAAGCATTTCGAGTGAACTGTGGCGCTCACCTAATTGCCGCAGAAAACTACGCACAACGATCTCGTCGAGCCCTCCTGTCCGTGGATGTGGGTAGTACACTGGCGCGGCGCCGGGAGACGGGATATACTCTAGTCCTTCTACCCTTCCACGCTTCTTGATGTAGTTGGAAAGGTCTCCACCGGCGCAATATTCGATTATGAGGTAAATATTTCGTTCTGCATGCTGTGAGGAGTTCGGTCAAGCCCACAACTACATTGAACGAATCACGTACGACAATGTCCAACAACCTCGTGATATGCCTATGTGAGAGTGTCTTCAGGATCTCAATCTCGCCCTTCAGGTTGTCGAATAGCTTTGGACTGAGGCCGGCTCTGCTGACGGTCTTGATAGCAACTTGTCTGTGTGTTTGCTATGATCGCCGGTCATGCAAATCGGACGGGTGCCATGGTGCCACTGATCGTGCTGCTCACCTCGTGATACCCTCGATAAACGGTAGCGAAGCTACCCTTGCCCAAGTCGCTTACGATGACATATGGCTTGACCTCATCGTCTTCGACCCGTCGGGTCTTGTCTGAGCTGTTGCCTAGTGCAGCATTCGCAGGCGACGGTGCGGCAGATGGAGCCATATCGAGCCTCGGTGATGGTGTTCCTCGAGTTTACCAGCCTTAGAGTGTGTTGAGTTCTAGTAGGAAATCGCGGAATCCCATTACAGCGAGCGAGTACTGGACGGAGCTGGGACCGATGGCTGGGTTACGGACATGATCGTGTTTGGGCAATGTGGTCACGGTGCGAGCCGGACCTAGTTGAGCCGCATGGATCAGTTCGGCCTGTAGTCGTTCTTGTCCAGTCTCGGCTCAAGTCATCGTCTGTCAGCCAATCGGAAGCGTGGATTTATTACGGTTCGGTTTCTGCAAGTCGAGTCGCACTTGTTAGTCAGCGGAGCTAATTATATGTTCACTGGCTCTCTCTGTTTCAAATTCACCAGTTACAGGTCAAAGACTACAATTATGGCCCCGAAGATGACTCTCCGCCTTCGTGCTCAGCTCTCAGTGATGCGCGAAATTCGCAGAAGCAAGTGATGTCGGCTGCAGCGCAAGCAGCATTACAAGGGACGGTTCTGCCGACGAGTTATCGGTGTTGCTGGTGACGCGGTTTACGTACTCCGATGCACTGGTAACACCACCAGTGATGGCACATATGGTCCAGATATCACGTTTGCCATCTCATCGTCCCCATATAAACGGTAATGCGTGCAGAGGTAAGTGAGTGAAACATCCATGTTGTGTCTTCGTCTTTTGTTCATATACCGTATCAAAAGTCAAAAGACCGAAGAGTTTCCTGAAGACTCACAATTTCATTATTCGCACTTCTGAGATGAAATGAAGATCACCGGCGCTCCAAAATTGGTCTTCTCTTCCTAAGATTGCGTCTCCCATGCTGCCTCGGTGCATCAAACATCAAACTTTGCCAATGCGTTGGGCGCCCAAAGGGATGGTTCTTGTCGTCTCTTCTGTACCACGCATTGCCCTTGTGAAGCCTGGATTCAAATTATTCGACTTTGGACGATATTATCTTTGCGTATCTAGAGAACGTAGACGACCAGGCGTTCATGTAAACGTGCAAGGAGCGATTCAACCGTCCGAGTCTTACAAATCTCCACCGGAATCTTGCTGGATGTGAACCAGGGTTATATTGGATCACGTTTGGTGGCTGCTCAGCCCTGATGTGCAAGACTGGATAGGAATACCAAAGCGGTGAGTATAGATCGAATACGTTCATGTTCGTCCATTAGAAGAGATCGGTGCTCATAACAGGATTGTCACGTATGAATGTTGTCATTCACTTGATGTCGACACCGGCGACCCTACAACGATATCTCCAATTTAGCAAATCGGTTAGTCATTCGTTCTTGTACTTCGACGATAGACTCGATCAGCAGTGGAGAATCGCGCGTTTGGTCGTTGATGACCCACATTTGACTCCGTTCTCCACACAGCGCTCCGTGGCATCGACTTTTCTACTCACTCAGTCGCTCGTGCCAACTGGTGACTTGTGCTAGTGTCCGCAGGCTTCCTTGCATCGACATCATTTACAAATTGACATAAATATTCCCCCCTTTCTTATAATCGGTCTCGTCCCCTTTCGTTTCTCCTTCCTACCTCAAGCTGCCTGTAATGTCCCAGTCTGACAGTCCCGTCACAAGATTCTGGGCTCCTCCTCCAGAGCCTGCGACGAAGCTCGGGCGCCACCGCCAGCTTGCACCTCTCGCAGGTGTCCATGTTTCTCCCATTTGCCTCGGGGGCCTCAGCCTCAACCTCGGAGGTAAAGTGGTCGAACTCGGCCTCGAAGGTTTAGACAAGGAGAAATCTTTTGAGCTGCTCGACGCCTTTCACGGAGCGGGAGGCAACTTCATCGACACCGCGAGCAACTACCAGGATGAAATGTCCGAGAAAATCATCGGCGAATGGATGGAAACGCGTGGGATCAGGGATCAAATGGTGATTGCGACGAAGGTATATGATTCTGGGATTGCTCCATCCGAAGCGTGTAATGATGGTCTACTGTTGCAGTATACGGCTAACATCAAGCGTACCGCCAACTTGCTCCAGAAGACACACTACGTGGGAAATAATCTCAAGTCTCTTCACCTCGCCATCGAAGGGTCTTTAAAGAAACTGCGCACGAGTTACGTCGATATTCTCTACTTGCACTGGGTATGTGCCTATGTACAACCATTATTACGGAAGCAAGCTCACAACCACGCTATTTTATTGACAGTGGGACTGGTGTTGTGGAGTTGAGGAAGTTATGAATGCCTTGCACAACCTCGTGGTCCAGCCTGAGAGCAAGGTGCTCTATCTGGTATGTCACGCATATGATCTCCAAGCTTTAACCAGCTCACCAGCACGATAGGGAGTCTCCGACACGCCTGCATGGGTGGTTGCTGAAACACATATGCGCGCCTGATCGGAAGGACCCCTTCGTTGTCTACCAAGGTGCTTGGGGCATCCTGCAACGGGATTTCGAGCGAGAGGTTATCCCTTTGTGTCGTGCTCAGGATATGTGCCGTCGATTCTCACATGCGCGACGAGACGTATCCGCCAGATGATGCCCTTCGCTCTTTCAAGGTATGACTATTGCACCATGGAACGTTTTAGCTGGGGGAAAGATCCGCTCAGATGAAGAGGAGGAGCGAAGACTCCGGACGGGAGAGAGAGGTGGGTCAAATGCATCTCCTTCGCTATCTGTGCCTGATATTGACATTGTCGTATAGGTCGAGCGACCTTCACCAATGGGTGGATGCGCACGCCAGAGGAGAGAAAGGTTTGTCAGGCGCTCGAGAAAGTGGCCAAAGAGGTGGGCGCGAGGAATATTACCGCAGGTATGTTCACCGCGATCTTAGTATGGATTGGCTGTAGATGCTGATGGTACGCACAGTCGCGATCGCCTATGTCATGCAGAAGACGCCATACGTGTTTCCCATCATTGGAGGCCGCAAGATTGAGCACCTCATGGACAACATCCAGGCACTCGAGATTGCGCTCAGCGCTGAACAGGTCGCGTACCTCGAGAGCGTCTTGCCATTTGACAGCGGCTTCCCTTACGATATAATAGTGCGTTCTGCTCCTTTACTCGTGGGGCGCGCGCTCACGAGAGATATAGGGCAACGGTACGGACTATCCGCGCCCATACAAATCGGCAGGCCACTTCGACAGGTGGCTGCTTCCACAGGCCATCTACCCCGTTAAGCAGAAGTGATGGCTTTGTGGTGATGTTCGAATTGCCAAAGTGTATTATTCGCCTCGTATAAATGATCCTTTCTGAAGTTGTACAAGTGCCATCCGTCTCGACTATTCGCTCTAGAAGGGAGCTATTTCCCAGGGCATCGTCTCACGCAACATTGCAATCAAGCTATCCGCTACTCTCCATTACCGCCCCAATTGTCCCGGATCATTCACGAACCCTCACGTGGCAGACGATTGTTCAATTCTAGTACACTCTTCGTGATCAAAAGGAGCTGGTAGCTTGGGAACCGTGATATTGTTTGCACGTGGCTCGGATTGTGAATTAGATCGGTATGTCGCACGGGCAATAGAGAGTCTACTGTTTGACGCACAGTCGCTAAAAACTCTTGACCTCACCTCGCTTCTTCATTTTTTCATATGCCGCCGTTAGCAACAACCAGGAAGAGTCACGCGCTCTGCCACGACCGCAACATGCCTCATGCATTAGGGCGACATTCCTCTGGCATCTGCAAGCTTGATTCTCCTAAATTCACTATATAGTGCAACGTAGCACAATGTAGCCACTGGTGGCATTAATGCCACAATTTCGACTCGTGGATAGCTGACGGATTCTCCGGAAATAACACCCACCTTGTTCTCGTATTCGAGAGCGTTGCCAATGTCCCCCCTCATGTATTACCTTGGTCGGATCCAGCTCCTCTCACGGGCACATGGAGCATCACTTGCAATTCCCACGCGGAGTGTTAACCACTGGGCGCTCCGAAATTGATAGTCTCAGGCCTTCAAAGCTTCAGGCCTTCAGGTCCCATCATGCCATCCCGCCGCGTCATGCGTAAACGATGGGGATGGCTTCTGACATTTCCTACTGTCGGCTATTCCGCTTAAGGTGCATGGTCTTGGCTTCATGTACGAGCTCTTTCAAGATATTCTGCTCACAAAGAGTTAGGCATAGCCGAGAGCTCATCGAAACCGGCAAGAAGAGTCCTGCTCAGGGTGAAGGCAAGGTACTGTGACTCTCGCAATCGTTTCAACCTTGTAAATGCAGCCTTCGACACTGGCACGAGGCGGACTTCTACCGCCCGAGTCTTACAAATCTTGAATAGAACCTGCGTCTGTGCCGTGAATGAGAGTCACGCGATCGGTGCAAAGGTCGGTCCTACTGAGCCTCCGCCAGGGACTCCGGAAGCGAAGGTAAGCGTTTATAGTAGACGCGCAAATCATTTTGTTTTGAGCCTTTCGGAGGGCCTTTCACGCCGCAAGTAACCCAAATACTACAACATTAACCGCATAAATGCAACCCAAGACCACTCGCGCTCCGTTGATTGATCAGCTTGTCTGTTCCACTTCGAAACACTGTTTGATGATATACTGCGCCGAGGTAGCGCAGAAAGAGGCGCGAGGGTGCTTGTCACTCAGAAATTGAATCTAGAATTCGTTGAGCCGCTCGACAAACATCAGACCCACATCCGCTCCGTCCGTATCATAGCAATAGTATGACGCCTACACACCTCCTTACCCTAGCCTCCATGCCGGACACTGACGCGTCCAGCTATACGTAGGCTTCCGCACATAAGCACCATGCATGAGTAATGCCACTCGTGGTGGGTTTAAAAAGCCTAACTTCTCAAACACGGTCATCCTCACCCCTCCTCATCCTTCTTGCCCACTTCTAACTGCCTGCGTTTTGCCACCATGTCCCAATCCGACAGTCCCATTGCAAGGTTCTGGGCTCCTCCTCCGGAGCCTGCTACAAGGCTTGGGCGCCATCGCCAGCTCGCACCTCTCGCCGGCATCCATGTCTCTCCCATTTGCCTCGGAGCTATGAGCCTCGGGGACAAGTGGGGTGAACTCGGCCTCGCGGGTATGGACAAGGAGAAATGTTTCGCCTTACTCGACGCCTTCTATGCAGCGGGAGGCAACTTCATTGATACCGCGGGCAACTATCAGGACGAGGATTCCGAGAAAGTACTTGGTGAATGGATGGAGACGCGTGGGATCAGGGACCAGATGGTTATCGCGACCAAGGTGGGCTATCCCCAGGGGTTTGTAGCACGGGATTCAAGTATTGATGGGCTGTTTTGCAGTATACGACCAACTACAAGCATGGCGTAGACATGCCGCAGAAGACGCATTACACAGGAAACAATGTCAAGTCCCTTCATCTCTCTATCGATGCATCCCTCAAGAAGTTGCGAACGAGCTATGTGGACATCCTCTACCTGCACTGGGTACGTGTTCTCCTACAACGCTCTGTCACAAAGCCAAAACCGATTACAACCACATTCACAGTGGGATTGGACTTGCGGAGTTGAAGAGGTGATGAACGCTTTGCACAATCTCGTGGTCACGGGCAAGGTCCTCTATTTGGTATGTCACGTTTCGATCGCAGCAAATTGTAGGCTGCTCACTGGAATCAAAGGGAGTCTCCGACACCCCTGCATGGGTCGTTGCTGAAGCAAACACATATGCACGCCTGATGGGCAAGACTCCCTTCGTCGTCTACCAGGGCGCTTGGAGCATCCTGCAACGGGACTTCGAGCGGGAGATCATCCCTATGTGCCGTGCTCAGGGTATGTGTCTCGCTGATCCTCACATCCGCGATGATGCTTATCTAACTGACGTGGTCGTCGTTCTCCGAAGGTATGGCTATTGCACCATGGGGTGTCCTAGCTGGAGGCAAGATCCGCTCAGACGAAGAAGAAGAAAGGCGGATCAAGAGCGGGGAGAAGGGTGCGTCCAACGCAATTGCTCATACCCCACTCACGCCCGTTCTAAACATCGGCATGTAGGTCGAGTGGGGTTCACCAGCGATTGGATGCGCACTCCGGATGAGAGGAAGGTCTGCCAGGCGCTTGAGAAGGTAGCCGCAGAGGTAGGCGCGAAGAGCATAACCGCAGGTACGTTCCCCTAGACCTCGATGCGACCCGAGTCTTCCACTCAACCTCATGCACAGTCGCGATCGCGTACGTGATGCAGAAGACGCCATACGTGTTCCCTATCATCGGAGGTCGCAGGATCGAGCAACTTACGGACAACATCCAGGCACTCGAGATCGCACTCAGCCCCGAGCAGGTCGCGTACCTGGAGGGTGTCCTGCCGTTTGATCTTGGCTTCCCCAGCAACATGATCGTGCGTGCTGCTGCTTTGCTGATGAATGGATTGGCTCACCAAAGATGTAGGGTGACGGAACGGACTATCCGGGCGCGTTCCGCTCGGCGGGCCACTTCGACAGATGGCCGGTCCCGCAAGCTATTCGTCCCGTGAAGCGGCAGTGAGAATATCGGTGGGCCCTTGGAATGGGATTACCTGTATTATAGTTGTACAAATTGGTGCAATTTAGGTACTCCATTATGAATGCGCACTATGAATTTAGCACGTCACCTATCTTTTGAGTGCCTTGCTCCGGCATCAACAACACTGTAGCGACTTGGACTTCCTTATTCCCTGCTACCGTCGAAAGTGATTAGAATCACTCAGGATCTCATCTAAGTATACTATCTCCCTGATTCTGTCGCAGTGGTTCTGGAAGAAAGACACCTGACATCGAGATAAGGCGCGGTAGCCTTTCTTTTGGAAACAAATTGCGGACACACTGATGTGATTGGGGTGATTCCAAGCAAAGGCATGTTCCGACTGTAGCACAAATGCCATACAGATCTATCCCGTGGACTTGCATTATCGGACTTGCATGTGTAGGATGTCGATCGAGTCAAATTGTTGATCTTACTTTGTATTCACTGATGATCGATGTAGATCGGTAGGTCGGCGCTCAGTAGGCACCTCGGAGGTGACGCAGAAAGGGGGGTGTGCTCGTCGCTCAGGCAGAGAATTCATGCAGACCCACATACACTCCGTCCGTATCTTATGACGTCTACGTTTCCCCATCAGGAAAACTGAAATCCGGCTTTGCCGTCACCAAAAAAGTCAGTAAGCTCCAGAAAGTCTCAGGACTTTCTTGTTTTGAATTTTTTGCTGGGTGGGAAGCTTCTTGTCGTGAACTTATTCGCTTGTACAAACCAATACCAGCAAGAACAAGTCAAAAAGGAGGTTCTCGAGCCACAAGTCGATTTCAGTTTTCTGATGGGTTGTCACCCTAGGGGCCTTCGTGCCGAATACTGACGCGTCTGGTTATACGTAGGCTTCCGCACATAAGCACCATGCATGAGTAATGACACTCGTGGTGGGTTTAAAAAGCCTAACTTCTTAAACACGGTCAGCCTCACCCCTCCTCATCCTTCTTGCCTATTCCTAACTGCCTGTGGTTTGCCGCCATGTCCCAATCCGACAGTCCCGTTGCAAGATTCTGGGCTCCTCCCCCGGAGCCTGCTACAAAACTTGGGCGCCACCGCCAGCTCGCACCTCTCGCGGGCATCCATGTCTCTCCCATTTGCCTCGGAGCTATGAGCCTCGGAGACAAGTGGGGTGGCCTCGGCCTTCGGGGCATGGACAAGGAGAAATGTTTGAATTTACTCGACGCGTTCTACACAGCAGGAGGTAACTTCATTGATACCGCGAGCAACTATCAGGACGAGGATTCCGAGAAAGTACTTGGCGAGTGGATGGAGACACGTGGGATCAGGAACCAGATGGTACTCGCGACCAAGGTGGGTTATCTCCAAGGCTTTGTAGCATGGGAGTCAAGTACTGACGCTCCGTTCTTGCAGTATACGTCCAATTACAAGCGTGGTGTGAATATGCCGCAGAAGACGCAATACACAGGAAATAACGTCAAATCTCTTCATGTCTCTATCGAGGCATCCCTCAAGAAGTTGCGAACGAGCTATGTGGACATCCTCTACCTGCACTGGGTACGTGTTCTCCTACAACGCTCTGTCACAAAGCCAAAACCGATTACAACCACATTCACAGTGGGATTGGACTTGCGGAGTTGAAGAGGTGATGAACGCTTTGCACAATCTCGTGGTCACGGGCAAGGTCCTCTATTTGGTATGTCACGTTTCGATCGCAGCAAATTGTAGGCTGCTCACTGGAATCAAAGGGAGTCTCCGACACCCCTGCATGGGTTGTTGCTGAAGCAAACACATATGCACGCCTGATGGGCAAGACTCCCTTCGTCGTCTACCAGGGCGCTTGGAGCATCCTGCAACGGGACTTCGAGCGGGAGATCATCCCTATGTGTCGTGCTCAGGGTATGTGTCTCGCTGATCCTCACGTGCGTGATGATACCTATCTACTTGACGGCGGTCTTCGCCCTTTGAAGGTATGGCTATTGCACCATGGAATGTCCTAGCTGGTGGCAAGATCCGCTCAGATGAAGAAGAGGAAAGGCGGCTCAAGAGCGGAGAGAAGGGTGCGTCCAACGCAATTGCTATAATACTGCACTCACGCCTGCTTTGAACATCGGCGCGTAGGTCGAGCGGGGTTCACCAATGAATGGTTGCGCACTCCAGATGAGAGGAAGGTCTGCCAGGCGCTTGAGAAGGTAGCCGCAGAGGTAGGCGTGAAGAGCGTAACCGCAGGTACGTTCCCCTAGACCTCGATGCGACCCGAGTCTTCCACTCAACCTCATGCACAGTCGCGATCGCCTACGTGATGCAGAAGACGCCATACGTGTTCCCTATCATCGGAGGTCGCAGGATCGAGCAACTTACGGACAACATCCAGGCACTCGAGATCGCACTCAGCCCCGAGCAGGTCGCGTACCTGGAGGGTGTCCTGCCGTTTGATCTTGGCTTCCCCAGCAACATGATCGTGCGTGCTGCCCCTTCACTGATGAGGGATTTGCTCACCAAAGATGTAGGGTGACGGAACGGACTATCCGGGCGCGTTCCGGTCGGCGGGCCACTTCGACAGATGGCCGGTCCCGCAAGCTATCCGTCCCGTGAAGCGGCAATGAGAATATCAGTGAGGTCTTGGAATTGTGTTACCTGTATTATAGCTGTACAAATTAGGGGCACCACGAATTTGGCATGTCACTGTACCTCTTGAGTGCACCGCTCCAGCATCAACAACATTGTGGCGACTCGGGTCTCCTTATTATCTGCTACCATCGAAATTGATTAGGATCACTCGCGATCCCATCTATACTGGTGGACGCGAGCGCACAAAAGATTCAGTCCAAACATACTTCACGAGCGAACGCTAGCAATAGTATTCATTCCAGGAGGCACACAGCAAAGGAGTTGCAACCCGAGCAGAATGATAGATGGTCGAGCGGTGCCGGTCAGTGTACGTAGATGATGGACGCATGAAGTGCAGATCAGTCGTTTTGATTAAGTTGTGGCCCGGGAGTAACGGACAGGAAAGGCAACTGACATAAGCTATCTGAGATCGAAACCTTAGATCGCTGACTGTACAGAACCGCCCGCGCTCTGCTCATCCTCACCGACAGCGACAAGCTCCCAACCTCAACACATCATGGGAAAAGGTCGGCTCTCTATCACTCCCTTCTGCTGAGAATGTGTCGCTGACACGAGCACTACTCGCGGCGGACAGTTCACGGATCTCTTGCCCGTGCCGGCAAAGTCAAGTCGCAGACCCCAAAGGTCGAAAAGCAGGAGAAGAAGAAGACTCCCAAAGGTCGTGCTAAGAAGCGGATTCTCTACAACCGCAGGTGCGCACGCCGTGCTTCAGACAGTTTCTTCAAGTTTGGCTGATGGTTTGTGCAGATTCGTGAACGTCACGACACTCCCTGGTGGCAAGAGGAGAATGTGAGTCTTCCGTTCTGTTCTTTTGCGCTCTCTCCGCTGCTTCCTTGCACAGGGTTTGGAGGATGATACAACCATCTTATGCATAGTTCACACTGAATACTCGTGTTGATAAACATTCATCTTGTCTTTCGCTCCTATCTGATCTTTCCTTCGCTTATACTCCCTTTCTTCGCGCGCTCGTTGCTGATTAACATCGTCCATGCAGGAACCCCAACCCCGAGAAGTGAACATTCATTCGAGTTTCCTCTTCTTCGACGCACTAGGCGTCATCGCCGGGCAATATGCCGCTTCACTATCCTCGACAGACGGATGTCCGGGAGTAATCTGGCTGGGGAGTCCCATCTTGCTGTTGTATCACTCGCATTCTCGTCATTTCATGTTATCCGCATGCCTGCCTAGCTTTCTCCATGACTATGATATCAGGCAGCCGTTTCTCCTTACCATGCGCTGCGATGAGTTCGCGCTCGTCTTCGATCAGACGTTCATCCTGCTTCAAGTTGTAAGTCTTGGACTCCGTTTTTCAAGAATGAAGATTTAGCACCAGAAGGTAGGACAGGGTATCTGTACATGACAGGATCTAGGAGTATACTATTGTATCATCGTAGCCATGACGGTGATCAGATCCTTGTCTGCCTTCGGCGGCGACTCTCCCTTCATATTGAGGTATGCTGTGCGCAATCGTTCAGTCGAAAGCTCATCAATGCTCTGCAACATTGTCGTTGTCGGCCCTGGTGTCTGCGATGCCGATGACGTCATGAGGCGCGGCTCTGTGACCAGTCGTTGTGTGCACTAGAAGAGAATGACTAGCATGAGGGCAACAACGGTACGGAACTGGCAATTAAGGATACACACCAGCTTGACGCCATACCACGCTCGCAATGTAAGGCTTGTAGGTATCGAATCCTGAGGAGGGACGGGTCCGTCATCGTCGTCCGTCATATCGACTGCGATGAGGAACATCTTGAGCGATAGAGTTAAGTCACCAGCTAGGTATGCCGTTTCGGCAAATTGCAAGAAGTAGAATGGATTCTGAGGTGCTAGCAGAAGGACGTGCGAGAGAGACTGAAGTGCATAGGTGTACCTTCAGACGAGAACATGAGCAACAGATAGCACGAAGATAGATTGAACAAGCTCACTGTTGGCATGAGGAATACATGTCGGCGAGCTCCAGCCATCCCCCAACGTCCGCGTAAAATGTGTCGAGCATCGCAGAGAGTTCCTCTACGGCCTTATCGATCTTGCCCATGTTGCGGAGCACAACGGCCTTTCTTCGCCAAATGCCCTGGTAGAGAGTGGACGTAAAAGCTAATATTACACAAATGCCAGAGTTGGAACGGTATGCTCACCGGGTTCGCCTCATCTGCCTCCAGAAGTTCCTCGTAGTACTTCAGAGCTACGTTCAGAGGTTCTGTGGCCTCCATCCTGATACCCTGAAGAAGCTCCACTCTTGAAGAGCCAGGGTATTTGTCGAGCAGGCGTACGAGACATTGCTAACGACACGTTGACGCGTCCACCGAACAAGAATCGGCCATGATGATCAGCGCGATTGTAGACTGGTGTGAAGACGATTACCGTACTCACATCGGCTGTCTCAATATCCCCTTCATCTAACGCTGCAAGGGCCAGCTTCTCCAACGCGTCCCAGCCTGCAGCACACCCGTTGATCGGAAACCGTCGTGGACCTCAGACAGGAGATGATTGACCTTCGTCGCCTTGCTTCGCATACCTGCCGCTGCGCAGCAGCGCAAGGCCCTCGTCAAGAGTCGCCTTTGACTTTGGCGTGCTTTGCCGTCGGTAGCTGGCGAGCTTTTGGAGAGAGTGCGTGAAGTCCATGGTCAGTGAACACGGTCACGGCGGCAATTGCGCGGAGGACTCTGTGGCGGCGCATCTGGCGCTGTCACATGTCTCTGCTTTTCAGGTTTCCATGTTCTCCACTTTGCTGCCGGTTTTTCTCTGCGGCCACAAACAGGCGGAAGTCTGGTCTTTTCCGTTTGGGAGTATCCTATAGCAGTGCACATATGAGCCTGACGGGCAGGTACGTTTTTCTTTTCGTTGTCCAGCTGCCGGCAGGTCTCAATTTGTGCAGCCAGGCCCGACATGCAAAAAGCTACTGCACCAGCCCTTCAATAGAGCTCAAAGATGCGATACGGATCAAAGATCTGACTCTGCTCGTTCCGTTCACTGATGGTGCGCAATGGCCAGCGGAGGAAAGCACGCTGCAGCCTGTCCGCATCTCCCTTACGGTACCGCACGATGTCAGACAGACAGCGACAACTGATGACCTCTCCTCCTCGATTGATTACTCCGCTCTGCTCTCGTCTGTGCATCATGCTTGCTCCTCGTCTCCTGCGAACTCTCTCGAAATTCTCTCTGACCGAATATTCCGGACTTGCTTTGAAACCCATCCGGAGGTCGAGCGGTTGTGTTTGAAGGTTACCAGGCCGAAGGCGCTATTGCATGCTGACGCGGCTAGCATCGAGTCGACGAGGACTAGGTCTGGCGTGCAAGAACTAGCAGTGCGGCTCACCATCGAAAACCTGGAGTGTGATACGATCGTCGGTGTAAATCCTGCCGAACGAGAGCAGAGGCAACGCGTGCGCTTCAATGTTGCCTTGGACAAAAACCGGAAAGCCAACGCATCATTTAGCTTCCGCGAACTGACACATAAACTGTCCGAGGCAAGTTTTACAATGTGGCAGCCGCAACTTCTGCTTATCCGACCATGTGTAGCATATAGCGGCCTCATCCTATTTCACACTCGAAGCATTGGCCTCATCTGTAGCACGCACAACTCTCAACTATGTGGCAGACCCTGAGGCGTGTGTCACCGTCCGAGCGGGGAAGCCAAGCGCTCTCGCTCTAGCGGAGGCAGCCGAAGTGGAGATCTCTCGCACACTATTTGACTACCCCTACGAATTCGCTACTGCAGTTCCGCAGTCTGCACAAGGTGCTACCTCCTCACAAGGGTCTACGAATCTATCTTCGCTTATAGCTGCGCTTCCTGGACAAGGCGACACTGTCTCGTCGTTGACCCATACCGCTGCGATCGCGCTTGGGGCTAACCTTGGGGACCGCTTTTACAATGTTGAGCTTGCTCTTCGCCTGCTGGAGGCGCCCTGCGGAGACCTTTCGCAGACGACCGGCAAGCCGAGGGCGGTGGTTGTGGATACGAGTTTTATGTACGAGACGGAGCCGATGTACGTTACGGATCAACCGAAGTTCATCAATTGTGCATGTATAGTGTGTGTCTCCAGATCAATCGTCTGATATGCAGCTGACGGCATAGATCAGATCAAGACGGACATGGCGCCGCTTGAGTTGCTCGGGTTTGTCAAGGAAATTGAGAACACTGTCGGCAGAGTGACATCGTTCAGGAACGGTCCTCGAGCTATCGACCTGGACATCCTGATGCATGACTCGCTTGTTATGGACTCGCGAGTGGAGTCGGAGAGAGGCACGCTGGACAACCTCGCTGGACAGCTCGTGGTGCCTCATCCGCGCATAGCGGAGCGCGAGTTCGTCTTGCGACCTCTCAACGAGTATGTATGCTCACGCGACGATCATACTCGAGCTGATTCATCGAACATTTCTTAGCATGATACCTGACTACATTCATCCGGTATCTGGAAAGTCCGTCCAAAACCTCCTCAAGCACCTTCTTAGACGGCAAGCTCCTAACGTAGATCCCATGCACAAGGTCATGCCCTTCCCCCGCTACCCTCACTCTGCGGAGCCCGGATCCCGACCTTCCTCCCCCGCACTCGAGAACATACCTCCGGTGCCTCCTACTGCCACGTACTGGCGTTTTCCGCTACCTTCGATGAAACCTCATGGCGAGCGGAAGACGTATATCATGGGGACGCTGAACGCCACGCCAGACTCATTCTCTGATGGATCCGTGCATAATACCATTCCTGCTGCCCTTGCGTATGCGATCTCCTCTGTAGTGGCTGGTGCAGATATCATCGATGTGGGTGGCTACTCCACGCGTCCGCGGGCAGAATATGTCTCACCAGAAGAGGAGCTCTCACGCGTCGTTCCAGTGATTCAAGCTATCAGAGGTATCGGTCAAGATTCCAAGACGGACGCAGGACAAGGCGTTCCTGAGGGTTTATCTCAAGCGATGAAGGGTGCGGTCGCCGAAGTCCCCATCAGCGTAGACACATTCCGCGCGGATGTAGCATCCGCGGCGATACTGGAGGGGGCGAACTGCATCAACGACGTCCATGCGTTCACCGGTCCTGACTACCCGCTGACCTCATCTTCCGCCGAACACTTCCTCGACATGCGCGCTGTAGCGCGGAACCTCGCAGTGCCCGTAGTCCTGATGCACTCTCGCGGAGAAGCATCTGCGAACAAGGATTACTCGGCCTACGACTATGCCGCAGACGAGGAGGGGCGCGGGGCCGTCCTGGAAGGCGTTCGAGTGGAGCTGTGCGCGAAGGTCGAGGCAGCGGTGAAGGGACCTGGTGGCATCCGTCGATGGTTCGTGATCCTCGACCCAGGCGTCGGCTTTAGCAAGACTGTTGAGGGAAATTTGGAGGTGCTCAGAAATGCAGCGACCCTAACCACTGAATATCTTCCAAGTTATCCTCGTTCCCGGAGGAGGAACACACTGGCTGGCTACCCGCAATTGATCGGTGCCTCGAGAAAGTCATTCTTGGGAGCCATCCTGGCGAAGTCTGACCCCAATGGCAGCTACAAGGGTAGGGAGACGAGGCCGGACGAGAGAGGGTGGGCGACTGCGGCTGCTGTGAGCTGTGCAGTTCAGCAACGAGCTGCAGTGGTGCGTGTGCACGACGTGCTCGAGTTGGGTGACGTCGTGAGGATCTGTTCCGCGCTTTGGGCTTGATGTTGAGCGTTCATTCATACAGTACGTATGCGAGTGCCCCTGCGCCGGGCTTGTCAAATATGTATATGTGCATTCGAGTCGCTGTTATCCTTAGCGTCGTCGGAGACGAGTGATCTCCCAAACTATCCAAGCAACTCGATCTGTATGTAGTTGAACTTAGATGGACTCCTGATGGATTGAACCATTGCAGGACCATTTAACCATGTCGTTCCTCTGCTCCCGAGGTTTCCTGGGTGACCGTGATTGGAAGCGATGAGCGTCAATCCAATCCAAGCTGTCTCTGGCAACAACTTGATTTGAAGCTTGACGCGCCGTTATCCTCTTCTTTGAACCGCATCCGTCGAAGATTGGTCATGTTGGGGCTCTGTTATTGGTCTAATATGGGGTCAAAATCAGCTCAGGTCGCTGGCAAGATACTTCGAGACTTACTGAATGATCCGGAGAAGCAACAATCGACGGTCGCGATAGCGGCCTGTACAACATTGAAAGGCGACATCCACTGTTACGTCCGGACGCATGATGGTGTTATCGAGCAGCGGTGTTTGGAACAATGTTTAGTTCAAGTGCCTGTCTCCGAGTCTGGTAGGTTTAGTTCTGTCTAATGTTTATAGTTCCCTCCCACCGCATCGCGATGCTAATAATGTATGTCTGGCTTGACCATCCAGAAAAAAGTGAGTATCTGTATTGTGGGTTCGAGCATTGTCGAATCGTGTCTTGACCCATGCCTCAGCCCATGTCCCCCAGACCGGCGGGTGGAAGCCGGGTACGTCACTCAAGTCTGATAGACACGTCCTACTTCTCAAACTTTCTAATGAAACAGGAGACTTCCGACACGAATGCAGCCCGAAAAGCCAGCTCAGCGGCCTGGCAGTACGTAGTCTACTTCATTCCTTCTTCTGTTGTTCCGACTTATGCGCCACAGTGGGGCTCTGGCCGAGAAACACTATTTTATCAGCATGCAGACAACACCATACGCGAGGCTAGGTATGATAGTCGCTGGTACGATACCAACTTCGCCCAGGCGGATGTCATGCCGGGAACACGTATCGCTGCTGTTTGCACGCCAGACGGTCTACGTGCTATGCTCTTCTTCCAGGACTCCGAAGGCTACATATGCTATCGGTCCGTCGTGTCCTGTGGACCTTCTTACTCACTGTCGCTCACATGACTTGTTAGACGCGCTTGGAGCTGGAACTGGGAAGCCAATGCCACACGACTTGTCGAGGCTGCACCATTCTCCCCCCTAACGGTGAAACTGCTTAACAGGAAAGATGATGCTGGTATGGCTGCGGTCCCTTCTCACAAATGTTCATTGCACAATACCTTGCACAGACTATTCTCTCTTCTATGTTTATGTCTTCTACCAAGACCAAAATTTAGTCCTCAGAGAGCAGGGCACTGGAACCTTTGGTGAAAAATGGTGAGTTCTCGGAGAGTCATCGACGTACCAATTGTCGTGAAAATCTAACGCTGTTTATCAAGGTTCATTGGTGATTTTGTTGAGGACGTACAGCGACCCGTGAGCTCTCTGGCCACGAACGGACCACTGGGGAAGCACTTGAAAGACAGTGATAAACAGAAGTACTCCGATGGCTCTGCTGTCAAAATACTCTACAATGACCCCCGTGCCCTCTGCATAAAGGAGCGTATCTATGTACCGTGGGAATGGAAATTGTGAGTTGTGATCCTCTGGTCTTCCTTGATACCTCTTGATTGTTGCCCATGCTATACCACTAGAAGCCAGACGGTGTGCCCTGCTCCCCAGGATAGCTGCATTGCTGCATGCGCGTATGTCTCGGACAAGGGGATCGTCACCAATCTTTTCTGGGCCAGCCACGATTCGGTCCGTGTTCATCTGCCCCTGCAACTGAGCGTGCCGTCGTTGACTATTATTGACACCAATCGACTCCTCGCACAGGTCATACACCACCATGTATGGACACCGCAACTGCATTGGGTGACACCGTCCGTGATTGAATACGACATGCCCACGCGAGGGTCCAAAGTGGGCCCCTGGAAGGGCGCGCCATTCGATGGTCAGTGTTCCTTTCTTGAACCTTTTTTTTTTTAACTCGATCGGTAAATTCGACTGACCTGTTCATCATGTATCCACGTCGTGCAGACGAGTCTCACCCCATCAGCGCCTGGCGCAAGGTGATCAAAATGATCGATATCCGATCATACGACGCCATCGATGGAATGGCCTTGGGATTCACGGACGGCAGCTATACCGACTGGCGTGGCGGATACGGTGGTCGTCTGAATTCGCCCTTCGAGCTGTGTCCCGGTGAGCTCCATCGTACCTCACCACGCCGTATCATTCACTACAGCAGCTCACATCAATCTCAACAGGCGAGAACATCACACAGGTCCTCGTCCACTTCGACAACGACTACATCCGGGCGGTACGCTTCAGAACGTCACGCGGTACGCCCCCTCCCTTTCCCACCCTTGCGCACCCCTTTGTGGGTCAGCGCTGTCGTCGTCAGCCACTGAGCGGCAGTGAGACAGGCAGAGAATCGGGGCTGTTTGGACGTGCGAATGGCGCACCTTCAGTGCTCTGCAAAGACGGCAAAGTGCTGGCAGGTTTCATCGGCACCACAGGGATCTTCCAATCATCGGGTAATACGGTGTTGACAGGCCTCCAGGTGAGTCAGATCATCGTCTCTCCTCGATGATTGTCCTCTCAAGATGCTGATCTCCTGACAAGCCGTTATGGAGAGACAAGTGAACCTGAGCATCAAGAATCTTCTGCTCGATCATCATGCCGTCTATCTGCTCGTCAATTGTGTCTGTTGAGGAAAAGAGCCCAACTCATGGTCTCCCTCTTTTTTGGTAATTCTTGTACTCGCCGACACCGAAGAACAGTCGATGCGTATATAAACCGTTGAGCGTGCTATTGTTTTTGACGCACGGACAGCTGTCAGTCTCAACATCTCTGTCCACACAATTCAGGCGCTACTACCGTCGATAAGCTCCTCGTATGTCGTTCAATGACTCCATTGCATGACTTACGGTCGAACAGCTGTCTTGCACATGTACTTAGGTGCACTAATGGAGCTCTGTCTGTTCCTCTTGAGTTTTCTCTAACACTCGGAACCGCAATCTCAGCTGATCATCGATCAGGCGTGACGTTGCGCGGTTAGCGCAAGCGAACTAGGTTTTTCTTATATTTTTGCCTTCGTCTCTCGTACCTCAGGTCTCGAGGTCTACTAGCTACGCCTCCTACTCTACGCGAACGGTCTGCCATCTCAGTCGCCGACCCAAATACACCTTTGCTCCTTTGAACTGCTAATCTACCATGGGATCAGAATCAACTCAGGCCCTCACAAGCAAGACACCTCGAGGATTATCCAGTCATGCGGAGAATCAACAACCGGCGGTCGCGATAGCGGCCTGTGCAACATCGAAAGACATCATTCACTGCTATATTCGGACGCTTGATGGCGTTATCGAGCAGCGGTGTCTGGAACAACGTTTGGTGCATGTGCATGTTTCCGAGTCTGGTAGGTTTAGTTCTGTCTCATGTTTACCGTTCCCTACCACCGCACTGCGATGCTAATGATGTATTTCTGGCTTGGCCACCCAGAAAAAGGTGAGTATCTGGATTCTGTGTTGTGTGTTCGAGATCGTCGTATCTTTTCTTGACCGATGCCTCAGCCCATATCCCCCAGACAGACGGGTGGAAGCCGGGTATGTCACTCAAGCCTGATAGACACACCCTATTTTTGAGCTCTCGCGTGAAACAGGAGACTTTCGACGTGAATGCAGCCCGCACAGCCAGCTCAGCAGCCTGGTAGTACGTAGTCTACTTCAATCCTTCTTCCATTTATTCCGACTTGTGCTCCACAGTGGGGCTCTGGCAAAGAAACACTATTTTATCAGCATGCAGACAACACTATACGCGAGGCTAGGTATGATAGTCGCTGGTACGATACCAACTTCGCCCAGGCGGATGTCATGCCGGGAACACGTATTGCTTCTGTTTGCACGCCAGATGGTCTACGTGCCATGCTCTTCTTCCAGGACTCCGAAGGCTACTTATGTTATCGGTCCGTCATACCTATGAACCTTCTCACTCGCTGTCACTTACACGACTTGTATAGACGTGCTTGGAGTTGGAACTGGGAAGCCAATGCCACGCGGCTTGTCGAGGTTGCACCGTTCTCCGGCCTTACGGTGAAACTGCTAAATTGGGGAGATGACGCTGGTATGTCTGTGGTCCCCTTCTCATAAACGTTCCCTGCGCAATATCCTGCACAGATCACTCTCTCCTCCAGATCCATGTATTCTACCAAGACCAAAACTTAATCCTTAGGGAGCAGGGCAGTAGAGACTTTGGTGCAAAATGGTGAGTTCTCTGACAGTCACCAATGTCCCAATTATCGTGAAAATTTAATACGGTTATGAAGGTTCATTGGTGATTTTGTACAGGACGTACAGCGAACCGTGACCTCTCTGGCAACGAATGGACCACTGGGTAAGTACATGCATGATAGGGAGCAGTACTCCGATGGCTCTGCTGTCAAAATATTTTACTACGACCCGCGTGCCCTCTCCATAAGAGAGCGTGTCTATGTGCTGTGGGACTGGAAATTGTGAGTTGTGATCGTCTGGTCTTCCTTGATACCTCTTGATAACTGCCCATGCTATCCCACTAGAAGCCAGACGGTCTGCTCTGCTCCCCACGACAGCAGCATTGCTGCATGCACGCATGTCTCAGACAAAGGGATCGTGACCAATCTCTTCTGGGCCAGCCACAATTCGGTGCGTGTCCATCCGTGGTGTGCAACTGAATGCGCCGTCGTTGACCGTCATTGACACCATTGACCAATCGACTCGTCGTACAGGTCATACACCACCATGTTTGGGCACCACAACTGCATTGGGTGACACCATCCGTAATTGCATACGGCATGCCCACGCGAGGGTCCAAAGTGGGTCCCTGGAAGGGTGCGCAATTTGATGGTCAGTGCTCCTTTCTTAGACGTTTTTTTGAACTTGATCGACAAATGCGACTGACCTGCTCATCATGAATACTACATCGTGCAGACGAATCTCACCCCACCAGTGCCTGGCGCAAGACAATCAAGGCGATCCATATCCGATCATGCGACGCCATCGATGGAATGGCCTTGGGATTCACAGACGGCAGCTACACCGACTGGCGTGGCGGATACGGCGGCCGGCTACATTCGCCGTTCGAACTGTGCCCTGGTGAGCTCCGCCGTACCGCACCATGCCCCATTATTCACTACAGCAACTCACATCAATTTCAACAGGCGAGAACATCACACAGGTGCTCATCCATTTCGACAACGATTACATCCGGGCGGTACGCTTCAGAACATCACATGGTACGTCCCCTCCGCCCGCATGCACACACCTTTGTGGGTCAATATTGTCGTCGTCAGCCACTGAGTGGCAGTGAGACAGGCAGGGAATCGGAGCTGTTTGGACGTCCGGATGGCACACCCTCGGTGCTCTGCAAAGACGGCAAGGTATTGGCTGGCTTCATCGGTACCACGTGGACCCATCATTGGATGGATTCCCCAGTGTTGACAGGTCTCCAGGTGGGTTGGTTCATCGTCTCCCCTGGATAATTGTCCATTCAAAATGCTGACCTCCGAGTGACAAGCCGCTGTGGAGAGACAAGTGAATCTCAGCATCAAGAGTCTCCCACTCGATCATCATGCTGTCTATCGTCAATTGTGTTGTTGAAGAAAAGAGCCCAACTCATGGCGTCCCTCTTTTTGGTAATTCTTGTATTCGCCGACATCGAAGAACAGTCGATGTGTATATAAACCGTTGATTGTTGTTCTGACGATTTCTTCACCGATTGCATCTTTCTTGTCCATCGGACAGGACTCTCATCAGTCTCAAACCTCTGGGATATGCCTTAATCACTCGGACCGCTGAGTGCGAACAAAATACACGCTATTCCAGCACGTAATGCCACTATGTCAAGCATCGTCATAAAAACTCACAAAACACACTTTCCAGTACATAATTGTAGAAAACGAGCATGTGACATATTCGTCCAGAGACACAGCCAGTGACATCGCGCCGCCGCCCTCTCACAGCTCATGCATTGACTTGACAGAGCCACCCCAGTACCAGAACCACTTTGTGAATGAAATCATGTCGGAAGATGTCGAATGATCGCTTGCGCTAGCTGCGCAAGCGAGACTTGACCAACATATATAAATTTGTCCTTCCCCTACGCAGAACGTAAACCGATATCCTTTTCAAGAGGTTTAGAGGTTCCGTTCATCGATCAAAAGCGAGCGAACGTCAATCCAAGCTGTCTCACCGACGGTGATCTCTTCTCTGAACTGCGTCCATTCAAGACTGCTCACGTCGGGAATCTACCATGGGATCAGAACCAACTCAGGTCACCAGCATGATACCTCGAAACTTAGTGAATGATGTGGAGAATCAACAATCGACCGTCGCGATAGCAGCCTGTACAACGTCGAAAGGCAACATACACTGCTATGTTCGGACGCTTGATGGCGTTATCGAGCAGCGGTGTCTAGAACAACGTTTGGTGCCAGTACCTATCACCGAGTCTGGTAGGTTTAGTTCTGTCTGATGTTTTAATTCTCTCCCACCGAGCGTGATGCTAATGATGTGTGTCTGGCTTGAAGACCCAGCAAGTGGCAGTGAGTATCTATATTATCTATATTATGGGTTCGCGCATCATCGTATCTTTTCTGAACCCACGCCTCAGGCCATATACCCCAGGCAGGCGGGTGGACGCCGGGTATGTCACTCAAGTCTATAGACACGTCCTACTTCTCGAGCTCTCTCGTGGAACAGGAGACTTGCGACGCGAATGCAGCCCTAAAAGCCAGCTCAGCGGCCTGGCAGTACGTAGTCTACTTCATTCCTTCTTCCATCATTCCGACTGGTGCGCCACAGTGGGGCTCTGGCCAAGAATCGCTATTTTATCAGCATGCAGACAACAGCCTACGCGAGGCTAGGTATGATACTAGTCGCTGGTATGATACCAACTTCTCCCAGGTGGATGTCATGCCGGGAACACGTATTGCTTCTGTTTGCACGCCAGACGGTCTACGTGCTATGCTCTTCTTCCAGGACTCCGAAGGCTACTTATGCTATCGGTCCGTGATACACTATGAACCTTCTTACTCGCTGTCACTTACACGAGTTGTCTAGACGTGCTTGGAGCTGGAACTGGGAAGCCAATGCCACGCGGCTTGTCGAGGTTGCGCCATTCTCCGGCCTCACGGCGAAACTGCCATACAGGGAAGACGACGCTAGTATGTCTGCGGTTCCCTTCTCACATATGTTCTCTGCACACCATCCTGCACAGAACACGTTTTCTTCCATATCTATGTATTCTACCAAGACCAAGACTTCGTCCTTAGAGACAAATGCACTGGTGACTTTGGCGCAACGTGGTGAGTTCTCTGAGATACAACAACGTCCCAATTGTCGTGAAACTCTAACAACGCTTAACAAGGTACTTTACTCGTTTTGTTGAGGACGTACAGCGACCCGTGAGCTCTCTAGCCACGAATGGATTGGGAGGGTACGGGGATGATGCGGAGCAGTACCCCGATGGCTCTGCTGTCAAAACACTTTACTACGACCCGCGTGCCCTCTCCATCAGAGAGCGTGTCCATGTGCCATGGTCCGAATTGAAACCGTGAGTTGTGATCGTCTGGTCTTCCTTGATACCTCTTGATAACTGCCCATACCATACTACTAGAAGCGAGACCGTCTGCCCTGCTCCCCGCGGTAGCAGCATTGCCGCATGCACACATGTTTCAGACAAAGGGATTGTGACCAATCTCTTCTGGGCCAGTCACGATTCGGTCCGTGTTCGTCCGCGGCGTGCAACTGAACGTGCCGTCATTGACACCTATCGACTCCTCGCACAGGTCATACACCACCAAGTATGGACACCGCAACTGAATTGGGTGACACCGTCCGTGATTGAATACGACATGCCCACGCGAGGGTCCAAAGTGGGCCACTGGAAGGGCACACCGTTCGATGGTCAGTGTTCCTTTCTTAAATCTTTTTTTTATTACTTGATCGACAAATTAATGCGACTGACCTGTTCATCATGGATTCACGTCGTGCAGACGAGTCTCACCCCATCAGTGCCTGGCGCAAGGTGATCAAGACGATCGATATCCGATCAGGCGACGTCATCGATGGAATAGCCTTGGGATTCACGGACGGCAGCTATACCGGCTGGCGTGGCGGATACGGTGGTCGTCTGAATTCGCCCTTCGAGCTGTGTCCCGGTGAGCTCCATCGTACCTCACCACGCCGTATCATTCACTACAGCAGCTCACATCAATCTCAACAGGCGAGGACATCACACAGGTCCTCGTCCACCTCGACACCTACATCTGTGCTATGCAATTCAGAACGTCACGCGGTACGCCCCCCTCCCTTTCCCACCCGCGCGCACCCTTTTGTGGGTCAGCGTTGTCGTCGTCAGCCACTGAGCGGCAGTGAGACAGGCAGAGAATCGGAGCTATACGGACGTGCGGGTGGCTCATTCTGGGTGCTTTGCAAAGACGGCAAAGTGCTGGCAGGTTTCATCGGCACCACAAGGATGTTCCGGGGGTCGGGTAATCCGGTGTTGACATGCCTCCAGGTGAATCAGTTCATCGTCTCTCCTCGATGGTTGTCCTCTCAAGATGCTGATCTCCTGACAAGCCGCTATGGAGAGACCAGTGAATCTGAGCATCAAGAATCTTCTGCTCGATCATCCTGCCGTCCATCTACTCGTCAATTGTGTCTACTGAGGAAAAGAATCCAACTCCGAATGTTGTCCCTCTTTTGATAATTCTTGTACTCGCCGACGTCGGAGAGCAGTTGATGTAGATATAACAAATTGTTGATTGTCGTTGTAACGATTTCTTCACCGATTACATCTTTCTTGTCCCTCCGACAGGACTCTCATCAGCCTCAAATCTCCGGTATATGTCTTGTCATTCTATCAGCTGAGTGCAAAGTGCATATATACACTGCAGACATGAAGGCATTTATTCCCCTTGCAAATGCTCTGAAAATGTGTTCTAAAGTGTGACCTATGCAACACTATGCCCTAATTAAGCAACTTTGTGTCCCAAAAAGGCAGTTAATTACAATTTAGTGTCATTTAATAACAAAAACGAACGGTCGCAAATGCTTTCATGTCTGCGGTGATATGTGCAGGGCACATCCTCAGGTCGCAAGACCGACTAGGGCAAAAGCAGGGCAAAAACAGAACAAGCCGCGAACCAAAGCACAGCCCGCGACAGAAGACTGGCCGCCAACGACTACGACTCACCGAAAAAACACTCACAACACACGCTATCCCAGCACATAATCGTACAAATCGAACACCCATGCACTAAAATATAAAATACAACATGCCCACTGACATCGCGCTGCCGCCCCTCTCACAGCTTTGCATGCTCGCCTGGGCCCGGAGGCACCCCGTTCGGGTTGAACCTCAGTGCATCCTTGTTACGATACACGTCCTGCGTGATGGATTTGTACCCCGCGACGGTCATCAATATATCCAGCTCCTGCACACGCATCAGCCACCGCACGCCCAAGCAAAAAAAACTTCCCACGCAGACTCACCGCAAGCAAGCTCTTCATGACGTGCCGGCATCCATACTCGCCCTCGTGCGCCATGCCCCACACGTAGAGCCGCCCCACCTCGACGACATGCGCGCCCAGCGCAATCGCCTTGAACACGTCCGCGCCCGTGCGCACGCCCGAGTCGAATATGATCGTCATCTCTGCTCGCGCATCAGCGATCCGACCCCATCGAATCCCAGGCACACTCAACTATCACCGACCGCCTCCGCGATTTCCGGCAAGACCTCAAGGCTGCCCACCGCACCGTCCACCTGCCGGCCCGCATGGTTCGTCACAACGATCCCATCACACCCCACCTCGAGTGCTCGCCGCGCATCCGCCGCACTCTGGATCCCCTTCAGCACGAAAGGCCGCCCGCCCGAGATCTTCTTCCACTGCGCGCCACTTAGTTAGTCTCTATGGCACGAGCACAACCAGGACGCGCACCTCGCCAATCAACCACCGGACCTTCTCCCACGTGTGCGCCTTGCCGTGCCACACGCTGTAGTCGATCCATTTGCCCGAGTCGCGCGCGAGCTCGTCGCCGTGCTTGCGCATGAACACTGGGTCCGACATCCCGATCTCGTTGCCTACCTTTGTGGGGGCCAGCGTGAGTCAGCTGTCAGGGTGCTCGACTCACGGTACCGGGATAGTAGAACCTGTCGTCGCAGTTAGCATCGAAATCGCCGGGGCCTCGACGTGCACTCACGTATAGTTGGCGAGGTTGATGTCTGTTGGGCGCCAGCCGAGCTGCCAAGTGTCCGTCGTGAGCATCAGCACGTCGAAACCCGCCCGCCATGCGCGCGTGATGAGCGAGAGTGTCTGGCATACGTCAGCTTTCGCATTGCAGCACCAGAGCACGGACTACATACTATCTCGTCATCGTGCCCCATGTATAATTGGTAGAAGCGCGGGCTCTGTGCGCTTCCGCCATTTGGGCCTGCATCACTGTTAGTTATTGTGCGAGAAAAGGGAGACGGACCGCACCATCGTATCGCCAGACGCTGTTGCTGTCGTTCTTGATGGCTGCGCCCGCATCGTTAGCGGCAGCCACGGCTTCGATAGGTTGTGAGCCTGCGGTAGAGAGGCAGTACTAGGAAAGAAGACATTCGTGAAATGTTCGAAGATGCGGGTGCGAGGGGGAAGGTGAGTTAGTGCCGAGTTGCATTTGACTCGCGAGTTCATTCACACGTTCGTCACGTTCCCGTGAGATGCGCGAACTATTGGCAGAGTGCCTTATATGCAGTTGGACATGACCACTGACCGTACTCAGACTCAAGTTATCCTGCCTGATGATGAATAACAAAACCCTTTGCAGACGGGAGGCGGAGGGTTACACATAAACAAAACCCCACAGTCCGCCATGAAGAAGGACGAGCGTCTAACATAGCGCTAGCGCTCAGTTCGCTCGGCAGAACAGCATTCGGACAACAACATGCGCATTATATGCGCACGTCTGCAGCCAATAGCAGGCACGGGAATCAATGGTACCAAAGTCATCTGGATTCGCGAGGCGAGTGAACTCGCAAGTTAACTCCAACTCGCAGCAACACTAGGACGAGTGAGAAAGGAAGGGGTAGGACAGATCCGCCATCCATTCAATGGACACTCACCGGAATTCCGAGCTCTCCTGCGATCTTGGCAGGGACCAGCTCACCGAGCTGGTGATAGAGCTTGTTGATCCCGATGGGGGCAAACATGATCGGGGCGGGGATACGGTGACCGAATATCGTCGCTGGCGGTCGCGAAGGTCATTACGCAAGCATACCCACGCATATATGCTCAAGTACTCACTAGTCAAGTCGCGCACGTTGGTATCAACAAGCGTACGCGGCACAATACGCCAGCGATAGAATGCCTCGCGGTTGGCGCGGTCTGTCCAGCCGAGGCCGGCGTTAGAGCTGGCATAGAAATACGCGCGGTCACTGAGCTTCTTCTTAATGGACTCTTGCAGCTCCTCTGGGTGAACGGAGAAGCTCGGCACTGCGGGCGCGTCAGCGGTGAGCAAAGGTGAAGAGAGCTTGCACGCACGCTGTCCAGTGTCGCCGCCGCGCTTGAAGACCTCACGCTGATAGAGAGAGTAATGGGGCGAGGGGCCGTTGGGCTTGTTCTCAGAGTCCATGGTCGCATATGTGGTGGCTTCTGTGACTGGTAAGCCTGCTGCTGGTATGGGGGTTTGTATCTTGAAGGACTTGAATTTATATCTGCTCACATATCCACAGAGATGATGTCAGGGCATGACGAATGACGAAGGTGATGCAGGAGACACGGAAGGGGAGTCATCGGAAGTGCGACGACGTTGGGTATCGGAAGACCGTTCGCGTTGAGTCGTGCTGCCGTTGCATCCTGTACGCCGTCCTGCGCGCGAGCATAGGAGGACTGGTGATTCCGATGCGAGCCAGGGAGCCCGCAGCCCGTCGACGGGGAGGCGGCGTGAGCGAGATGGGGCGTAACGCGTGACGTCACTCGACGCGTGTTCTCACGTGCCTAAGCGCTTAACCACCGCGTCGCCGCCACTAGGCCACACGGACCCTTGACTATTCCCTCCCCTCACTCCCAATTAATCCTTGTGCAGCGTTGCAATTAGCCCCATCGAATTGAGTGTCACCACAGTTACCGTGAAGACGACGAGATGGCTGGATAGGTGTCTGTTGCGGAATTCCGGCCAAGATCGCCTGCCCGATGCTGAGACCTTGTGGGCAGATTGCGGCGGATAGCCTGTACTTGAGAGCGTATGATTAGGGAATGTAGCGATCGTGGGATCCACGATTGCTTGCAAAACGTACGGTTTGGAAGAGGTGGAGACGAGATGGAGAAGAGGGATGTCTGAGTTTCACGATGGCGATGGTAGTATGCGGAAATTGAAATTGTTGTTTAGTCGCGCGGAATGTATATGAAGTAGGGGATTGTGCAAGAGACGATGATGCATAGCCAAGAACTTCGTGCAGGACCTTGGGCACGTGGAAGAGGGGGAGAGACGAGGGTAGGATCTTCGTGGTCCACTTGAGCATGCCCTTACATGGTTGCCAGAGCGGAGACGATACCACGAATTCGAGAAGCATCTACCGCGCGATTGCAATGATCAATATTGTTCTTCTAGTAGACTTCTCTCACTGTGGCACTGCAGTTCCAATATCGCGATGCAGATGAATGTGTGAGTCTAGGCATAAAACGAGGGACACACCAGAAGATACCTCGCTTCATTAGTCGCGGGAATAAAGGTTCAACTTTCTGCTTCCACTGCTCCTCGGTGACCATCTCAACGTTGAAAGCATGGGCAAATTCGACGTTGCTCAGTGTCTTGAAAGAGGCGGATGCAAGATGATTGTCGACCTCTCTACATCGAGCACAGTTGTGGATATCGAGGAGTTTCTTCACCTCCTCCTTCATTTGACTGTCACGATCCCTCCCTACTCTCGCACCATGTCGGAGAACTATCACAATTTCTCGCAGCTGGTCTGACTTGATTGAAAGTAAGACTTGACACAATGTGTCAATCTCGAAACCTCGAGAATAACCAACAAAGGTTAGCTGCAGTCTCTGCAGTGAGGTATGATCAATGAAGGATGGCATTGAACCTGGAGAGACTCTGATTAGCATAAATGCTTACATAAACTTAGAGTGCACACCTGCAGCCGACACCTCTGCATGTGTCTGTTGTCCTGAGTATGGAAGGACCAATTGCAGTTCTGGGAGTGAGCCAGATACAGCATCCAATAGTTGCTTGTATTTCCATTGGTGTTGTAGTTCAGCTGCAAGAGGTGAATCATCGATGTTGAGTCTCTGCAAGCGACTCGAGATGCAAGGATGAGCAAGGAAGTCCATGAGTTTCTCAGACCCCATAAGAGCATCACCGAGTGTCAAAAACCTGATGCTGACGCGGTTGTGATATAGATCAAACGTATCATGGTCGAAGTAATCATGTATGAATTCCAGATCGCAGCATTCGAGCTCGACCAGACCCCGCAGTGCGCACACGAGGCGCCCGAAGACAGTGATCGACGGGAACGTAACACCATGGAGATCAAGACGAGTGACGGAGAAGGCGGAGAGATGCAGGAAGATATCTATGTGCATCGTCCACGGCTTCCACTCTGTATTCCTGATTTTGAGCAGGTCCAGCCGGGGCAGCTTGCGAGCGAGCAGGATCGCCGCCATCGACAGTGCGGACAGATCTACGAGCCGATTTTCCCCCGCATACATGCTGCCCAATATGGACATCTCGCGCGCCCGCTTCGACAGCTCGGGTGTCTGCTTCAGCATCCTTGCATATGCCTTCACACCCTGGACACCGTTATTGATGTCGACCCACTGGTCCAGATGAAAGCGACTTGGAGAGTACCACGCTCGGCAGACGAGCCTGCACCGCCTCAAAGTCCACTGGTCATTCCACAGATGGTCGATCACGTTCTCCCACACCTCAATCGGAAGCTGCGGCAAATTTCTCGTCGCCTCGGATGAGCCCGTCTTGCCCGCCTCACCCTTGACCTAAGGCAGCGCAGCGCGTAAATCGTCAAGAACGCATACGTGGCGCTTTCTCACTCACAGTTTGCGCAAGCCTTTGCACTTCAAGCACGCTGTCCGCTAAAGCTTTCGTGTCGCGTTTCAGGTGTTGTTCGGAGAATGCCATAGTTGGTGTCGAGTGGTGGTAGATGGCCGCAGATGTGACTTTCGAGGCCGGCTCTTGGGATATATGTATTCATCTAGATGCGCTGCACCTCAATGAACATCGCCACTGCCACAGGACAAAGGGAGGGCAAAGAGGGCAAAGGGGATGGCTGGAGTACATAGCTTCGGGCGCCGCGCGTCATCACGTACACTTCTTATCAGGATATCATATCGGATTGATGGTATCAGACCACACATACCGTAAAGTCTCATCAAGTTGACCACATCGCCGCACTGGCACAGACACCACGAGTGCGGTCATGAGGTTGCCGACCCGTCGTCGCCGCTGAGGCTATGCCACGGCCACCAGTATGAGGCTCCCTATAGCAGTACCGCAGTATGCGCAGTATGCACGCAGAGTCGAGGTGGTCTTCTATGTTGCGCTTGCGCCATCGAACCTTATGCAAGCGTGTGAGAGCGCTCATCAATCAATCTTGCGGATACCTTTCCATCTCTTGTGGTACAGCAGAACTGCATGGTTGATGAGAGTCGATGGCGCAAGCAACAGGACAGTTTCTCTGCTGTACTGGGTGCAAACGCGCCATGGTCCCGCTCAATTCCCTTCAAGTTGCTCCCTAAATGGGAGATTGAGCATACGAGAGAGCTTGCGAAGCGTCTCCTCCCCGAGAGTACTTCCAGTCCTGAAATACGGACTGTTTCACCTCGCAGACCGGTTCGACGACATCGAGATTTACCGCACTTGCCAACACTTGATCCTTTATAGTCTGGTTGCCACTAATTTCGCCAGCATATATTCTCGTTGCGCTGCACTATATTGCTTGCATCCTGACGTTCACCTTGAGCGCCTCTGCAGAAAGAAAGAGATTCATGAGCCCCAATGTCGGACTATACTATGTGACTTGACAGCATGCAGCATTTAAAGACGAGGCACACTGTTGCTTACCGAGAAAAGGGATAGCATTGTGATAGCCACAGCCACTAGCTGCTAGATATCACGATGCTGCTGACGACTAAACACGACACGTATCACGTACACTCCTCATAATTTCTGACCTTCATACTGGATCTCCTCGGTGCCCTCAACGATCTCCTTCACCAGCGGCGCGGTCGTCTTCCTCGTCGCCTCCGCATTCTTCTGCTTCCACACACCCACCTTCACCCCCGTCCCCAACCCCGCACGCTTCCGCACGCCCAGCTCGTCCCACTTGACGTCCTTGAGCCTCAGCTCCTTGCTCCTCTCCAGGCCTTTGAACAAGCGCTTCGCGAGCACCGCCCCATCTTCGCCTTCGCTGTCCGTCCTCACGACGAACAGCTGCTCGCGCCGGTGCTTGACCTTGCCCTTCTTTCCCGGGCCGCGAAACGACGTCAGAATCCCCAGCGCCGCTAGCCCGCGCTCCGCCATCCACCCCTCCGCCTCCCTCGCGAACTTCTCCTCGCCTTCGCGCGCGAACCACGAGGAGAGGCTCACGGGCACCGAAGAGAGCCCGACGAGGATCTCGCGCGTGGCCGCCCAGGACGGCGTGAGCGCGTACTCCTTGTAGTCCCTCCGGAGGAGATCGCGCGTGCCGAGGTGGTCGAGAGACCTCTTCTTCGTCTGCAGCGTGCCGTTGAGCGCCTGGATCGCGGGGTTGTCGTACAGGACTGGCGTGGATTGCGGGTTGAAGGATATGGTGGGGTCTGGTGTGAAGGAGAGAGTGCAGCGCGTGGCGAGGAAGGCGGCTGCTTGCCGGTCTTGGTCAACTGCCTTTCCGCCTGGGACCATCCCCGAGGTGTCGATGACGATGGCGGACAGAAGGAGCGTGGCGAGTTCGCCCGGGAGCTTGCCCGGACATTTCTGCGCGAGGTAGAGCGTGAGGAGCGACGCGCAGCTGCCGATGCCTGTGGTGATGATGCGCGGGTTAGCGGTGTCCTTGTATAGCCCCTCGTCCGCGTGGTGGTCGATGATGGCGACGACGCGTGCGTCGGGGTTGTCTGAGGAGAACTGCGCGCTCAGTCGGTTGTGGTCCACCAGTGCGAATTTAGTGGACGGGAAAGGAGCGGGCTTCGTGTGTGGGACGTCGGAGATGCATAGGAGGCTGGAGGGATCGAGTCCGGCGAGGGAGAAGGCGTATAGATTCTCGAGACGCAGGTGGAGGTCGGAGTGTGGTGTTTGAACGAGAGGAACGGTAGGCGTGTTCTGGATGTTGTTGGCGTACCACGCGTATGCGATCGCACATGCTGTTGAGTCAAGATCTGGTGCCAATAAAGGGATGTGTCAGCTCTGAGGCCGGACATATAACACGCCATTTTCAAGGAGCGTCTTGAGCGACCATCAACAATACGTAAGAAATTGGAGGATTCAAAAGACCACAACGGGTGTTCTGAATGATGAGCAGAACACTCACCACCAGCCTCGTTCCCCATCACTACCGTCCACTCTCGTGAGGTTCCCTGCTTCACGGCATTGAGATACTCCTCCTTGGTCCTATCGACGAACTCGGAGAGCGTCGATCCAGGAGACACATTCCCGTCCGAAGGTGATTTGAGCTGCACGTCACCGGGCATGCTGCTGTGTAAGACACTATTCACGCTGAAATAGGATCGGCTCTCCCGTATGCGAGTGTCTTTTGATCGGCTATGGCAGGTCGAGGAGAGTTTTGGCCTGGACGCGCGTGTGCACGAAGAAATCCAGACACGTTGGCCGATCAAACTCGTCCGCACGAGCCAAAAGCTGCGAACACTCAAAGATGGCAATGCTACACAAAAATTGGAGGTGGGGAGGGGGAGGGAATAGCAAAGGTACGTGTGGCCTGCGGGCCACGCGGGGGGATGCGTCATGGGTTAAGCACGTGATGTAGGAAGAACGCGCAACGGGTCGAGTGACGTCACGCGTTACGGTGCATCTCGCTGGGCCACACGTTGGTCGACGGGCTGCGGGCTGCCCGGCTTGTATCGCACGCGTATAATGGCGTACAGAAACGGTAGCATGAACAAACCCGAACGGTCTTCCGGATCCGTTACCCAACGCCGTCGCGCTTCCGATGACTGCCCACCCGCGTCTCCTGCAGCATCACCCTCGTCATTCATCATGCACATGCCCTGACATCGTCTCTGCCCCCTCTATGAGAAATGCGCGAGCTGATATATATTCGCGTCCCTTCACATACAAACCTCCCCACCGGCAGACTTAACAGCCACCGCGTACGCGACCATGGACCCGGAGAACATGCCCAGCGGCCCTTCGCCCCACTGCTCTCTCTACCAGCGTCATGTGCCCTGCGCATATATGCACTTTGCACTTAGCTGTTTGAATGATATAAGGCATATACCGAAGGTTTGATATATTTTCCTTTTCTACAATTATGAGTTGGAAAAGTGCGTTTTGTGAGTTTCTTTTGTGATAATGCTCGACGTAGTAGCTGGTGCAGTCTGTTGCGAACCGTGCACTGCTTCGTGGTCTTTCTATTGCTTGCGGACTCCACTTCAATCAACCATGCAGGTCTACTGTAAACACAAGAGACGGGAAGATTGACAACATTGATTGATGAGCGCCCTCATACGCTTGCGTAACGTTCGATGGCGCAAGAGCAACACAGAAGACCGCCTCGAGCCATCGTCTTAAGTACGGAATAATCGGCTGGCCACTAAGATAAAGCACATTCCAAAATTAAGGGCTTGTCGGAAACCAGTTGAATGACATTGGCTCAAGGCATGGGAGGAGATTAACTGAAGGAGTCTTCGCGGCTCCCTAGTGGTGGCCATTAATGAGTCACGTGGTTATCATAAACGCCGGTCTTGCTTACAAGCGCTTGTGCCGCCTCCGACTCTCCTCATTTCCACCGCATCGACGCTCGCTTTCTCCCCACATAGCATCATGGCGACCGCACCAACGAAGCAAGCACTGCTTGAACTTTACCACAATAGTCTGCGCACGTCGCGGGCATTCAGCTCGTATAACTTTCGGGAATACTTTGTGCGCCGGACCAAGGATGAGTTCCGGGTCATTCAGGTTGGTCTGCTGGTTCGTCTCTTCAACGTAACGTTCTGATCGTTCTGGTCGATCGTTTGTGTAGAATGAGGCTGACCCGGGGAAGTTGTCCGCATTCTACAACGACAAGGTGAAGGAGCTGGAGGTGCTGAAGCGCAGTGCTATCGTCAACCAGCTGTATGGTGGATGGAGGCTTGTGGTCGAGACGCAGAACTCTGAACGGGAGAGGAGCGATAATTAGAGTGCCGCATTGCCTTTGGATGCATTGGGATTTCTTCTATCATGGTATGCCGTCCTTGGCTGTCAAGTCGTACCCTCTCACGTATCCTTGTTTATTGCAGTCTTTCAGTGACATCGCTTTCTCATTGGAGTGCGATGACGCTGTACATCTGCTACGATTTGCTCGGCTGTATGACTATGGATGTATGTGCATATATATGTTGCGGGCTCGTTGTTATACCACTATTGAGGCACTCTGTACGATGATTTAGCCTTATCTAACGCATGTTGGCTTGAGTTGCATCCCAAATATGAGAGATCCTGGCATCGCATGCTGATTATGCGCATAATGCAGTACGTGCCAGGGTAGCAAAAGTACAAAGTCGCCAGGCGCAGCTCGTTTCTGATGTCACCACGATTCGCTTCGTCACGTCTTCCACAGCTGCTTTGACGCAAGTGGTATTCACAGATTATCTTCACAGACACATACATCACGGTTTGATGCTCTATTCGACATATGTTTTCTTTCTAACACGACCGTGACATCTATACGTGCAAGGAAAAGGATCGTGCCCGGAAACCATAGCCATTACCTCACGTTGTTCATGTAACTCCATGGTCACTAGCCTGCAAAAAGACGTCTTGCCATTCGGCGGCATGCGTATGTGCAGTGACCGAAGCGTGATGGCCGATGTGCGGCGAAGGGGTAGGAGCCACTCACCCCATCACCATGGCGTGCCACTGATTGCTATCACAATACAGATCAGTGGTGATGGGCCGCTTTTCTCCTACCTCTTACGGAAAACGGCAGGGCTTGGTCCGCTTCGTCAAGTGCTGTGGCCAACACTGGCCACCCACGGTGTATATCGAAAATTTCAGTTATAATGCACCCATCTCAGTGCCTGTCTCGTTATCCCTCTGCGGCCTTTATCCCTGCTTCGAGCACTCGCTCAGTGACGCCACGAACATATTTTGGCTAGCGAGCTCTCATCATCCTCATTTCTAAATGTCTACTCCGAATCCTTCGTTGGCGGTGTGGCACGGGCAAACAGCGTCTCAAAAATGTCTACAAATTGATGAGCTTTGCGAGATGGTCGTACGCGAACTCTACGACGAAGGGCATGGAAAAGGCTCAGTTGCAAGTCTGGCGTCAACCTGCCGGACGTTCAAACTCAAGGCGCTGAAGGTGTTGTGGGAACACATGGAGAGTCTGAAGCCATTGGATAGTCTGCTGCCTGGACAGATCCAGCGTTGCGACGGAAAGTGCCTTGCAGAGAACGGTGACATCGTATGTGTATTTTATTAAGAGGCTTTCTGGCATAGTATTTGACTTATTTCCAGACAACATGCTCCTTCACAGAGCCCGCCTCCGCTATCCTCGATCGTGTCAAGTTCTACGCGAGCCTCATCAAAATATTGGAGTGGAACAACGGTGACAACGTTATAGCGAATACGATCAGACACTGTGGTTTCTTCTCGCAAGGTCCTCTATTCCAAAACCTACGCTCGTACTCCTTCCACGACAACAGCCGTTTCGCCTCTAGCAGGCTTTCAGTTCCTCGCGGGTCATTGTTTCTCAATCCTCAGCTTAACGATCTGCAACTGTTCAGTGAATATCCCGAATCAGATCCGTTCTGCGATCTCCTCCAGGATTTGGTCGATAAAGAGCACAAGACGCTCCATACCATGCAAGTGATCGACGAAAGCGGAATGTGGTCTCGTCTGTCAAGTGCAGACGGCATTGCACTAGCGAGTGTCTTGTCTATGCAAGATCTCAGGGACTTCATTTGCAATATGCCTCTCCCTTCAAATGGATTGAATTACCTCGCAACCATGCCTCACCTCGCAAACCTCAAGCTGACACTCGACATGAAGACCACGGGTGAATTCTGCAAGAACAAAGGACTCTACGAACGGTTCACCACGTTAACTTCACTGGACGTCGAGCTGTTTACATTAACCGAGCAATCTCTAGCCTTCTTCGGCTCGATAAGTTCTCCTATTCTGGAGACACTCAAGATCAGTACACTCAGCCGCTGTTCACCAGTGATGTTTCGGAAACACCTCACGTTGCTTTCACATTCGCCTTACAGAGAATACATCAGCACCCTAGACATCACACTCCAGGACGGATATTTTGTCCTTCCAAAGGACTCCGATGTGATCACCTCTAGCGAACTGAGGCCACTGGTCAGTTTTCCCAACTTAAGAGTCGTCAGGTTCGAATCGGCGATGATGAAGCTTGAAGAAGGGTTCATGCACCAACTGGCATCTGCATGGCCCTCTCTATATTCATTCAGGTTGCAACACGCGGGCGAAATATGCTACTTTCCTGTTCCGATCGGCGGTCTCGTGCATTTCGCTCGCCATTGCCCAGAACTGCAGATCATTGCGATGCGTCTGGATACAGATATACCGGACCTACCTGAATGGAAGTCAAGCAGCAAAGCCGATTTTTTCTGTTGCGACTTGGTCAAGGGTGTTCCCGACGAAATGGTGTACCGCTGCGTCGACTTTCTGTCCGTGCTCTTCCCGGCTCACGATCCGCTGGTTGATGACAGTCAGGACTCTGCTGGCGGAACAATGTTGAAGAAACGTCCGAGTGCGAAAGACGAAAAAGACTGACAGTCGACGTGCAGTCTCACAAACTAGTATCTCCTTGAACGCTATCCGATTTAACGAGTCGTCTGGCAGATTTCGAAGGGTACTATTATACACAATGCGATTTTCTAAGGAACATTTGCCTCTTTCATAGTCTTGATTTCATGATGGCGTTTCACGTGAACTTTACAGTCATTCGAGTCCCATTTCTGATGTATTTGTTTTCTCAAAGTCAATCAATATTAATGTGCTGTGTTTTCTCACGCGAAAGTTGCACCTCATGCCAGCTTGAAGCATCGCCTAAATCCCAGCCAAATTGCCCTTCTGTGAGGAATGTATATGGACGCCCAAGCAATATCAATCGTCAATGCCGTGAATTGTGGCTGGAAGAAGGCCCTAACTTCCGCGAAGCAGTTGCCCATCAAAGTGATCTCTGATCGAGATCCTATTTCTGCGCGTCTATCTACCACGGTTTCTCTTCAATACCAGTGTCGGTGTTGGCGAGTCGGCCGTACCTTCGCTCACAACACATATTCTATTCTCTCTCAATATGATCCCATCGACAATCTCCATCAAGGTCGAGTTTGGTGGCGGGCTCGAACTGCTTTTCTCGAATCAGCGCACGCACCGCGTTACGCTCCCCGCGCGGATACCCGAGTCCAGGACTGATGAAGAGAATGAGAAGGCCGAGGAACAACGGCAGGAGACAGCAGAAGGGAGGCCTATAGACATTGAATACCTTATTCTGTGGCTACGTGATAACCTGCTGAAGGAGCGAGCGGAGCTATTCGTGGAGAACGGGACTGTGTGAGTAGCTCATCAGGACTTTGTGGACATCTCCTCGCATTCTGGCTAATCTTCCCTGCTATAGGCGGCCAGGAATTCTTGTCCTCGTAAATGATACCGATTGGGAGCTGGAGGGCGAAGGACAATATCAACTGAAGGATGGCGATGAGATCGTTTTCATCTCGACGCTACACGGTGGATAGAATTGCTTCCACGGTGACATTGAAAGATGTTGCAACGCCTTAACTCACGCATGATCATGGGTGAGTTTGCTAAGGACTTCTACGTCCTTCGTCAGGCTCATTTCTTCCAGCTCTTTATTGGAGCAGCCAGCCACCCATGAAGCCTCTGCGGCCCATGACAATAAAGGGGACTCCAGGTGCAAGGCTGATCCTCATGTACGATACTTACTGTTGTGATGACGGATCCACATGCCAGGGAGAGGCTGAACAGGACAGCTCGCAGTGAGGAGGGATCGATAGTAGACTAGACTATTGGAATGGAATACTACTATACAATGTTGGATCCAATCGTCGTTCCGAACGTTACGATTTCTTTTGCGAGCCCCCCCAGCCCAGCTTCTCCCAAAATCCCTTGCTCTGCGTGGGTTGAGGCGCATCCGCCGCGGGGGAGCGCACCGCATCCACGGATGCCGGCGCGGCGCTCACACCCTGCGGTGGCGAGGGCGTCGTGTCATCCTTGTCATACCCCTCCTCGAGCCGTGTCGACTCCTCCGCCGCCTTCAGCCGCTCCTCAAACGCTGCGCGCTCCTGTGCCGCCTCTCCGAGCGCCGTCTCCTGCTTCGCGGCCGCCCGCGCTTCCTTCTGGTTCTTCAAGTTCCCGTACGCGTACGAGCCACCAACTAGCGCGATGACCGTCGCGCCCTGGAGGATCACGCGCGCGCGGAGCCAATAGTTCATCGACTTGCGCTCACCGCGCCGCATCTTGACCATCGCGGTAACCAGAGCGACCGTCGTCGCCGCTGCGCCTGTATATATCCGGCATGAGTGAGAGAGCCTGCGAGAAGAAGGACGGGTGGGTTTGGGGGCGAGTACGAACCGATAGGCACGAGTGGCTCCTGCTTGAATCTTCGCCAAAACTTCTGACCAATGCTCTCCGGAAGAGTGACTTTGCCGTCAGCGACGGCTTCCGCGTTCGTGACGCTCATAGCAGAAGAGCTCTCTTGGACGGCGTGGCGGTAGTGCTATGAGACGCAAGACAGCCTCCGAGAGAAGTCAGTATGAGTAACGAGAGTGGAGCGTGGGCTTCAAGTGGATGTCGGAGCGCCGTCTTGGGATTTCTTCCGCGCAGGTTGGCTCTATGTACACACTTTGCTCGTAGGCAAGGCGGACAGGAATGCGCTCGCCGAGTACGATGAGGCAAACAGATGGGAAAGGGGAGGGAGTTGCTCGGACGAGCACGGCTTGCTCGTGATGTACGAGTATTCGGAATTGTTATTGATTCGCATTGAAAGTGTGGGAATACGTCTCCGTTAGCTTGACAAAAAATTGCAGTTAGCAACAACTCGTTTCGATCGAGTGACCTCGGGGTTATGAGCCCCGCGCGCTTCCAGCTGCGCCATGTTGCTGTAAATAGTTGTCCAAGCCTTGTTATATATAATACGATATTTCGTCTTTGTGACACTCCATGCCCCGCCACACGCCAGCCAAACTCCTACACAAGTTCGTCAGCTCACAACCCATCGGCTGACTCGCGATCCTCACGAAGTAGGGGGAAAAACACAAACAGCAGCAACTCGTTTCGATCGAGTGACCTCGGGAGTTATGAGCCCCCACGCGGTTCCACCTGCGCCATGCCGCTGCAAGCAACGCGCCAATATGTTTCATCTATGTCTTTATTCCATTCCATGCCACGCCAGCAAGACTTCTACCTACTTCTACGCAAGTTCGTGGGCCGCTCACGTCGCAACCCATCTGCTGACGCACGAGCCACAACGAAACAGTCGAGATGTTTTGACCCGCTTATCTGAGTTCCTTCCTACGATCTCCTCTCCTTAACGTCAGAGGCCCGTCTCTCCTTGTAAACCTTCTCGTTCCGTATACATCTCACAACTTAGCCAGCCAACTTGCAGATCGGCTCGCACGATCTGGGTCTCATAGCAGGCAAGGACGATGGCCGCACAATCTGTACGACACTCGATGTGCTGAACTTCTGACCGCATTCTGCTTTACTTGTATTAATAATTTTTGAAGATAGCAGTCTCAGATACGGTGACCTCACTTCAGGATAAAGAATTCAGAAAGGACAACGCAAATCAAATGGCAATCCTCAATAATCATTACCACAACGAATACTAGGATAATCTGTATATATGCGCCCATTTCGCCCGCCAATATCGGACGGACCAGCTCATCCCCACAGCGCGTCCACATCAACCTGATGAGGGCCCCTCTGTTGCTCTCCGCCTTGCCCCTGCTCCTGGCCTATAGCAGGCCCGTCGTTTTCGTCATCCGTCGAAAGCATGATCGCGCCATTTCGATAGCCGCGGAAGCGCATGTACAGTGACGACGCCATCAGCCCAAGTGGATATGCGATCGTAAAGAGCACGCAGGTAAGCTGTTATTCGCAAGCGCGAAGCGGTGAATGATACTGTGTGAAAGAGGGAGTCGGGGATGAGAAAAGCAGGACGTACCCAGACAGGCATCGGCTTCGGCGAGCGGCTCCACACGCTCGCGCACAACCAGCTAGCGGAGACACACCATACAATGTCGCGGCTCAGAATTACGACGAGCAGACCTGTCAGGATGTGTGCGTGTTAGCAGCCGAACCTCAAACCAGCCGTGAGAAGATCGCTCGCACCGAAAACGTTCACGCCCATCATCACCCCGAACCCGGTCCACTGGTATCGCGCATAGTGCTGCGGCTCACTGGGGGAAAATGCATACCCCAGCGTAATACTGTGGCATATTTTTGTCAGGATTGTTTGTTCATCTATACGGTGTGGCAATAGGAAGGACGCACAAGAGGCTGTACGGGAACATGACCATGAGCGGCCACAGCATAAATGCCCGAACGGGCGCGTGGATGAACACGACGTCGAGCGGCCTGTATCAAGCGGACAGGTGAGTGTTTCACGCAAACAGACAATGTGGGGAGGGAGGGAAATCAGAGCGTACCGAGATCGCGTAGGGCTATCGTACACGAGTAGGGTGATGTTCGCGTAGATCATTAACGCAAGGAGGATTCCGAGCAAAACTGTGGAGACAAGGAATGCTTGGAGAACCTATTAGGAAGATTGGCCACAGGTGAGCCGCAAAGGAGGCAGTATCCAGGAGATGAAGGGGCTCACCCAGGCGATCGCCCAGAAGGCCATAACCCAGTTGGCGATGACGAGGGGGAGGCCAACTCCCTTCACGAGCGCGATCTAAGTGCCATTGACGAAGCTCCGTCAACGAGGAGGGTTGTAGGATACGCATGAGCAGCGAACCTTGGTCTCAGGCTTGCGGGCGCACACAAGCAAGACACAATACCCAATTTGTCCGATGAACAACAGCGACACATATATCGCGATGAGCGACGGATTTGGTGCGACCGTTGTGGAATATTGTCTTGATATCTCGCCTGTGGGAAGAGGATTCGTATTCAGCAGTCCAACGCTGGAGGGGCCCTCGCGAATAGACTCACTGAGTCCTGGGGTCAGGACGGCGGAGCAGACGATCGTTGTCGCAATGTTGATAAGGAGTGACAGCGGTGTGAGGACTTGCAGTCTGTTTCATCACGGTAAGTATTACTATTGTTAGAGACGATGTCTCCTTGCTTTGTATGGAACGAACCGTATCAAGGCAAGATACTCTCTTACTGCCGGGTGGCGCGTATCGATGGGCATGCTCTCCATCATCCTGGTAATTCACTAGGCAGGAGAACGAGGAATATCTGTAAATTTTGTTTCCGGGGGCAGAGAGGATGAGCGTTGGAGAATAAAGCCAGCGTGCGGTAAAATGCAAGAAACTGGAGAGAACGCCATGAATTTGAGACACGGTGGCTTGGACGTGAACTGGGCCGTATGATGTCATGATGTCACCAGAGGCACAGTCATTGCACCGCTCGCCATATATGGAAACTCTAATACTGCACCTGCTATATCTAGTGTGGCCAGCGAAGAGATCCATTTCATTCCGCCATTTGCCAACCGGTTCGCTTAGAAGAAGAAATCAATGAATGACGTTGAATTACGCAACAACGCTGATGACCATCGCAGTGGCAATAGTAACAAAATTTACTAGTAACAAAGCAGCTATCGCTCCAACTCCTTCCCGGACTTCATATCAAGCACGCGACTCGACCAATATCCATAAAGCTCTCAAAGTCCCCCCTCTCCCCCACCCCCGGAATGGATGGAAGAATGTCAGCAGTGAAATACAGCTAAAGTCCCAGCGAGAAAAGATTTCGGACCTTCTGCAAACGCGTCGAGCCTCTTTTCGCGGGCTTTCATACTAACTCATGAAGGTTGATATCGAGACCACCACGGGCGCATCTAAGTTTCCTGACTGACTCGCTGAATTGCATCCGGACTTCTGCGTTGGGCCATTCATCGAGTATGATATCCAGAGTTTTCAATTGCTGCGACGAGATCGAGCCTATGACTTTTAATAGCGTCGTGTTGATATCGCGCGTGCGTATCCGGAGTTTCGTGAGGCTTGTAGAATAGGATGGAGGAGAGTCGCGGATCTTGTTATGGACTGCATTGCGGAGGAAGTGCCACCGTGAGTGGAAGCCAGTGGGACACACGAAATATAGACTTTTCAGCCGAGTCATGACAGATAGTGCCTGAAGTGCAGCGGGAGGAATCATGAATTTTAAGGAGAATTCTTCCAGATCGGCTGATTTGAGGAAGGAGACCAAAGTTGTATTGGCCAGCGCACGCGAGGATCGCGATGCATGCATTGACAGCTTGCCGATGTGCAGAATAGCCAATTTTCTGCAACGAATCTTTGCGATATCGAGGAGATTGACCAAATCGGTTGGAGCGATACAGTCATGGTCCAAGTACAGTGCCTGGAGCGCAGAGGAGAACATCGTCTCGGCCGGCAGAATCATCATGCGGTAAGTCTGTGTGTATCGGTGGATGCGGAGCTCTCGTAGTTGTGGGAACAAGATCCGATTACGTGGAAGCCATTGGATGAACCGTTTGAGAGCTGCGAAGTCCGGGATCGATCCTTGCGTCCAGGTGAAAACCTCCACGAATTGTGCACAGTGGACGAAACGATTGAAACCCGCCAAGAACTCCAGACTCGACGTAGACAACGACTTTGCGTCCTGCATATTGCGGCAACATTAGTTTGGGGTTGCAAACATAGCCACAAAGCCGCTTACCTGTACACTGTCTGCAAGAAGTGCCATCAGACATCCCTCATCCTCTATTCCGTTCCATGTCTCAGATATTTCTGGATCAGGCAGCTTGAAAGATGGGGAGTTACGCAGGATGTGGCGGTAGCCACTGCACGTGAAGAAAACCGGCGAAACATTGGAGGTTGAATCGGTGCATGTTGTATTCCAGTCACTTTCATTCTGCATAGACAGTAGACGTTGATCAAACGCCCCAACGTAAGCACTACCTGGCCTTACCTCATCTGATTGCTGATAGGAAGAAACGAAACTCTGGGCATCACCTTCCCCATCCCAAATGCCAATTAGAGTTTCTTCGCTCGACTGCAGGGTCGCGACCGAGGAATCAGCGATGCCATAAACGCTGGTAGCCTGCATAGAGGGTAAACTTTGAGCGCGAGCTACGCCACTGACATATCAAGACATTACCTCTCTCAAGACATCTACCTCCGGTGGCGGCGAAGCACGGAAATCCATGGTCGTGAAGAAGAAACAGCAGGTTCACGGATATATATACTCCTGATGAGCCTGTGGCAGCCATTGATCTTATGATCCAGTGCACACAATCCGACTCCCAATGCGTGCTGTTCTTGTTCAATCTCTTTATTGACCAGGTGGCCAGACCTTCGAAGCGGCCCCCTGTGTACAACCACGGAACGACCACCGATCGCAAGAAAGGCGAAAGCGCCACACCACTCTTCCAGAAAGATCAGCGACAACAACACCGAAGCTATTGTTCGGTCGAGTACTGGCCACAAAATCCATCCCGGGCCAGTGCCACCATCCGGATGTTAGGCCACGCTAGTTTCGTCGTATTTTTGCTTGCCTATCAAGCTAACTGGCTCAAAGCCAGCGGCCAGAAAAAATGTACTAAGCTAGTCAGACATCCTGGCATCTGAGATATGGCGTTCATTTCCGTGAAAATGAAACCAGAGGTGGTGCATGATCGCCACGTTTATTGCTGCTATCCAGCACATTCCTTTGCATGCAGATCTTTTCGGACCTGGAACGCCAAAGCTCCCTGACGGATAGCGGCCCTGAAATTTCATCACGGCAAGGTGAGCGCAATACCAAGCAGTTGCAGTGCTTGGGTCACTCACCTGCGATAGCCGCCAATGCCAGATGTGACCAACCGGCCCTGTAGCATAGTGGCATCACTGCAATTATGGCACGGGCCATCGATTCTTCCCAGACACACAGGTTCCGCTTTTGGAGGTGGATTATTGTCTCTATTGTCTCGAAACGCAGTGCGAACATTCATGATGATGAAGACGAGCCGTTAAGGTCCGACCGCATTCCTTCCGCCAGACTCCTCGGATCCACTACCCAAAGCACAGCCTTCTCCACCTCGTCGCCCGCTTCTCCTCCCGTCTCCTGAAACTCATAATCATACCTCTCCGTGCCCGCCTCCCGCGCAGCCTTGATCTCCTTCAGGATTGCCTTCACGCTCGCCTTGTTCGCCGTCAGCGTCGTCCACCCGCGCACCGTGCCCCACAGCATGCTCTGCATTGTATGCACCGTCAGACGCGGATTCACCTTCGTTACTGCCGCACGCGGGATCATATCCACGTTCATCTCTCCGATATCGCGCGCGCTTTTGGGCGTGGAGTGGCTCGGCTCCTCTAGAGACGGTGTCGAGGTCCCAGATGGAGAAGTTGTTTCTTGTGCCAGTATCCTCCTGCACGTGCCTGCTAATTGTCGGAAGAAGGGAGACAGCGGCTGGCGCTCTGCTTGTCCTCCTTCGCCGTAAGCATGTGACGGTGGCTGGAGACCAGGTTCGGGCTCAGAAGCCGGGAAGATCTTAATAGGAAGCAATGGGAGGAACCCCCTGGGGTACCGAGAGTCCCGCCAGTAGGACTCCTCCGCTTCTTCCCGAGTCATCGCAGGGTCCGCAACGGGATGGAACAGTGCCTGTGCACGGCGCTTTTCGTTCGTGCCTCCGATACGAGAGAGCACGATCCGGAGGAAGCGATCCCATGCGTCCGGCGTCGTCCAGAATTCGACAGGAGGGAACCCTGGAGTACTCGATGGTCCTGCGAGGGCACGCAGGTGATCATGGATGTCCTGAATCAGACCTTTCGCCATTTCCTGTAGCGCTTGGTTCGACAAAGCTCTGGAATGAACTCCGAGACCCTCGTCCGCTTTCCAGCCTTCAAGATACGCAGCAGCATCCACGCCCTCGGTCATCTCGATGCGCTTCTTCTTCCACTCGCGATACTGCGGAGGAGGAACGAATCGCGCCTCGGCCTCCTCGGGTGACTTCGGTAACGGTGCGTGCGTGATGTCGGACACGAGGGCGATGAGGATGGAGAGGTCCAAATTGATATGGAGCGTTGGCTCGTAGCGGGGAATATGCTTCGGCGGGTGAGTAGTAGGGCGTGAAACGGAACTAACCTCCCTCTCTCCGAGCTGCACGTCTATCCCCATCTTCTTCAGCTCATCTATTGTTTCAGCGATGCGTGGGTCGTGGTCTTTCGGGTCGGAAGGCGAGGGTTCCAGGCGTGTGAGACGCATAGTCACTGCCGGTGGTTCGTTCGTACCCGGCAGCGGGTTCTCCTGCGCTGCCTTGATAAGTGCGCGGCCCGCTTTCAGGATGGAGTTGTCAAATGATGCAGATGCCAGACTGGAGCCATGGTCCCCAGATTCCTCGTCGGACCCGTCTTCTGAGTCGGTCATGTAAGAGTCTATTTCGCCAAACTCCGCGAGCATGCGGGAGTTTTTTGTCCTGAAATGCAGATATAATGTTAGCGATACGTCCTAGACACCTGAGTATGAGCAATTCTCTGCGATGCCGAGATGCTATGAGACGATGAGAACATGAGCTAAAACTTACGTATAGACGCGGACCCATCGTCGACCATTGTCCACAACAACGTCGACCTTCACTCCCGGAGGTTTCTGAGAGCGACGTTTAGACGCAGAGCGCACATGCTGCGAGTCATAATACGTCCGCCAAATGGCAACGACTGGTGGCGTCGCTAACAGGACTTCGTTCCACACAGCAATCAGGTATGGCGCATTCGTTGATAGAGGCGGCAGGGAGGCGCAGCGTGGATCATCCAAAAACTACTAATAATCACAGACACGTCACTCTGTAAAGCAATGAAATTTGTTCGTGGACACACACACTTTCTCCAGGACATCCAAGTCCCGCCTGACGGCATCGCGCAAGGCGCGCAAGCCCGAGACCGATTCGTGGGGCGCGGCATTTGCATTCTCCTTCTCACCCTCTGGTCGACCATGATCGAAGGACGTGTCCAGTATGGGAGGTTTGGAGACAGTGGGCCCGAAATTTGCCATGTCCTGTAGAATGCCTCGCAATTGCGACCGGAGAGACTGAAGCTCGGGGTGGACAGCATCATCGAGACCAGTATCCATCGTGGCAGCGACAGAATTGTTGGTGAATATCAGACGTCCAAGATGTCAAGCTGTAAATGATAAATGCGTTCACTGATGAAGAGATTGGCTCGTAAATGAACGGCATAGTACTATCATCAAGCGCGCCTGAAGAAATGGATCTCTAATTGGATCTCTAATCTATAGGCTATGTCACGGTTGCTTAGCCGCTGACGGTAACTGGCATTGTAACCCACACCTTGGCACGCCGTCAACTCATGGCACGAGAAGCTATCCTCGTGTAAGCCGCGTTGCAGAAAAGGCACACACATACCAATCTTATTATAATTGCATGCGCTCTGCGGTGCCCTCTATGCCCTCGAACTTCCCTGTCATTGATAACGGCTACCACAATCTCCATCCGTCATGAGCTCAGAATCGCCACAGGTATTGAGCAAGACGCCTTTGAAACTAATTGATAATGTTCAGAACTATCCATCTCAGCCATGCAGCGTGGCGATCACAGCCTCTACGGACTGGGCTGGGGGAAAGGGGGAGGGCGAGGCGCACTGTTATCTTAGGACGTCCGATGGACAGGTCTCACAGCATTGCCAAAAGCAGCGCATGCTACGAGTTCCACCAGCGAGGATTGATCGCAATTTCCGATCAGCGTTCGGTGAGTTCAACGTTTGCGCCCGAAGACGAGTCAGTTGTGACTACACAATATTTCCAGCACGTATACCGCAGACAGATGGATGGAAGCCCGGTACGCTTGATTGTGCACTAAAACCTCAATACATGGTCAATAGACTCGCTCCTATACTAGGAGGACTTGTTCGTGAATGCGATCCACGAAGCCAACTGAGCTGCTTGGCTGTGAGTATGTTTTGTCTATTGGTCCTGACCGACCTTAACTGCTGCCGCAGTGGGATGATAGAAATCAAACGCTGTTCTATCAGCTGGCGGATAATACCATTCGCGAGACTAGGTTTGACAGCCGCTGGTATGACACAAACTTTTTGCAGGCGGATGTCATGCCTGGAACACGTATCGCCGCCATCTGCACGTCCGATGGTCTGCGCGCTGTAGTCTTCTTTCAAGATTCATCAGGATTTTTATGCTATCGGTGCGTACGTCTACTTCGAGATCTCCCATCACTGATGTACGGTTTTCAGGCGCGCTTGGAATTGGAACTGGGAGATCAATGCTACCCGCCTCGCGAAGGCTGCCCCAAATACCGCCATCGCCGCGGTCATTGCGGATTTGCCAGGTGCGTGCATTGATTCCTTGTTTCAACGGTCGTTAGATCAAAGTCTACAGATCACCTGAGAGCTGCTGATCGCATTCGTGTGTACTATCAAGATGAACAGTGGATCCTACGTGAGCATGTGACCGATGATTTCGGCACGAAATGGTATGTACCCGGAGTAGCACTAATGTCATGCTGGAATCACACATTACGCAGACTCATTACCTTGGAACAGGGTCATTGGCGATTTTTTTGAGGATCCCGGGCAATTCATTGCGAGTATGGCAGCGGTGTTTCTCTATGCTGATGGCCCACAACTACGGTGAGTAGTATATGAGGTCCGATGATAGCTTAGCGATGAGCTGACTCTTTGTGATTATAGAGTATTTTACCATGATCTGCGCAGCCTGTGTGTCAGTGAAAAGTGTTGGGAGTCAAATGAATGGTCCCAGTAAGTTGACTTCACCTCTGAAAGGCTTGACCTTTCCTTCAAGCTGGGCGATTCTCATGATATCAGAAGCAGGACAGTCTTCGATGCCTCGTGCGAGGTCTATGTCACTGCGTATACACGCGTCGTTGAAGTAACAAAACCATCCGTCCTGAACCTTCTTCACGTTGGCCCTGACGCGGTTTGTCTTCAATTCGATGCATCGCATCCCATTTCATATCCAGTCTCATTGGCCTCACGATTTCTATGCTTAGGTGATCGATCAGCATATTTGGATGGCCCAGCTGGGCTGGTTGAAGCCGTCCTTCGTTGAGTACCAATCGGATAGTGAAGGGATCCGTAATGGTTCATGGAAAGGCGAGCGCTTCCACGGTGCGTCTTTCTGTGAGAATCGAGATGGCTATATAGCTGATGAGACCATTGCTGTGACCAATTTAGACGGATCATTCCCGTCGAATGCCTGGGACAAAAGAATCAAGGGTATTCGCATTCGCTCGGGCACCGTAGTTGATGGGATATGCCTTGACTTTGCAAATGGCACATCTACTTCTTGGCATGGGGGATTCGGAGGTAACTTACATCAAACATTCGAATTAGCAGCCGGTGAGTTCTGTCACGTTGCATGATCGCCGTAGCTCATGTCGGACTACTAGGTGAGGACATTGTCCAGGTGCTGGTACACGCGAACAATGAGTACATTCGCGCTTTGCAGTTCAGAACGTCAAAGGGTGAGCTCAGCAGCAAAGTGCAGGTCTTCTCAACTCGTCAGCGCGGCTAAACACGGGATTCTAATTTTGTCAGGCCGAGCGTCAGAACTCTTCGGAAGCAATGGTGCAACATCCTCAATTACCTGGGAGGCTAAAGACAAAGTTCTTACTGGTTTCAGTGGAACGTTTGGGAAATACAAGCCCACGGGAGCTCTGGTGCTGACAGGATTACAGGTATCACCCTGATATTGATCGTCTTGGACATCGCATTGACATTTATTTACATTGATAGCCTTTGTGGAGGGACCCCTAGCTTGCACTGCTGAGCGGGTGCGCGCTTATTGATGCAGCCTATCACAACGGAGGCCGTCGGAGTCCGAGAGTAGAACGCAAATGCAGGTGGTAATCAAACTGTTTCTTGGAACGTATTGCTCGCTTCGCGATCCTGTATATAGCTATCATCAACGAGGCAGAGAACGAAGGCTCAAAAATGCAACATCGCACAGTGTAAGTATTCATATCCACAGCTAACCATACTATTAAGTGTAGCCTCCATCATTACACAGTCAAAATGCCTAGCTGTATCCGAGCATACCACCGAAAGAACTTTTGTGAACAGTAGCCTCAGCTAAAAAGCTGGCTTGCGCTACGAACAGCCATTACTGACAGCCAGACAAGTGACGCGTCTTGACTCACGCAAAGGACCAGAGGTTCTGTGGGTTCATGTATGTGTCCATCGTATATGGGAAACGGTCTGATGCTCAAGCTGTGAATGATGCGACGTGCAGTAGCGAGGCCTCGCACTCACATTGAGGGAGCTCTGAATAGTATGCTACAAGACGGCCGGGCATCAGCGAACCACAGACTGAAGCCACACTGCGAGCGAACTGACCGATCGGAATCTCCTCATCACGCCAGCTGTATGCTTACGATATTGAAAGCATCAACATGGGAAGGCTTTGAACTAGATCCGCTGCTTACCTGTTCTCCAATTGTGCCTAAGATTGGTTCGTTATGCATCAATATCATCAGTTGATCTTAGTTTTGAATAAACATACCGAAAATCAGCACTGACGAGGCTAGTGGTGCGGTTCTCAATAAAACAATCATTGCAGGTCTGCGAAAGTACTCACAGATCTGGAGGAGCTAGTGGATCCTGCGTGAGGTTACATCATCAACGGAATTATTATGGCTATGTCCAGATAGCCTTACATCTTGCAACTGGGCCGTCTTAATCTCCGAGTCGATATCGTACCACTCTAGCACCTGCTCTCCGGCCATACCTGGCGAAAGATGGATATTCTCAGCAGACAAGCACGTGTTCATCTACAGGCACGTACCTTTGAACTGCATGGTCTCCCCGGGCTTGCCTCCGAACACGGCGATCGTCGTATTGTGTCGTTCGTACATGAGCGTGCTGAACTGAGCGCAAGTCGAAGCGCAATCGGCATTGCTGACTACAGAGCCCGTTTTTAGCATCCTACTTCGCCCCATCGAGCATATACATACCGATAACAACGTTGCTGCAGGCACGGACGAGCCATCAGTAAAAATATTAGAAGTTTAATGAAGGAACCCACTTTAGGTCGAACGGAGGGTTCTTAGGAATAGTGACATTGAAGGGCGTGCAAACATCCTGGCAGTCAAATTGTGGAGGACGTGCTGAAACTCAGGTGCACAAAAGACTCACGTAGAAGCGCTGGGATTCAGCATACGTGACGTTGTTAATCGTCTTCGTCACATCAGGCGTGATATAATTGTATGTGTCTGGCATGACCGTGTCGTTGGTAAATGCCCCTATAGATGCATGCGTCGTTTCTGTGAGCTTGAAATCGAGATCGGAAGAAAAGAGGCTGAATGCACAATTGTCCGGAGGGTAAAAGACTTCTTCATCGGGAACATCAAGGGCTATATCAGCAGCCACAATCTTCTGTGCTAACATATTCGCACGAATAGCGGTCGAATAGCCCCTGCACATGGCGTCAGGAATATACATACACGTTGAACGCGACGGGTACATACGGGAAGCCGAAGCTATCTCCAGCAAGGTATTGGTGGAGGAACTCTCCAAGGCAGACATATCCCCCTGGACCATTTCGCTAAATCAGCGTCGATCGGCACAACCGCTACTCAGACTGTTACCTCCGTTGTTGGTCAGATCAATAATCAGCCTGGAGACTCCGGCAGCCAACAGGTCCGCAGTTGCATTCGAAACGTCGTATTGGAAATCATAGTAGTTGTCTGGGTCGAAGGAGCCCACGAACATCTACGAGACAACGTCGTGAGCTGCTCTGGATTGTCTGTTAAAAGAGGGGTCTCACCACTCCAGTGATATTATCATCTAAAATATAGTTCTTGATGACACCTTCGCTACCGCTCACCATAGGCAGATTTGGCACGAATTGAGAAGGTAAGCCGACACCATCGGAGGAAGATTTAGCCAAGACGGCACGGGGGTGCAACGATCCGCTACTTGTGAAAACACCGACGGAACTATAATCAACGCCATTCGTCTCGTTGTTTGCGGCGCAGTTGAGCCCCCAGCTGGCGTGCAACGTCACGGATCACGATCAACATAGAAGACTCTGAACACCAAGGGACGCACTATGATGCCGAATCGGTGAACGGCTCGCCAGTATAGACCGCCAAGAACGGGATCACCACCGTCTCCGATTCGGTCGCGTTGACAGGAATGAGCGTCATCGTCAGATTATCCTGTTCAGGGAATATAGGACCCGCGATGTCGCCGAACCGTTGCGAGAGAGCATTGTCCGAGATGCGATAACTGCTGAACACGCTGTTGACGCGCACGCCGTGGTCGATATAATTGCCGGTGACCGTGTCTGCGATGTAATCGGCGTAGTCGTATGCATCCATGCCGTTAATTTCGAGCACCTGAGCACCCGCAAGGCGAGCATAGTCGAATTCGATGTTATCGAAGTACGACGTGTAGTCCGTCCCGATAAGGCTGAGAAAATCGACAAGGTCCGGGACGACATAAACGCTCGAGACACCGTCTACTTCGAGCGAAACCACGGGTGCTGGTAGAAGATTCTGGAAGGTATCCCAATAGCAGTAGGGATACCATCCTATGTCTCTTAGATTAGCATATCTTCGAAGATTAGAGGTAAAATTCCCACCGGTGTGTCCGTCGTTGAGGCTGTTCACCATGTCGTACAGATCCTTGTTGAACGCATAGTCGGACTGTAGGATAATGAAGTTAGATCAGAAAATAACTTCGTATAAACTCTCAACGGACGTACGTCGTATGTCGTACCATTTATCCGCGCAAGCTCTGCACGGATATTCACCGCGGGCTGTCCAAACTCCGGAACAGGAGCCAAATAATAATCCTCGAACGTATAAAAATCAAACACCTTCGACACGACATCCAGCACATTCTGGCGCAGGGTCTCGTTGAACGGGAAAGACGTCAGACACGCCATGGCGTCAGCCGGGACCACGAACGTCTGTCCAGCGATCACAGCACAAGGATCGGTCCCAGCGGCGTTCTCGACGGGTGCGGCCGCGGAGGGGGCTGGGAGACCCAGTGTGATGGCGAGTGCGGTGAGGCCGATGGTCAGCATGGACATGGCGCCGATCATTTAGACCTGAGATACGGTCCTAGAACCTGAGCTTGATTTCCGTCTGGCCAGAAGAGACAAGGAACATGTCGATGGTACGTTCGCATATAAAGGCAACCTGACTCGCCGAGCAATGTCTTACGGCAAGCATAGCATGGTAAAAATATGTCGCCGCACCTATACGCTCCAGCTTACCATCACGACTCCCACATGAAGCACATGAGGGGCCGATATGAGAATGATCATGCTCATCTGAGTACGAACGCACGCGCACGCGATCCCGTTCGTACAGGATATGCATATCAAGCTCTGGGAGGTTGATAACAGGACTCTCCCTCCACGGACTTCCTGGCCGTCCGACTCAGGCTTCAGGCACGATCGTACCGTGGCACGGTACCTTGTGAGACAATCTTACGATACGATGTTAGTTAGAGCATCAAACGAGAAGCGAGAAGGGTCGAGTAAACAACAGATACCTTATGCGGGGTCGGTCATTGCGGGAGAGTCGTGCTTATCACAGACTGTACAGGGAGATGTTTCAGCATCATGGCGGTCACCCGACGACGATAGTCGCAGATTCGGATGCCAGCATCAACCTTAACCGTACATTATCAGGTCCCGAGCCCGCCAAATGAAACAAAATTGATGCGGTGCCAAGCGAACATCATGAATCTATAACGAGGCTGATGGGCGGGATTGATGCAGCTGGTGGCGCAGAGACAACCTAGCACTGTGTGAGTGACAGCGTTCGGTGACAGTCTGCCTGCACGCGTTACTTTACCCAAACTCTCCCAGAAAGATGCTCACAGGCATAGACCTGACAAACTATTTTAGCACTAAGGAGAAGCGAGAAGGTTTGAGTAAACAACACATGCCTTATGCGGGGGTCGGTCATTGCGGGATCGTGCTTACCACAAACTGTACAAGCAGATGCCACCAGCCTTGTTTCAGCGCCATGGCGCGGTCACCCGACGACGAGAGTCGCAGATGCCAGCATCAATCTTCAATGTACATTATCAGATCCCGAGCCCGTCAACTGAAACAAAATTGATGCGGTGCCAAACGGACATCATGGACCTATAACATTGATGGGCGGAATTGATGCAGCTGGTGGCATGGAGACAACTCATATGAGTGAGAGCGCTCGGTGACAGTCAGCCTACACGCGCTAATCTACCCAGTCTCCGACAAAGATGCTCACAGGCACAGGACAACTATTTTAGCACCGAGCGCTGAGCGAACAGGTGCAACAACGTAGACGTAGATGTACAGACACGTCCAAAATCCGATACTAGCATGTGGAATGAAACAGGGAGGGGGAAAAAGAAATGAAAAGGGCACACCGCGGGCAAAGTACAGACAATTGCAACACAATGCCGAGAGTAGTAGGATAGTAAGATCTAGCATCACCAGGTCATTCGACGTTCATCACAATTCCATCAGCAGCATCAAGCAACCTCCGTCGTGTGTTCCGCAACAGGCGACACAGGGTCAGGCCCAGGCGGCAACGTCGTCGTCGTCGTCGTCGTCATCGTGGTGGTGGTCGGCGTCTCGAGTTCCAGCTCGTCACTGATCGGTCGTATATTCCGTGGCGTGACAGGCGAAGGCACCGTCTTGAGACCCTCCGACACGACCTCCCCATCCGCAGTCGTGATCGCAATAATCGGCCGCGCAGACGACCCCGCATCATCGCCGTCAATTGCAAGGGTCTCCTCGGCAGCAGCGAACGTCGCACGCGAGGCAGCACTCAACGGCGACAGCGGTGATGATGGCAGGGGAGGTTTCGAGGGGGATGGTTGTGTCACCTGTCCGATCTGCCGCAGTGTCCGGATGACATCCTCCGCAGTGAGCGGCGGTGGCGAAGTTGTCGGCTCCCCATCTGCATTCGCATCCCCATCCGTCCCTGCCTCCTCCTGATTCTCAGCAGGTTCAACATCAGGCTCAGGCGACGATCCATCCCCATGTCCACCCACCCTTGCAACGGCCGGCGAATCCTCCAGCACATGCACGCTATTCCGATCCCCCCCCTCTCCCGGCGTCCCCTGAACCACCTCCTCAAACACCGGCGGCGGCGTCGCATCCAAACTCAAATTCAACCTACTCGCACTCGCCGCATACGCAACCGCATCAGGCCCATACGGCACCCCAAACCTCTTAAAACTATCCACGCTCGCAATCAGCTTCATCTGCTCCGGCGTCGGTCCCGACCGCGGGTACGTCAATTCCGTCCGCACAACCGTATGCGTCAGCGGCGACCCGATGCTGTGCAGGCTGATCGCAGACGGCGACACGAGTCCGCGTCGCGGGTCGCCCGCGTTCGACGACGTGTTGGAGCGCGTGCGGAACACTGCTGAGAGCGTTGATCCAGAGCCTGAGTGGGATGGCCGGTGTGTGCGGTACGGCACCGTGGGCGATGGAGGAGAGACCAGCCCCGCGACCGTCGCGCCGCGTGGCCTTCCGCGCGTACCTTGCTGCTCCTCGGACGGTCTCGGAGAGTCGAAAGGAGAAGATCGTACAGCCGTGAGGTCGTTCGCGCTTGCGTTTTCATGTCCATTCGTATTCAGTCGCTGGCCAGGATGAAGCCTCCACAGCAGGTGCGACAGCCCCGACGCCGACAGGGACGTCTCGGATCGCCCAAACAAACCCGGACGCCTCGTCTGCCCGAACGCGCTCCGCGACGAGTTCGACGTATCCACAGAAACGAGCTCCGGGCGCGACATGTACACGCTCGGGCTCGACGCAGAGTTGGCGAGCACGGGCCCGTTACCGAACGCGACGCCGCTGTCAATGCTGTTGCTCGTCGCCTCCGTATACGGCGGGGCCGGCCCTCGCTCGCCCTGGTTCTCCATCAACGGGTCCTCCACGGAGCTGCCTGCCTCCGAGTTGGCGCGCAGCCGCGAAGGCGCATGCAGCGGCACCTCCGGCGACGGCGTGTCCTCGCGCTCGCGCTCCGAGTCGTCCAGCAGCGGCGTGTTCGCGCTCACGCTCGATCCGCGCGTGCGCGCGCGGGGGAGGTCGAGCGAGAGGTGCGGCGTCCCCTCGCGTTGTTCCTCGACAGGGGGCAGCATGCCGTTCTGCATGTCCTCCGATTGACCTCTGTGCGATCGTCAGCGGTGCGGCACATCGGGCGAGACAGCGGGATAGGTGGATGCTCACCGGTACACGACCACTTCCTGCTCTCCCGGCTCCTTCAGATATGGGGGGAGGCTGCGCGTTGAGCGCGTCGACGCCATGCTTCCCGGCCTCCGTCTCCGCCCGCGCAAGAGCCCACGCGTCGTTCCTCCAGCCAGCTCCTCTGCGGTGAGCTCCCGCGTCCCAGGAATGTGCACCGGCCGCGAACTCCATGCGCGCAAACGAGTGGCGAGCGATAGCGGAGCGGTGGCTGGCTGCTGCTGCGGTGCTGGCTGGGTTGTGGTAGGTTGCCGTTTGCGGAAGTAGAAGAAACAGAGCGAGACCGATGCTGCGGCGAAGAGAGCGACGCCGACGATCGGGACCTGGTGCAGGAGAATATGACGTGTCAGCGTTGTTATAGCAGGGAGAATGGAGATGACGTAGGGAGCACGGCAAATTGCCAAGCAATAACGGAGACGTTTGTGCCAGGCAATAAATAGGATAGTAAAGGGGAACTTAAAGGCAAAGGCGAAGGAAGGCCATGATGGATAAACGCACCGCCAAACAACGATCATATACGCAGAGACGTTCGTTTAGCGCTGTCACGATATGCAACGACGCTGCCCGAATGATTGTGCGAGCAGCAGGCGTCGTTGGCATACGCCGTATGAACTATGCGTGTCCCGTTCCCTTGAGCGCACGATTAGCTCTAGAACACTCGCGTCACAGGCAGGTGTTCTCTCGTGTGACGGACGGGGAGACAGGGCAGGTCGAATACGCGGATCCGCGTGCAAGCTCCCAAACAGGAGCCCATAACGATCTCTCCGCACAGCTCTATCGACGGGGGTTCGTGGATACGGGTCCAGCGACAGAACTATTTGCTGGCGGCTAGGAGTCCAAGCGTCTCCATCCGCCAGATTCCGCGGTAGTCGATGTACTAGACATCCCGCACACCCTAGACTGAACGAAGAGCGAACTCACCCATATAGCTACGGCAGCAGGACCTGCACCATCCCTCCTAGCCAGCTCATGAGCAGGGGCCGCAAACGCTGATGGCAGGAGTGTGACGAGCGCGAAAAATAGCTTGACAGGGAGACATTCAGGACACCACCACTGCCGAGCTGGGGACGACATGGGTAGGGTGGTGGCGGCAGAGAGAGTGGGCAGAGGAGGACAGCTTTAGACAAGTCGCAGTTCCGTGATATCACCTCGGAATTTGAAGGCTGGGATATGTCAAGTGAGTCTGAGAAAGGGGAATTCGCGGCACAAAGGCCAAACACCGACTAATCGGAGCGGCCGCTTGCTTTTGCTGATAAGGAGCTCGTCAGGTGTCGCGCACGTATGCGAAAGTGTGCCCTCGTCGGGAGGGTCGGGGCATCGCCTTACGAGCGGCCGGCGGGGCGTAAGACCACATTAGGTGCAGGCGCCTGTGGAGAACGTGCGCAATTGCCAAATTATACGGCCTTGGAGCGAGGCGCAACGTACAAGCGCATCAGACAAAGTTAGCCCTTCTTCGTGCTCAGCGCTGCATAAGAATGCAACCCATCTTTCATCGCCACGCCGTGCAATTACCCGCCCGCGTTTTGTTCGACCTTTGTCTGTGCACTTTCATCTGCCTCCGGCGCTAAATCCGGGGCAGTGCCGACTGCGGCAAGAACGGGGTCGGCCGGACTCGATTGCCCGGCCACGCTTGCTCAATCTCTTTCGTTCCAGCACTGCCTTAGTTCTGCACGTGGCATGTTGTAAAGGCAGGCCTTACTTTCGACTGCGCATGCGTCTGAGCAAGATTGTCCTGTTGCCCAAGGCCAGTCTCTAGCCCGTCCGCGCCATGACGCAACGGTCCATCCAGCCATTCGTCCAGCCCTCCTCCCGACTCCGATCGCACGACTGTTTACCACCATCCTGAGACACCGGCTTCGAGACGCGACGGCCCTCTGCTGCCGCTTCAGGTGAGAGTAGAAAGGCGCGAGAGCGCATCACCTGCAGTGTCGATCGCGTGCCAGTCATCCCTAAGCAGTGCCCAGTGTTGGTGCGTCGTAAGAGAGCCACAATACACGAGATATGCGAATTACACAGTTCCACAAGATAATAGTCACCGGATCTTCAGTTGAGAGACAGCAGTTCCTAAGGGCAAAAAGACTTCAAGGGGAGGGGGGAACTGCTCTATTGGAAGACGGGAGTACACCCTTTATACAAAATACCTAGAGAACTTTACACGACATGAGCGAAGACAAAACAGAAGAAAATGGTCGCATGATGTGGTCATCGAGAAGGGTATTTCCTTGTATGGTAACTGCTTGCCAGAATTGGAATGCCACTTGCCAAATATAGTTGTACGAACGAAAAAGCTGGGGAAGCTGCCTTCCAGACATCACCTCCAAACTATTCCGGTGCATATAATTACTAAGTGCAGTGTCTCAGTGGATCGGTCATTATGGGAGATCATATTTTCGAGTTGCAGCCTGCCACCCTCAGGCATGTGATCAGAGTCACTGAGCAGGCTTGCCTCCGCCTTCACGTCTTTGTCCACACACCGGTCCAGTCCTACAGTTGATGCTGATAGAGTCGACAGTATAGTAGTGATACATTCCAGTCTGAAAAGAAATGAGTACAAATGGAATATTATATGGCACTGTCACGGATCCCTCCTACAACGTAATGCAGAGGTGATTTTATCGTGCATGAGCAGTGGCGGAGACGAAACCGCTGGCTGAAACAGCTCAGCTGTTTCACTGAGAATGACATTGCTGAGCAAGACAAGTTGAGATCTGGACCCATGGCCATTGTTCTGCGAACTCTTCACAACTGCTTCTGTTGACGAAGTTCAGTATTCGAGCGACATCCCGTCTCTGCTTAGTACTTACACCTACTGTACGGATCAGGCGTCATGTAGATCCCATCGCCCCACCTCCCAGTCTTTTTTGGAATGCATGGTATGAGTGAGGGAAACGCAAGACAGCATATATAGGCAAAGCACACCCACCAGAAAGTCCACTAGCGAAAGCGCATCGAAGAATACTATGATATATCACACAAGTCGATCTGGCACACGGTGCCAGTATGTCTTGTACGATGTCGCAGGTCAGTTTTGGTCCGTGGAACGATGACTATGACGTCAACGACGAACGTCCGGTCCGCACACTTTAGAAGCCCTATAAATGGAGTTAAGAACCCGGGAATTAGTGCACGACGATAGAGGCGTACAGACAGACCGGTATGAATCATATTTATCTGAATGACCTTCGGTCAGAGAACTTGGCAACTCGACCCTGTAGACGTTCCGTATTCGGACAGGAGGCTCAGATAAATCGCGCCAAGCATCAACGAACAGCCTTCGTGCTGCGATGAACACGTGGACTCGTTATGAAGGCAACTCTATTTCAACCGAAATGACACCATCCATAAAGTCAATACCTCGTTGTGAAAGTCGTCGAAAGACCTGAGAGATGGTCAGATGTAGCTGGCAAGATTTTCCACCACGAACCTACCAGAGGACAAGTATTGACATCATCATCATCATCATCGAATGCTCACGTAGGCAAGGGACCGGGACCAAAACCAGCAGGGAGCCTCACGACGCCTTGAGGATCGTACTTCGCCATGGTCTGTCTAAGCCCATCCAGGTTGTGTTGCTGCGAAAGATGTCCATGACAGATGTCGTGTTCGGCGCAGCGTTCTGGTGCTTAGGGTTCGACTCCTTGGTGCGATTCTCCTGAAGCACGACTTGCCACAGAGTCAACAGTGGACACTAACCAGTCTCAGCCGGGATGAGAGATTTTCGACAGACACCGCAGTCTTGACTGCTGAAGATCTTTCCAGACATCCGTCGAGAAGCGCTGACTTTCTGTGGAAGAAAATGCTGGCTGGCTAACCCGGGCAGCTGATCAGTGCGTCACAAAGTTCACACTTGGGTGCCATCCTGGGGAGCATGGTCTTAACAGTATATATCAGAACAGGAGAACGAGACCGGATGAGAGACGGTAGGTACCTGAGCTGCCGTGAGCTGTGCTGTTGCTGTGCTGTTCACCAGCAAGCTTGCTTTGGTGCGCGTCACGACATGCCACTGGACGGTAGGGCAATGTTGTGAGGGATGCATGTCACTGCAGAGAAAGTAAGCCTAACTTCCGCATTGGTTAGTAGTGAGGAAGTCTGAAACCAATGATCATCGTATTGGTTTCGTTCGATTTAAGCCTGCAGGATCGAATATCATGACGTCAGCGGACAAGGTCTCAGAACAGTTGTACTAAACTTCACTAGTCCGACACACTATCTACGTGGCATATATCGACCATCGGATGCAACTGTTGGAGCTACGTGCAAAAAAGCACGGTCTTAAAACTGCAACTACCTTTCACTCGTGAAGTATGTTTGGACTGAATCGTCTTTTTGCGCGCATCGCGTTTGTGTTCATGGCACCCATTCATAATCAGTACCAAACCGCATCAGTGTGTACAGCTATACTACGAGTGATCCGACTCGAAGACCCGACTGATATTCTCAATTCTGCCTCACCGGACGGATAGCTTGCGGAAGCGGCCATCTGTCGAAGTGACCTGCCGACCGGAACGAACCCGGATAGTCCGTTCCGTCACCCTATATCTTTCATGAGCATATCCCTCATCAGTAAAGGAGCAGCACGCACAATAAGGCTGCAGGGGAATCCAAGATCAAACGGCAGTATGCCTTCGAGGTACGCGACCTGCTCGGGGCTGAGTGCGATCTCGAGCGCCTGGATGTTGTCCATAAGGTGCTCAATCTTGCGGCCACCGACGATGGGGAACACGTATGGCGTCTTCTGCATCACGTAGGCGATCGCGACTGTGCATGAAATTAGCAGGAAGGCTCATTCCGCGTCGAGACCTCGGTGAACGCACCTGCCGTTACGCTCTTCGCGCCTACATCCGCAGCCACCTTCTCAAGCGCCTGGCAGACTTTCCTCTCATCCGGATTGCGCATCCAATCATTGGTGAACCCCGCTCGACCTACATGCCGAAGTTCAAGAAAGGCGTGAGTGGAGAGTAGAGCAGCTGCGTTGGACACACCCTTCTCCCCGCTCTTCAGCCGCCTCTCTTCTTCTTCGTCTGAGCGGATCTTGCCTGCAGCTAGGACATTCCAGGGTGCAAGAGCCATACCTTCGAAACGCGAAGACCACCGTCAACTAGATGAGCATCATCACCCGTGCGAGGAAGCGAGACACATACCCTGGGCACGGCACATAGGGATGATCTCCCGCTCGAAATCTCGTTGCAGAATGCTCCAAGCGCCCTGGTAGACGACGAAGGGAGTCTTTCCCATCAGGCGCGCATATGTGTTTGCTTCAGCAACGACCCATGCAGGCGTGTCGGAGATTCCCTTTGATTCCGATGAGCAACGAGCGACTTTTAACGATGGAACGTGACATACCAAGTACAGCACTTTGCCCGTGACCACGAGATTGTGCAAGGCGTTCATCACCTCTTCGACTCCGCAAGTCCAGTCCCACTGTGAACGTGATTGTAAACGATGTTGCTCTTGCGATAGAGCGTTATATGAGAACACGTACCCAGTGCACGTAGAGGATGTCTACATAGCTCGTTCGCAACTTCTTGAGGGATGCCTCGATAGAGAGATGAAGGGACTTGACGTTATTGCCTGTGTAATGCGTCTTCTGCGGCATATTCACACCACGCTTGTAATTGGTCGTATACTGCAGGAATAGACCATCAGTAGTGGACTTCCATGCTACAAAGCCCCGGGATAATTCCACCTTGGTCGCAAGCACCATCTGGTCCCTAATCCCACGTGTCTCCATCCACTCGCCAAGCACTTTCTCGGACATCTCGTCCTGATAGTTGTTCGCGGTATCAATGAAGTTGCCTCCTGCTGCGTAGAAGGCGTCCAGTAGCTCGAAACATTTCTCCTTGTCCATAGGCGCGAGGCCGAGGTCACCCCACTTGTCCCCGAGGCTCCCAGCGCCGAGGCAGATGGGAGAGACATGGATGCCGGCGAGAGGCGCAAGTTGGCGGTGGCGCCCAAGTTTCGTAGCAGACTCCGGGGGAGGAGCAAAGAATCTTGCAATGGGACTGTCGGATTGGGACATGGCGGCAGATGACAGGCAGTTAGCAGTAGGCAAGACGGATGAGGAGGGACGAGGCTGACTGTGTGAGAAGTAGGTTTTTAAGCCCACCACGAGTGTCATTACTCATGCATGTTGCTTATGTGCGCAAGCCTACGTATAACCAGCTACGTCAGTGGCCGGCACGAATGTCCCTAGGTCGTAAGTTGCTATGATAACGGACGAAATGTATTTCACAGGGTCTCCTGTTCGTAAATCGGCTGAGCGAATCCGAAGTTCAATTCCTGAATGACGAGTGCGCTTGCGCCCGGTTCTGCACTGCGTCGGTGCAGTATACCATCAAACAGTGTTCCGAGGAGCAGGCAAGCCGTTCAACCAATGGAACGCGATCGACTTTGATTGTGTTATGCGGTCAATGTTGTAGTAATTGCGCTATTTGCTGCGTGACAGGCCCCCGAAAGGCTCAATGCAAAATGATTTCGGTGGTATTTCCGTGTCTATCATAAGCACTTACCTTCACTCCCAGAGTCCCTGACGGAGGCTCAGAAGGCGCTGATTGAGCACGATCTGTCATTCACGCGACCGACGCATGTTCTAGCAAAGATTTGTAAGACTCGGGCGGTCAAGTCTGCCTCGTGCCAAGTGCCGAAGGCTGCGTTACCGGCCTTCGGCAGTGACGTTACAGGACTGAAGCGATTGCTGTAATACCTTGCCTTCGTCCCGATGCAGGAGTGCCCTTGCCAGTTCCTCGGCTATACCCAACTCTTGCAGCTGTGCAGGCTCGATTTAGGACCAGAATATCCAAAGAGAGGTTGTAACGCCACGGCGGTGTACAAGCGCAATAGCCGACAAGAAATATCGGAAGCCATCCCCAGAGTCATGATGAGCGTTCGACATGCCGATACGCGACGCGGCGGGGTGGCCTCAAGGCCTGATCTTCAAATCCGCCCCAACATGAGAATATCAATTTCGGAGCGCCCAGTGGCTACCATTCCGCATGGGAAACACAAGTGATGCTGCAATGAGATCCTCCATGCGCAAGTCCGGGTGAAAGGCGCTGTACCCTAACCACGGCGAGATGTGTCGGGGGTGCACAACGCTCTCGAATATGAGAACAAGATGGGAACTGTTCCCAGAGAATGAATCGGTCATCTGCAAGTTGAAATTGTGCCATCATTGCTACTGGTGATTATATTGTGCTAGTCGCACTATATAGTGAATTTAGGACTATCAAAGTTGCAGATGTAGAAAGATGTTGCCCCGATGCATTAAGCAATGTTCGGTTATCAATTATGCAGAATGATTTTGACGTACCCTGGCATATAAGGGCCGTGTTTAATCACGATCCATCGTGACGGGTAAATAGCTTCATCACGAAATACCACAACCTCGGTGTAGGAGGAACAACCACAGTTGACAGTACCCATTATCTTCAGAAGATCTTCATGAGATCGTCGGCCACGATAATGCTTTATCATGACATGTCGAATCATATCCTGGAGGAGGAGGTTGGGTCCCTGCTAGGACAGCTCGGCTGTTTTGCCGACAACAATCCTGCTGAGCAAGACGAGCCGAGATCCGCATTCGCTGCCATTTTTGTGCACGAACTGTTCAACTGCTTCTGTAAACGAAGTTAGTATTCGAGCGACATCCCGACTCTGCTAACACCTACTGTACGAATCAGGTGTCGTGCAGGTTCCGTCGCCCCACCTCCCAGACTTCTCTGAAATGCATGATACCAATGAGGTAAGCGTAAGGCAGCACAGGCCAAGCTCACACACTAGCAAGTCCACTGGCGAAAGCGCATCGAAGAATATGACATATCGCACAATACGATCTGGCACACGGTGTCAGTGTGTCTATGAGTGGCTGGAATAGACCGAAACTTGTCCGACTGCTTCTGCAACAGACCAAATAAATACATCAGCTCGACATGGAGGACCGGACTCGAAGCATGTCATCAGCGTATATAATGCCCATGATCAGGTGGCTATAAGAGCACATGAGTTCAATTCACTCTCTACAGAGGTACTTAACTATGGCTTTAGCTTCAAACACGCCTGTCAGACCGTAGGATACGCATCATGCGCCCGTAGGATATCCACCGGTTACCATGTAGCGGGTCAGTCACTTTCATTATATCCCCAAACCCACAAGCGCGCCTTCAAGGTTGTCCAGGGAGCAAACGGTGTGCGTGAAGTGTTTGTACAGACGAGAGCACGAGCAGTACGTAGAGTAAAAAGGAGTTCATACTGGCGTGGTCCCACCTTCACGATCATCAACGTGCACAAAAGGTCAGACACCAAGAGCATTGAAGCGGCGTTGTACGACGGATGGCGTCCGTTTTGATATCGCAGTGTGGGTCATCACTCTGCAGCTTCCTCATACTGAACAAGATCTTCAAAGTTGACCAATGTGCCTCCAAAAATATCAAGGGAACTGGAAGCCCGCGTAAACATGTTGAAGGCAATATTCAGCCTGCCAATGCTCACCTGCCGTAAGTAAGGTCAACCTTTCCTTCGGAAAGCTCATTGACTGTGGCCAAGTCCTCAATGCCTATAAAGACGGGAAATGAGCGACGAAAGCAAAAACCGAGAATGGATATCACTTTTGGCTCCACCGGCATATGTCGTCGGTATATTGACCCATTGCCCAAGTTCTTTCAGGCGTCATTAGAACATTTCTGGTGAAATACGATGCAAGACCCACTTGCTACAAGTTCCTCGTCGATGCCCTGACACAGCCCTTCGACGTCCGCAGCGTGTATTAGGAATTCGCTATAGAGAAAATGATCCCGATCAAATTTCCCAGTGTGTAAGTCGGCGACTAACCTGCAGTACTCCGAGAGCATATCAAGGGCCTCTATATGATTCGCTCCAGTCAGGGCCATAACAATAGCATTTGAAGCCCCCCCAACCTTTATTGACCTCCATGTCTGTGATGGTCTGCCATTTGTTCATGGCGACGAGCCATTTATCCCCTCTGCGTCGACAGCTGCCGCGGCAGTCAGCGGCAAAGAATAATAACAAAATGTATGGTCCACCTGACATCAATGACCAGCTTGTCCTCGCCGACCAAAGAAGACATGCGTTGCAGCCGCTCCAGGGAGAACTTCCCCTCGGGAAAGAGGTAGGACGTGACAATCACCTGGTACTCGCTGATTAGGATCGGCCATGTGAATGAGGACGAGAGGTAGAACAGACGGGCTGTAGCTGTCTCACAATGTCATACCTTGCTCGCTCCTTCGTCTAGCCACTCACGGCAATTCTTATCATCAATGCCTCCTCCAATCTGTAAATGGCCTGTACTGGCCCCGCGAATTAACTCGGGACAGCGGACGCATGATAGAACGCACCTTTCCATGCATGCAATGCTTGCCGTGCGGCCTCGTCATTGCCACTTCCGAGCTTGATGATATGGCCGCCCTCGAGGCCATGCTTCCGGTACAACTCGACGTAGTGAGTAGAAGGACGACTGCATGTGCCATGACCAGCAACTCAGCGAGCTTGAGGTCGACAGAAACAATACAAACGTGCCTGGCAACGAAATTCGTCTTGAGCGTGCTCGGGTCCGTCTCCGAAAGCGTGCCGCCAACAATCTGTTTCACCTGGCCATTGTGAAGGTCGATGCATGGTCGAAAGTGTGTCTTTTTTCGATTTGAAGACATTTGATGGTGAATTTCTCGGTTCTGCTCGGTCGGTCTGTCTGCAGATCTGACACGCTCCAGCTGCAGCCACAACTTAATTCGCGACAACCTTGCCACCGTTCCAGCCCTTTCCTCACAACGACCTGCGCTTTCTCCTCCAGCTATTTGAAGACCCTCCTTGAACGGAGCAACCCAGATAGGGATCGGCAAAGCGCGAATGATGGCACGTATGAGCGTGGGCGGGTGTGGTCACTGTAGGGTGCGAATGGGGTGGAAATCAGGAAATTCGAGGAGATCGTGGTCGTTGTTCTGGCGAGAATTGTATATGAAAATGTGGGCAGGGTCAGCTCTTATTTTCGTAAAATGTTGTCCGAATGAACATATGAAAACGTCGCTGGTGGAAGCTTTGGCCATGGCCGCGTCGACTAGACTGACCAGTGCTCTTTCTCGACCACCATCTTACCGCCTTTCTTCCTCACGTTACCCTCCTCCCCCGCGACACACGTCCCTTGCGGTCGTCGATGTCAGGGAAAGCACCTCCTCGGGCACCGCGAGCATTGCTGAACTCGTTCGTGACCCCGACAGCATCATCTTCTGGCAATGCCGCTTGCTCGTCTTCGACCGCGTCGCTTGCGTCCTCACGATTGGGAGCGGCACCACCTACTGGTCCTCGAAGTCTCTTACAAGGAGCAAATGGCCACTATCCACAGCCTGTAGGGAGGGGTGGTGGGAGAGGAAAGCCTTATGCGAATGGCCACATCGCGATTCCTAATGGCCCTGCAGGCGTCACGCCTCCTACCGGTCCAAGAGCCTCTCTCAAGGGTAAGCAAGTTGAAAGCCCGTGGAATCAAGCGAATTCAACTGCAGTAAATGATTTTCGTCGTCTTAGCATAGCTATCGAGCTCACACCAGCCTTTAGTTGCCTCAGTCGAATGGCACAGGCAACAGCAGGCTTAATGGCGAAGTCGCCCCGTTAGCCCAGAGACAACAGGCGATCTCATTTCGACTACGTCCTCCGCCTCCTGAACCGAAAACCGAGCCTCCACCTCCTCCTCCTCCAAGTAGTACACCGCCACCACCCCCTCCTCCGTTGTCTGAGCCACCACCGCCACCCTCATCGCCGCCACCGCCACTTCCTAGCCAGACGCTCAATGAAAGCCAGGTCGTACATGTGTATGATGGCGACACATTCAGTGAAAACATACATTCGCCAAGCTCTTCACGATCACCTTCCTCTTCTCCTCAACCCCCAGCATCTGAACCCCCACCACTACCTCCTCCATCAATAACCCCTTCATCGCCACCAAATCTTCCGCCTGCGGCGGCGGCAGCACGACTCCTGCCAACAGCTCCTCGGGGCTTCTCCCATCAGCCAGCGGAACCGTCATGTCGTCCTCCACCCTTACCTTCTGGTCCATCAGAACCACCGCTTCCACCGCCATCTTGTTCCGCATCACCACCATCTCCACCGAAACCCACGATTATTCTCCCTTCATGGCCTCCTTCTCCCTCTGACTGCCCACCAGGCCAAAATTACAAGGTGCTTTTCGATCACGTCATAGACAAGGATCGGGACGGACAGCTGCGCATGTTGGCGGAGAAGTTGAGGCAATTAGGGATGGACCAGGGGGATGATCCGCGAGTGATGGGCAAGGGGAAGGGGAAGGAGGTGATTTTACGCTATAACGGGGAGGTCATCAATGGAGAACATCCAACAGTTCTCCGGGATCCGAGGAAGGCAAGGCTAAAGAAGCTACCGAGCATGCGAAGTCAGCGGATGGAGTTGGTTCCCGTTAAATACGAGGTGCGTTAAGGAGTTTTTTGACATGGGCGTAGCTCATCGTCTTATAGTACGATGAGCACTCGGTGGGGCCACCGCCTCCTGCTTCAGTATTGGTGATGAATCTATCCGTCCTAACCGCAATTCCCCATATGCGACATCATTTCTCTGCACATGGGAGCATCAAATCCCTTGAACTTCACTTGGACCATAAAGGTGGTCCGATGGGCATTGTGACCATCAGATACAACTCCCATGAGGAGGCTCGTGGATGTGTTGAGAAGGAACATGGTAGACCCTTGTCTGCAGCAGGTGCCGACTTCACCAAGGGCGTAGACGGGTCACAGCAGATGCTGGTAGTGTTTGACGGGGAAGGGAATGTCTCGAAGGCAGTACTGAAGGAGATCGAAGGCCGCAGGTTGAGAGAACTGGACGAGAAGCGGCGCAAGGGGAAGGAGGAGAAAGCAAGAGTTGCAAGGGCAGAGAAGATGAGGATGAATGGCCATATGGGGCCGGCTTCGCACAACTCGTGGAAGGCTAACCAACAAGGTGGATTGATGCGCCAACACCAACCAGGCGGCCCTCTACAACCCATCCCGGGCCTTCCAGACCCTCCATTTTGGCATACACCATCCGACGGTTCGCCCATGCCTCCGACTCACTTGAATGGCGTGCCGAGTGGCCCGAAGGGTTCTTCAGGACGCATGCGCAAAGCGCCCCAGGGACCAGGGCGAGGGCGACAGGGTCCCTCGACACGCCCATCTTTGCCCGTTCACTTCTCGATATCCACGCCCATGCGTCCCTGGGCGCGGCAGTCATCCGTGTACACTAATGATCGAGATGCTCCCTCGCCCTCCCTGCGCTCGCGCTCGCCTTCCCCTGTGTCGAAAAAGTCAGGACGATTGCTGCACGACATCCATGAGAAGAGCCACGAAGAGGTTGTGGAGGAGCTCGCTCGGAATGGTTTCGAGCATGTCACGATCGACGGACACGGCTCCCAGCTCGGCGGGGCTGTGCGAGAAGAGGACGTCCGACACTTCTTCGAAGGGTTCAAGATTGACAAGGTGAGCAGCGTGTTTGCCTCGCGGTGCCTACCTCACGGTGCTAGCCGAGGGCGCTTCTTTCCCGCGAATTAGCCGTGTGGCATGTGCTCTCGTATATATATGCTTGTATCAACCGACATAACTGATCCTCGTTTGATGCGCAGGTTCTTCGGGACAAATCCAACTGGTACGTTACGTTCGAGACAGGGGACTCCGCTCGTCGTGCGGCACTTGTCCTCAACTCCGGGGCGCGGACTTTAGGCCACCACTCGGTGAATGTCACTGTTCATCCGGCGCCAGCTTCTCCCTCTGCTCCTTCAAAAGCGCGTTGGAACGACGACGAGCTTGTTGAACAAGCTGAGAAGATCATATTGAAGGATCTGAGGGCTATGCTGGAGAAGGATGTTGTCGATAAAGTGGTGGCAAGTGGTATCAGGCACATGATCTTGGACGAGAAGACGAAAAGAGGACCTAAGGTCGCTCTTTTTCCAGACGGACATACAGTGGACCATGAGGGTACGGAGCCGAGACATTTCGGGGTGTCCGACCTGCGAGGGCTGTCGTTCCGCAAGCAGAAGAAGCGAGATCGCGAGGAGAATCAGACTCGTTTCGAATCTCTTATGCAGGAACACGAGGAACATCAAGAGCATCCGGGGCGGGATGAAGAGCGACCGGATGCACACGTTTCCGATAGGCCACACAAGAGACAAAAGAAAACAGTGCCAAAAACGGTCATCAATGAGGACATTGAATCGGAGGATGAGGCTGTGCCTCCTCAGCATCTTGCTCGTGAAGATATTGAGTCTGAGGATGAAGAGACACCTCGTGTTGCGCCATCCCCTCTATCCGTTCCTGGTTCTACGCCTGCTCCTGTTCCCTCTCCCTCTCCTGCGTCTGCTCCGATCGAGCCATCTCCTGTCCTGAACAATCTCCCAGTGAAGCGCGCGGCATCCATCGTTGAAACGGAGGAACGTGCTCAGAAGAAGACCAAGATGATGCGTCGCGATGGATCAGAGAAAATTGTTGCTCCGAAAAAGGCGAAGAAATCTGCAAAGAAGAAGCCGGCTCGAGCGACGAAGCCACCCGTGGTTGAAGAGGTCGTGCATGAAGTTCAGCTCGATGATTTCGACTTTGACATCCCTACCGTCACGCAAGTGCGTCTCACCCCAACGCCTCACTTTGATTCCTCAGCATCGCCCCCGTCATCTCCTGTTCGCAAGGTCAAGCAGCTTGTGCCGCCACCGCCACCACTTGACCCCATCAAGGCAGGCATTTGCGAAGACGACGAGGATCTTTACTTCGTGAAGGTAGCGTTGGCCCGTGACTTGTTCAACAAAGAGATCGAGACTACTCCAAGAGAGCCAACTCCTTCTCCGGACTCTCCGCTGGCGTTTCGTGTTCACATCACTGGCTCTGCTCGCACGGAGGGCTATTACTCCATCTCTCATGCGGAGAAGTCGGCGTATGTCACGCAGTATGCGTCGCGTGGGATGGCCAACAAATCAGAACCTGAGATCGAGCAACCACAACAAAATATCGAATCATCCAGGTCGAATCGCGCGAATGCACGACGGCGGGCTCAAGGCCTGGAGGAGATCAATCAGGTACAGCGTGCTCTGGCACTGTCGAAGGGAGAGTCGGCGGCGACTGAGCTCCTCAAATTCAATCAGCTGCAGACACGCAAGAAACACCTCCGATTCGCTCGTTCACCCATACACGACTGGGGCCTGTATGCCATGGAGAAGATTTCGCGTGGGGAGATGGTCATCGAATATGTCGGCGAAATCATCCGCGCCCAGGTGGCAGACAAGCGCGAGAAGGCATACGAACGACAAGGCATCGGTAGCAGCTATTTGTTCCGTATTGATGAAGACTTGGTCGTGGATGCTACGAAGAAGGGTAACCTTGGGTAATGTATTCTGTTCCCGTCTGTTTCAGCCTCGCGTCTGACAGACTTTTTTGCAGTCGCCTCATTAACCACTCGTGTGATCCCAACTGCACTGCGAAGATAATCACCATCAACGGCGAGAAGAAGATTGTGATTTATGCGAAGCAGGACATTGAGCTCGGAAGTGAGATAACTTATGGTGAGTGGCTGGATCATCCTGGCACCGGTCGCATCGTTCATGCTGATGACGCTTGCGACAGACTATCACTTTCCTATTGAACAGGATAAGATCCCTTGTCTATGTGGCTCTACAAAATGTCGTGGTTACCTCAACTAGACTTTACACCCTGCACCGGACCGTCCTCGTGCTCACCATACCCTGTTGTCGTTGCTGAGTTTCCCCCCCTCGCTCTCGAGTCTCACCGCACATCACCCGCATAGTCTGTATCTTATTATTTCTCGCATTTTCCGTTGTCCTGTCTCTTGTCGTAATCGCCCGGCATGCGAGGATTGCTGATTTGATGTAGCCGATATCCCTTATCCTTAAGTAATGAGGACGTCTCAGTTTGTCGAGGTACTTTGTATACAGATGCAGTCTCGCTCCTCAGTGGTATAACATAATTAGTGTTTTCAAGGTATCTACGCCTGTTTCCGCTGCAGTCCCTTTGGCAGCTCCTTTACCCATGGAAGGAAGTCGCGCCCTTGTATATACGGCCGCAATACCTCTGGAATGACCAAGCCCTGTGATAAGTGCAGCATGAGTACCAAAGTTGTGACGCGCTGTGAGAGAACAACATACATCCGGCGTCTGGTAGTTCTCGACAAGGCAGCAAAGAGCGCGCTCGGTGGCACAGAGCGTGCCATTCAGCATGTGCACATAAACTTTGCGCGTCTGGTCCTTGGTCTTCAGACCACAGCGCACTTCAAGCTTTCGGCTCTCTGATCAAAGAGCATTGAGCCATATACTGCGCTTCCAAGTGATTTTCCCACTCACGATAGTCTGTGCAATTTGAGCATGACACGAGCTCCTTATATGCGCCTTGGAAGGGGAACCATGCTTCCAAATCATATTTCTGCGAGGCAGCAAGGTTCAACGCGCCAGAAACTATCGCGACAACGCGATATGGGATGCTTAGGCTCTGGTAAAACGCCTCGGAGTTGGCGATCATCTTGTCGAACATCTCCCAGCTCTTCTCGGGCTCGGTCAGGCAGAATTGCTCGACCTTCTCGAACTGGTGCACACGGAAGATGCCCCACATGTCGCGCCCAGCGGAGCCCGCCTCCTTGCGGAAGCACGTCGAATAGCCTGCGTAGCGGATCGGGAGCTGTGTCTCGGGCGAGTCGAACCACTCCTCCGAGTGAAATGCTGATATAGGCTGCTCAGAGGTCGCGATCAGGTACTTCTCGTCGTCGTCGGCAATTACCTGGGGATGGAGTGAGTAGGTAATCCGCGTTGTATCGAGCGCAGATCGCGCACCTTGTACAACTCCTCGTCGAATTGGTCAAGCTGGGCGGTCTTGGCCATGATATCCTTGTTCATCATGAATGGCGGCTGGATCTTCTTGTAGCCTCGCTTGCGCAGGAAGTCAAGACCGTAAGAGATAAGCGCCTGGTTAAGGTCGATGCCGTCGTTCGTCAAATAGTAGCCTCGGTGGCCGCTGGTTTTGGCCCCTGAAATTCGTGTCAATTATAAACGATGAATGGTACTATGTCTGGAGACGTGCCTCGCTCAAGGTCTATCGCATCTAATCGGAGCAGCACTTCGTGATGGGGCATGATGTTGGTCTTTTTCTGCACCTCAGCACCCTCGCCATCCGGGTGCCATTTTCGGACCGTCCTGTTGTCGTCCTACTATCGCGATTCAGTAAACGGGGGGTGCAGAAAGCAAAATATGCATACCTCATTCATGCTGACTGGGACGTCCTTGCCCACGATGTTTCCGACAGTGGAGGCCTTCTGTCGCATTTTCTGCTCAAACTCCTTGGATTGCACCCGCTTAGCGACGACTTGCGCATCGAGCTCTTTCTTTTTGTTTACAAGCTCGTCCGCATTCTCCTTCGCCTGTCCTTCGTGATTAGAGTGATGGTAACAGATCCTGTTGAGATCAATATACCTTCTTTTTTGCAGCAATCTCCTTCTGTATCGCATTGATTTGCTTGCTCAGATTTGCGGTCTCAAAGTCCACTGCACAGCGTAAGCCTCACGGACTTGTGCTTGTGTGCAGAGGACGTACTCTTCACCCAATCTACGTACATCTGAATGACCTCGTCGACGATCTCGACGGGGAGACCGCGCTTTCGCTGCGATTCACGGATTTCTTCGGCATTGCCGCCCTTGTTGTCGAGAAAATGTAGGACGTCTAAGGTCATGATTGCGAGCTGTTCTCGGATCGCGTAAAGTTTGCAAAGAGTAAGGGATAAGCGGCGATAAAGGGAAGAGATCGAAAGTACACGCGAGTCATTTGAATCGATTTCGGTTTACTGAAAGGATCTAATCTAATCTAAGTGCATATGAGCGCTTAGATGTCTGGTATATCTAAGTACCTGAGTTTTGATGGACAACACATGCTCTACTTCACGCAAACCTGTCGCATAGTCCTTTCGTTATAAAAAAACCAAGTATGCTTGGCCTCAATATCCACCAAATCGTGTTGAAGAACAGCAGCTGGAGATGAAAGCGCTGCAGGCCGTAGCGCCACCGGAAAAGGCGTAACCAAACAGACACAAACAGCGCGTTGCTAAGCTAAGGATAGACGCGAGCCACTCGTATCTTGAGGGTTGTACCCAGCTGCCGCATTGACTGTGAAGCCACTCCTCCAATTCCACCATGTACAAGCTCTTGCGCCGTATCTCGAGGTCATTTTTTCCTTCGCACGACCTGCCATCGAACGAAGATGGTGAGTGTCTCGTTCTCCGTCTAGCAAACACGCGACTGACGCGTGTCTGATGGCAGCTACGTCGACTGCTCCCCAGATCGGCCAGAAACGGCGCCATAGTTCAGAGGAGTCTGGTGTAGAGCCACCGTCTCCTGTCAAAAAGCAGAGACCAGAGACGCCTGAGCAGTCCGAGGAACAATCACCAGTGCATGAGGGAAATGCCACGGGGGAAGTCGAGCAAGTCACTGAAGGCGTGACGGAGATCGAGCTCGAGGATAAGATACCTACGGAGCCATCAAGCACAGCAGAAGATGCCGCTACAGTTCCCTTACCTGACTCTCCGATCACCGACATGAATGACGAGACTGCGAGCACAGTGGAGAATGAACCGACAACAGCTCATTTCGAGCAAGCATCATCTCCAGAGCCACCCACGGCCACAGAGACATCTTCGAGTACGAAGGAAGAAGTAACAGTTCAGACGGTAAAGGATGACGCAGCGAAAACCGAACCTACCAGGGAAGTTGAGATACGGGAGATAGCGCAGGAGGAGGTGAACGCGCTGGATGAGGATGAAAACGGTGACGATGAAATTCCTGGTCTTACGGCAGGCGCAGCGTTCGCGTTATCACATTCTTCGAACGTCGTCGACCCACTATTACACGAAGCAGCCAGATCGGAAACGATGGAGGTTGCCCCGAAGGACGCTGTCATGGCCTGACTTATGATTCAGAACATATTCATCCATCTCCATTGCATATACAGGATGCCTTCTGGCGGCGATCTATTGCTATCTAAATCCCTACGCAAGCTAATTCACACCACATTTACTTTGCTGTACTAGTTTTCATGAGCGGTCACTTCTTTATACACCCACGTCATTCAAGATGCACACAGCCAGTTACGACGACACCCATCGCACACTCGCCCGCCTGATCTTCAAACGACTATCTTTTAGACGTATTTGACCACGACCTCGGACGAACTGATAGACACGGAGGTTAGGACCTCGCCATTCTGTTCGATGTCGATGATTGAGGCCGAGCCGGGACCGATGCTGCCAGAAGACGTCGTGGCTGTGGCGCTGGTGAAGGTGACGGTGCCAAAGTCGGCGAAGTTGACCAGCGAGCTACCTTCTTCGAAGTCTTCGACAATCCACTCAGCGTTCTCCTCGCAAAGCGAGTACGAGGAGGTGATTGACTTGGTCACCGTCTTGCCCGTCGACACGTTCTCGATGACGGCCGTGCCTGCCGTCTCGCTCGACGCGGTAACCGTCACCTTGATCTCGTCGCCCGCGCTGATGCTGATGCCAGAGAAATCGTAGGCGTAGTCGGGATACCACTCATACCAGGCTGGTCAACAACCAGACAGTGTGAGATCGTGCACGATTGTACTGACATTTGCAAACATACCGTCATAGGAAACCTCGCCGTTGGAAATAGTGAAGTCGACACCAGTCTGGAGAATCGCGTTTTCGCAGGTGTCGCCGTCGATGCCGACCCAGGCAGACGCAGCATACGTGCCGGAGCCGCCATTGGGCGCCGAGGGAGTGGGGACGGTGAATGTGCCGGTGACCGCCTTGAAGTAGCCCTGCAAGAAAAGTTCAGTAAGCATTCTTGTCTCTTGTCCACAGACTGGCGAACGAACCGAAGACTCAGCATACACAGCGCCGGCCCAGTTGGAACTGTACTCTACGTTGGAGACGTTGCCGTTGACCGGGTTCTCGACGACCTGCTTCGGGTGCGACAGATGCGAGCCCTCCGCGCGGCGCGCCACCCGGCCAGCGAGGCCGGTGCCCCGAGGGGCGGCCAGGACGGCAGTGGCGAAAACGACGTAGCTGAGGAGTGTAGCAGCGAACATGGTGGAGGAAACCGTGGCTCGAGAGGGTTATGTGGACCTGAGGACCTGGCTATCTCGATGGACCCATCGACGCTTTTATAGTCGCGCAGAATCGCCCAGCGATGCTCAAGGCAGTCCATCATGCTGTGTCGCCATATGCCTCTCGCCTTCCCAAGAGCTCGGCAACATCTACGCGAAGGTTCGCGATATGGTCCTGTTTGTGATTGATGCCCCGGATGACAGATGACCGTCGCGCACGGGGCACGAGATTGAATTCATCAGAGTGCCCGAAAGGGTGTTCATGCGGTTGACGGTGGCCAGCATGTGGGTGTTTGAGGCCAAGAACCCGGCCGGATCGAATACCCTGTTTACTACGCATGCAGCACACACTCGGCATACGAATCTCGGCCCACTGCATACGAGACGACGTGGTCGAGCCTGATCGTATCGAACGGACAAAGCAGCAATCAACACCGAATCGCATGTAACCACAATGTTCTCTAGCAACGATCGGTGAGCATAGCCCAGTAGACTTTGCATCAAAGGACGACTGACAACAACAAACACATCGGGAGTTTTGTCATTTAATCTGGGAGAAAAGTACAGACAAAATTTGAATTGACCAATGAGATTCGCTACAATAGTACTTTTGTCCCGGATTAAATGACAAAACTCCCGATGTGAAAGGTCATGTCTCGTATGTGGAGGTTACTTAACTCCACGGTCTTCGACGTACGTCTACCCAGCTTTGTGGTCATGATCCTGGTCCATCGGAGTTTCGGAAGTTAGCACCTTTCATCCGAGGCTCGGATAACAGGAGACAGATGGGCGCATGTGCAACATCTTCGTGCATGACAGCTACACACGGTCTGCGGTGGTGGCATCGCACGTGGTGACATGAGAGAGGCATATCATTGAACTTCTGAACTTCTGATATTCTGTTAAGAAACGACATCGCATAAGCATACCAGCCAAGACAGCAGCCTTGAGCATGCAAGAGGTGTGATATTACTCGTCGAATCGACACGCTCCTTGTGCGTATTGCAGCTATTCTGCTCCTGCGAGCGTCGTGGAAACTTTCCCAACCATGCTACGCGGAAGATGTGTTCACATGAGAGGTACGGCAGGGCTCCCTTTCAAGTTGGAAGATAGGCCATACCATTTGCGATCCTCGACCCGCTCGAGGCATCTATAAGTCCAGAACAATATTCGTCGGTGGGAAATCATCCCGGCTTTTTCGCTTGCGAAGCCGTCGCCGCGCGAGTCCGTTGACAGATTGGTTCAGCTGATATTGATTCTAAACGCCTCGACGGTCTCTCCAGATTCCAGAAACTGTCGAGGAACCTCAAGCGGATGAGCGAACTTGAACCCGAGGGAATTGCACATGCACACGGCTCCTCTTCGATGATAGGATGTGCGGGTGCCTCGCTGCAGTATTTGACATTGAGCGCATGGGAGATCCGCTGTGTGCATCACTGTTACAAACACATTACCTGAACGGTGCCGGCGACAGGGATCCGGTCTTAGACGATATCGTTCTAGACCTGAACCACAACGATGATGCGACCGGCCAGCGACCTATCCGTTCCCTGAGGGGGAGTAAGCGAGATGCGCATGGTGCAGTACGAAGCCAAGAGCGATCCGCATGGCAGCAATTTCGAGGTGGCATTGCCGCAATAGGGCAGATGCTGCCCTGCCAATCCCATTTTTTTGCGGAGGACCGTGCAGGCTCTTCGCGCACCCTCGCGCACCACGTTATCATACGCCAAGTCGTCGATGTGGCCGCCCATCCATGTGGAACACGTTTGCAGGCTGCACGAGATAATGCTTGCTGCATATGGGAACCCTTGTGCCGGATCGCGGCTATTTCACCTCCTAGAACTTGTATATAAAACAGTTCGTTCGATAGAACGTAGACGTAATGGGTCAGAAATAATGTAGCCCATGCGTGAATTGTCTTGGTAGTGCCTCCTCAAGGTATTTTTGCACCTCATCAAAAGCCGAGGCCATGCCATAAGGGAAAAGACGGTACTTCGCCACCGTGTGCGCATGGGTCCTTTGCTGATCTGCATCGGACACGATTCGCACTCGACATCGGGATTCGCAAAAAAGCTGCAGTTCTCGATACTGAACCCAGCTGTTTATAGGCATAGTCCGAACGGCGCTAGTCCAAGATGTAACAAGAGTATCACAGGTACTCAAAGTGGGTGACAAGCGGGAGCATAAGTGCAGGATATGGAGTCGATCAGCGGTGCAGTGACAGCGGGAACCATATTCATCAATATTCAGTCGTTGACAGTCGAAACCGACAGCGGCTCTATAAGGGCAGTGCTCGCTATATAGAGCACAGCACCTGTTCGCAGGGCAGTAAATTGGATTTATCGTCATGTATCAAGCCGCAATTGCACAGGTTCAGTGGTAGCCACATTGACCGAGTAGCTGGATGCAAGCACTATTCCAGATGGATGGCAACTTTCGCTTCTATTTGCAGCCTTGAAGTAACCAGGCGAACCTCGCGGTTTGTCTCGATCCAGCGCCACGAACCACGGTTTGTTGAGAGTCCATATAAGCGTGCCAGTACATCATACAGTTCCTATGCAGCGAGGTCGTAACGTTTGCTGTCAAGGCGCGATGAGTGGCGAATGGACAAGTCATGGCCCGATGTGGATTTAAAGGACCTTTCGGGCGCGGAGATTGCCGTGCGTTCAATCAGTCACGTGTAATCTCGGTACTAGACGCGCGCGTCGCGTACTACTTGTTTGGTTTGTTTCAAGTTTGTTCCCTTCGAGCACCTTGCACGGTCCGACAGCATGGGGATCTCCAGCTATGATGCCCTAATGTCTCATGTTATGACGCTGCTGTCGACCTTTCCGCCAAATTTTATCTATCTCTACGACGCTGAAAATCCGAGACTTGTTTCATCTGGTTTGCGCTCCGTTTTGGAACAGTCTTCGGGTTCTCATCTATCTTACGCGTTTGTGGACGCTATATCGTGCTTTACACAGCGTCTTATGTATGACACTGCTCTCAACCAGCTTGCACGCTGGCAACCAACATGGGAGGACGGCTGTGAGAATTGGCCAGGATCGAGCACAGAGGGACGACGATGGAATGAAAGCTTTGACACTTTTGTGCACGGTTTGAAGTCAGTCGCAGCTCAAATTACGGTAGAAGCCATGGATCCTGCAGCGAGTAAGAAAAGTAAGGGCAAAGCGAAGGCAGCAGAAGCCGGAGGGGAAGAGACATGCAGACTGGTGCTGGTCGTCGAGCGTGCTGAGCGGCTGAGAGAGACACTGCCGGACCTTGTCGTCCCGTTAACCCGTCTTGCTGAAATGGTGCGTCTCCGTAATTCTTTGCTGGATGGCCTTCCTTCCAACCTCCGTCCTTAGTCCCAGCTGGACATCATTACAATCTTCATTTCTGATACACGGTGGGAAGACATCCGTCCGCCGCTGGGTGCGTCCCCAGAACCATACTACATAGATGCTCCGACAACTTCTCAAAAAGGTATGTTCCACACAGCTTCCTTCAGGTGGCCCTACTACTTACCTGAAGGTCGACTTGACAGCCACCCTTGAAATGCTCACCTCAATGTATCCCCCTCCTGACGCCGAACGCGATCCGAGCATCGATCCGCGGACATACCACCCTTCCCTCCGGCCGCTCTATGAACGGTTTCTATCAACACTCTATGGCTCCTGTGGTACGTTCATCAGCGACCCGTACGAACTTGCATATATCGCGGCAGCAACCTGGCCAGGATTCGTGCAGCCTCTCATCGACGACCACACGCGACGCCTGGAGATTTATCATGCCCAAAAGGGCGAGGAAGTCGTCTCAGACAGCGAGTACAGCGACGTCAATAGCGACGCAATGCCTGAGCTCGCCCCCGCGTCGCCGGCGGACGTGTGCCATGATCTCGCCACACCCTATAAGCTCGTATTTCGCGCCGCAATGGACGCGCTTTATCCGCGCATAACGAATGCCACCGACTGGGTGCGGCATTCTGCGCCGAGCGAGTATGATGCGCGGAGCATGAAGACGCTACCGCGGCTGGCAAAGTTCATCCTCGTCGCGGCGTTCCTCGCGAGCACCAACCCGCCGAAGAGCGACATGCGGATGTTTGGCCGCGGTCCCGACGAGCGCTTGAAGCGGCGGCGCAGGAAAGGTGGCAGTCCCCGCAAACCGAAGGCGGGCGTTGCTAGTGTCGCTGACAAGGTGCGTGTCATTAGCTTAGTTTTTCGAGTCCTGTGCTGATGCGTGTGGGGGATTGTAGATACCACAGCGACTTCTTGGGCCAACATCGTTCACCCTCGACAGGCTGCTAGCAATCCTAGGCGTCCTGCTTGAGGAAAACGATGCAGACGTACGTCCGCCTGCTCCGCAATACACGTTTCCTGGAGAATATACCGACATGGAGATCTCCCGCGTGGCTATCTATGCTCAGGTCAGTTCTTTATTTTCTCTATCATGTCATTTTGCTTATTCAAATGACGTTCAGATCATGGAGCTTGCCTCCATGCACCTGCTAGTTCGCACTTCGCCTCCAGAGAAGCTCGACACGCCTCCATCTTTCAAGTGCGGGATCTCACTTGAAATTGCACTTCTGCTTGCGAGAGATGTGGGAGTGCTTTTGAATGATCTCATGTGGGAACCTATGTAGGTGTCGCGTCGCGATATATCGAGGTTAATGACCGTCGTTAGACAATACTTGAAACACAATATTCAACAATAGTCATAGAAGTTTACATTGTAGTGGTGGTGATGTCGAGTTTCATAACAGCTCATTCGAATGCTTGTTTGGTCATCATCTGTACTACAGTTTGGTCGATTCAATATTCCTGCCGCTGTGTCCTGAATGCCGGGGCATCTACTCGCCAATACAAGCGCCCAGGTACTTGCGGTGGCCAGTTGTGGCCGGCGCCTAAACGCTTGGCCATGGCCACTCAGTCAGGTTGCGATCACAGATCGAACCATCTCTGTGCTGGACGAGGACTTGATCTTTAGCTGCTCTGGTGCATGCTAGTGCAGAAACGTGTGGCTGGGCAACCGTGGCAAGTGTTGAAATGTTGACCGGTCGGATCAGTTGATCAGTGAGAAGGTGCATGTCGTTTGCTTCTTTATATATATACTGCTCTATCATCTATGGTGCATTGCAACAGATCTCCCAGCTATTGCAGCACTTGCCGACTTGGGAGATTCTCTTGGTTCTCGTGTCAGTGTGGCTTAGGCATGTGTACCGCGCCGCCTCCGCATGGCATCAGCATTACATATACTCAGGGCGACGGGCAGCGATGCCAATCGCTAGCATTCGCGACACCGCAACCCGTACCAATCATCGGCCCTCAACAAATATGAGCGACAGTGACAAGGCTTCCCTCATCTCGGCCTCCCAGTCTTCTCTAATCAACGCTTCATCTTCCATGTTATTCCTTTCATTAGAGCAGGGACAGTGGACACACGGCACCTACTTTCTGCTGAATGCCAAAAGTGGCAACGCCCTAGACCTTCATGGTGGCGATCACAGGACAATGATTGCCCATTCTTTACATCTGGGACACAACCAACAGGTACGCAAGAAACATTTCTGTAGCTACGTTACCATATTGTTTTACGAGATGTAGTGGGAGATGTTGCCTCTTGGAAAAGGATATGCTATTCGCAGCGCCCTCAAGTCCCCGTTGGGTGGTTATTATCTGACGGTGAACGCTATCCACGATCGCGTTCAGCTCATCACGACGCCGTTTCCCACTAGTTGGGATGTGCGCATTGACCGCGAACAGAGAAACATATCGTAAGTGTCGACACGGTGCTGCCAACAACAGGGAGAGTGTCGTTGTGTTGAACAATCATCCTCAGCATCTTCTGGCCTGGCACAAACTATGTAGTCGCACTGGATCATGGAGAACCACTGCGTGGGGACAAGGTATATACATCGCTCTCAACTGAACGATAAGCTTTCTCAATTCAAGCCATCAACAAGGTGCAGCTTATGACACGCCAACCAGGAGAGCCACGGCAGTCGTGGCTTTACCTATGCCACAAGTCACCGCAAGCGAAAGAGACAACTGAATGTGATCCTGCATCATGCTCGGACATGAATAAGTTTATCCTTAAAAATGCGCATATGGGCAACGTGCTCGATATGCATGCCGGCAATCGTAGGGAAGTGATTGGATGTTCGCATATACACTTAGGGCTCAACCAACAAGTAAGCAAATGAACGCTGCACTACTCGGTCGGCACTTGACATCTCACAGTGGAAAGTCGTCCCCAGCGGTAAAGGACATGCAATCCGAACCGTATGGAAGCCGTCTTCAGATGGCCCATTTTACCTCAACGTGGAATCCATATGCGACGGCGCTCAAGTCATCGGTTGTCATTATCCTGCCAGCTGGAGCGTTGAGTTCGGGCACAATACGGAGGTTGCCAGTGTACGGTTAGTGATCACACGTTCATGAAACTGAGAGACACTCACATGAGAGCTCTGATCAGAATCTCGTGGCCTCACACCGACCTGACACTTGACCTCGCTGAGATGAAGGGCGATACCAAAGTGAGTCTTCAGACGATCTGTCACAGCCAATTTCGAGTCATGACGTTCTGTTCATCCTGGACCAGATTCAGCTCAGGAAAAAAGACCCTGGAGCATCCTCTCAACTGTGGCAGTACGGCGTTCACAATGTATAAGCCTCTCGAATAGTACGGTAGTGCTCTGTAGAGACCGTCAATGATCACAGTTACGCTGTAATCCCATCAGTTCCTGAGGTGCTATGATGATGTGTGCAAAGTGTAAGCTCGAGTCTATACAGCGGCATGTTCAGGAGCTGGCCCAAGTGCGGCACTGCAGAGAAAGTACCAACTGGGCCGAAAGATGTTTGAGTATCGAAGGGAATTTAAAGCAAATAAACCAGGCAAATAAACCAAGTTACAGAGTGAAAATGGTATTACGTCTCCTATGCCTGTGCATTAGGGACCCACATAGTTCAACGCCAAACACTTTCTCTCGTGTGCTCCCCACTGGCCTCGTCTTTCGGGCGGGTTCTGGTCATCTCGACGTCCGCGCGGATCAGTTGATCCGAATGAGTCGAAATATGGTACGGATCATGACTTGAGCGCCGCCCTCACCCGCCACATCACCCGCATGATCTCCATCTCTCGAAAAGCAATGCTGTCCAAGAGAGTAGTCTGTCACCTCAGAACTTTTACCAAGTCGAGGGGATTGTCGACACGGGCGTCGACTATCCTCTCAGCTCTAGACATACCGGCGGAGAAGGACCTGCCCGGAGTGTACGATGGGGCATGGACGGGAACCGGAGACATTCTTGAGAGCGTATGCCCAACTACGGGAGAGGTTTTGGCGCGAGTGCACTCGGTGAGTTTTGCCCATACCGTGGCAGTGAGCTGGCGTAGCGAGGATGTTGGGAAATGACTCTGCACACGCATTTCGCTGTCAAACGTTTTACAGTCCCTGCTTCATTTAGCTGAGCGGACTATAACTGTTATACCGTCGCAGACGCTGATTGCTTAGTCTGTAGGCATCACCTCAGGAGCTGCAAGCAGCGCTGAGCAAGTCGAGGGAAGCATACGTCTTCTTCAGGTCGGTCCCCGCTCCTCGCAGGGGTGAGATACTCCGGCAGATCCGAGAGGCATTAGCAGCCAAGGTGGGACTCGCATCTCTGTCAAAACTTCTCCTGCCAACGTTTACTGCAGCGAGAAGCGCTAGGAGCATTGGTCTCGTTGGAGATGGGGAAGATCAAGACCGAGGGCACCGGCGAGGTGCAAGAGTTTGTGGATATCGTACGTATAATATTTGCTGTTTGCGGATAGTTTGTGCAGTAACAAGAGCTCGCTACAGGCTGACTACGCAGTCGGACTATCTCGTATGATGAACGGTCGGGTTGTCGCCTCTGAGCGACCGGGGCACAGTATTCTTGAAGGTCCGTCGGATTCATCGTTGTAGGCACGTAAAGTATTCATAATTGTGCTATCTATAGTCCCCAATCCTCTCGGTGTGGTGGCCGTTTTGTCTGCCTTTAACTTTCCGGTCGCCGTCTATGGGTGGAACCTCGCCTTGTCGCTCGCAGCCGGAAACGCGACGCTATGGAAGCCCTCCCCAAGCACGCCGTTGTGTTCGATTGCAGTGACGAAGATCGTGTCGCAGGTGCTTGAGCGCAATGGCATACCTGGTGCTGTCGCGGGTCTGGTCGTTGGCGGCAAGAGCGTCGGAGAAAGCATTGTTGAGAGTGCGGACGTTGACATGGGTGAGTGGGTGAGTGTATGAACATCACGCGACATATATTCATGATTGCCTCTCAGTGTCATTCACCGGTAGTGAGGCTGTGGGTCGGCAGGTGGGTAAGGTCGTACAGTCTCGATTCGGCAAGGTCTTGCTAGAACTCGGTGGGAACAACGGTACGCGCCCCGTTTTGTGCACTGTCGTTCGCTCATATATCTCGCTCCGCGTCCAGCGTCGATCGTCATGCCCGATGCAGACCTCTCTCTCGCCGTTCCTGCGGTCTTCTTCGGCGCGGTCGGCACCGCAGGCCAACGCTGTACGTCCACGCGCAGGCTCTACCTTCACCGCAGCATCGCGCCCACCTTCCTCGAGCGGCTCCGTGCGCTCTATGAGCCTATCCGCCCGGGTGACCCGTTGGAACCCCAGACCCTTCTCGGCCCGCTGCACACGCGCGCGGCCGTGGGCATCTACTCGAACGCAGTGGAGCGGCTGAGGAAGGTGGGAGCGGATATTATGGTTGGTGGCGAGAGGTATGAGGAGGCTGTTTTGCCGGAGGCGTTGAGAGGGGGAAACTGGGCGCAGCCGACTGTGGCTGTCTTGGACGAGGTTGATGTTAGCAAGGCGGTGTGGAGGGAGGAGACGTTTGCTCCGGTGCTGTCCGTCGGCGTGTTCGATGAGCTTGAGCAGGCGATTGCATGGAATAACGGGGTGCCGCAGGTGTGTGCGAAGCAGGATTGTGACGAGACTTTATGCTGATGGTGGCATATAGGGATTGAGTAGCAGTTTGTGGACGAGGGATCTGAGGAATGTCGGCAAATGGATCGGCCCTGCCGGCTCTGATGCCGGTATCGTCAATGTGCGTTTGTATCAGTCCATCTTTTCATGCGCTAATAGTCTGTCCATAATCATAGGTCAACGTGGGCACTAGCGGAGCCGAGATCGGAGCAGCCTTTGGTGGTAATAAGGTCAGTGGACGTTGTGTTCAGATCGTTTCACGCCATGCTGATTTGTGTATCTCGCAGAGCACTGGATGGTCAGTTCATTTACGTTTTTCGGACTCTGCTGCAGGGTTCTCACTGATATGATTCTGTTTGTCCAGGGGACGCGAATCCGGCGGAGACGCGTGGAAGCAGTACGTGCGCTGGAGTGCGTGTACCATTAACTTCTCGGACGAGGCGCCCCTCGCACAGGGCGTGCAGTTCTCTTCGTCAACCGCGTGAATTCCATGGCAGAGACGAGGATAAACGATTTTTGTGCGGATGACCGATCCGTGCCATGTAGAACGTGCCGAGCATGCGTTTTCGCAGGAAACTCTGTAAGAGTGCTAGCGGGACGGAGTTGTACCGACTGTCACTGCACATTGAACCATGACGTGGACATTTCATAAGTGTATGAGTTGCTGTGAAAACCACTAGTCCTTCCTTGTAGCAGCTTGCTGGTATACCGTAGCAAAGCGTAAGGTGACAGTCATAATACGTCGTATATCCTGCAGATATTATGAGCTTATGACATAGGCCTGGTCGCGGTGACAGCGGCACCAATTGAGCTGTCATGTAAGATGCGCCGCAGCTCTTTTTCAGTGAGAAGCAGTGGCCGCCTGTCAAAATTTAGTTGCAAGTTTCCTCCAACTTGCCAGGACGGTTGAAAACAAAATGCAAATGTACGTGTCGCCCAGTTGTGACTGCACACTTCGCTACAGCATCAAGGCAGCCACGGAGGCGGTACGTGTCATCTCTTCTGCCTTACGTGATGAGAGTGAGTGCAAACCCCTGTTTATTGCACTTGCCTTTGTTAGTCCGACCGAACAATTTGCAAAGAAGCGCCTATCGGATATACTTTTGCAAGGTCCCGATGAGGCATTCGCGAGAACGTGTCCACGCCCTCTATCAGGTGTGTCCTTGCATGAGAGACATCTGTGAGAGAGACATGTTGTTGTTGCGCGGCGTCGGGGCACATACGTGAATTCAGTTTGCCAGCTTTGGGTCACGGCGTCTGCTGCGTCTGCGAGAGGCAATGTGCATTCTGACGGCGGCTGAAACACTGACCTGCCAAGCACGATCATGATCATACCCCAGCATACCCCGCCACATGGAGATCACATCCGGCGCAGGATTTACACGTGCCGACAAATGTGGGGAAACCGACTGGACGGTTCCGACGAGTGCATCGGCTGTGTGAGCCTCGTGAACATCCACCGCTCGATATAAACGCCGGGCTACCCGTCTCCGCTACTTTCATCCCAGACCCTCGCTGCGCGATAGTGGATAAGGCGGTCGACACGGCGTACGAATAGTCCATCCCTGAAGGTCGTACTGTGACAAGATGGAGTTCGTCGGCCCAGCATCGGACAGTCTTCCTCACATTCCGGATGATCTGACTTGTGCGCAATTCATGCTTGACGAAGACCATTCTGCAAGACCGGTCGCCGCTGCGTCTCAGACTGCCCCATGGATGATCGAGGATGCCACTGGAAGAAAGATTGCCCACTCCGAGGTGAGCTTCATGCCGTGCTGTGTAAGTTCAAATGCGTTGACATTGTATCTCAGGTCCGCGAGCGAACGAAGGGACTGGCAAATGCGCTGAGCCTGCGGTGGGGGATTTGTGAGTGCATGTCGTTGCGCGAACATGACTCAGCTTACATCCCATATAGCGGAGGATGATGTAGGTATGGTCATGTTTCGAAGCGTGCAGCTCTCTGCGAAGGACTCAATTGCTGCACAGTCTGTATATTCAGCCCGAACCACGTTGGTATGTATTGTATTTAGTCTCATAGTTTTCGGTGCTCAATGACAGCCTTTTCACAGATTACCCCGTTGCGATCTGGTCAGCCTTACAACGCGACAGACGTTGCAACTGAATATTTAAATTTCTCTACAGGGCTGTCCACAGGTTAGGGGCCATCATAACGTACGATCTCCCTCTCTCAATGCCAGCAAAGGAACTTACCCTTGTACAGAGCTGCAAATCCGTCCTACTTAGCAGGCGAACTCGAGTACCAGCTCACTGCAACGAAGGCGAAGCTCATGATCGTGCACTCGTGGAGCCTCGCGGTCGCGCTGGATGCGGCACGCTTAGCAGGCATACCACCGGAGCGTATTGTCCTCCTGGACTCTCCGTCGCAGCAGGTGGCGCATGTCACTGTGGACGAACTGGTCAAAGAGGGCCTTTCAAAGCCGCTAAATTTTGTCGAGCGCCGACTCAAGCCTGGAGAGGGCCGCACGAAGCTGGCGTTTCTGAGCTTTTCTAGCGGGACCACTGGCAGGCCCAAGGTATGTAGGATCGATGATTGGTGCATTCGAGGCTTAGAGATCATGTTTTGCAGGCAGTATGCATATCGCATTACGCGCCGATCGCCAATGTGATCCAGATGAGCCATTTAGCGAACCTGCAAACAGGTCCGTTGCAGGACAGAAAATGGCGTGTCGGGGATGTGGTCATGGCTGGTACGTGCATTCACAAGTTGGAACTGACAAGAACTGAGCGAGCATGTTCTTGATAGTTCTACCGTTCTTCCGTAAGTGAAGCTTCCTGAAGACATTTGATGTCATGCAGAACCCTATTTGCAGATATCTATGGCCTCGTGGTGGTCATGCACTTTACGATATTCTATGGTGTGAGTCGAGTTGACAACAGGTATTGATGGGGGCTGACAGTCATAACGGCAGTCGACGCTGGTAGTCGTCCCCAAATTCAACTTTGTGGACTTCCTCAAGAGCATTGAGCGGCATCGTGTTGGGTTCCTGCCGTACGCCTCTCTCATTCACAGAAATGCTTCCCTATGGTAATGTCCCTCCTATAGCATTGTGCCGCCTATGGTCGTTCTGCTATGCAAGGTTCGTGAACGACATCAACGGGTCATGTTGCATTAACACCGAGTTCGTTTTTAACAGCATCCGGCTGTCAAGCAATACGACCTCAGCACCGTGCACGCCATAATGTCAGGCGCGGCGCCACTTTCTGCGGAACTGACGAAGCAGCTGTCAGAACTATTGCCACAGGCGAGCATCGGTCAAGGCTATGGTTTGTCCCATGACCTGCCATATTCGCTTGATGCTGAGATCCATCACTGATTGTAGGTATGACGGAGACCAGCACCACCGTCTCCTTCCCACAGGTCGAACAGAAGATATGCACGCCAGGTAGTGCGGGGAGGCTGCTCCCGGGGATTACCGCCCGTGTGGTGAAGGAAGATGGATCGTTGGCTGGGTACAACGAGTCTGGAGAACTTTTTGTGAAAGGCCCGGCGATGGCGTTGCGGTATTTGAACAACGAGGAGGCGTACGTATCGCTGGTTTTTGTGGGTATGCGTGTTCTGAGTGAGGGCCGCGACGTAGGACGAAGGAGACTTTCATCGACGGGTGGGTATGCACTGGCGACGAAGTCAAGATCAACGAGTCGATGGAGGTGTTCGTCGTTGATCGCATCAAAGTAGGTCCAGGTTTGATGGTCTTCGAAACGATTGGATCTGATATATGACATGACACTTCAGGAATTAATCAAGGTCAGAGGATTCCAAGGTAAGTACTTTCCCCGATCAGACCAAACGTGGACACCTCGTGATCACGCATCCCGAACATAGTGGCGCCAGCAGAATTGGAAGGACACCTGCTCGAACATCCTGATATATCGGATGTGTGCGTTGTTGGGCTGCCGGACGACTATAGCGGCGAGCTGCCCCTCGCGTTCATTGCGCTCAACCCCATAGCGATCGAACGTGTACAGCAGGATCCTAGGGAGGCAGATAAGATCAAGGATGCCATCATCAAGGTTCGTTTTGTGTTCACCAGCGTAGTCCGTCTTCAACATCCTGACTTTGCATCGTGTGCTGCAGCACGTCGCCGATGCGAAGGTACATTACAAGCGCCTAGCTGCCGGGGTGGAGTTCATCGAGGTGATTCCAAAGAATCCCAGCGGGAAGCTACTGCGACGAGTGTTGCGTGACAAGGCGAAGGAGATGATGGCTCAGGGCAAGTTGTCGAAGCCGGTCAAGGCGAGGCTGTAGGTGACTATTGGTTGTGGGTTGTATCGTTTTCAAATATATTGCCATTTTATGAAAATTGTTCTCGATACAACTGGCCTTCGATGGCGCCTAGATCACTCCATAGAGGCGGCATGCAGCTCGACAGGAAAGCCACAACGGCGCGCGTCGTATCGCTCCTCGACGCGCATACACAGACCACGTGATCGTCGCGTCGCCGCCACATCGTCGCCGAGCTCGGAGGTAGCACGCCCTTCCCTCTGTCTCGCCAATCTTCGGCTATTTCCTGTCATTCATTTCCCCTTGCTGCTCATTTCTTTGTGGGTGGCTGAGTTTCTTTGGCTGCATCAGAAGGAGCTTCTGTGGGCATCATTCTGGTTTCTCTACTAGTAGATTGATGCAGCAAGCCATCAGACTAACCGATTCACCGCGCTCACCACGTATGTCCTTTTCGGACCAGCCTCCCCCGTCGCGCAGGGCATTGTCTCTCGCATTTCTCCTCTGGCCCGTCTTCTTCGCCGGTGCCGTGTTCGAGTTATTCCTCATTCTCCGTGTCCGATTGGCGCCCTCTTCTGTCGAACTCTGCTCATCTGCCCTGTGTTCAACGTTTCTGACCTCCGTGTCCGACGATGTAGCGTCCACGCCTGCTTCTTCGATGCCAAAACCCGCGTATGAGTCTCCCATTGGACCTGGGATGGCTGGTCCCGGAGAGCCGTTCTGGATGGAGAAGATGAGGCATCAAGGTACCTCTCCGTTCAACCCAAATCCAGAAGCATACCAGGTGTTCCGGAACGTCAAGGAATTTGGTGCGATAGGAGACGGAATTGCAGACGATACAGAGGCGATCAAGTTCGTGCCTGCTCATTACTGATTACTGCTGAACTTATGATCGTGAACGAATGACAGCGCAGCGATGTCTTCTGGCGGCCGATGCGGTGGAGGCAACTGGGAATCCTCTACAGTCGTTCCGGCCATTGTATACTTTCCTCAAGGGTATGTGACGTGTCAGATGGCTCTGGGATATAGCCCTCATTAGTTCCTAGTACGTACAAGGTGTCGGGCCCCATCATGTGAGCTTGAGCGTTCTGCCTTCCATTCAACGAGGCCGAACGTGTGGATTTCAGAGCCTACTACTACACCCAGATCATCGGGGATGCCCGGGTACCTCCTACACTCCTCGCAGCATCCAACTTCAGCGGCATGGCGGTCATTGGTAAGTCTTGACATGGGAAGAAATAGGCTGATATTGACGGATGCATGGTACAGACGCGGATCCCTATATTCCCGGAGGTGGCGGCGCGCAGTGGTACATCAACCAGAACAACTTTTTTCGCAGCGTTCGCAATTTCGTGATCGACCTGAGACGTGTTCCGGACCATGTATCCGCGACCGGTATTCACTGGCAGGTATCGCAAGCGACGTCACTCATGAATATCCTCTTCTCCATGAGCGAACGTAGAGGCAATGCTCATCAAGGTAGGATGGCTACTATATGGACATAAATGTTCTAATCATCTTACTGTACGTAAGGGATCTGGATGGAGAATGGTAGCGGCGGATACATGGGAGGTATGATTTCTTGCTGTCATGGGCGTGAGTATCCGCTCACTGTTCTTGGCAGATCTTGTCTTCCAAGGAGGTGCGGTGGTAAAGTATGTGAGGTAGCGCGGTTTGCTTGAATTCTTTTGTCACGCAGGCAAGTTCGGCATGTGGGTGGGAAATCAGCAGTGCGTGCAGATCGCATCCAAGACGAATCGTGCTCTTTTACATAACTTTTTTCCAGGTTCACTGTGCGCAACATCACTATCAACAACGCTGAGACAGGTAGGCTCAAAGCACTCTAGCGTTTCTGAATTTGAGTCTTTTTATGCTTGCAGCTGTCTATGGAATCTGGAATTGGGGTCAGCAGAATACTCCGTCCGCATTTCCATCGATGCTTATGACGGTGATTAGGTTGGACCTTCCAGGGCGTCAACAGTCAGTCGAGACAGTTTATTAGACTCACAACCTATCTGATATTGCATCATAGTCAACAACTGCCAAGTCGGCTTCGACCTGAAGACTGGTGGTAAGACGAAGGATGATCAGGTCTGTTACTCCGGGTGCCATGTCCTTCTTGCACGTCTCACGACTTGCGGATACTAGTCTGTTGGGGGAGAGGCCATCATCGATGCAGTCGTGACGAATACACCCATCTTCGTCCGCTCTTCCATCTCGACTATGTCTCTCGCTGGCTCGCTCGTGCTGAACAACATCCAGCTTACGGATGTCCCGGTGGCGGTGGGTGTCCTCGGGGGAGAAGTGGTGCTGCCCGGAGGCACGATGACCGTCGACCACTGGGTACAGGGTAACGTGTACTCGGGCACCAACCATCAACACTCGTTTGTCAAGGGACACCTTCCCGCACCGGTGAAGACGAGGAGCTTTCTGGATGAAACAGGAAGGGTATTCGGAAGAATGCACCCTCAGTAGGTATCGCGATATCTTAGACGCCGCTCTAGTATTGACTAGATGATATAGATACGAAGATTACGCCGTTGATCAATTTGTCAGCGTGAAGAGCCTGGGTGCGAAGGGTGACGGCCGGTCTGACGACACCGCTATCTTGCAGAGTATCTTCGATCAAGTACGTCAGTACAGCCGGAGACGAGTGAGAGCCAGCCTGATGACGTTCGCTTGAGTAGTACTCCGGGAAGAAAATTATCTTCTTCGATGCAGGGACATATTACATCACAGACACGCTCGCCATCCCGGCGGGCACGCAAATGGTCGGCGAAGTGTGGAGCGTCATTATGGGCGGCGGGTCTGCCTTTGGAGACCAGCGTAATCCCAAGGTCATGGTGCGCGTCGGTGAGCCTGGTTCTCGAGGCATCTTGGAGATCTCAGATATCCTTTTCGCCACGCGCGGACCTAGTCAGTCCAATACTCTCTCGTTATTGGGTTCTATGCTGTGCCTACTAATCTCTACCACATAGCCCCTGGCGCGATCGTTGTTGAGTGGAACGTGTACTCAGACATACAAGGAGGCGCTGGGATGTGGGATAGTCATATCAGGTTCGATTCTATGGTAATCTCTACATACGATCTATGCCTCACCGGCTCTGCCCACGTTCCAGGCTTGCAGGAGGTAAGGTTGGCATCTCTTGTTCTACTATGATTCCGAACAAGGTTTCGTACAGCCGCTGGGACGAACCTGGAGCTCGCTCAATGTCCGACTACACCGAAGTCCAGTGACTGCTTTGCCGCATTCTTGTCTCTGCATCTGACCCCAACCTCGAATGCCTACCTCGAGGTGCGTCTATAGTCTATCGGACTCGGCCGCACGTGAATTCACTGTCAACATTTTCAGAGTACATGGGTATGGCTGGCAGACCACGACTTGGACGGAGATGGCCGCTCGCAAATCACCGTATATAGCGGCCGCGGCATTTTATCAGAGTCTGCTGGACCAGTCTGGATGATTGGGACCGGTGAGCTTCTGCTTTGTTGGAGTGATGCGTCTGATAATCAACTTTTCGTTGTTTAACAGGATGTGAGTACGATCCTTACAATGTCGGCTACTGTTTGACCTATCTTGTTCAGCGGAGCACCATACGCTTTATCAATATAACCTCGTCAATGCGAGAGACCATTATATGGGGCTCATTCAAACAGAATCCGTAAGTTGACGTCTGAGAATTGTTGCCAGTTTCTTGTTCTCACTCATCTATCTCAGCCGTACTACCAGCCGACTCCTGTACCTCCAGCGCCGTTCACAATTGAGGAGAAGTATCACGACCCAACTTTCCCGGCCGGACAGCCCTCAGCATGGGCCGTCAATGTACAGTCTTCTTCCAATATTTTCGTTTTCGGTGAGTAGCTTGCTGCCTAGTCAGTTTTAGATCGTTCGTGCGCTGATTGTCATTCTAGGGGCTGGCCTTTATAGTTTCTTCCACAACTATGACCAAGCCTGCCTGAAGGATTCCTCATGCCAAAGCCATGTTTTAAATATTGATTCAATCTCATCTATCAGCATTTATGGCCTTTCCACGGTCGGTACGACATACATGCTGAGCGTCGACCATAGTGGAGTCATCCCAGCAGTCGTTAATATGAATGGGTTCCAGTCGACGGCTACCGCTTGGACAAGGTGACGTGCGACCTACTTACGAGCTACGCAGTGCATACAGTACATGTTCATAATGGAATTTGATTTGCTGAAGTGTTCTCATAAGCGGCAACCAAGTGCGCTTTGCTGAGTCCGCTTCGTTAAGAGCGTGAGACTATAGTGTGACTCCCACTCAAAAGCTGCTTGTTAATCACTAACCGTAAAGCCTTTCCCATTCACCTTGATCTTCGGTAGACCATTGCAACGATTTTCCGCTATGGCTGAAATCCATGGTCCGGGAGGTCCTCTTCCACACATACCAGATGATTTGACGATAGTACAATTCATGCTTGACTATGAGCACGAATCACGGCCATCTCCTGCTTTCCTTCCGGATCGGTGCTGTTTGATCGAAGATGCTACTGGGAAGAAGGTTACCCTTAACGAGGTGAGCAGTACCGAGACACCGACCTCTTGTATCACGACCGTCTCATAATCAATGCGGTTTCGCAGATTCGCATGCGCGTTGATCGCTTGGCTGGCGCGCTACATGCCAGATACGGAATCAGTAAGCAGTGCAACATGTGCAATCAACCCTGTATCCGAGGAACTCATGAGCGGCAGAGGATGATGACGTCGGTATGTGCCCTGACGCTTTGGTAAGATGCCAATATATCATAGCATACACTCCAGTCTGCGTGTGCAGCTCGAACCATATCGGTACGTGAAATCGTCCTGATATCAGAAACATTTCATACATACCTTCGCAACAGACTACCCTGTCGTCATATGGTATGTGTTAACGTCCCTGGATGATCACAGCCTGCATTAATAGCTTCGGTTTAGGGCGATCCACCGACTAGGTGGCATTGTAACGTGAGCGACACTAACGGTGTTTGACTACGGCATGAGGCCTGATGCTTCATGATTCAGGCCTGCAAATCCTGCATATACCGTAGGTGAACTGGAGCATCAGCTCACGCTGACAAACGCCTCCATGATGATTGTACATTCCTCGAGCTATACTGTCGCAGCCACTGCTGCGCTTGCAGCAGGGATTTCGGATGATCGTATCGCATTCATGGATGCCTTGCCAAATGAACTGGCCTCCAAGAAGCATGTCACCGTGCAGGAGTTGCTACAATACCCAGTTCAGACCTTCGTCGAGCGATGCCTTGCACCAGGAGAAGCCTCAGCGAAGCTAGCATTCCTGAGTCTTTCGAGTGGCACGACAGGCAAAGCCAAGGTGACTTAACTCATCGTCAAAGTTGGTCGTTTCTCATTTTGATATATCTCCAGGCAGTTTGTATTCCTCACAGAGCGATGATCGGGGCTATAATACAAATGGCACATATGGCCAATTCGCAGACAGTGCCATGGGATGACCGTCAACTGCGGCATGGAGATATCTGGATGGCATGCAAGTGTATCATTCGAGATATCGCAGCGACACTGTTTGATCTTATGGCGCTGTTCAACAGTGTTACCCTTCTACCGTAGGTCGTGAGTCTCGCACGCTGTTGGATGTATGCATTGAGCGCCATCGTAGACATAGCAGGCCTTATGGTCGTGCTACATTTCGGATTCTTCTACGGTGTGAGTTTTCGGTTTCTCAGAATCCGTATGCTCTCTTCGTCTAAAGCCCCCTTCAAGGCTACATTGGTGGTGGTGCCAAAGTACAATTTTGTCGAGATGTTGACAAGCATTGAACGTCACCGTATACAATTCCTATTGTACGTCTATCCGCTTTTTTGTGATTTAAGATTATGACTCTTTTGATTACATCGTAGTGTAGTGCCACCCATGGTCGTTCTGCTCTGCAAGGCAGGTATCTTCGTTCGTTTTCTGAAAGGAAGAAGGATGATCATATGCAACACTAGCATCCTGCTGTCAAGGAGTATGCCTTGCATTCACTCCGAATGTTACTCAGTGGTGCCGCACCATTGTCTCCGGAGCTCGCTCAACAACTTTCCACCATGCTTCCATGGGTAAACATAGGCCAAGGATATGGTGAAAAGTGATGCGCATCTAGACATGCATATCTCCTTATATACGTTACGACAGGCATGACTGAGACTGTTGCATCAATATCATTTCCTCGCTCCGGACAAAAGATCAGCACACCGGGAAGTTCAGGGCAGCTATTGCCTGGCAATATCGCACGAATTATTCGTCCGGATGGCTCTCTGGCAGGTTATAATGAAGCAGGGCAGCTCGTCATCAAAGCGCCGTACATGGCAAGCGGATATTTGAAGAATGAGAAAGCGTGAGCATTAAGATAGCTTTCGCATCGCTCTATTTGACAAACGAATCGACAGCACGAGAGAGACATTTGTGGATGGGTACAATCCAAAGAGGTGGCTGGTAACCACTGTATGCTCAAGAGCTTCTTCGCAGATGGCTATATACAGGCGATGAAGTCATGATCAACAAAAACGCAGAGGTATTCATTCTAGACCGCGTCAAGGTATGTCCATACGAACGCTTGTATGCATACAATGCTGACGTACCGCAGGAGTTACTAAAAGTCAGGGGGTATCAGGGTGCGGGCCGCCTTAAGTACCTTAAACACAATACTTGGCTGATTTCTACATTTGCGCAGTGGCTCCCGCTGAGCTTGAGAGCCATCTATTGATGCATCCTGAGGTGTTTGATGTTTGCGTCGTCGGTATGCCGGACGAATACAGCGGCGAACTTCCATTTGCATTCGTGGTCGCCACCGCGAACGCTCTACAACGAATGCGGCGGGACGAACGCGAGGCAAGCGAACTCAGAAGAATATTGATCAAGGTCCGAGTCTCAGCTATCGATTTGCGTGATGCTTGCGCGCTTACACGATGCGTCGGATAAAATTGCATTTTAGCATGTCGCAGATTCCAAGGTGCCCTACAAATGGCTAGCAGGGGTGGAGTTTATAGAGTCGATTCCGAAGAATCCAAGTGGAAAGCTTCTTCGTCGAGTCTTGCGCGAGCGTGTGCGAGCTTTGCAGAAGCAAGGAAAGCTAGTAACGACCACGAAAGCTAGACTGTAGTTTTCGTGTTTGCATGCCTTTTCTGTTCGCTCGATGAAACATGCTGATATCAGCCACTCCCGTTGCGAGACTCAGCGAGACAATGGATATGTCAGTCTGGCACCAAGCTGCAATGGCGCGGTAACAAACGTTCGGACCTCGGGATAATGCTACGTTCACATTGCACCATTGAGCTTACCGCCAGCAGCATATGTCTCATTCAATGCCGGATGAAGGCACAAGAAGCCTGATCCGTACGGTCCCGGTTGCGGCGCCTTAAGAACGTTGATTGAATGGGGACTTGCACGTGGTGTGCCACTCTCACGTATGCTCCGTTCTAACCGCTGTCATTGTCAAGGGTAACACAGACCTGCGAGCGGACATTCAAGTATCGGTGCCGGTGTAGCCTCGTCCATTTTGACTTGCAGGAATAACGTCCCTACCATTCCATTCTGTACGATCATGAGTAAGACTCAGAGCCCGGATAGCCCTCAGATTCCCCATATTCCCGACGATCTTACGATGGTACAATTTATGCTGGATGGTCATGCTGCGAAGAGGCCGGATTATCCTTGGTTAATCGATGATGTTTCTGGGAGAGGATACACCTTGACGGAGGTCCGTAATACTATCTCTACTTGAATTAACTGCTTATCATCTCGGTCATCACGACCAAACAGATACGATCGCGTGTGGACGGCCTTGCCACCGCTATGAAGTCGCGATGGAACATACGTGTGTGCTCATTTTGCTGTCGCCACCAACTCTGCTGAGATATGGGATGTCAGAGGAAGATGACGTCGGTATGCTATGAACTGGTCCGTATTTCAGCGTAATATATGCTGAAGCAGCGATGCTAGTCTGCATCTGTAGTCCAAACCATCTTGGTACATGAATTGTTCTCTGCATTCCCAGAAAAGTGGACTCAGACTTTGTATTAATATAGATTTTCCCGTTGCCATATGGTGTGTCCTGCACCCGATCTCCGCCGTTGCTGTGACGATTGTTCTGGCACAGGGCGATCCACAGGTTGAGCGCCATTGTGACGTAGGATAGTCTACTCCATGATCTCGCATTCTCTAATCATACCTTACAGAGCGGCTAATCCTATGTATACAGTTGAAGAACTTGAACATCAGCTGTTAATCACCAAGGCCAAATTGGTCATCGTCCATTCATCTAGTTATTCCACGGTCATAATGGCAGCACGTACCGCCCGCCTCTCGCCTGACCATATCGTGATGATGGATGAAGCGCGCGATATGGAACACGCTCACCTCACCGTCGAGGGACTGATCCAAGAGGGAGACAGTGTGCCTCGCTTCAATGAGCGTCACTTGAATAAATGCGAGGGCAGGACTAAGCTTGCATTTATCAACTTGTCTAGTGGTACAACAGCGAAGCCGAAGGTCGCAACATGATGTTGTCGTTCTCTTTTCAATCTGTTGACTTCATCATAGGCAGTTGGGATTCCTCATACCGCCATGATCGCGTCGGTTACACTGATGATGCAGTGGGCAAGTTCTCAAACTTCGGATCCGCAGGAGAGAATGCTACGGCCTGGTGATAAGTGGATGGCTTGCAAGTGGTATCTTCCATTGTTGCATGAGGCACCAAAAGGCTTATTTATTGCTTTGCAGTGTTGCCCTTCTACCGTGAGCGATATCCCCAGTAGTCCTGGCGAAACTAGGTTATTGACCAGGACCGCAGACATCGCGGGTCTCATGGTCGTCCTGCACTTTGGACTATACTTCGGGGTGAGAAAGGATGATATGCGACTAATCAATTAGACTGAGACCGCATGCGAAGGCGACGTTAGTGGTCGTACCTAAGTTCAACCTCACCCGCATGCTCAAGAGTATTCAGCGGCACCAGATTCATATTCTACCGTATGTCAATTGAACATATTCATTCACTACTAGCTACACTTCACCTAAATAGAGTGGCGCCTCCGACGGTAGTCTTACTCTGCAAGGTACATTTGCTGTTTTGTTGTATGATCTATAGTCAATTGGCTAAACCCTCTCAGGATCGCGAAGTGAGCCAATACGATCTACGATCGCTGCGATTGGTGATGAGCGGAGGAGCACCGCTCTCAGCAGAGCTCATGCAGCAATTTTTCGTCGTATTCCCGTGGGCGGGAATAGGCCAAATCTACGGTAAACTCCCTCGTTTGTTCTTCTGGATGTCGTCTACGGTGTCTCATGCGCTGATGTTATATCCGGCACAGGAATGACCGAGACCGTCATACCTATCACTATGCCGAATTTACAGCAGAAGATGGGGACACCGGGAAACGCTGGCTGTGTGCTTCCCGGCATGATGACACGTGTCGTCCGCCCTGACGGCTCCTTTGGGCAGTATGGCGAAGCCGGACATCTTGCAGTCAAGGGTCCATGTATGGCCGTTGGCTACTTAAACAACGAGGAAGCGTGCGTTTTGACAAGTTTTGGTAAATAATGCACTCAACCGACTGTGCGTCTCCCAGTACGAGGGAAACGTTTGTTGACGGGTAAGCTAGCTCTCGATCCACGCACCTAGATATTATCATGAGCGCGGATCAGTTGGATTTACACTGGCGACGAGGTCATCATCAATACACACAATGAAATATTCATTCTTGACCGCATCAAGGTAATGCAGCACAGTATATCCGTAAAGTTCTTTACTTAACAGCTTGTTATCAGGAGTTGCTCAAAGTCAAAGGGTATCAAGGTTGGACAAAAAGACATCATGTTGATATATTTGCTCACATCGTGATAGTGGCACCGGCAGAGCTGGAAGGTCATCTTCTCAACCAACCAGACGTCTCCGATGCCTGCGTGGTAGGTCTGCCGGATGAGTACAGCGGCGAAGTCCCGGTCGCCTTCGTAGTCCCTAGCGCCAGCGCGCTTGAGCTCATGCAGAATGATTCCCAAGCTGCAAAGAGAATCAAGGCAGCGATCATGAAGGTCAGTCGACCGATTGTTCTGCTGTACTGGCCGTAATTGACGTTGTTAATGTTATGCTCGTTGCATACCACCGGCACTTCACGTTGACCAGCATGTCGCTGATGCAAAGGTCCACTATAAGTGGTTGGCAACAGTCAAATTTATTGACGAAATTCCGAAGAACCCTAGTGGCAAGCTCCTACGTCGGGTGCTGCGGGACCATGCAAGGCAGATGCAGTCTAATGGCGAGCTCGTGCTGGCTATCAGAGCCAAAATGTAGATGATGCGTCGTCGATTTGCAGGATTGCTCTGTACAAACGAGAATGAACGTCCTGCTGTTCACAATGCGACAGATCTTGGAAACTTTGAGTGGTCATCTGAAGGAATTCCACGGGGGAGTCGGTATTGCTGGCGCCATTCTGCCTCTTAGCTGTTCCGTCATCTGCAACGTAGTGTAGCATACCAATCGCGAGACTTCAAATACATGTAGATATCCATTCACAGATCTGCGAAGAATGATCGGTCAGTAACAAGCTCATTGCGAGCCTTAGGTCTTTTCAAAGCCTGCAGTAAGTCCTTGTCCTTCTTGCGCTTGCGCTTCTTCTCAGTGAAAACGGCATCGTCGTCGCTTGTGTCCGCGTCCTGTTCTCCCAAGTCCCTCACCGACCCATTCTCATCGTCATCGTCATCCGTCTCTGCCTCCCCTGCCTCCTTCACATCCTCTTCCTCCTCTTCCTCCTTGAACTCCTCATCCTTCTCATTTTCTGAATCACTTCCCTGGGCCTTAGGCTTAGATACTGAAAGCCCGGTCTTATCGTCCTCTAACTCATCACTCTCGCTGTCGCTGCCATCTGCAGCATCTGACCTCCCCTCACTCCCGTCCTCGTCCTTATCACTGTCCTCATCTTCGTCTTCAAATACCTCTTTCAGGTCAGTCAGCTTCAACACCTCTTCATGTCCTGCGCTGCCGACCCAATGGCCCTCGCCGTCCCTGTCGATGGCGATACACTCAATCGGAAACTCGCCATGGTCAGCAACTACGCCGAGAAGCTTTGTCGGGAAGAGCTCAACGGCGCGGAGCATGCCATCGGAAGAGCCAGTAAGGATCGTGGACTGCGCGGAGGGATAAGACGAGGGGAGATTACAGAGGGTATCAATGGAGTGCGGGTGGCTATCGGCGAGAATCGTATGAGCAAACTTTAAAGAGAGGCCGAATATAGACGTACCCCGGTATACGATCCACACAGTCCCCCCAGCCGTTGCGTCTGTTGAAGATGGACAAAATGCCTAGTTGCGTTCCAACGACTAACTTTTGCCCCCTTCCCTCCGCCATCAGAGACATGTAAGGAGGTGTTTCATGATAAGACATACTGCTTGATGGCCACGACGGACAATAGCTCGTCCTCTTGGTCCTCTGACTGTGCGAGAGGCTCAGTTTTCTTCGCTCGAACGTCGATAACGGAGAGCGTCCCGTCTCCACTGTACATGAATGAGCCTGACAGTGACAATCGAGTGCTAGAAACGACTCACCTCGTCGAGACGAGTTGCCTAGCATCATCCAAGTAGCAGAAGGCCGATATGAAGTCAAAGTGGTGAGTATATGATCGGATGGCGTCAGACTTTCTGGGATCCCATAGCTAGATTGCGCAATCACTTGTCATTAGAACATTGCCTTTGCAGCGGAGAAAATGGTCGTTTTCCTTCGGAAAATATCTGAAAACGCCATGCATGTCAAAAGAAATGTTGGTGATCTTAGTGACCTCCTGGGTCGGAGACGAAGCCGAGCCGCACTAGACGCATATAGATGCTCTTTTTGCGAACGCATCGCCATTCAGCATCAAATTGCAGCCTCTAGATTCCAAGGCATTTAATACGCATCGAAGTTCTCAAGCCTCTCTTTCAAAGGGAACCAGCGATTTTTCCTGTGCTTCAGTACGCGCACCTTTATGACCCCATCATCATCTCCAGATGCCAATAAATTTGCAGTGAGTCGTTTCAAACAATTTATGGGTGCTCTTCCGGACTAAACACATTAGCGTTCAATAACAGCTAAAAAAGCTGCCTCCATCGACACTCACTCGTGTGCCTTCGGCCAGGCCTGGAGAAGCTCTCCTCTTGTGACATCGATAGTACTGCTTTCGATTAATTGACTGAACGGCGCAAATATTGCTGTGCACCCACTTCAACGTCTTGGCTTTACCGGCCGCCCACAGTCGATTCCCATCTGGGCTAATCGCTAATGCTCGACAGGATCGCTTCGAAGGCCTGATGGAGAACTTTTCTTCATGTTTGCCCTGTTCATCGTAGCTGAAAGCCTTGATGTGCCCAGTTAACAGGCCTGTAAAAACAATAGAGTCGCTGGGATGGAAGGCAATGTCGAAAATCTGTGTTCCTACTGGTATGTCGGGCATGGAAGGACGGAACTAGATCACAACTTTGCAAGAAGAAAGTGTCACGAATGTCACGTCAATTGAGACTTCTCCAGTCTCCGTCTCAGTAAGCTCTCACGAACAAACTTCTCCGACAAGCGTTCCTTGACTCCGCTTAAACTCCGTCCTAGTACCTAATACTACATAGAGCGTCTGTGTGACCGTGACACAATAGCGACAGATCACTGTGAGCTGTGCGGCCAGGCGCAGCCACTTTCCGCCAACGCTGCTTTGTTCGACCACACTCCTTGTCTTCTCATGAGGATATGAAGAATGTCAATCAATGGCATTCTCTTTGCGCTCCTCACCGCTGGGAACTGCATCGCAGAAGTAGTCTCGCCTGCCGGGAGGCTTTCGACACATATCACGGATTTATCCACTACTCGTGTGCAAGCACCACATGATGGCTACCGGCTGGTGTCTAGCTCTGGCATTAACAATGGATTCGATCTATTGGACATCGTTCTGGTAGCTTCGGTCGACGGCAGGCTACATGCGCTCAACAGGACTCATGGAGATTCGATTTGGTCCATGGCCGCATCCGCCGGTCCCGCACCAGCAACCTTAGGTCCCCTCGTTCGCACGCAACATCCTGAGTTCGACCCGGACCTCACGGACGATGACTCTGCTTACCGGGAAGTCTATGTTGTTGAACCACAATCTGGGGACATTTATGTCATGGCTACACCCGACAGTCCTCTCCAACGCCTACCGTTCTCCATGCCACAGCTAGTAGACATGTCTCCCTTCAGTTTCTCGGCCGATGACGATGGAAGAGTTTTTGTTGGTAGAAAGGAGACGTCGTTATTGCTCATCGAGCTGGAAACAGGGCGGGTGAAGGCCACCCTCAATTCGGAATGTCCATGGGACCCATTTCAAGATTTAGCCGAGCCTGCAGAGTTCGATAACCTAGACTTAGATGAATTGGAAGGAATGGAACCTTCGAAGTCCCAGACCAAACCCACGGAAGTTTTCATCGGACGGACAGGTGAGCGCTAGCTTGCACGGACTCCGGCAGCGTGGATTGTAATGATCAGGTTAGACTACCACGTCTCGATACACACGCGTCCCTCTCGGTCGTCTGCTACCAGGCCGCCAGTGCAGAACCTATCATTCTCAGTTTACGGCCCGAATAACCAGGACTTGGGATTGCAGTCGATTCACCGACACACTGCCGACAACGCATACATCCAATCTCTGCCAAATGGAGAGATTATTGCATTCCAGTCCTCTAACGTCGATACCCCAAACTCTGGAATCGCCCCGGACACGCATCTCTTATGGGGACATGTATTTCCTACTCCGATGTGCGTATTTCTTGGCAAGCAGCAATCGCATGAGCTCACACCAAGACGTGCTGTAGTGTCGCTGTATTTGATGTTCTTAAGTCTCCTACCAGAGAGCATCCCTTTGTCCTCCTGCAGCCGCGTCTGCGCCTTGAAGACATCCTCCCAAACGCCGACCTCCGGAAAGCAGCAGCACACAAGAGCCTCCCCAACCTCGACGCAGCGTTCGTAGGCTACATCGAGGAAAGTGGCTCGCTATTCGCCATGAGCCCGGACACTTTCCCGCTCGTCGTCTTCGGCGATGTGGGTGTGGGGCGCTTCCTCGACCCAGCGCCGGATCACGTGGACGTTCACATGGAGCACGACCTTCCGGGCGACTTGGACTCCATCTCGCGGCGCGCCAAGGAGAGAAGGTTGCGCAGGATGTGTAGGGAGGGAAGCACGGATCGGCGGTGTCTAACTGGTGTCCGCAAATTGGAGTCGTCTACTCAGTCACGGCTCAGTCGACTGTTGGACGGTGCTCCCACTGTTCCACTTCCCCCGGATCCAGCAGAAGGTGATGTGATGAAGCCGAACTCTTCAGAGACATCACGCGATGCCCGAAATGCTTCTGTCTCTGCTCACCTTGCGTGGGATGATGATATGAGGTCCCCTTCAAATGGCATATTTCATATGGATACCAGTCATGCGCTGTCAGCTTTTGCGTTGTGCGCATTGGCTTTACTTGTAGCCATCATGTGGATAGGGATGAAGAAGGGAGCAGGGAAGCCAGTGGCCCATGATGCAGGATCTCACAGCACGGATAGCAAACCGGTGAAGGAAAATTCGCAGACGCACACGCCCTCCGATGCAATCATGGCCGACTCCAATGCACCTTCTGGCAAGTCCAATGACGAAACGGCAGAAAAACCAGCGCCAGATTCCCCACGCCCACACACATCCGCACCATCCCTTCAAAACGTCGTCGTCGTGTCAGACGGTCTGAAGTCAGATAACTCCGATCTCACTGCAGTAGAGCCACAGGAGGAGACCGGAGAAGGGGAAGACAGCGAGAAAGAGGATGACGCACCAGCGACGGCTGGAAAGCGAAAGACTATGAGGCGAAAACGCGGGAAGAAGAAGAAAGGCGGTGCGACAAACGGTAGCGCGGCGGAGGATGTGGATGGTGAAAAGGCCGAGAGTCCTGCTGGACAGGGGGAGAATGGTACAGCGAACGAAGACGGGTACTTCCCTCCTCAAGCCGACACGCTGGCCTTGAAGATTGTTTCACTTTCTCCTACAGTAGTGCCTCCGTCGTTAGCGCCTACATCAGCGGCCCCATCCCTTGTGGTTTCCGACACAGTTCTAGGTGAGACGCGCGGTGCACATTAAACTGACTCGTTGATTCTGATTGTCTTGGCATAGGTTTTGGATCGCATGGGACAGTCGTGTTCAAAGGTTCATTGCAAGGTCGTGCGGTTGCCGTGAAGCGTTTGCTGCAAGACTTTGTCACACTCGCGTCGCGGGAGGTGAACATCTTGCAAGAGTCGGACGATCATCCAAATGTCATCCGGTACTACTATCAAGAGTCCCACGCGAACTTCCTCTACATAGCGCTCGAGCTCTGCCCTGCATCACTTGCAGACATCATCGAGCGTCCGGGTGACTTCCCAGAGATTATTGCGGCATTCGAACCGAAACGTGCTCTGCGGCAGGTGACGGCAGGGTTGAGACACTTGCACGCGCTCAAGATCATCCATCGAGACATCAAGCCACAAAACATCCTCATTTCAAATGCGAAGAAGGGCGCAGGTCAGACTGTTGGCCATAGGATGCTCATCTCCGACTTCGGGCTGTGCAAGAAGCTCGAATTGGACCAGACGAGCTTCTTACCCACGGCACACGGTGCTATGGCGGCAGGCACGGTAGGCTGGCGTGCACCGGAGATCCTGCGAGGAGAGGTGAAGTTAGATGACTCTGGAGACGAGTCGCAATCGTCTCGGGGCTCCATAGGGACAGCTGGTCCGGGCACGCCGGCGGGCAAGCCGACGCGGCTTACAAAATCAGTCGACATCTTCGCACTGGGATGTCTGTACTACTACGTACTCACGAACGGCGAACACCCGTTCGGTGACCGCTTTGAGCGTGAAGTGAACATCCTGAAGAACGCGAAGAATCTTGATGGCCTCGAGCGGTTCGGGGAGGAGGGCTCGGAAGGTGCCGACCTGATTAAATGTATGCTGAGTCCGGACGCATGTGACCGGTGGGTAGTCACCTTGCTCCTCTGGCTGCGGGACTAACGGAAAGCTGTTAGGCCGGATACCAGCACATGCTTGCTGCATCCGTACTTCTGGGATCCTGGGAAGCGGTTGACGTTCTTGCAGGATGCCTCGGATCGTTTCGAAATTATGTGTCGAGATCCACCAGATCCCAACCTCGTCCTACTTGAGACTAGTGCCTTCGACGTAGTCGGGAACGACTGGCACGCGCGGCTCGACAGGCTCTTTATCGAGAATCTGGGCAAGTTCCGGAGGTATGATGGCAAGTCTGTGCAGGACCTCCTGCGTGCGCTACGGAATAAGGTACGTCCGCCACAAGCTGTAATCCCCATCCCTTTAATTAATGACTGCTGTCAGAAACATCATTATCAGGACCTCCCGGACAACGTCAAGCGACTTCTCGGCTCAATGCCTGAGGGTTTCCTCGCGTATTTCACACGGCGTTTCCCTCGCCTGTTCCTTCATGTCCACAGCGTCGTCTCCGCATCACCTCTGCGCCATGAGTCGATGTTCCGTAGCTATTTCGATCTGTCTGACTAACCCTCTGCATTATCTGGGATGGACTGCATCATAAACTGTTTATTTGTCATGCTGTATCTGTATCGCAATGCTGTGTGCTATCATATTATACAGGAGACGTGTTCGATCTATAATTAGTGTCATCGTGAATGTTGCATCTACTCAGTGTCTATTATACAGGTCAGCTACAAATGATATCCACATGAAGCGCTTTAAGCATCGTGAATTCGTCATGACGTCCAAGCGTCAAATTATGAATAAGTGCAGGCCACGACGACCGCGACGATGCACGCGGCCAGGAGAAGGACCCCACTCGTGACAGCAGCGTAGCGGCAACGCAAGACCCATGGATCAACACGTCGTTCCGTGCAATTCTTTGGCTTAAATTTCCCAATTGAGAGCACGGATCCAGCGACGGATGGCGCCAAACCCTCCGCCGATGGTGCGACAAGCGGGTAGCACAGCTTGACTCCCGTGTGCTTTCTAACAATTACTTTGTCCCGGTCGGCGTGGTCTGCACGCTCCTTGCCCTTGTGAACCCACATGGGCAGTACAGGATACGCACGCTGCTCGTCCTGTGTGAAGAGCCCGTCTCTGGAGAGCAACCAGCCCCCGATCAACCAACACCACGGGCCGATGAAACCCACCCAGAATAGAACGCACGCCAGGTTAAACCGCAGGCGATCGCGCTTCACCCGCTCGAGGACTGGGCGTGTGCTGCCGAACGAGACGCCCCTGAGCCAGCGGTTATAAATATAGGACTCGGAGTCGTTTGATGGAGAGCGGGGCCGCGGCATGGCAGGTGGTGAGAGAAGAGGCTCGAGCTGCCCGTTTTGCGTGTTGTCCGGAGTGCTGCGTCGCGACTGCGTATTCGAGTCTGCATCATACAGACCCTCCGGGAGTCCGCTCGTGCGCACGGCCGGCGTCGCCTCCGTACTAGGTACGACTGAGACGGCATAGTCCTGGGCAACCACCTCGTGTGGCAGGTCCGGCTCGGGAGTGGGCGTGTGCACGGAAGGCGCGGTGATGAAGCTGGACGTGCGAACCGAAGAGTTGTCCTCGTATATGACGGAGTATTTGGCAGGGTGAGGGCTGCCTACTACCGTGGGCAGCGTTGGTGCTGGAAGGCGCGACTTCCGTGGAGCGACGCTCAGCGTGCTTTGGAAGTTGGGACGCAGGTCGAGAGGAGGAATGGAGGGCGGCGGAGCAGCAGATACAGTGGAAAGGAATGTGCTGGTAGATGCAGCACTACCGGTGCGCTTCAGCGGCCGGTTGATGAATGCAGAGGGAAATGCAGATAGTCCTATGGCGGCTCAGCGACCTGAACGACAGTGGGGAAGGAAGGACCTACCATGGCCATCATGGGTCCGGGCCGAATCGGGCGTGAGTGGCAATGAGTCGACAGAAGGGCGTCGAGAGGTAGGGACCCGGAAGTGCACTCGATCGCTTAAGGCAGAGAGCTGCCTCGTATGCATCGGGTCCGCGGCGCTCTGTCCTTCTGAGGTCTCTGAACCAGTCGCAGACTGAGTGCGCAAGGATTGCGAGCTGTGACGCCTGACAGAAGCCGTCTTATGCACAGTAGCATTATTAAGGAGCAGTAAGGATGGTTCCGAGGCCGAATGCGTCTCGTATTGCGTGCCCCATGTAGGGTCCCGGATCGATGAAGGACTGGCCAGCGAGCTTGGTGCTTTCCACGAGATACGAGACGGTGCGGTCCCGCGCATGCGGTCCATCGCGAGGCTCAGCGTCGACGAAGCTTTCCTGTCCAATTGAGCGGGCCTCTCCAAAACGACAGCACTGTCATTTTCCTCGCGTTCCTGATCGTTCTCCGACTGCTGGTTGGGATCGTCACCGGCGATGGGCTGAAACATATGGTAGAGTGTCGCGAGCATTATTGAGACGCCTTGTTCTAAGCTCGGGCCAGCCGATCGAGTTTTCAAGAGAATCGAGAAGGAATGAATGAGACGGAGGTGGTGGAGCACGCGAAGTACGTGTGACTTCGCTGCTTAAATGCTCGGAACACAGCCACGACAACGGAGAGAAAAACAGACGCGAACGAGACGCATACATCGTGTTTTCAGCGGCTGACGGCTGCATGTACGTACCTCGCCGCGATGCAACCTCGAGTTCCGTTAAGATCGGTCCCGCCGGTCGAGATCCAAACCCAACCTCACATGGTTCCTTAATTTTCCCTATATTTCAATTCCAAATGACCATAAAGTTCAGTACGTAGCTTACATCTTTCGGGCAGCGGCCAGATAAACCTCTGCGATGGGTTGACAATTCATGCATCGATACGCATGGCAGTCGCGTGCTGATTTCACGAGCGTCTATAAACACGCCTACAACCCGTCACGTTACCGCGATTCCCTTTGCCATGTGTAATAGGAAGCGCAAGCAGCTCTCGACCTAAAAGACTCACTTCATTGTATACTGGACGACATAAAGACAAATACATAGGTTCTACTGCCACCACCAGATGCTTCAGAAGTGCCAGTGGGAAATCTGCGAGTTACGTACAAAGCTTAGTAAAACTCCACCAAACGAGTGACAGTCGCCGCCTCAGTATCCGCTTGCATAAATTCCTCAAGGAGCTGAAAGCAAGCACCTATCAGCATTCTAGTACCCACAGAAATTTCCACAACACCTACCTCATTTACAGCGATGTACCTTTCAACGAACACTGCGCCCAATGCCTCACCAAGATAGCTGTCACCAGCGAGCAACTTCCGCGCGTCCCCAATCGTCCGCGGCAGCCGCCCCGGGTTCACAAGGCCCACCGCAGCCCTCTGCTCCCGATTCATCTCCGCCGCCGGAACCTGGCAATCGCCTATCGTCAGCGCGTGTCCCTCCAGTACACCACGCACGCCCGCCGCCAACACGCCTGCAAGGACCAAGTACGGGCTCGCGGTGCCGTCGACGGTCTTGAGCTCGAAGTGGTGCGCGCCGCGTGGCCCGCAGAGCCGTACGGGAACCTCCTTGTTGTCCGTGCCCCAACAGGCGTACGTCCCCCCAGACCAGATGCCGTCGAGCACGCGCGCGTAGGACGCGGAGGTCGGGAGGGTGAGGGCGCAGAGTGCTGGGAGGTGGGTGAGGAGCGATTGGACGAATGAGCGTTCCGTAGGTGTCAGCGTGGGCGCGAGGGAGGCGTCGGATCGTTTGGATCCTGCCTTGTCGGCAGAACCGCCATGGAGGGAGAGGTGCAAATGTGTGCCGCTGCCACCTTACAATGCGTGATACCTTTTAGCTGCATTGGTGTGCAGAGGATTGCGAGTACGTACAGTCATCTGAATGCAGTCTTGGCGCGAATGTTGCACGCAGGCCGTGCTTGCTTGCTACATTGCGGATTGTTTCGCGAGTATGCACGATCGCATCCGCAGCTTCGAGAGGAGGAAGGGGACCAGTGACGACCTCATACTGCGACGAGCGCATGATCAGTTCCATTCGACGTAACTGTTTGGACAGCACTATGTAGAGGTATAACGTGCACGCGTACCTGTCCGGGGGCAGACTCCGCATGATACATCTGCAGCTCAATTCCAGCTTCCAACAGATCCTCCGCTATCTCTTCCAGCACCGCATTTTCAACCGAGCCTGAGGGTGACTTTGCGGAACACGACCAGCCTGCGTTATTGACTGCCACGGGTTCGGGTGACGTTGCAGACAGGAGAATGAACTCGGACTCGAATCCCGCCAAGAAAGACAGTCCTGCCTTTTCCTGAGCATCACTGTCGAGGAAGGTCAATACGAATGCTACGTTGTGAGCAATGGCGAACACGTACTCGACGATCCTTTTGAGAAGGGCGCGCGGACAGAGCTCGGATGCAAAGCTGCCCGTGGGTGAGGGCATCTTCTCCTGGAACCAGCCCATCACAACTGCATGTCCTGGCGCATAGGGACACACTCGGAAGCTGCTCAAGTCAGGGACGTACAGATGTTCACCCGAGCCTGAGAACCCCCTTGCGGCTGCGGTCCCAACGAGGCCCAGCGTCACATGCGCAAGGCCCACAGCTGGGCGAGGCGTCGTGTATAGCTTTTTGAAGTATGAGACAGGGAGCACGCGAAAGCGAACGGTGTTGGTCAAGTCGACCCACTGGATCCGAACAAACTTGATGCCGAGCCGCTGGAGAGGCAAGTCGTCGACAGATGCATACGATGAGCTGCCCGTCGGCGTGGGCTTGTACACAACGCCGTAGTCTTCGGTTGTCGCCGACATGGCTGCGAGATAATGAGTGACGAGAGCGGGAACGATAAGCGGACATGCGGCTATTTGATGGGCTGCTGGCGATGCGCTGATGGGCGGCTCACACCCGTGGATATGACTGAGCAGTGTCGAGCCTGTATAGCTATAGTATAGCTAGACGTCTAGTGCGGACCGCGCGAGTACTGGACGTCGTGGTGAACGTTGGTGGCGAACTGAACAAAGGCCGCGACGGTGATGAGCGCCAGTTCTCAGGCTTCGTCGGGACTACGTTAATGTCTAAACATGAGCAGACAGTGTTCTAACAGAGAGACGAGGAGCGAGCAGCCAATGCAGTAAGGCATTCAATTATCACTTTTATCTTCATTATGCCACACGTTGGCCAAGCAGGTCTCCAGTCTCGGTGAGCGGGAAAGCTCAACGTTCAACGTACACCCCAGACATTGGGCTTGTATCTGCTTGCATGTGTTCTCATGAAAGACTCTCAGTTTGCTTCCCTTATACTAGCAATCAATTGAAAGTTGAAGCGAATGTACCTCAAAAAGAGCGTCACATACCGTGTCCGGGCATCGAAGAGTAACTCGCTCTGCTTTATTCATTCGAGGAAACATCACCAATAATATCGTTAAACCTCCTGTCGACATATTCCCAAAGCTTATCTGCAACTTTCAGTGATGAAGTTTTTCGCCGAACTGCACGCACTGGCAGCAGCACCGCTTTGATGGTCGCGTCGCGTGCTACTTAGACGCGCTTGTGGCGTCGTATTTCCTCTCACGTGATATACATCATTACCATCCCGGGCCTGTGGCCCCCCCGCTTATTGCCAGCAGCTCTCAGCAGCCACCATCTACATCATCTAGCCCGAGATCCCTGTGTTCATGTCGACAAGTACTGCAGGAGATGATCCAAGGGATCCCACTGCAGAGGTCCCCCTGACATTCCCTGAAACATGGCAAACGGACTCTGTAGGTTCGTCGCAGCGGCCTGATTGACATCCAGACGGTTACTTCGAAGCACGATGCTGACATGCACTTATAGATAGCTTCAATGCAACAAGTGAGTTTGAGAGCTCAATGACTTGCCAGCAAAGACTTAGCAGCTTCCAGTCATGTTCGCCACTGGCCTCATTATGGTCACTCGTAACAGGTGAGTACACGTACAACATCCATGGTAGAGCTACGTCTCACATATGACTATGATTGTCCTTGTTCTAGGTTCCTCGCGTGGCCGGCGGTTATCCTCTCATTCAATAGTATGATCAACCAGCACCCTCTACGCACGAAAGAGGGCGGAGCCAGTCCGATCACGTCTCTTCTGTGAGTAGCATTATCTCTACTTCTACGGACACGCAGCAACTTATTGACGGGTCAAACAGTGTCGCCTTCTCCGCATTGCTCACTTGCTATCTGCCCATGGTGCTCATTGGGCCAGGGAAACGAGAAACGCAGACACCATTACCTGTCACGTAGTATCACGGTCTGTGGCCGTAAGAATGTACGCACGGAGGTATCCAGCCCGTCGAGGACAAGCAGCACTTGACGGCTACTTCTTCAACAAGTATTGCAGCCACCATACAGGTGTACCGGAAATTTGCATGCGCCGTAGAGTAGGGAAAAGCTCAAGCCCCCGGTAGCGCGAACGGATCATCATCCATCGTTTCATCCATGAGTCCACCACCTAATAATGCGTCCCCGGCCTGCAACTGAGACAAATCCTGCGCACCCTCAAATGGCTCCCCGTCCGGGCCCATCCCTGACATATCCAGTGATATGCCATCCCCAAGATCATCGGTCACGACCGCAGAGTCCAACGCGACTCCAGATGGTTGCATTGGCTCGTTTATGCTGTCCGGCAACGGGGTTGGCGATGATGGTCGGAATGATATCGAGAGCGGATGTGGTTTTGGTGTATCTGGTTTCGATTCTATCTCCTTGCCTTCGGCTGCTGGTTCGGAGACGTCGCGCGAGATGGGGGTTGTCTCTGGGGCGACCGATGTGTTTGCCTCGTCTTGGTCCATCTCTTCATCGCCGTCGACAACTTCGACGTCGTCTGCATCGGGCAAGGGTGCTAGTGGTTGATCTGTCTCTTCTTCGTCACTGAATTGCTATGACCAATCAATATAGGATGACCTGGAATACGAGCGAAGAGTATGCCACACCTGTATCTTGTCCGTCCTTACCCACTTGTAGACTTTGAGCGTCGAACCCGGAGCTGCGTTATCCGGGATAGTCCATACTTTCTCCCAGCATGGTACGGGTTGCATCAGTTGCCGTCTCGATGCCTCTGAGGCAGACGTGCTGAAGCCTACTCTACGCCTGGTAGACATTTTATGATAGAGGCTCAATGAACACGGGTTCGATGCAGGAGAGTGAGTGAGAGTGAGAAGCGAAGGCTGAGAGAGGAGCGCGTACAGAATTATGGGCGCTTGTCCCCGCGTCTGGTAGGCGGCGTCTAATTGTTGAACCAGAGCATTGATGGTCGACGAGGCTGCTTGTCCGCGACGCCCACTCTTTCCCTCCACCAGCTTCCTACAGCTGATGCAGCCGATACGAAAAGATGGAAGAGGAGGAGGCTGAGCTCCGCAACCCGTTCCCATCGCCGCCCTCGCACTACACGAAATACACGACGCACAACCTCTACCTCCTCGAGCTGCTTCGCGAGCGTGCGGGCAGCGTGGACCTCTCGACGGTGAACCAGTATGAGCTACTCTCAGGTCAGATGGACGTTCCAGAGTGGCCGCTTGTGCAGCTGGAGAAGCCGCGGGTTGACTGGATAGTGGAGGACGGGCATTATACGGTGTTTGGTGAAAACTGGCCGGTGAGTCGAGATGGGCTTGCGTAAACGCCACATGGGAATTTACGAGAGCACAATTGGCAGATCAAAGAGGGAATACCATCCCTGGCTGAGCTAGGAGGTCACCAGCTATATCCAGCTGATCCGAGTGTTGGTCGGTAGCCATTTGATTATGTACGACTTTCGGTGTTGCTCACTTGTCTTGCTCAGACCGCAGACCTGCATTGAGATCTATACTGAGGTCCATGTTGGTCACATATTCTCACTTACTCGATGCCCTTCTCGCGCCGCCTCCGACTGCACCTTCGACCGGCCCGCCGGAATGGGAGCAGCAGACAGAATGGATCAATGTTCTCGCGCAGAACGTCATGGCGGCGGCAAACGACTTGCGGCCCGTGCAGGTGAGCGTTTGACTCATTTTGCACGCGTCGCTATTGAGAAAGGCACGGCTATTCTTAGGCCAGGGGCAACCTAGAGCTCATGATGAGACGGCAACTCGAGCTGCGAAAAGAGGAGACGAAGGCAATCCATGCGTGCGCTGCCTTCCCATGCATTCTATCGCGTCCTGCTGAGCCCTTCCTATAGAAAGTGTGACACCCTGGAAGCTAAACTGGCGGATATGCGCGCAGAAATCCAGCGGTTGCCCCATGCATCAAGGGGCTCTTCGAGGAAGCCTGTGATGTTCCAGGTGAGCTGTCATATGAACGATACGTTGTTTGATGCTGAGCGCGTGGAAGGCCGGCGGTGGTGATAAGATCTCAAATGAGGACGTCCTACGTTGGGCAGAGGAAATTTGACTGTGTCCTGCCACGCTTTGGTTCACATGAAACAACAGGGCACTCGTTGCGAGTTACAATGTATAGTAGCGTCCTCAAGTGCGCCGAGCCAGGATGCAGGTGCTAATAATCTCGACGATCTGCAGCTAAAACGGTGTCGTAAGGTATTCTTCGGGATCTCAAGTGACCTAGGACTTACGGCAGCTACATCACAATTATAATTGACTCGTGTGTCTTCAATTATATGGTTACCTATACTTGCGTGAATGGCCTACCACGTGCGACAAATATAGCTACGTGCACGCGCAACTGTCCGTATATCTGTAAGTTCCGTCCGCCGAAATCACGTATTCGCGTCACTCACGCGTTCAAACGTAAAAAGATTGCATAAGATTGCTTCGTGAGCAAGGTGTATGCGCAACAAAAACATATATCTCCGCTCTGATACACATTCTAAGCATGCAACGATGTGCACGGAGCAGAGCCGTCTTCGCGAGCTGATACTATATGCTACGGCAGGCGTTGTGGAGCTGTCTGCTGTCACCGCTCGCGCCACTGATGCTTCCTTTCAGACGATCAGGCACACCATCCCCACGCCGCTTCTCATCGGCTGCCTTCCGCCGCACGTACAATATTAAGTTGGAGGCCTCTGTCAGATTCATCGTTGGGGAGATATTTGAAATCATCTGGACCGACTTCGCGACTGAGCGTTGATGTTGAAAAGTCCTGACGTTCACGAAACAAGCACCCACGGAGCGATCAATGTCCTACGAGACGAAAAGCTATATTGCATACGTGAGCACTGATGAGTCTCAATTGATGTACAAAATTAGTGCCTAGAAAAACCGCGTGGACGCATGGAGGAGATAAAAATAGCGAAATACATAGCAGTTCAGGTGAGATAATGCCGTTATCTCTTAGCCTTGCTCTCACTGTAGAGCTACTGGAAGCCGAGTGTCGTATCATGAAAGTCTATCGAACGCAGTGTCTGGCAAAAGACTGTTTGTGATGATGCGATTTGTATCGGTGGCAGTTCAATGCTGAATTTGACGGTTCGTTTTTTGGAGTCTCTGAAAGGCACTCAGGTACTGATGCTCGGCCCACAGGACATGTGAGGATGTGCGTCATTGAACTGTGTGACTCCGGTCTTCCAGGTGCGAACGACCGCTCGCTTCCATTCTTATCGCTCGCTTAACGACTGTGATAAGCCATTATAGATTTTCATGCACAGGGACATCGTGCCTGCAGCATCTGTGCGCGCGGTACTTACCGGCCTGCAGCAGGCGCACGGCGGACTTCCTGCGTCTTCCGAGCTTCTTGCTGTTCAGTCATCGCGGGTATCATATGCCCTTAGTCACGACGAGATTCATGCATCCTCAGGTATAAAGAGAGCACGGCGGCCCTCTTTTTTCCTCCAAAGCGCACTACTGACCTCCGTATACCATGCTCGTCAGCCTATTTCTGGTGTTCTTCGGTGCTATCGCGGCGACGGCCAACCCCGCCCGTCGCGATAAGTCGCCCATCAGTATTCCATTCACCAGGAAGTTCAATGCCACGGGAGGTGCCACCCTGAAGCAGATGGACCGGGCAAGAATCGCACATTTCAAGGCTGGGTGCGGCAGCGGAACAGCCTGCGACATCAAGACTGCCGCGAGCACGCTGTTCGATGTCGACGCCACGAATGGAGCCGTGCAGTACACTGCCAGCGTACGTAGTCAAGGTGTTCATGGACCCTCGTGGCATAACTGACCATCCTGTAACCCAGGTTGGCGTTGGGGATCCTGCGACTGATTGTGAGCATTTTTGTCAACGATCCATCTGACGAACACAACTTTATAGTGAAAGTGATTAGATACTTTGATCATTGACACTGGCAGCTCCAACACTTGGGTTGGTGCGGGTCAGTCGTATGTAGTGACTAGTACGTCTGAAGACACCGGCGAGAGTGTCTCCGTCACGTATGGTTCTGGATATTTCGAGGGTAAGTCATCGAATCATATGCGGGAATATCACCCCTAATTGTTATATAGGTGAGGAGTACCTTGATACTGTCACCCTCGCATCTGGATACGCCATTACTCAGCAATCAATTGGTGTTGCATCATACGCTGAGGGATTCTCTGGTGTTGATGGTATTCTGGGGTAAGTCATTTTTGAAATTTCCAGTTAGCCATGAAAGTTCATGTGTGCAATGTAGTCTTGGTCCTGAAGACCTCACCTGCGGTATGTGTATTTAATACTGGCCGTACTTTGCAGCTGATCTTGGATTCAGGCACCTTGAGCGATGAAAATGAATGCATTGCAACTGTCACTCAGAATGCGTACTCGCAGGGTCTCATTGACGTCGAGGAGATCGGCGTCTCCTTCGAGCCTACCACCTCCGACTCGGATACCAACGGTGTCATCACCTTTGGTGGCGTTGACTCGAGCCTGTACACCGGAGACATCACATACATGTTCGTAGCTGAACGACGATAGGACCTGCTGAGCCTCAAGCTGATTGCATCAATTGTAGAGACATCACTTCAAGCTCTCCAGCCAGCGAGTACGTCGGCATTGACCAGTCGATCCAGTACGGATCCGAGACAATCATGTCCTCCGCTGCTGGAATCGCTGACACTGGCACTACCCTGATCTACCTCCCGAGCTGTACGTGTAGCATCTATACGTCCTAGCGGCATCGTTTAAGGTCGGCTGATGCGATCGCTTTCCAGCTGCCTACAACAAGTATGTCGACTACACCGGCGCGACTTACGACGACAATACCGGTCTGCTGAAGATCAGCTCGTCTGACTATGATAGCCTTGACAGTGTATACTTTGTTATTGGCGGGGTAAGCTCTTTACTCAATGACCTTGATGAGAGCTGACGTGCAACTCGTCCGCAGACGTCTTTTGAATTCACGGCGAATGCTCAGATTTGGCCTCGCTCTGTAAGTAGGCGCTCAACTAGTCTGCCTTGTACCGTCCTAACAATTCATGTAGCTGAACACCTACATTGGCGGCGATTCCGATTCAATCTACCTCGTCATAAACGACATGGGCGATGATGCCGAAGAAGGGCTCGAGTTCATTGACGGCATGACCTTCCTTGAGCGGTTCTACTTCGTGTACAATTCGGGAAGCAGCACAGTCGGTTTCGCGACAACCGACTACACGGATGCTACCACCAACTGAGATGAGAACAGGATGATCCCTTGAATGCAATGGGGATCGTGAGGGTTTGTGCAAAGCTTGCATTGCGAAATGAGAAGGGTAAATCAAAAGGGAATCACTTTGTATTGGCTGTCGCGCACATCTGATAGCATTTTTATACATCTTGTCCCTCATTTTCTAGCATGGTGCACATTGTCCCGGGAACAATTTTTGTGCGTACCTTTTACATTTATCTGTCGAGCGCAAACCTGTCCATTGCGGGAACCAAACTCATTATCCAGGCTATCAGATGCATGACCGTGTGCAGTAAGTGTAAGTTGTCATTACGCAGCTATGCGTGCAGGTCTCGTGAGCGAGATAAAAGGACTGCCATGCGTGGCTTCACAACCTTATCTAGGTCTCGACTTCGGCGGTAAGTGATCAACATGCCGTGAATGTATTCTCCCAATCCATGCATCGCGTCTCTAATGGCTGCATTGCAGGCATGTCAAATGTCCTCTTTGGGACTAGATTGATAGCTTGGATTTCGCAGCTGAGAGCTTTACGCTCCATTACCGTTTCTTCTGCCTCTGCGTTGTTTAAAGCACCTTCACTCGAGCTCGAGTGCGATTTCGGGGTGATCTCGCCTGTGCTGAGAAGCAGAGTTTCGGACCGCACGAGGCTCGGATGCGAAAACCGAAAGCTATCAGGCAGATCCCACCGTCTTTCACTCAATGAATTAGGGATCTCACTGTTTCACAAGGATTCACAAGACCAGACTTTACTTGTGTCGTCGAGTTCCTTTTGTGGTGAGTACCTCGTGATTCGTGCCAATCTGAAATTGAAATCATATACACCACGCAATATCAGGAGGCCTGCTGATACTCTGGGCGTGTTATGGTGGTGTGGAAATTACATGTGTCATCGCCCTCAGACCTTGACGTCTACTCCTTGCAACGTCTTGCGTGGTTCATTTCCGCCATCCCTTCCATCTCTTGAGAACTTATCTTTCTCAGGGCGACAGCAGATAGGAACTGATTGAGCTGGATCAAACTCCGTATATATGCCGCTGGTACTTGGCACGCTGCTTCCGAGCCGTTACATCACTCGACTTCTCTGCCATGCCCCTCCGTCACTCGAGCGATATTCCGCCGAAGACGAAGTCGTCGCACACACGACGGAGCTATATAATGCTTGGGTCTGCTCCACACCTCTTCCCGCCCAAGTGTGATACCGGCACCCATCTATCATGCTCGCTCGCTTCTCTCTAATTCTATTTGGTGTCCTGGCGGTGGCAGCTAATCCCACCCGCCGGGACAAGTCTCCCATCTCGATACCATTTACCAGGAAGTTCAACCTCACAGGCGGTGTTACGCTGAAGCAACTAGATAAGGCGAGAATCGCTTACATGAAATGCGGGTGCGGCATGTCCTGTGATGCAGTGACGACTGCGGCACAGACACTATTCGACGTCTCGGCCACGAATGGAGCAGTCGAATATACTGCGACGGTAAGTCGTCTGTGTCATGCTACAATCTACGACTCATACTGTTGTGCTCGTAGATCGGCGTCGGCGATCCTGCCACGTATTGTGAGCATTCTCGTACATAGTATTGTCCGGCAACCAACATACGTTGCTAGACAGCCTTATCGTTGACACCGGTAGTTCCAACACTTGGGTTGGCGCCGACCAGGCTTATGTGGCCACTAGCTCATCTCAGTCCACCGGTGAGACTGTCTCGGTCACCTATGGTTCGGGAAGCTTCTCTGGTAAGTGTATTCTTTCGTATCAATTTATTGCTAGCTGATGCTGTCAATAGGCAATGAGTACCTGGACACGGTCACGCTTACTTCTGGATACGCCGTCACGAATCAGTCTATTGGAGTCGCAACTGAGAGTCAGGGCTTCTCTGGTGTCGATGGGATCTTGGGGTATGTAGACATCGACTGATATCTGGCATTTCGATGCTCATTTATATCATAGTCTTGGTCCCGAAGACCTCACATGCGGTATGTGCTAAGGTGCGGATGCCAATGCAGCCGTTCACATCTAATTTAGGAACTCTGAGTAACGAGGACGAGTGCATTGCCACCGTCACCCAGAATGCCTATACACAAGGCCTCATTGGCGTAGAAGAAATTGGCATCTCCTTTGAGCCTACTACGTCCACGTCAGATACCAACGGAGAGATCACCTTCGGAGGTGTCGACACCAGCAAGTACGCAGGCGACATAACCTACACGTACGTCCCGCATATGATGGAGAGTGCTTGAAGACTGGCTGATAGGTATTGCTCTACATCAGGCCGATAACGTCGACGTACCCTGCTAGCTACTACGTTGGCGTCGATCAAACCATCTCTTATGGCTCAGAGACACTCATGTCCTCTGAAGCTGGTATTGCTGATACTGGAACTACTCTCATTTACATACCGAGCTGTAAATCGCTTTTAACGGCTCTGTCCTGGATAGCTGGCTTACCTCGAGTGCTCAGCGGCTTATGAGAAATATGTCAGCTACACCGGAGCGACATACGACGATAACACTGGCCTCCTCAAGATTAGCTCGGAGGGATACGACAAGCTCGATAGTGTCTACTTCACCATTGGTGGGGTATGTCTTGTCCCTTCCCAGAGCGTTGAGCAATTTTCATTAACATCTTGTCGTCAGACATCATTCGAGCTCACAGCCAATGCCCAAATCTGGCCCCGTTCAGTAAGTGGTGATGATCAAGGTCTTTGATGGATGGACTTATTCCCGTGCGATTAGCTGAACACGTACATCGGCGGTGACGCCGACTCGATTTACCTTGTCATCAGTGACCTAGGTGACGATGCTGAAACTGGCTTCGAGTTCATCAACGGCATGACCTTCCTCGAGCGATTCTACTTCGTATACAACTCAGGCAGCAGCGAGGTCGGTTTCGCGACGACGGAGTACACGACTGCTACCACAAACTAGTCGGGAGACCGAATTGGATCTGGTTTAATGCTCGCGTGACAGGCGGTGGCCCGGCCTGGAGGAGTGCTTTGACGGACATTGAGGACGGGTTGAGTGACTCGTTTGTTACTGACTTTGTTCTGATCCATGAATCGGAAATGACATTGTCATGATACTCGACTTTTGCACTCTTTCTTGCATAAAGCATCAAAGCGCGCTAATTTGTCGAATATCACAAAGAAGGTCCTGAGGAGCACTGTCTCCACTGCAAAGATTTTCCTCACCCACGTTTCCTCGGGTCTCCGCAAGGACGTCCGCACTCCGTGCAGCACCCATTCAGAGCGAAAGCGAGAGATGAACTCGACTCACTCAAGGCGGCCGCACCCACGCTATACACATGCTATGCAACCTACATACCACAAATGGGTGCTCTTCTGCGAAAGCCCCACTATGTAGTCCGTTAACGTCCCCACTTATCCACAGTTCATGCGCTCGCAACAGCACTTCACAGCTTCCTCTCACCATCAGCTTTTGCCTCCGTGTCCCTGCTGGCCTCAGGATCCGCGGCCGCCGACGCTTTGTCCGTGTCAACCTCGCCCTGAAACTCGTGTGCCAAGCTATCCGCCTCCTCGCGCGTTGTCTGCTCTTGCGTGTGCGAGGCCTCCTCCTCCTGCTTTTCTTGATGGAGCCGCTCGTCGTAGTCCTCCGCGATCTTGTCAATTTCCTTGCGCAGCGCCTTGGCCTCGCCCACGAGCTCGAGCCACTGCTCGATATCGAACCCGCGTGCCTCATACAATGCCTCGCGTCGCGTGGAGACGCTCCGCTGCAGCACCGATGAGTAGGACACCTCCCGCCCCTGGTAAAGGAACCTGTGTGGCGTCAGCAGGGGGTAAAAGCCACGTTGCAAGATGCTCACCAGAGGTATCCCATAATCACCATTGAGAGCCCGGAAAGGTATGTGACGGGCTCCATAACGTCCCTAGCTAGAGATGTGAGCACAGAAGAAAATCCGATACCCACATGTCCCATACCATCCAAAATCCCAGAATGTCAGCCGCGCGACGGTGCCCCAGTATACGACGAGCGCGCCAAGGCCACCCATCGCCATTCTCCGTGCGCCGCGGCGCGCCTCAATATCGCATTGGTGCTTAAGCGCCTCCATCTTGCTGAGCTCCTCCTGGACCACTACCAGCCGGCGGCGAAGAAAGCGCGTCCGGCTTTCAAACGACGGTACCTCAACGCTAATTCTCGCCTGCACGTTCTGGCCGTCTGGAACGGCACCCGTTGCGTCCTCGCCGATGCAGATCTCAAACTCGCTTGCACGGGCCGCATCGCGGATGAAGTGGCCAACGTCGGTCGAGCCTGCCCACGAGAACGTGCTACCATTGGGTGTCCTGCTCCGGAATGACACCGAGGGCCTCGCTGGAGCGAGGGAGGCGAGTATGAGCCGCGCGACGTGCGAGAGCGGCTGTGAGGGGTGTAAGAGGAATATGGTCGGTGGCGGTGGCTTTGTAGGAACAGTACGATCTTGATTCTGGCTTGTTGAATTGATTTGTGCTCGTAAGGGGCCAAGAGGCAGAATGAGCTTGAACAGATGTGATGAGGTTGGAGATAATTTGCCTGTGAAATGATCAGCGTCCCAGGCCTCATGTACACAGCTGATTAATGCGGATGCGCTCAATCCAAGGATGGAACACCTAGGTAGACAGACGTGTGCCACAAAATCTGTCGTCTATATTTCGATGCTCTGTGCGAGCTTGATGGCATGCGTTAAGCAACACTGCATACAACCACGCAAAGCGAGACTGGATGTGATACATGACGTCGAGCAGTGGATTGAGTGTAGCGGGGACAATACTGGCAAGATGTAAACATATATCGGCTAGCATCCGTAAAGGTGCTGGATGCTGCGACGACTGTGGCCCATAACGCCTTGCGCGACCGGCGAGAAGATTTAGCCAAGATCTGAGGATAAGAACACACCTTTGCCCTCCGTCAAAGAGTCAAGGTCATCCCCCGTCGCCTGAGTCCCTCCCTTCTCAACGTCGTGCCCAGAATCGTGCCACTTAGCCTTGGTTGGTGCTTCCGCAATAAACCTGGCATGACTGACGTTCGTGCTCTCAACCTCATGAGCTGTTCCAATACATCGTTTTGACGCGACCTGAGAACGGACCAGATGGCGGAAGTGTGTCGAGGCAATAGGCCGAAAAAATGAAAGTGCCCAAAAGGTCATGAGGAGTATGAGGAAAGCGTGTGGCCGTGACAATGCATCCTCCCGCTTCGTTTGATGAGAAACATGTCTAATTCCAACTGAAGTCACGTCGAGCGTCAAGTCTCCCGAACGCGGAGAAAAAAGATTCGAGAGGAATCATCATCATAGAAGGGCTGACTCTGCTGTATTTGAGATAAACGTCTGCTGGAGGCCTGACGGTGGCGATGGAGGAGAATATTTTAGGATTACCCTGCCCATTACATACCATTACTGCCCAATATCGCAACTGCCACGTGCGGTGGCCCAGCCCGCCTTGCATTGCAGTTTATTGCGATACTCAGAACGTATATTTTATATCATTAGCGGCATCCCAATAATGACTTCTGGGTTTTCTTCATATCCTCTTGAGCATTCATGGTGCGAATCTAGTGCGAATCAACAAAGTAAATCTCCATGAGCTGTATTGACACTGCGATCACACATCCCCATGGGAAGTTTCAGTTTTTATACCCGTAAGCATCGGGGCTATCTAATACATTCTCCTACTACTGACTTGAATTTGACTGGACTGTTTCATTCAGTCACGTGTGGAGTCCTAATTTGTCTCGCAGCCAAGTCGCAGCCTATCCTCCTGCTGCAGATGCATCTTGGCGACCACTTTCAAGCACTTTTTATTTGCAATCTGCAGCTGCCAATTTGTCCACTATCTGCTTTTGAGACTTGGCCAGCTCGGTCCCTTCACCTACCGTCTCAGACGAATCCTCGGACCGTATTCTGGTGCAAGCCGCTGAGCAGATGTGTGTGGTATAACCGCCAGCATTTCAGCAACTCTTATTCTTTCGTTCACCAGTCTCTTCGGTCAATTGAACATGCTGTCTGGCAGCGAGTCAGAGGCATCCTTCGTTATGGTCGGGCCGGAAAGATCTCAAGTGCTCCAAGAGCCCGCTTCGTCAGAGGACAGTTCCGAGCAGGCTGTGTCTCCCTTGCACATTCCTGCTAGTGTCGCAAGCAGCGCGCCATCTCCGAATACCTCACCACCGTCTGCGCATGACTGGTCATCCGCAGGCACAGGTGGCGAACTCAAAATACATGGCCGTCATTTCATTGATGCTCAAGGACGGGTCTGCAGCCTCCGTGGTGTTAACCTTGCTGGCAATTGCAAAACGTGTGCAACTTGCTTTTATGATTGCAGCTGAAGGCTAACGCGAGACAGACCGATGAACCACGATCATGACACGTTCCCAGCTAACCATGCCGACGTTACATTTGTCGGACGTCCATTTCCGCTGGAGGAGGCACACGATCACTTTGCGAGGTTGCGCAGATGGGGCTTGACTTTCAGTGCGTAAGGAATGCACTTGATGCATGTTACATCTCTCATTCTCCTGCAGTTCGTTTCCTTGTCACATGGGAAGCAGTTGAACATACAGGACCGTAAGGACGTACTCACAGCTGCACATGCACGTCGCTGATCGTTTGATTCTAGCGGTATCTATGATACGCAATATCTAGAGTACATCCGCTCGCTACTTTCGCTCCTTCCTCAATACGGGATGACTGCGTTCATTGTACTGCACCAGGACGTCTGGTCCCGTTACTCTGGCGGCTCGGGCGCCCCCGCGTGGACACTTGAGGCTGTAGGCTTCGACTTGCACAACCTCGAGGAGCCCGGCGCAGCGTGGCTGAAGGGTGTCAAGGGCGGTGGGCACGTAGAGGACGAGCGAGGCCTCTGGCCGTGTGGTTATCAGAAGCTTGCGGCAGCGACGATGGCGTGAGTGCAGAAGAATGCAAGTCTCGAAAGTCTACGAGATCGTCGGCTGATTCAACGTAGAACGTGCTTCTGGGCAGGAGACAAGTTTGCGCCGAAGCTGAAGGTCAAGGATCCGCAAGGCGAGGAAGTTTCCATACAAGTGTTCTTACAGACGGCCTATCTCAACATGTGGGAAGTTGTTGCGAAGGCGGTCGGTGATCTGGAGGCTGTGCTGGGATTCGAGGTACCTGACCTGCCTGATCTGTATAAAGTCTACTAAGACTTCTGCAGATCATGAACGAACCTCACAGAGGATATATTGAGCTGAAGTCGATGCATGCGTTCGACTACAACACGGATCTCCACCTCGGGCACGTCCGTGAGTAGCCCGTAGCCAGCACTGCTATCCCTCGACATGATGCTCACAACGTCCCGCAGCTACCGCCTTCCAGTCGTTCATGCTCGGCGCCGGCTACCCAACAGAGGTCGGCTTCTGGACACGCTCATTCCCAGTGCCGACACGGCTCACGTCGAAGGGGGTCATCAATACGAAGCGCCAGAAGGCGTGGCGCGATGACGGGCCGACGCGTGGGCAGTGCTTGTGGCAGATGCACGACGTGTGGGGTTGGGACAAGCAGAAGAACGAGGGTGTCGTTCTGCGCGAGAACTACTTTGTGAAAGATCCGACGACCGGGCGCAAGGTAAGTGTCCTACGGGAAGTAATGGAAAGGCTTTACTGATGGGGCCTGGTCAGATTGACTGGTACACGGACTGTTACTACCTATTTGTTCAGAAGTGGACGCAGCGTGTTCAGAGCGTTTCCAGTTCGGAGAAACTCATATTCGCGGAGCCTATACCGAATGAGGTACGCTCGCTGAGTGGACTTTTGCTCGGAATTGAGGCCTCTAATTCCTGCTCAGTTCTGTCCTTCCTCGTGGACGCCTGAGCGCCAATCTTCGAACATGGTATTCACTCCTCACTGGCAAGTTGTCCTTAACGCTCTCAAAAGCTCGCTTGTTGATAGCCGTTCAGGTACGATCTGCATGCACTGTTCACAAAATCATATGGGGACTTCACTGCCAACGTGCAAGGGCTCTCGAGGGTGCGTCGTTCGCACTTGTATTGCATGGTAGACGACTAAGTATACATTTTGTCTCACAGGGCATGTTCCCGCTGAAGGGATTCTATTGGGGTCATCAGGGAGCTCGGGACAATTTCTCGCTCCAGATCCGGAATCTGGTCGAGGCAGGCTATCGGTCCTTGGGAGAAAGGCCGGTCATCATCGGCGAGTGTGGGGTACCCATGGACATGAACAAAGGAGACGCGTTTAAGACGGACAATTGGACCTGGCAGCTGCGTATGATGGACGCGATGATCACCGCCCTGGATCGGTCCCTGGTCGGGTTCACGTGCGTAGTCTGCTACCGTGTACATTATTCGGTTCTGAATTTCCGACGTTGCCAGCTTATGGAACTACAACCCAGATAATGACGACCATAAGGGCGACGACTGGAACGGAGAGAACTTCTCGTGGTTCAGTCGCCGACGTGGCCTAACGGGTGCTTGGCTGGACCATGCGCAGACGTCTTCCCTGCTAGACAACGGCAGTCGCATTCTCCGTGCGATCGTACGGCCGTATCCCGCGAAGACGGCCGGGGTGCCTATCCGCTTTGACTACGAGATGAACACCGGAGAGTTTTCGTTTGAGTGGGTCGTCCCTTGGAGCTCGAAGGAGACTGTGTCGAACCCCAGCTTTGGCGTCAACGATCCGCCGCTGACAGATTGGCCGTTACTCAACAGTAAGGACACAGAGATCTTCCTGCCGTCAATGATCGCGCAAGGCCGGCGGGTCGTCGTGAAGGGACTGGGTCAAGGAGATCAGTATAGGTACGACGAAGATCGGCAGACGTTGACGATCACCACGGACGACATGACTCCTGGCGTGCGCCACCGCATCGCCGTGTCGGTGAAACCGGGGCTGAAGGGCGCGTTCGAGGTGAACAGCTTCTGGACCGATTTCGGGCCTCATTTCGCTGCTATTGGGATTATCATTTTGGCGATTTTTGTGATGGTCGTTATATCGAAATTGCTTGGGAAGATCTGACGTGCTCCGATTTACTGATGTAACTGCTGGAGTTTAGTGTGGGACTTTGATTGCTCTAGGATCACCAATATAATATATATATAGATGTCATGCAAGTCTGCCGAAGTCTCACAGGTTGCACACTGATGGGCTAACAAGTATCGATAAAGAACACCGTCGTATCGGGACTTCGGCCTAAGTAGTCAGCGCATCAACAGCATGGTCTCTGTATCTAGGTTATTTTGGGCCGGTGCTCCCTGATTATTTGGAGTTTGAGTATGACAGTGGCGTTTGCTAGACTGGGCCTAAACGGTTATATGACTAGGTGATGTTGGATCATCTGGCTCAATACAACATTTCAAAGACGGGATGATTATATAGACGATACTACTATCTCAACGCGTTGATCAATCAAGATATGCCTGCAACTATTAACGACTACGGCTGCCTTATCAGGCGATGCTCCCCTCAGGGTGTCAGTCCCGTGATCATGCCAGCGCCAACTTTATCGTGGACACTCACACCGCAGACATGAAGCGATTTGCACACGTGGCAAATGCTTAGCAAATGTCGACAGGTTTTTTGCCTTTGTGATCTCAATTTGCTATGGTTCCTTCCCACATTCCGTATTAAGTATTTGCATATAATATGTTGGAGGCAGAAATTTAAATCATATATTTTAAGAAATGACACCATTTTCAAACTCACCAAATACATTTAGAATTTGAGTGCTGTTAAATGTAATCATACATTTTTGAATTCCAAACCATCACATGTATAAAATACCCAGTAACAGACAAAGGTGTAATTATGCCTACATTCTACTTCCCTACTGAAGTCATTCTAACCAAGATTACTAGAATGAAAGTCATTGTCACAGTATTAAGTGGCACCTTTCTTTTTGCACCAATAAAGTCATCATTCAGCAACCACAAGCGGTTATTGGGACGCCAACCTTCATATTGGTCTTACAAAGTGGATGCTTAGACAAACAGCACAATACCACCACATACATCGCGGATATGACTGTGTCTACCATATGACCACCAAGCGCCCATGATCCAGCCACCCAGTCAC